ATTTATATACTAAGTGTTAGGTCACATTAAAAACGAACTGGATCAAGTGATCAATTTCAAACTAGAAACTATTTAAACTAAGAAATGGCAGTTAACCGTCATTCACAAAAGCGTGCATAGTGCATGTCAAGGACGGGTCATCCAGCAGGCTAAGTTGGCTTAAGCCAAAAGGCCCGCGCTTTCAAAAGGCCCGTTGTAAATAGAAGTAATAAGGATTTGGACGTTTTTGCAATTCTGGGCTAGCTAAATGTGCTTAAATTAGATCATTTAAGCTGTTGAACACCTTACGAGCAATCGAATGCAGAGGAAAAATGGCTTTCGTACTATCTACTGCTCAAATGCGCAATACTCAGAACTCATGAAGTATTGACTTTTTCCCCAAGCAAAGGAAAACTGAACATAGTGGAAGGAATAGTTATTGCTTAAAGGCCCAAAACTTGGTCTTAGCCTACAGGCCCCGCAATAAGTAATCCGCCACTGGACTGCCTGTAAATTTACTACATGAAACTATATTAAGAGTAAAAAGTCAGTGTAGGTACTCTATGATACCGCGATGAAGCTAGTTTGGTGAATAGACTGCTTCAAGTATCATAAGCCTATTCACTGCTTCCTTTTTCAATTCCTTCCTTTATGCAGACTTAAAATGGCATTTAGCAAGAATATTTTAGAGTTATTGCAGTTCGATATTACACTTTACTCCAACTATATAAACGGATATAAAGACGAGCGCTAAGTGCACAGCTGTTTCAAAAAAAGACTTAAATTATATATAAATGTATATTCTTGAGGACATGGAGATATCTCGCTTGTTCGTAGTACAAAAATGACTTTCACCAACGTTGAAAATTATCTCACAACGAGACATCCTTTTTGGCTGCGATTGGTAAAGTTATTGTTTCTCGTGCACATATAGTAATACCTGCCCTTCTTGACTCTCAATATGGGTAAAGAGCATGAGGGAAGGTAAAAATCAAGCTCAGCTACACTTTTTCTCAAATGTCCACTAATTCGAAACTTTGCTCTGTTCGAATGCGCTTGATTTTTAATGTAACAAGAGGTGGCCATTGGAATTGCAAGGTCCACGTTAGTTTTGATGTCTTTACTATTCGGCAATCTATGCACAATTTCAGTATTTTTGATAAAGCGGCCAGTTTGCTCGAGTGGATAACTCGGGTCGGGTCATTTCATTTCCACAAAATTTGTTCGATCTGTACCTATACATTCAAAATATTCACAATTACGGTATATTACGGTCTATATAAGGCCCGAGCTCTCAAAGCTCACTCAAAAAACTCGCCCCACTGATAATCGGCAAACTCATTTTTCTATTGAAGGCATTATTTTTGCAAAATCATATCAAATCGGGCCATCAGTGGATTGAAAATATCATCTTCAAAGAGTTAAGAGGCGATGTTGAAACAACATGCGCTATAAACTACGTCATTGGCTTCTCTCAGACGCTGCGGACACTAGCGCACTCGCTTTGAAAGTAAAAAATTTTCAACTTTCTTGGCGATGTCGCGCGAACCATGGAGCACGTGATTGAAATCAACCAAATCGCAAACAGCTGTGGCACTTAAGCAAAAGCTTGCTGCTATAGTTATAAAAGCATCACCATGCAGTAACAAAGGAACATGAAGCATTTGCGTTTAATACATATCATATAATGCAAAGAATAGATATTGCCTGCTATATGTTAACGCATACAAATTTAATAATTATGTATAACTAGCCTATGCAAGTCGAATAGGCGGCTTACATTTCGATGACTTTTTCCTCGACTGTTTAAGTGATTGTTCGACTCTCTTGGAATATGTGGGTAAATGTCGCAAAAAGCATGTCGAAAGAGCTGGGGGTTTAAGAAAACAATCACGTAAACAGGCCGGATCATTTTGAGCGAAGCAAATCGTCCATCTATTTACCACTGAAATACAGAATAGATATCTTAACAGAAGGTCCACTCGTGTCGGAACCTTTGATGCTCGTGTCCCCTCCTTTTCTGGAGCAAATTCTAAGCAGACACGCCTTCCAGCAAGATACTTCTGCTAGATCGCAATAGAAAATATAGATGTTTTTACAAATATATCGTGTTGCCCTACAATAGCTTGGTACTTCCCTTTTCGCATTTGATTTCATGTATGAAATGATATGTGAAACTTATGTGAAATTGAAAAATTTCATATATGAAACGTCCAATTCATATAAGAAATCAAAGGTGAAATTTTCGTAAGGGCTTATCTCCTTCCCAAGATGATAGCCCTTAGTAATGATAGTAAAAATTTGGCAAAATTGTGCTTTCATAAGTAAAAAAACATTCTCGTGCAATACTATTTCATATTGATTTTGTGAATGTATCTTAATTGCTGGGAAGTCACGCAAGCGTAGTGAAAAAATACTCCACGATTTTAGCCGAGTGGGCCTTCTGTTAAATATGTATTCTGTGACTGAAATCAAATAAAATGTATATCGTTCAACAATCTCATTGGAATTTATGATTTCCATTCCTCCCCCTGGCGAGAGTATGACAACAGATATAATCGTTTTTGAATAAAATTCAATGCCTCTACGTATCGGCAAAAAGCGCCTTTAGAATTTTTTTGCTTTAATGAATAGCTCTAGTGACTTAGCAACATTCAAAAAATACCATAAACTATTTTTAAATTTAAGTTCATCACACAAAGGCCAGTGGCGTAACTAGAACGTTAATTGGGGGTGGGGGTGGGGGGTGTGCATATTCACGTTTCCGTTGTGCCCTACTGATTTCTTTTGAAAGTAATTTGAATTACACTATACCGGATTGCTATCGTAACAGGTTGAATATTCTTTGTATTAAAAGGCAGTGAAATTGTTCAACGTCAGAAACACAATCAAATAGACTAAATCTACCAGCTTAATAAGCTTTTACTCCGAACAGTTAACCCTTTAAAGCAAATGAAGATGTCGTGATGAGCGAATCCGGCATTGTGTAAACGCAGCCTGAGAAACTATTCAATGCACGCTCTAAATTCTTAAGAATAAAAGAAACCCATCTTTCGCTTTGTTTTCGAACATTATCGGTCTCATACAATGTATTCATTTTGTGTGTAAAATTTATTGGCCTTCGAATTGATAACGGTAATATAAAGACATCAACGTGATCCTGGAAAAAGTTGTTTAAACTTTAAATGAATCTCCGTCGTGCTGGGTTTTAAAAAGTCGCTCGTATGTTGATCGTTTTCTTTAATAAAATACATGCCTAATAAAGTAAATGGTTTGAACCCGAGAGTATCGTTACATGTTTGTAAATGTTTTTGGTTCATATTTTTTATTGAACGTATTGATGAAAACAAGACAATTACGTACGCAGCTTGGTATCTGGAATCTTTCTATTCAACAATATTCAGCAGGAAAGATGTGCAACCATGTGGGAGCGCGATAAAAAACGCAACGCCTACTTACAAATATTATAGAAATGTTCGAAATTAGATTGATCGACCTTGTTTTCAAACTATATCATCTTTGCATTGCCGACATTCTTGCTCGCCGTAAATGCAAACACGTACCTTTTCAATAAAATAAAAACCACTGTTCTTCAATGAAAATGGTTATCGTCTGAGAATCCTGAGATAAAAAGAAAGCGAACATTAAGAAGAGATTTCCCACACATTAAGTAGAGATTTACTAATCCATAATTAAAGATATCTGCAAGAATCGAAAAATGAACGGGAGTTTATTGCAGTGCTGTAGAAGTGGGGGGGCGCTTGGGGGAGGAGCTTCCCTTCTACCTTTGAAATCGGTAATTTTAAAAGGGCACTATTGACAAAAACATCAAGAGAGCCCCTCATCTGATAAATTTAGTTCTACAGCAATGGTTTATTGTCATTTTGAAAAAGTTTTTCTTGCAATAAATGAAACATATCGTAAGCAGAATAGTCCCTAATGATCTCCAGTGTTATTGTAGCTATGCATATCCCCGATGTTCTCAAATCATAAATTGGTAATAGTTCCGCGTACTAAAAATACCTGAAATTGATTCCTAACCCTGACCCTCAATTTTGTAATCCTATCGCTGACATATTGGAATATGGGGTTCAATTACGTGTATACATAATATAAATCCTGGATATATTAGGATTTATATTATGTATAATCTGATGATGGCTTTGGAATTACGTGTATTGTAAGGCGGAATTATAATCCACCCCACAAAGAAAGATATCTCAATAAATACTCGATTATAGAATAAAAGTCTCGGCAAAAAGCGAGCCACAATTTGCATTTATAGTCTCAAACTGTTCACATCAACTTCCTATGTACGTGTTATTGACTTAGTTTTCAATCGCTACATTCAATTTTGGTATTGATTTTACATTTCAAAATGTTTGTGCATGGCAAAGACGAGTAGCAGTGGGGTAGCAAGCCCGCAAATTCTGTTATGCTATGTAAATATTTACATAGTTCTTCACTCAGTGTAAAATATACAGATGTCGAAAGAAATTATTGAAGTTAATGATCTGAAATTTACGACACTGGTGAGTTGCTCCCTGCATTGCTTTGTAGCCTCATGGGAAAGTTCCTAACCTGCATTGCCTTGTAGCCTCATGGGAAAGTTCGTAACCTGCATTGCCTTGTAGTCTCATGGGAAAGTTCCTAACCTGCATTGCTTAGTAGCCTCATGGGAAAGTTCCTAACCTGCATTGCCTTGTAGCCTCATGGGAAAGTTCCTAACCTGCATTGCCTTGTAGTCTCATGGGAAAGTTCCTAACCTGCATTGCCTTGTAACCTCATAGGAAAGTTCCTTACTGGCGAAACAAGGAATCGTTGAATTTACCCTTTTACAGTTGCAAATATTCGGCAAAGTGATCTCGTTCGGCTCCACAGAATACTGAATTGGACGGCAAATTTATTTGTTTTAGTTGTTTGCATACCGGCAATTGAGGCAAAAGTACCCCGTATTTTTCAATGTTGAACGAGCTCGAGTTATAAAAATATCGCATAAGATTTAAGAGGTTTCACAAAAGTATTCGTATCTCGTTTTATTTCTATCAACAGAGATATTACATATTTTTTAAGAGACAAACAGCAAAATGGATGGAGCAGCTATATTATCCATAATACATAAATACACTAATGAAAGTTTCACAGTTTACACGAAAATAATATTTATCAATTGATTGCCTGTATGACGCGAGTGACATCAGAGTTTTTAAGAATTCGAAGCAATTTCGTCATCACTTGCCGTTTCGTCGTCTATAATACCTGTGGGAACGACACCTGCATCCACGAAAGACTATCAACGATGCTTTTTGGTTGCGATTAGTGAAATTGTTATTCCGGGTACACATGAAATGGTATATTCCCGGACTAAACGACAGTGCAACAGAGAAGGATGCTGGTGAATTATTGAGTTGATTTTGAAACGCAGGACGTACACCAGGAATTTGACCTATCGTAAGAAAAATTAATATCCGACGTCACTTTATGATGGCATACTTACGTCAGTGGATTAATAGATACAGACTCGGTTGAGCCAGGTCTTGTAACTTAGAGTTCAGTTTTAGCCTTAATAACCGACGTCACATTATGACGTCATACTTACGTGAGTGGATGGTTAGGTGCAGACTTGGTTAAAAGCCTGGCTGACTGCCTTGGTGTTCATGTTCATTCTAAAACCGCCTCCTTAAGAGCCTGATCAATAAAGATCTGCACCTGATCACACCAATTTTTTGATGGAAATACGAAAAAACATTGAAGCTGTTTCTTCTGCAAACGTACTTGTCTAGTGATATACTCCTTTCTGTATCCTATTAACTAATACTGCGTGCTAATTGTAGGTGGTCTCGTGCCCAGCTCCTCACGCCGTTCTTCGGCGATTGAACCTTGTTTATTGCAAAACCTCATGAAAAATATCATTGAAAATAATCGGCACAAGTGTATGGAAAGCTTAAAACGTTTTCAAAAATCAATTCGCCATGTGTGACATATTCGTGTTGCTTTATTTAACATCCGTCAAACGTATGTAAACATTAGCACAATGACGTCATGCGTTAAATGTGAAAGCTTTCCCTCCGCATGAACAATATGAAACAGTGGAGAAAAACCAAAAAACCAAAATGGTTTTCTGTATAGGTGTAACTTGTGTGCTTTGCGAGCAACTGCTCAATTAAATACAATGTACTATTTTCCGCTCATTTTTTTCTATAATTCCCAGCTCAACCTTATGGCCCATGCGTATTTAGGACAGCTTGACTTTAACTAGCCTCTAGATTGACAAGATATTGTCATAATCATCACTAAAGCTTTCCCGCAGTCGTTACCTACCGATCCTTTTTTCTTTTCCACGAGAGAAATCGAACCCAGAAGAAGCGAGAGCCACCTTAACATCTTCTAGGGTTTTCAAATTTTTATCAGGTGACCAGACTAAGGTCGCCTTGGAAATCATCGTGCCATCGTTTTTGATTTTCACATTCTTGGAAGGGCCTTCTATTTCGACCAAATTATTTTTATCCGTGCCTAAATACACACATCCGCGTGGTTTTGATGGTTGTATGATTTGACTGTCGCAGACAGATGGAAATCAACGATAATGAAATATGTGGAAGCTCATAGGGATCAAAGGATTAGGTAATGTAAAAGTGTGTGTAGATAGGGAGAAGCGTGCTGTTGAAAATTACGTGCATCAAATATACAGTGACAATATGTGTTTGTTAAAAATGTGGATATTCAACTATTAAGGGATTTTTTAAGAGAGCATTGATTCTTTACGAAGGGTTTTGCTATCTCATGCCTGCCCCGGGTATAATACGCACGTGTGTTTGTTTCAGAGAAAGTTGTTAATGACCCTTTCAACAACGCTACATGCAGTACTTGCGCCGGTTGCACGAAGCCTGGATAGCGTTATCCATTCGATAGCGAAATTTTCAAACTTGTAAAAAAGGTGTTTATATTTTTCTTACGACAAAGAAATTTCGTAATCTTCGAAACAATATTTCATTTCAGTGATTTTTCAGTTCGAATCTTATATTTTTGCTTTTTAAAAGGTTTTATGTAAGTTAAAAAAATTGCGATACCATGGGTAACCTGATCCAGGCTTCGTGCAACCAGCCTCTGTGTTTTTCAATTCTTTTAGCTCCATTGTCTGTTTTAATGTGTTGAAAAGAGCTACAGATCATGAGAGATTGGGTATGAAAAGCACCATTCACTTTACGCAAAGCATAGATCTAACATACGAGAAATCTCTATCGTTTTGTTTAGCTCGTTGATCACATACCTGCCTCGCCTTCACCTGCATTGTTCGGTGGATTTTTACTTGAACCTTTAAAAAAAAACAATGAGCACAAAGTCGGTTTGAGGATACAATGAATGTAGCTATAACTGCAATGCTCGAATCGCAATTCTCTGATAAACTGGGACAGTTTTTTTTAATTTTGGATGAATTTGAAAGAAAAACAGGAAGATAAACAAATCTTGAAATAGATCTTAAAATCATGGACGTGGGACATCGATAATACGGGAGGGAGGGGGCGCGGCGATTATTCATATATGGAGGGTGTTAATTTTATTTTTAAGTAACAGATACTCTAAGGAAGTTGGTGACGGGCGTGGGGAGAAAACTACTTTAAAAATTTTCTATAAGAACTAAAAACTTTTGCGCACGATACAATATAGAGGTGGTGATATTGATTCTTGAAAGTATCTGGTTTCTAATAAAACGCCTGCGGTACATTATGGATGTATGAATACCCTCCACCCCAGCCAGAATGACTTTTCTACATCCTAGCATAAAAGTTAAAACAAGAGTCTATACCTGTCCATTGTATATGCAAAATATCGTTTTCCGTAATCACCGAGATTTTGGGAATGAAATCATACTCAACAGCTGGATACGCCTGTACTATATTTCCTCGCTTTCCGCGAACGTTCAAATTGTATATGGCCGATCTGTCGGGAATTTTTGCCGCCTTTCTTGGCATCAATATCATGACATGGCTTCGATCTTGAAATGTCCTTCCGAATTGAGCCGTATTTACGGCCAGTTGAAGATTGAAATTCACTCCGGGCAAAGTCGTATCGAATTTGACAGCAGGATCGTTCTTCACGGGTGACCTTCAGTGATAAATGATAAGTTTTGAGGAATTATCCGACGCACGTGCAGAAAGAACGTCATGAAAACGACATGGTCAACGCATGCGCATACTCACTTGGCACCGTTTTTATCACTAAATGTTCTGTCACCGTCATAATCACCGGTGGAAATGTTATAACGTATCCTGAACGCACAACGTTTCTCTTCGTTTGAAGGAAAGTACGGAATAGTCCACGTGTATCTCATGGGCGTAGCGCGTCTAACGTTGCCAAGATGATTGGGCCGCGAGAGAGGGGAGACGAAACAATTCATTCTGGGAGGTTGAACCAAACACTTCTGTCCCGTTACTTTTTTAGTACTCGGATTATATTGGAGTTTATCGATGCGATGCGAGTCGTAGGGAATTCCCCAGACGAGCGGCACGCTCCTGGTCGACGCTCTACTGCATTCATATTGATTTTTGTATTTGTCTATGATGTCAATGTAGCTATAAAATTTCACCCAAATGCTATTCGCTTTTTCGCATGCTTTTTTGTTGTTATGCTTTGAATAATGCTTTAGACCGCCATTCGGATAGATGTCTAAGCATTCGCCTGGTAAGATAAAAAGTATAATAGGACATCAACTAACAGCTTTTGCGTACATTATGTGGAGAATCGGTGGAGATACCAAGACAGTGGATGCATGAAGCTTAAATGTATTTGATATCAAATAGCCGAGGTCCCATTGTCAGTGACATACAGGATTGATGTAAAATAAAAATTTCTCGTTGAATGGTTTACTTTATGTGAAGTCATGATTCTCACTTTGATTCAGTTACAGGCACAACGGAGAGGGACATGGGGTGGGGGTGGGGTGAGTGGATTGGGGCTCATCACTTTCCAATAATGTTGAAAGACTAAGGCCTGTTTCAAAGGACATGGGGTGGGGGTGGGGTGAGTGGATTGTGACTCATCACTTTCCAATAATGTTGAAAGACTAAGGCCTCTTTCAAAGGACATAGGGTGGGGGTGGGGTGAGTGGATTGTGACTCATCACTTTTCAATATTGTTGAAAGACTTGCATTTTACATGAGCCGAATGCGTTTAAGACAAAAGATAATAACGAATTTTATCTCATCATCTTTTGTTTTAAATGTATTCGGCGCATGTAAAAAGCGACGTTTTGAAACGGGTCGAAGAACCAAGCACCAAATACCACAAATCACACCCATGTAATCTAACTGTCATATGAAACGACTATTTGATTGACTCATATACTGTACACGTCCTCCTGGTATACGGATTAAGCCCTCTTGACTTAAAAAGTTTAAAAAACCATTTCTATCACAAATTTTTAAAAACAAGTCTATCGCCTCTGCAACTCTATATCGACGCAGAACCGTAAATGTGCTCTGATGTATAATTTTGGCCGACTCAGGTGTCTAAAAGACTGGATTCTAGGACACTGGTTCCAACTTTTAAATGGATAAAGTATGCTAGCAGCATTGCTCATACCTTTAGGTCTTCTGTTAAAGCTGTTATATCTGTAATACGAACATTCTCTTCTACTGTTGACGAATACAGCAGCGTCTTTCCAATCAGTGGGATGCCAATAGGGGAAATAGTCTCGTTCTTCGGGACATTCGTACCCATATCGGTTGCCGTTCGGATTCTGTCTGGTTTTCGTACTACCTGCATTATCTTGCACGTTCTGATCAGCAGTGAACAAACCTTGAACAGGTGATGGTTTTTTAAAACGCTTTTTTAAAATCACAAGGAAGGGTTGCGTACATTAGATGTCAAAGAATAATAAATGACAAAAATGTTTACATAACCCACCAAGTGACACACATCACAAAGTGAAAATACACTTCAAGAAGAATTGGGTAAAAAGAGCCAACCTTTGTTTCTTTCTCGCTTTCGGCATTTATCATAAGCTTCCCACGGTTCGTGCATTCCATATTTAAGATTTGCATTTCTTCTTTTTATATTATCTTTAGCAGCTTTTGAGGAATAAGATCGGATGTTCGTATACTTAATAGTAGTTTCTACTTTTCCTGCAGTAAATGAAAAAATAACAAAACGCTTGGTACAAATCATTTTTGCAAGCCTGCTGTTTTAGGCACAAACAGATACACCTACCGTTCCGTATCACATCGTAATCTTTGTTTTTTCTATCGTCCAAACTGTCCAAGGTGTTTTTCTGACACATGTATTGCAGTACGATGTTACAATTTAGATCCCTGTGACCGCAGCCGTGCTGATTGGTCCATTCAATGATCAATCGCGATTTTCCCGCTTTGCCCCAAGATGACAAGTAGTTACGGCCACTTTGAAAATATTTCTGAAGAAAAGAAAGCGAGTGACCACATAAGTACATAACTGTCCCTTTTAATATGAAATAAAACCAACTTTTTCTTCGTAATCATTACAGACCAAAATCTCTGTCTTAAAGTCTCGCCCCTGGTTAAAACTACCCCCTTCCTCTAGTCAAAATACGTATATACTCAATATAAATCAATTCAATTGATTAATCGGCAGTTTAAGTCCCGCCCAAAAATTTCCAACCGAAGCTAATCCAAACTTTGTTCCTATGGTATAGCACACAAAACATACCATGGCATACTGAAGATCTTGTCGACCTCTAGTGCCACCATCGGGCAGCTCACCGACATTGTAACCACCTTTCGCATTGTTCTATGCAAACAAGATCAGCAGATTTTAGTCAAGTTATAATTCTGTGAAAACAAGATCAGAAAGCTTTAGTCAAGTTATAATTCTGTGAAAACAAGATCAGCAGGTTTTAGTCAAGTTATAGTTCAGTGAAAACAAGATCAGAAGGCTTTAGTCAAGTCATAATTCTGTGAAAACAAGATCAGCAGGTTTTAGTCAAGTTATAGTTTTGTGAAAACAAGATCAGAAAGCTTTAATCAAGTCATAATTCTGTGAAAACAAGATCAGCAGGTTTTAGTCAAGTTATAGTTCTGTTAAAACAAGATCAGCAGGTTTTAGTCATAATTGTAGACATGTTAACGGTGGGAAAACGTATGTCATCGAAATTGAATGTGTCATTCAAGCTTTTGCACGAATTCATCAACAAAATTATTGGGGTGGGGCTATACGATTTTGTATAGACTCGAGTATGTTTATGCATACATGATCTGAAAACTGATTTACAATCTTGTGCTGAATGGAATTGTTCTCGAAAATGTTGAAAACAGAAAGTAAAAGACTCCTCCGGGAATTTTCTAAATGTACTAATTCTTAGAATTATATAACTGATTTTCATTACTTCACAAATCAATTTCAACACTTCATAAACCATATACGACTTGCAGCATAAATTCCATTCAATAAACAAAATATGAACTACAAAGGGTCAAGAGCGAACCAATTCTCCCCTTTAGGACTTAGGACTTGACAAGCACCAACTCTTACGCCCGTATTCTAAAAGCCCCTCACTGCATGAGTGCAACATAAAAATTACGCTCTCCGTCTAATCACTGACAAAGTCATTTCTTCGCCCGTATTCTAAAAGCCACTCACTGCATGAGTGCAACATAAAAATTACGCTCTCCGACTGACAAAGCCATTTCTCCAGCAAAATGAAGACAATAAGGCGATTCGCTGACTTTAAGCAAAAAAATGTTATAATTACATAAAAAGGTTACACAGAGAAACAAAATGGCAAAAGGCCAATCGAAGTTCTTTTCTCCCTCTACAAGATATCCAAATTCTTACTGACCTGCGAGTCAAAGAGACGGTTTGCATTTTGTCTATTTACGCCAGTTGAGTCCAACCGGTCATTGGATCCTCTCGGATTGTGCATATAAATATCACATGAAACAAATTCGACGATAAGTAGCAAAAAAACGGCTCGCAGAGATAACGAATGTGAAAAATGCTCCGCCATGTCTGGTCTTTGAAAGGGAGCCCTCTAAAATGAGTGTTTGATTGTGTGTGCTCCTAATTTATAACTCGAGGGCAGTGTCCATAGCTAAAATTGACAAAAGATTAGTGTTTGCGTTGGTGTTCAAAGCATATTATCATGAGACCGCCGCCGAAGTTCGTGATGAGACGCTTGGCGCCATGTAGCTTCGTTGATGAACTGTGTTCAACAAACTGTGGAGTATTTCAAACACGCGCGTCATGAAGGGTATTTTACATTTTCTCTGTGTTTCGACGGCGATTTCATGACTAAGACGCAAGCATGACATTATTATTATTATTGGGACATTATAAAAACCAAAGACAGAGCAATCTTTATGAAGTGGCTAACTTGCGCAAGAGCACACATAGGCGTTTACTTATTTTCGCACTCTTCTTTTACGATAAATCATAGCATCTCAAACATATTTCTGTATATGATATCGGACTCCACCAAGACACAGTCGACATCATATTAGCACGACATTATAATAAACCTATCGATTCAAACTTTTGCCAAGCTCTGTTGACTCATTTTGACAATAACTAATTATACTTAGTTAAACTTTCGCGCTGGACCTTAATGTAGAATAATATTGTTATTTCTCAATGACACTGCATTCGTTAATAGTGAATATATCTGGGTTGTTCAACTCAAGATTTTTAGTTTTGTCTGTAGATCTCTTTAAGATGCGCTCACATCTTTGAAATCTCATGTTAATCCGTAGTGACGTAGCCTGATGACAGGAAAGAACCTATAAATTAAACGAGACTTATCTCAAGTCGAAGCTTGATTGGAATTCTTTCTTGTCGTCAGTCAGGAACGAAGGAGTAACATGCCTACCCGGCAGTATCTTTTACCTTGCCCGCTTCTCCTTCGTTCCTGTGAGCGCATAATGGGATTTGAATTATGGCTATCGAAGGGCGCGCGTGCTTCTCATGTAACTCCTTCGTTCCTGATTGATGACAAGAAAGAATTCCAAGCAAACTTCGACTTAAGGTAAGTCTCGTTTAACTTTTAAATTATAGAACATTAGTGTCTTCTTCATAAACAACACAATCAACTATGAACAATTGTTCATAAGCAATTTTTACGAAATATGTGAAAGCCAGCAATTGCAGGACACAAGCAAACCATTGTTCAAATAAGTTAAATCCAAAGCCTCGAACATATAATGGTTAAGATATGTACGTACTTTCCTAAAACAGCCGGCAAGTTAGCATTACGTAGCTCTTGAGGGGAAGGGTTGGAGGCTATTGACAGGTAGGGTACATGCTGTCTAAAGTATGTGGTGAATAATCTCAAATATATTAAAAAGATAATTAGACGTGATTTTTATCTCTAGATCTAACAATGAACAGCGTGCTTCCACATAGGAATGTTGTAATGAAAAATAGTTTTGTTTGACTCAAGGCACTCGGACTAAGAAACTTTCGCAATTTCTTGATTCTAACTTCTCAAGTCAACTCATTGCAATTTTTTCCTCCAGCGTTGACTAATGAAGCTTGATAATACAAGCATGCAATAAAACTTTAAATAGGTGCATTTTAATGCGACAAATTTTCCCAACAAATGTAACAATCCGAGCAGCTCATTCAAGGCTGACGGGGAATTAAGCAAAGCTTCACAATCATATGACGAAGCGGAAAAATTTAGGTAGGCAACTTAGAAAGATAAGAAAGATAAATTAGAATAAGAGGTATGCAATTGCGTACATGCGTCTACGTGATGTGGAACTTTTCAAACTATTACTAAATGTCGCAGAAATATTGAATGAGGTTCAATAGGATATCGATGAAAACTAACGCCTGTGTTTATCTTACCCATAGACGAATGTTTTTATTAAACTCAAACGGAATCATCAACATGTGGCATTTGGATTGTGGATCGAATGCACTAAAATGGCGAACGTTTAACATTACATTGATCGAAAGTCAATGAGAAATCTTTCCGATGCTTAGCCGGTAAAAGCCGACTGACGTCACTTTTTCCAAAACGCACATACACATTTTTACGAGTAACTGCAATGCGTCTAGGTTGCTACGCAACGTAGATGCAAAAATGTACTCATGAGTACCAGTAATAGTATAAATAGTGAAGATGTCAGGTTGATAGAGTACACGATTATTGGATCGAATAAACCATGCTGTAGAGTCGTCAAAATGTCGTAGTAAAGAGCTAAAGCTAACATAAAAGCATGTCAATTTCTATAAAGTCTTTAAATAAAAGGGACATTTTCACATATTTATTTTCGCTTAGTAATCAAACAGTGGCCATAAACACTTCTATATGACTTCCCACACAAAACTAGGCTTAGCTTATCAGTGAACACGATCGTCTATATACTAAGAACTACAATTCCTACACAAGTATCGCTGACAAGCCAATGTTTCAACATCCTATTACAAATCAAACTAAGTTTTGACCATCGCAGTGATAAAGTTTCAATCAAAAATAGTCAGATTTAAGTTATCGAGCTTTGTCCCAAACACAAAGAATGTGTGCTAGATTTCTTTCATACAGCAATGAAGCAGATCATGCTCGATCTAGTCCGCCACGAAGATACCTGCAATCTTCAAGGTCTTTCCAGGAGCATGTTTCACCATCCGGCGGATGGTAGCACTCCTCCGAAGGATCTTTTTTTTCATCATTCATGACATTCAAACTCCTTCTCCTCGACCGAGACGCGAGAATTGGTGGGAGGTATTTTGGAACTGAACTCCTCCTTAAATATAAATCTTCTGTTTTGAATGTGATCGAATCGAGTCCCCTCTTCTTAGAACAGCCCAGTGTGCGATTTTTCTGTTTTGCGATATCAAAATCGCTTGAAAGAGCACAACGAGAGGGCCTTTTGACGTTCATGGGATGGAGCATCTCCATACTCGAACTTGATTGGCTGTATGTATTGCTCAACACATTGCTAGAGGTTTTTGAAGCAGAAAAGCATGAAGATCTCAGCCGTCTACGTTCATCATGATCATCGGTTTGCCATATCGGGTCGTGTGCGTGATTTTTGGGAACTTTTTCCTCCTGAGACGTTGGACAAAATAATGAGCGTTGAAGGCAAAGCACATCTTTCTTCCTATTGGCCAATTCGTGAGCCTGGTGTTGCAGTAGATGATCAAGCCGTTCACACTGACTACTTAACTTTAATTGCTCGCACTTATTTCTCGCGATAAAAGCGTTTCGATGCTCACTTGCGAATCTTCTGAGAACGGGGTGAAATTTTCGACGGTCCATTCTGATCGTAATTATCAGTCACGTGAATGAACAATTGTCGTAAAACTAACAGTAATTAGCAGCTAATAAGAACCGTTCAAATGGTTTTTCTATTCTGAACGCATTCTGTTTCAATATTGCACATTCATAAGCGTGAGAGCGTATTTGACGATACAAATCTACCAGTGTTCAACTTGTCAATTTCCTGAGGCTAAATGTTAGCTATTTTTATGATGATTTGGCCGATTACTTCGGTTTGATGGGCGTGCTGACGTCAATTAGGAGAAGAGAAAAACTTGAAATTATTTTTTTCCAGTAAAACGTAACGCAATTGGCGTTGATCAAGCAAAGTTTTGCCGAACGGCTTTTTATGGCGAAGTTGAATATTGCACGACGCTTTTTTCCTTCGGTTTCACAACAAGTTTTTGTAAATAGCTACATTCTACGACGGATTAAATTAGATTCTATTTTAATTAAAAAATAGCAATGTTTACTCACATACGTAACTATGTTCTTTTCATGTACGTTTAAGAAAAGCGCTTTTAATCTTTAGAGAGGAAGGCAATTTGAATTACAATTCAAAACAGTTTGAAGGTATTGCGATTATTGGGCTTAAACGTTTAAGCAAACATTTGAGCAAAAGAACAATAGAAACTACAAAGTGTAAATGTAAAAACTAATGGATGTTCCCAATCTTACGCAAACTTCACTGCTTATTTCTACACTTGAAACTAGAGAAGCCTTAGAACTACATTACAGTCATTACTATAAATGATATTTTGTTAAGTTTATGCTTAAATTACATAAATTTAAGCATGGATTTAACAAAAAAGACTATTGATAGTTCGTAACATTTCTCAAATGCTTGTCAACATGTAATTCAATTCGCAAAAAATTTGTTTTTTTGCCACATTCAATCTGTTTGAACAATTTTGATGATTCAATTGTCCTCTACATTGCTTTTACAGGTAACCATAAATATTGATCTTGTAGCTAACACAGAAACAATTTTTCTATTAATAGCTATGCTTTGCTTGTCATAGTGAATTTTGAAAACAGTGTAGAGCATATGTGTACACAAAGCTGGGTACACGAGTCTTAATCCTTTTTTATCTAATGGGTGGATATTTCGGCGCTCAATGCTGACGCTAATATATATCTGCAGGAACCAAGCAATACGAGAATTTTTTCAGCGCTGGAATTCCAAAACCCGTCGAATATTACCCGGCTAGGAAACGCACACAAATTATGTAGGGTACCATGTAAAGATTTACGTTATTTGCACAAACATGCAAGAGAATCTTGTCATGAAACCTTTTGTTTAATGGCATTTTTAAAATTCCAGGGCGCAAAACCAACAGTATAAAACCATATATCAAACAAGCCTTTACTTATTGACTTATGAAATAATTTCACAACGCTGCACAATTTCATAAGACTGCAGGGAACTGGGACGATTTGAATTACGTAATCATATAGTTAGTCATTAGCAGGGTAAAATCACGTGACTAAGGGGTGTTTAGAGATTATATTCAATAGGGATGGGCAGTAATTAATAGTCTTTTGTCGAGTACGGTCATCTGTATGTGAAACAGCGATCAATAAAATATATCAAAATATGTGAGTGTGTTGACCATCAACTTAGCTTCTATAGCGTTCTCAACTATATCAAAACCAGAATTTACATCACAATGAGGTGATAACATACTGATGAAGTAACCTAGTAACATGTGCATATTTAAACGGAGAGAAAAGAAAAACGATAACCAACCAATAATTTAAATATAAAATAAAACACAAGCACTTCAAAAAGCAGCATTTTTTAAAGTCAAGATTTGTGTTGAATTGAGAAGTGATAAGATGTTCAAAGGCAACATTTAAAGTCTTTATCAAGCTAAAAATCATCATTGTTACTAACACTTAGCTAGCTAACTAGCTTGATAATGACTTTTTGAACAACTGTTTTTGAAAATCTTATTTATGCCAATATAACTCGAACCTTGAGTTTGCAAGGTGATGCTTTTTGGAGTATGTTTCATCGTATATAAAATATATATAACGCACCGTTCGGGAATTCACCAGAAAAATGTGGCTTGTAGCAATATTTCATCAACCATCATCGTAGTAAATGCTTTTGAAATTTGAATGAGGCTTTCCACGAGTTTCATCTGCCGTACCTTTATCCTTCAAGGTATTCAAAAAAATGCTGTAAATAACAATACGTTCAAGGAATTTTAGCTGTCTTTGTCGCTATTTTTTAAAGTTTTAAATCGTGCAATACTATTTTTTAAATTCGGCGCCATAATTGTTTTTCTTTTTTGCTGCTTCCACTTCTTCAATTTTGATATGAAAATTGATGAAAATAACTGGAAAATAAATTTTACGAGAAAATTTTCTATGAAATTTCCCATTGATTGATTTTCCCGCCGTTATCACAACTTTTAACACAACGTGGTCGTAACGTTTCGTAATATTCGTCCGTATTTTTCATTTTCTACCGCTTCAAATGCGATAAGTGACTTGAAAAGAGCAGAAACTATTCTATTACTGCTTCTTAATGGAAGAAATTCTCAACCTCGAGACAGTTCAAGCCAGCTCTTTCTTCAGAAAGGAAAAAAAAACGGTAACTCGTCTTTCTTATTGGCATTGAATACCGAAGTACAAAATGGCATTATATACTTTACCGAACTAAATTCCGGACAATTACACTTCACTGCGATAACTACACAACATAGCGAAAAATATAGCCTGTTATCGAATTTCTCAAATTCAAAGAGATTCGCTCACAAAATGATACAATTATAAGAATTTCGGATGTGAAGCACATTGAAACGCGTTGTAGAAACACGTGGTAAAACAAGAGGTCTGGGGATGAGGGGGTGTGTGGGTAGAGAATGGTGTTAATTATCTTAATAACATGCTTTAATAATCTTTAAGATACTTTTTAAAAAGTCATTTGCAAACTTTTTAATGCATTGCTATTTTATTTTAGCCTGTGGCAAATGTATTTCATATAAATGATAATCAATACAGTTCTACTGTAACAGTAAGTGCAAACATATTTTACCCATCATCGGCTTGATATATTGTTAGTCTACTGACTACCCCTCCCCCCTTCAAATGGACTCAACAACATATTTATCGAATATGTTGTTGCCAAGCCCTAAAAGAGGGTAGGGTAGTGCATAAAAATTTACAACCAGTTGACAATTTTATGAAATTCAAAATAAAACATATTCCGAACAGAGGACATCTCATAAACTCAAATTTAAGCTATAAACAAAGACAATTTAAACTATAATAGCTCGGTTTATTTCAAAACCATCATCAGACAGAATGATGGTTTTGAAATAAATCAGAAATATAAAAGTTTACTTTGTCTTGGTTTATAACTTATGTTTGATTTTAGTACATGCCTTCTTTTCACATTATGTTTTAGTTTGAATTAAATTTAGGGTTGTTTTTTTTTTATTAAAGATTGTACATTAAAACATGGATGTAGGAAGATTGAAAATTGGGGGGGGGCTCATATTCATAAATTCATGTTATAATTTGTTGAAAATAATTTCAAAGGAACTTAATGGATATTGTAAATACCCGCTTCATTATCAATATTTCCTATGACTATGCATTACAGTTTTTTTATTGCTTTGAGGTATATTAGTCCCTAGAGCCCCCAGTTGTACATATTAAAAATCATGTCAGAGGTATCCCCCCTCAATAAATTTTAACTCTGAGCCCACAATTTCTCATGGTGGCATGGTTGTTGCTTTTCAACTATCACTATTTTGAATAGTCAAAATAAATTACATGGTAAATATTTCCAAAACTTTTATCCTAAACTCGTTTTGGATTCAACGAAATAATTCTATCGATAAGTGTCTTTATGGCTAGCGCAAAGACACTTTGCTCACCGCCAGCACGTTCTTGCATTTCAAACCACGCAAAAAAGCCGTGCCGCGCGCAGAAAGCGTCCATTTCCTCGCGGGATTGTGTTGCCATGCCATCACCAATCCAGTTCACTGGCATTTGATAAACATTATCAACCAGCAAAACGATGGGAATATCCGGCTCGATTTGCGTAACTTCGTGATGATATTTTAACGCCGAATCCATGTTTGATCCCTTGGCGCCCCAAAACACGACAGCGCCATCGGCATTTCTGTAAATTGTCCTATTCACAGGGAAAAAACGCTCGTTCTCAGCCGTATTCCATAAAATGACACGTATATCTTCGCCCGATTGAACACAAACGCATTTCGTCGCGAAAGTCGCACCAATAACTGGGAAATTATTGGGATTTTCAACAATCGTTCCATCGGACGACGTATAGTCCTCAATATATACTCCCTTACTCCAACCGCCGCAGTAGTCACCAACACATACTATTTTCAATGTTTTCTTTCTTTCGCTGAGGTTTGTTGTTGACAGTTCCGCTTCTTCAAACTTAACTCGTTCGTTTTTATACTCGACTTTGTCGGCCATTTTTTTGTGTTTTGAACTGTCTTTTGATCCATCAACCACACAAGCTTCTGCCATATTGATATAGCGGTTTTAAAAGAATGTCAAGAAGGCTTGTTCACCAAACATGATTTAAACATATTACAAATAGCTTTGGGAACAAGGAGCATGTAAATAAATTCTGTGATAAACCGCCGGAAATGGAATTACGTAATTCACTGGCGTTGATGTTAAACAATTTTTCGTGGATCAGTGAAAGGGATAGTTGGAAACACAACACGTTAGAATATTGCTTTCGCTTACACAGATTTTAATCAAGCCCCAATTTCAACGCTTCAGATAGGAAACTGCTGGAGGGTAGAGGCGGGTTTGACAATTTCTGGTTTGGTAAATTCTTTATCTTCAAATAAATCAGAGCCGAGAAAATTACTGACATTAATAAACTTCAAACAATTCTTAGTCAGTGGTAAAAATTTTCCAAATAGTTGGAGCCATACAACTAGATAATCTTTATACCAGTAATTACAATTTACAACGTGAAAGACTTCAAGACTACAACCAATAAATTATATTCTGTGGTGGCCGTTAGCCACATGTTATTAGCCCTCTTTGCCAATTTCACTCTCGTCAAAAAAGGTCTCCTCGCTTTCTTCATTTTTCCTTATTTCGTTCTCAATGCCTTCATTCTTTGCCTCCATCTCTTCCAAGCTCAAGGGCAATGATTCGTGCAAGTATTCCAAATCACCCCCTTCGGCAAAGTCAGCTACAGTGTGTCCGTGTCCCTTAAGGACCCATTTCGTTGTCAAGAGTCCCTCAACGCCGACTGGACCACGAGCGTGGATACGACCCGTGCTGATTCCAACCTCGGCGCCTAATGCATCAAAATATATTTAGTTTAAATGCCAGAAGGGTTATGGTAAACTATTGATAAAAGTCGTGTTTCATAACACGAAACGATCTTGAAAATGAGCACACAAAATTTACAGAATTAGGGCACAAAGGCAGTTGCGTAGGAAAGAAATTATTTTTTAGGGGGCACAACTTGGCTTCACAGGTGATAGAGGGTAACAATGATACATAGTAAATATAATAAAAAAGTCACAACTTTTACAACTATAATATGTAAATGCAAACTGTATCATCCTATGTTACATCATAACATAATATTACAAGTGTTATTGGGGGGTGCGCCTCCACACTGCATTACTTGGTGGCATTAGCATTATGGCAAAATCATGAAGACATGATGGTAAGATTATTGTAAAGTAATGAAAGAGTCTAGGGAATAACCGGCAAGGTTATAAAGGATCATTGCATAATTGTTACAAGAGTATTATGATCACGAAATGGAAAGATTAATTTAAAAAGGATCATTGCATAATTGTTAAAAGAGTATTATGATCACGAAATGGAAGGATTAATTTAAAAAGGATCATTGCATAATTGTTACAAGAGTATTATGATCACGAAATGGAAAGATTAATTATAAAAGGATCATTGCATAATTGTTAGAAGAGTATTATGATCACGAAATGGAAAGATTAATTATTCTTGCTTTGGACTATCCCATGAAATCATTCCTTGAAAGAAGAATATCACGTCTGTGACGATAGAAATAACATTTCAGTGTGGTGTGGGAGGTAGTATTTTTCAAGAAAAAAAAAACATCAACAAAGAAATCACTTACCCAATCCAAACCTGTAGCCATCAGCAAACCTAGTGCTGCAGTTATGGAAAGCGCATGCACTGTCCACTGACTGGAGGAAAAATTGCGCTGCTTCGTCTGAAAAGAATGGCAAACATAAATTTTAGACCAATCTTAGAACTAAAAAAATTCGCAACTGTAAGTAAAAAGCGAGACTTACCATTTTCGGTGACAATTGCATCAGTATGTGAGCTGCCATGTTTATGAATATGATCGATGGCATCATTTACGTTATCAACGACCTCCATTGTGCACTCAAGAGCGCTGTATTCCTTTTGCAGAGAAGTTGCTGGCATTGGACCAAATGGTAGTGCTTTCGCCAAGCGTGGTCCAGGATGTACAATCACCTTTCAAAGAACAGTAATTTTATTTGTCGGGAAAAAATGCATAACATATAATGAAACTTCAGTCTTCTCGAGATTGAAGAGATTGAACCCACTTCAGTCTTCATGCATATTAAGATAAATATGATGATCATATACTAAAATATGATGATTTATGATTATACTCTAAGTGCATAAATTTATGTACTTTACTCCACGAAATCCACTATAAACTTTATTCGACGAAAAATCTTTTATGCATTGGTTGATTGAATATGATGATCATTCATAAGCATAAAATATAACGATGCTTTTATAAAACAATTACAGTTTTTCAATCTAAAAGAAGATTGTTATGAGACTCATATGGAGTATTGTTATATTTTATGCATATGATCATCGTATTTTATCATCACATTCATAAGAGATTTTAGTCTAAAGAAGACTGCAATAAAATATGATCATCATATAAACATAAAATATGATAATGATATTCTACAAAACCCACCACAATCTTCTTTTACCTGGTTATCTCTTAATTGATTGAGCATATCTTGGAAAGGTTGCGTTCCAACTAAATCCTGATGTATAAGTAAAGTCTCCATGGCATTACAAGCAGCGGGATAATCGCATTTTGAGTCGATTACTGAAACGATTTCAGGAAAAGTAGTGTGAATTCGTAAAGTATTGCATTGTATACGCTTTGTCCCGACACAATAATACATGGGAACATTGATAAAATAACTACTTGTATCACTAACCAACACGGATCGCCATCGATGGGTCTGCATCTTTATCAACAAAAACATGACAAATTCCTTCTGCATGACCCAGCACGGGGATTCCCTTACTTTTCTCTTGGATTTGTTTCACTAGCTCGTTTGAACCTCTTGGAATCACCAAATCAATAATACCTTCCAATTTCAACAGATCACTAACAGCTTCTCGAGTGCTCACCTTAAACACGTTAAACAGGTTGGTGAAACTTGTTAAGCGGTAGAGCCTAATATACACAACATTCGCTTCAAGTTTAATACTGCAAGCTAGATGAACAGTTCGTGCTTAATATGTGGCAATGCTACGTCATCAAGACATTTTTCATTTGCAAAATGGGTTATAAATTATAGTGATAACTGCACATGAAAATTTAGAATCATCCAACACATCTTACCAGTTGAACTGCGGTGCGCGGAGCATGTCTTGCAATGGCTTCTTGGACAATCTTCAGCAGACAACGGTTGCTATGATACGCCTCTTTCCCACCTTTTAGCAGCAAACCGTTACCTGTACTTATACCTAGCGCGGCTACCTACGAAATATAAAGAAAATCAAAGTTAAGACCTATAGAATAAATAGTTGAAGCGTGTTACTTGAACACTCGGGTTCAAGTTTACCTGAGGCAATGCATCCGGTCGAGATTCAAATATAACCATCAGTACGCCAATTGGTACGGTCTCTTGAACAAGATGTAAATTTTCAGCGACTTTCGTTCGGCGTAGAACACGTCCTATATTCTCGTGCGAGGAATCCGCTATCTGCCTGATCCCTGCGGCCAAATTATTGATCTTACTCGGTGTGAGGGAAAGTCGCGAAAGCAAAGGGGCAGCAACATTCAACAAAGATGCTTCTTCGAGGTCACGAGCGTTAGCATCGAGAATATCTGTCGTTCTTTCCTCCAGTAGATCAGCAAGACGATACAGTATGTCTGCACGCTATATACACAAGTTCAGGAATACTGAGATGTTGATGACATTTCATGGAAACACCACAAATATTTGAAAAATGTCACACAAAGTGGAATGTAGTCATCTGGAACTACTCCGTGCATCCCAGTATGACAAATTAATGATTATATGATATGAATCTGGAATGTACGGAATACTGGATCTATCAAAGTGTTTCAAACAAAAACGTAATCTGAAAGAAACATATGTAACGTGCTTCTTCATTGGGCGAAACGGAAGTTGAAAGAAACATGTAACGTGCTTCTTCATTGGGAAAAACGAAATTTGAAAGAAACATATGTAACGTGCTTCTTCATTGGGCAAAACGGAATTTGAAAGAAACATATGTAACGTGCTTCCTCACTGGGCAAAACGTCGATCAGTTCATTGGCTCCATTTACTTGAGCATATCATTTCACTATTCTCTCCACTGAATATGAACGATACGTTCAGTAATTATATATTTGATTGACGAGACAATTCCGTCGTAAGCAATGTAGTGCTATTGAGTTAGACAGCCAATCAGTGAGTTGAGGAAGTTATGATGTAATTTTTTTCACCCAGGAAAAAGACTTGATTAAGAACAAACCTTTTCTGGCTCCAACGATTGCAATATTCGTCCTGCTTTTCTCGCTAAATGTTAGAAAATACGTAAGCTAATGCTTCTTTACCGTTATAATGTTTACGTGATGTGCTTTAGAGTGCTTTAGGTGTTCTGTGTAACGATACTCACCAAGAAAGGGTTTAATTTTTTCATAAAACAGATAATTACAGTACGTACGTACGTACAACATGCATATTACCATCTTCAGCCTGTTCCTCCACCGAAGGTCCAGTCTTTTCAGCCAAAGAGAAAAAAGTTCCAATCTTTTTACCAGTCATAATTTTGGAAAGGGCGTGATACTCAGATCCTACTCCATTTGCAATTACCACGGAAGTACCACGCTCTAACGCCCAAATCGAGGATTTAACCTGAAAGATGAACATAGTTGTTGAAAAAGCTCGTCAGTTTTATCCAAGTGCTGCAATATATAATTGAATGACGCAAGCGTTACAGGAATAGCGCCGGACACCGGTTAAGAAGGTATATATGTAGAGATGGAAATACCGCTGTCCAGTAAATAAGGATGTTTCGATTACGGCATGGCATGATCATATGATGATGCAAAAGATAATAAAGCCCTAACCTTAGATTCCATTCCTCCCATTCCTACTCTGGACTTCCCGCCAAACGTTATGTTATTGATTTCCGATGGATGAAATGTAGATATGATCTGCGAATCTTTGAGTCCGGGGGGTGAGGAGTAAATGCCATCAACATCAGATAATAGAACCAACACGTCAGTCCGCATTTCTACAGCGAGTAAAGCAGCAAGACTGTCGTTGTCCTTCAAACTGATAACCTAAGATTACCAAAAATATGAATGGAAATTACTTCGTTATTCTAGCTTTTTATTTCATGACAAAATACAGCTTTAAATATAAGATATAAATCATTTTATTAATTAAAAAATTTTTAAGATTGTGGCATAATTTAACGCCAAAGCGTGCAGCGTTTATTTATTAAGGTTTCATGATCTAATGAATGTGAAATAAAAACCATTACAGTTTGTGGTTTGCACGCATCAATATATTCTTGCAAGTACAACAGATAGAATAGTGTAGATTTCGATAAAAATAAGGATCACTTTTTCAAACCTTTCTACTTACCGAATTCGACTTTCTTCTCCACTAAGAAATAAATAGAATAGTCATGATGAATAGCAGTGCCCGAGGCCTCCAAATTAACTTTAATGTGAACTTAGTCAATATGGGTGTCGTACACTTTACCTGACAATTGCTACAGCGTCGAGTAAAGGGTTTGAGTGCGTAAGAAACGAAAATTTGCTATTTCAATCGAACAGAACTTTAAAAACAATGACAATAGACTTTCTAAAACAGTTGTTTAACATCTGTTTTTAAGCTCGAGATTTGGAGAAGGAGAGTACATAACCACTGGCGTGGTAATGAAGGAGTCACCTCATGATTTCAACTATCCTTTGGTTTTCAGGCAATTTAAAATTAAGAACTCTCGGGTAGAAGTTTATGCCATAAACAGTTCAAAACGAATGGAACTTTGCCCAGTAGATGTAACACAGCTATCGGCAATATTACCAGCTAATTTACGTTTTCAGCAAGCCAATTTAAATTGGAATTGGAGTTACAAATACCTCACTAAGTATGTAGGAAATGAAAAGATATATATGTGTATAAATGCATAAACTGTTTTAAGACTACTGTCATTTTAATAGTTCAGTTTGATAAAACTTATAAAATAAATAGCAAAATTTTCATTTTAAATATAACTACAGTTCAATGAATAAGCGGCTTAATCGCAAATATTAATCAAATTACAGTTGTAATGGTTAGATCGTCACATTGATTAGATCATTTGATTAAAGTAAGTCGTAATTTACGTATGATTAATTTAATACTAGCGTATAAATCAAATTAATAATCTAAAGATTGATTTAACAAATAGTTGTGAAACAGATATAATTGATCAAGAAGATGATGAGCCCGATCGACCGCGCAAGCAAAACGGCCCGTCAAATGGGAGACAATCGATAACAATAATTACTAATTGACATCATGAGAATGGATAATTGCAACATCATGAAAAAATCTATACAAATTGACTTATATAAGTAATACATGCAGCGCGCTACAGTCTTACTATGCCACTGCATGTGTGGAGTTTGGCAAAGACTTACCCCCTTTAAATCATAGTCATCCCCAGGAGGTGGTGCAACAGCATCGTTTGTATTGATGATGGGAATACAGTTCATCTTGATTAGTGCATCCATCGTGGACCTTAAATTTGCTCGTAGCTCCGCATTTTTGAAATCCGGAGTGGTGACAAGGACCTACAGTTCGAAGTCAACATGTCGTTTGAGTACAAACGAACCTCAAGTTCTCTTTGCATAAACCATTTGATGCATTATACCATCATTCGACTTTCGTAAGTTCATTATATATCGTTCAATAATTTGTTGCTTATAATGTTTTGCGAATGTATTTCCATAAACTCATCAAACGTACATCTTTGATAAATTTCGAGTGACAAGATTAATTTCAAGATTTTGAGGTGACAAGATTAATTTCAAGATTTACTTGACGGGCACTGTCTTGAAAGTCTTGTCACTCATTGTGAAGAAAAAGATAAATAAAATTACCAATACTTCAAAATATCTTTAAAACTCAAAACATGCAACATTGCTTTGAACCATGGAATATGATAATAAAGGAAGAAGTACCAAATATTCATTTGCCTCAACTGCTCATCCTCAAGTTTAGAAGAAGAAAATAGCAACAGTTTCCAATATAAGAAGAAGTACCAAATATTCATTTGCATCAACTGCTCATCCTCAAGTTTAGAAGAAGAAAATAGCAACAGTTTCCAATACACGTTACTGGCTTCTGAATTGATAAGGTGATATTTCAAGGAATGGTGCTCTCCCTTTGAGAGATGGGAAAAAATGTTCAAGTGACGGTGCTAACTTCTTATGTGATGTTGTTGACATTTCAAGGAATAGTGCTGACACTTAAAGAAATGAGAACATGTCAAGGAATAGAGTTGATGCCATCAGTGATGCTTAGTTGTTCATTTTAAGGAATAATTGTTCATTTTAAGGAACAGGGATGATGATGACACTTCAGCAAAGGTGAGAAAATCTCATCTAGCAGTGCTCATGCCTTCAGTGATAGTCCTGATAATTCAAGTTGAGGTAGCAATATATTAAAAGGGATTGTGGTAATGATTCAAGAATTGAGGTTGATGCTTTCAGTGAGGCTTGCCACATTTTAAGAAACAAGGATGATGCTGAGACTTGAGGAAATCCCAATGCATAGTGATGGCGTGCATAGTGATGGCACTTCAAGTTTAGCAAGCAACATTTGAAGGAATGGTTGTAATGTTTCAAAGCTAGTTTCTTAGGTGACATCGGTGACATAATTTATTTTAAGAAATAATGGGGGACTTTTTAAGGAATAGCGGTGACACTTCCTATCAAGACAACAAAAACATTCATTTGCTCCAGTGACATTTATGCTAATCCTTCATTTCAGAAGAAAGATGAAAAAATATTCAAGTGATAATGCTAGCTTCTTTTCTCAAGTAATACTAGTGACATTTCAAGGAATGGTGCTTACACTTTGACAACAAACAACAAACAAACAACATTTGTATACCGGCCAGTATTAATCCCCGCCAGGGGGGTTGACCGGTCCATGAATTTTTCCACTTACACATTGAGAAATGAAAAAATCTTCAATGAATGGTGTTGAAATCATAAGAGATGTTGATGTCATTTTAAGGAATGGTGCTAACATTTTGAAAGAAGAAGAGATCTTTAAGGGATGGTGCTGGCTTTTTAAGTAATGCGAGTGACATTTCAAAGGATGATCTGAGTTCTTATGGTAGTGTTCATGCTTTCATTCTTGAAATTTGAAGTCAAGGTAGCAATATAGTCAAAGGGATTGCTGTAATGATTCAAGAAATGAGGCCGGTGCCTTCAGTGATGTGTTTGCCACACTTTGAGGAACAAGGATGATGCTGACACTTCAGGAGAAATGAGAAAATTCCAATGAAGAGTGATGACATTTCAAGAAATGGTGCTGACTTCTTAAGTAATGTTTGTGACATTTTGAGGGATGGTCTGAGTTCTTATGAAAGTGTTCATGCCTTCAGTCCAGAAATTTGAAGTCAAAGTAGCAATGTAGAGGAAGGAATTGTGGTAATGATTCAAGAAACGAGGCTGATGCCCTCAGTAATGTTTGTCACAATTTGTAGAGCAATGATGCTGACACTTGAAGAATGTGAAAATTCCAATGAAGAGTGATGATATTTCAAGTTAAATTAGTGATATTTGAAGGGATGATGGCAATGTTTCAAGGAACATTGCTGGTTCCTTAGGTGATGTTGGTTACATTTTAATTTAAGAAATAATGGTGACTTCATAAGGAATATTGGTGACATTTCAAGTAATTGTAGCACTGTTTAAAAGAATAGTGGCAATGTTTTAGGAATGAAACTGACTGCTAAAGTGATGTTGGCAACCATGCAAGAGATGATGAGAACATTTTGAAGGAAGAATAAAAAACGTAAGGTGGCGATATAGCCAGCCTGCAAGTTTGGTTATGCTACCATGTAAATTTCAAAACATTATCATCAAGTAATGGCATCGTGCTGTTTAAAACAATGGCAATGCTGTTTCAAAGAATAGCAGGGATAGTACTGACATTACAAACAATCATAACACTATTTAAAAGAATGGTTGAGATGTTTCAAGGAATAGCAGGGATAGTGCTGACATTACAAACAATCATAACACAATTTACAAGACTGGTGGTGATATTTCAAAGAAAAGCAGGGACAGCACTGCTATTTCAAACAGTCATAACACTATTTAAAAGAATGGCTGAGATGTTTCAAGGAATAGCAGAGACAGCGCTGACATTTCAAACAATCATAGCACTATTTAAAAGGATGGTGGAATGTGGCAATGTTTTAAAGAATTGCATTGATATTTGATCATGTTTCAGAGAATGGTGCAAATATTTCAACACGATCACATTTTGCAAAACATTATAGTAATATTTTTCAGGACATGATCACTCTATATGGTACTATATATGTTAACCAACATGGTCACTACAAATATTGAGCCATTTCTAAAAGGCATTATGAATGATATGTCCTTGAAAAAATTGGCCTGATGAAATAGATCAATTAAATCATACCTGAGCACAAGTTAGACCATACTGACTGAACATTGCTTCATATAAGGAAAGAAGTCCACCTTGACCAACAGCAGCACAGGCCCTTGGTTCAAGTTGAGGCATTAGGTTTCCCTAAAAGAGCAAAAATCATACAAAAGTTATAAATCTTGAGAAACCAATGAAACAGAACATGAATCAATAATGTGCACCTTTAAACGGTCATTTGGTCGTAATGACTGCCTCATGCTACGTGATAACAATAATTCATGTCGTAATCGCTGTTTCCCAAAGGCAACAGCACCACTTGTTACCAACATCATTTCGTGGCCCAATTGCTGTAATTCTGATATCTTTAAAAGAAAACAAGAAGAAAATCAAGTGAATGACAAAGAAAAGGTCTAAAGACATTTTCATTAGCCAAACAAGACAGAGTATACTTATAGTTCAGCAAATATGACAAGTGAAATTTATTACAAGTGTGTGGTACATAAATTACCATTTACCAATTGTAAACCAAATTCAATGCTGCTTTTACATGAATCACCATATATTAATACAGAAAACAATATTGGATAAATGCTACCGAAAGGAGGCATGGTGTTCATTCACCAATATGCAATATCATGGTGTTTCGAGGTAGATCTGTTGAAACAATTAAATCTTCTGCTACAAGATAACGTCAACAAAACTATGACGTTGCATTGTAATTTCAATCACTGTTTGACATTCGACAACACTCCGGTGTTAAGATACATGTCAATATAGTTTCATGAAGGGTACTTATGGTCCATTAAATTATATTCATTCTAATTCACAAGTCATGATATGTTACCTGCTCCACAATGGAGGCTAATCTACCGAGGGCAACACCACACTCGTCTTCGCGTGTAATCACGGCTGAGCCAAGCTTAACCATAACTCTTTTCATATTTTTCAACTCGGCACGATGCAGGGCCGCCTTTCTTCCAGTGTGAAAATCATCAAAACTCGTCAGGCCGTTACCATTTGAGTTTACAAATCGTGAGCATTGGAAGACATACGGACTTTTGAAGACAAAGCGAGCTTTAAAGCAAGCCCGACTTCTAATCACATACATGTCTGAAGAGGTTATGAATAGCTTAGCATCGTTTAAGTATAACACCACAAATTAAAGCACTAAATAATACAATATATAACGTTTTACTTTCGACGAAGCAAGGGATAAAAAGACCTTGTTCTATCATGACTCTTTGTTTTTGTAAAATGTTAATAATTTAACCAAGTTGATAACGACGTTTCTGATTGGTCGACAGTTAAATGGGGTTGATACTTTTGAGTGATTCATCATCATTGACCGAAATTATCCAATCACAAAGAAACAGCCCTCACGTAGTAAAATGGCAACCAATACTGTAACACGCTGGAATTTTCCCAACGAAATTAATTATTTGGGGATTTGATGGAATAGTTATGAAATGGCATGGATCAATTTCAATACAAGTTGGGAAACTTTAATACTATACGTGACGCTGTTTCACTTGACCAACAGCCCCTTGCTATCGCGTTATAAAGCCTTATCTAGTTATCTTTGATAATTGTAATGATCCATTCAAAAAGGGAGACTGGTTGTCCATTTCTAATACGGCATATTTATTTTAAGCTAGTTTCTTCATAAAAGATAATTAAATGATGACAGAGAAAGCGCCGGGGGGCAAAGTACAGGAGATAATAGTATATAAAATAATTGCTTTTAATGTGGCTGAGCAGGGGAGAGTGAAAAACGTGCAAGACCTTAGCACAAATTTACCCAATCATAAAGAAACAGCCCTCACGTAGTAAACTGGCACTGATACTGCGACACGCAGGAATTTTCCAAAATATGAGAGAAAATAGCATATAATGTAATTGCTGCTAATGTGGCCGAGCAGGGGAGAGTGAAAAACGTTCAATACCTTAGCACAATTTTTCCACCCAAAGAACTTTATTCAATTATCCTATGACCTACATATGATCGATCGTATCGTACGAAGTACGAAGTTTTTATTAGATCGGCAAGAAAACATTTCCAAACCTACGGGGCATTGTTTTACGAACTGAACATGAAGACAGTGTGGTGGAAGAGATTCATGAACTATTGGATTTCATCATTGAGGGAAAGAAGGGTAATTATAACCTCGCAATTAAATGGAAGTTTGGAATTATGTATGGAGAAGGTTAAGAAGGCAATGAAGTGGGAGCTTTTTGATTGGGAAAGGAAGATGGTTGAAACTACCAACTGTTTTGAACATGAAAAAAGACGCAATCACGCATATCAGTTGCATTACATCATGGTAAAACAACAAAACCAAGTCTTCGTTTTACAAAGAAAAAAGTTCGATTTTCTCAAAACAATAAACGATCAAAGCAATAATAGATCTAACATGTGAAGTGAATGTGTATTTCTAACTATGCATACATCGTTATGAAGGAGAATAAGCCTGCGATCATTTGGGCATTCTCGTCGCCACTGTAATAAGATATGGCCTCTAATGTATGTACATTCAACAAAACTCCATTCTTCGCTCCCAAGGATTTATGTTTTCCTTGTAATCGTCCCTTTGTCTTTATCAGTACACGTTGAACTACGTGTCTTCTGATCCACCCTTGAAATTAGCCAGGTATTTTCAACAAGTGTCTTTGAATTAAAGTTCCACTTCGTAGATATTAAACTTTACACTAAAGTTCCACTCGTATGAAGAAACCTTGTACCACGTTGACTAACTTTAGAGTTTGCTTCGTTCATATCCAAGTATATATAACCTCAATAAAAGTCAATATAATCCAAACAGGTTACTTTTCGTTATCAAAAAAACTGAACAAAACAAAAGTTACATTCGTTTCAAAGACTTTTGACGATGCAAACATCGAAGCTTTACGATGCTCGAAAATCATTCGAAATTGTCCAACACGTTTAAGTTTTGTCTACTCTTGTTCCAAATTGTAGTCGAAGCTGCATTGTCTCTTTTCTAGAGCTTTGAGGATGCCATTTAGCTGAGGACTGGTTTGTTCTGCACGTTTTGATGTACGTTTTCATGTGTTTGCAATAGTGCTTTTTCATCGAAATCGTGTTCAGTGTGCTCAAATACACTTGAGCAAGTAGACACGTCGCTTGGACTTGATGGCTCTACATGATGATTCTGTACATTGATTGGTTGCATTGGTGAGATTAGATCTCCCACGTCAACGTATTCCTGTTTGTAAATAAGATGTCAAAAGTTCATCATTTGTTGACCAAACGTGACAAGCATAAAAGAAGAACCTAAGTATAGAATTATGGTATACCTCGCTGGTCATTTTGGATAACATACTGTCCAATTGCTGCACGAGATCAGTGAATGTTGGACGAATGTAAGGTTCTTCATTCCAACATCGTAATAACATATTGTAACTACAGTTAAAATAATTTGATTAAAGAAATTTTCATATTTACTGCTCACATGATCTTGCATTATGTGGAAAGTAAAAACTTACAATTCTTCTGGGCAATTTACTGGCTGTTCCATTCTGAAGCCATTTTCCAAAAGTTCAAAAAGATTTTCTAGTGGAATGCCCGGATATGGAGTGCCACCTGAATGATGCAAAGTATTATTAATAACGTATATTAAGTCAACAAGTGGCTAAACTCTCGAAAACCATTTTAAAATATTACCAAAAGTTACGATTTCCCACACAACAACACCAAAAGACCATCTAATGAATATAGAATGAGAAAATGGTTTGTACAAAACCACAACGAGAAACATTGCATATGCAGGGGACTGAACAGATTTCAGGTAGCACGGACGCCAATCAGTTTTATGATAAAAGAACTTACACATCGCTTTGTGAAGTGTAAACCCGATCAAATAGTGCTTCCAAAGCCATCCATTTCACAGGAAGTCGGCCCTGTTGCAAAAATGTTTTCATATTCTTAAAAATTATTTATCAGGATTAATGGCACAATTTCACAGAATACATACGTCAGTGGTTTTGCGGTAATAGTCAATCTGATGAATGTCGCGCGCTAAACCAAAGTCCGCAATTTTCATTACTCTATCTTCACCAACTAAAATATTCCTGGCAGCAAGATCGCGATGAATACACTACAAAATTATTGGTGGTGTAAGGATAAATCATCACACCAATGCTTGTATAGCTGTACAGTGATATAGTTCAATCTAAAGCTACCTTCCTTCCTGACAAATATTCCATTCCACGAGCAATTTGATAACTGAAGGAGACGAAATCCCTAAAGCACAACTTTTCTTCTCCTTCTATTGGAATGGTCTCTCCGTTTCGGTCAGGTCTTCTTTCACGAAGATATTCTCGTAAATTGCCGAAAGGTGCGTATTCGACAACCACCAGTAGCGGTCCTGTGAATCAACGAACGATTATGAGAATTTATAGAAAGTAAATCAACGAAGAAGGAGTATCGAACGCTAAGAATCGTCCCACAAACATAAATTTAGGAGAAGGAAAGTTGTGTATAATCAGACTCACTAAGAAGACTCAGAGAAAAACCTTTTTTTGGCAAATTGTTTCTTGGGGAAATATAGGGTGTATGCTACTCATAAGTTAAAGTCTGATGAACGAAATCAATGTCAATATCTCAATGAAAGAACCAATAAAAAATCTTAATTCAAGATTGTACCACTCAGCATTTTAAGCACAGAACACTAACTAAACCAATAGTTTTAAAAGAACTGTTAATGAGACTAAACGACATGATGCATTTCGGCAGACTACAAGTCGGAACTATTAACTTATTACTCACCATTTTGTGTGCAACACCCAATAACATTATTAATATTCTTATGGCGACCAATAGATTTCATCACCTCTGCTTCTGAGATGAGATCCATTAACTCTGCCTCGGTAGCGTCGTCTAGGGTGAACATATTGACAAACATGAATATCCTGTCCTTTTAGTCAAATTTTGTTTTTTGAAATCCTTTGACACAAAGTCAAATTAAGTACAAAGCTAACCTTTCAAAGTCTTCACGGCAACAATAGTCTTTCCGAAGTTCTGTTTGCCAACACCGAAAGCCTCGGCTTTTAGCACCTTACCAAAAGCACCCTCGCCTATTACTTGCAAAAGATTCAAATTTTCTCGATTGATTTCCCATCTGGGGTCAAATTGCATCACCATTTCGCTGACCTACATGGATGAAACATTGTTTATAGTGCCCAATGCACTCATAATGATGGGCTGTTGTTTATTTTGCATCGATCTAAGAAGACTTGAACATGCAGCAATCATACAATAGTCAAGAGATATCATATATAAATAGATACAATAGTCATAGAAGTAGCTTTTGGCCTAAGCATATGTCTCATAGTGTTTCCTTTTAATTTAGAAGCATAGTTTATGCGTGTAAGCATGTAGCTAGTAGGTATTCTCAACATTCAGAGACTTTCAAAATCATCAGGGATGATACTTACGTCTGACAAACCCGAGTCAAGTCTTCGAAAACGCTGATTGTTCAACAGCGGATTCGTCGAGCTAGTCGACACAGATGATGAAGTAGAGCTCAACAGGTCTCTCTCCTTTCGTGGATAATTTCGAGGGTGATAGCCGGCAACGCTAAACACGCGTTTCTTGTGTTTCTTGCATTTGAATATTAGTAAGTAGGCAAAAATTGAGCCTATGACAAGAACGATGGCAGCCACGGATACAACAATGTAAAGGGAAATTCTTGAACTCTGAACTGATTCGTCCTTCTCAACTGGTTGTTGCTGGAGCATACTGATGGTGCTGGAAAAAGTCTGGTTTGCTGTAAAAAGAAATGTGTGTAAACAAATATTGTTGCGAACCTTGTTCTCGAAAATAGCTACAGTCAAACACAGTCTTTGTCAGAAAATCACGTGTCATATGTAGATCACGTGTCAATGATAACACCTTTTTTATGGAAATAATCGTGGAAGTGAGATTAAAATCCATTGCTCTTAAAATTTCAAATAAAGTAAAAATCTCTACTATGGCAGTTGCCCAGAACACGTGGAAAAGTTTTTTCGCTATTCGTAAAAATTATTGCAGTTTTTTCAGAGTTTTGTTGCTCCTTGTAAAAACAATGCGTTGATTGGTGTCAGAGTGTTACATATATATATATGTTATTTACCCGCTGGGAGGTTCGGATGGAAAAATATTTTCCCGAGGTCTGTAAAAAAGCCCGTGGCCGCAGGCTGAGAGATATTTTTGAGACCGAGGGGAGATATTTTTCCATCCGAGCAAATCTAAATGGCAAATAACGTATATATTTTTGCTGAAGTAAACAATGAAAACTTTGCTCTTCATTTTACTTGAGAAAACTTAAAATTCATCTAAAATAGATTATTGTAATCAAAAGATGGCTTATAATTTCCTTTCGGAGTAAAACAAAACCAAACAAAACAGAAAAAGTCTTCGCTCAAGTATTTAGCAAGAGGATTCCAGACAGCGTTCAGATATCGTAAAATCCCGCTGGCCGCTACAGCCACTGAGACTACAGGAAAAGCTAGGATTCCGCTCGCTGCTAAATTTTAAAAAAACAAAAGGATTTTATCCATATCGCTGTTAAATTCAGCTAGTAACTTGATTAACAGTCGAAATAAAGTTAATGAAACCATTCGACTAGACAATAAGCTCATGCAATGGTTGCGGAACTGCGTCAATGGTTTTATATGAGCGAAAAATAAAACATAAAAACGCACTCACCTGACATGGAGACTGGCGTCATAGGTCTTGGTATAACGTGGAGGTAGAATCTTGTTTTATCATAACCCCAGTTATTGCCAACGACACAATAATAGTACCTTTCGTCTTTTTTGGTTACGTTAATGAAGAGAATATGCACACCATGATATCGTTTATTTTTACCTTTCCATATAAATTCGTCTTTGCTCAAGTTGGGATCCAGGACACGTACAGTTGCATTTTCTCCTTCGACGACAGCCCACTGAAAGTGCGGCAGACTATCGCAAAAAGCTTTACAAGTTGCCTTCACGTTGTCACCTTCATATGCAGTGATGTTCTTCATTTGCGTAATTATAGGCTTTGTTATGAAGACTTCTGAAAAATTGATTTTAGCATGCTTTTTGTAAGCGATTTTTAAAAAAATAGGAAGAAAATTAAAGAAAGAATTGATATATATTAAAGCATTTGACATAGCAATTTTTTTGGTGAAAGTCTCTAGATACCGATGTTATATGCTTGGTAAATAAGTCAATTAATATTCGGAAAAGGATGTAAAAAAACAGGTCCATTTTACTACATAAATTAAAAAACGTGAAAAATGCTTTGGTGATGTTATCTGCAAGATTTAATTTCTATCAGTAACTTAGAAAGTAATTCAACCCAGAAATTTAGCATTCAAATAAACTCATGCGCCTTTATTTTGTATAATGGTCACTAAAGAAAGTGTGCTATCCTGCATGCTGCCCAAAGTACCCTCAAATTTTGCAATTTCAGGCTGTAATTATTCATAGAAGGACTGAGGAGAGTGAATTTCACTAAATTTCATCAACCACAATTCAAAAATTGAAGATGGCGTCCAAAGATCAACCAGCAATTTTAAAGATTTGAAAAGCAATTCGAGTTTGGGCGCATAGTTTTCTTGGGAACTTTTTTTATGGGTGTATGCTAAGAGGAAAAGTACAAAATTGTAAAAATTTTCCGTTTCTTAGATGTGTACACGAAACAAAACAATTTGGTTTCATGGCCACGGCCTATCTGAAAGGAAAAGCATAAAACGAACGTTTTTTTGAGTAACTACCTTTTGCAAGTACTGTGTATGTTGTTGAGATATTTCCCACTCTGTTCCATACAAAACAACGGTAAGATCCGTCGTGTTTTGGATTTACATCGTGAAATATCAATACTTGTGTATCGTTCGCTAGAGGGGTTTTTCCATCCGGCATGTACGACATAAGTTGACCGTTTTTGTACCATTTCACCTTTGGTGAAGGTCTTCCATTAGCTTCACAGTTCATTGAAAACCGTTTTCCAACAGGAAAGTACTTGTATTTCTTTTCTATCAATTTCGGAAATAGAAAAACGGGTGCAAAATCTATGAAAATTTAGAGAGAGCAATGAATGTCAACAAAAGAGAGGTATGTCGTTATGATAGCCACTCCAGATTCTGAATACTCGATATTATAGGATTGCCCTTCTTGCACACGAAATTTAAGCAATTTTACAACATTTTTAATCTCCAATCCTAAGAAAAACTGATTGTACAGTCAGGCTAAGTCACTAAGGCAACAGAAAATCATAAGACTCTCGGCAGCTTCCGCTTTTACAGTCTAAGTTGTTATTAAATAGTGGCAATGAATGTTTTTGGCACTTACCTCCAGTGATCTTGTCTACACGTGAGCCTCAAAAAAGATAAACATAATAAGAAAACAGGGAAGCACAAACTACAAGTCTTTGCCAGAACTTTTTCAAAAAGAAAACCAGAAAATACAAATCACAAGAAAGTTGAAGGTCAAGGATCGAAGGCATTTAAACACTTACCCACGACAACAACGTTTATTATTCTGCTCACTTCTCCCGCCTTGTTTCTTGCCCAGCAAACGTATTCACCAGCGTCAGTCCATGTGATCTTTTTTATTCTCAGATATCTATTCTTCTTGTAACGATATTTTTTGCTATTCGTTATGCGTTTCCCTTCTCGTGTGAACCAGTAGTCGTTGTCCTCAACACTGAGCACGTTACAGAGAATCTTTCCCTTGCGAGACTCGTTTTCAACTTCGACCTTTGTGATGTTCGTTGTGAACGATGGAAGTTTCTTACTATTGGCTAAAATTGTTTTGAAAAAGATCGTCATTTCCACTAATTTCAATAATTCCAATAATAATCAAAAAATTCAGTAATACAGAAGGAAAGACCGTCGTAAGATTAGCTGGATTGTAGAATTGTGTCGCAAAATTTAGTAATTCATATTAATTTGCTGGTGAATTTCTCATTATTTAGTATTACCAAGAAAAATACCATAGTACTTGGCCACTTTGTGCGATAAAACCAAACATACTAAAATTGGGAATTTGAACTACCAATAGAGCAGCTGTATATAAGTAGCCAAGGCTGATTTACATGCAGCTGCATTTTACGCTATATAGCGCAAAATGCTCGCACTATTATTGAATGACGCATGCGCCTCTGTGTGAAGGTCAGTAGTACTTGTGTGCTCTCGAGCAGCTCTAGAGCAACGCGACAAAGTTGAATTCATTCTACTTTTAAGTGCGTTGTTTGGCTCTCAAACTGCAGCCTTCAAAATCACTGCAATAATGCGGTGATTTTCTCATTAAAATCACTGATTTGATAGGAGTCCTATTCCTTCTTCTTCGACGAAGTAAATAAATAGAAATTACGGTGTTTTTTATGCTGCTGGAGAAGTAACTATCTTTTGTTGACATCAGCCATGTCTTTTTTCAACAAAAAGCGTAAAAAGCCTTCACAATTATGATCAACATGCGCCCGAGCATTTTTCTCACGCTGTTTATTTCTTCACACGACATAATTTTGGATAATAACCATACACCAACCATGATCACACCCTTTTGGCAATAATGGAACAACCAATCAATCAAGCAAAGGTTTAAAAAAACCCGGAAATTAAAGCAACCGGGCTGCTGGACAGATGCTCTTTTTATTATAAAGGATAAATAATAATTCTGTGTGTTTCAAATAATGATCTACTTATTTTTCAAATGCTACGACCCGCAAACGCCTATTTCTGAAACGAATCATACATCAAAGTGAGGAACGGAGGAGTACATGCTACCGTTACATCTGTTTTTTAGCATTTGAGATATCGTGTATGACATTGTCCATATGTTTGACAACTTCTATAGAGCGTCCTTAACTTCACAAACATGAGTCAAAGCAGGGCCAGATGTAGAAAACTGTCCTCACCGCCGACTCATTCGGAAATCATGACCACGCAAACTCCTAGCTTGGGGTCATTATAAAGTACTTAAAACAGCGCGCACGGATCAAAACACTTGATTTTTGATTAAATTTGTTTTTCTCACACCGTGCACAATTTCATTAGTTTTCGGCTCATTATTTCGAAATATGAACAAGAAAATGTAACTTGCTTGCCTTTTAAAAGTCGTACAAAGCTACATCCTGAGTTCATACTTCTTTCCGTTTGAGATAAATAAAAACAACTGCAGGGCATGAAGAAGAGTAATGCGAGAAACTTTTCACCTCGACAGCTTAATTCGTTCTGACATGACTGCAGCTTAAGCCAATATATTTATTGAACTTAAAAGATATTACTATAGCAATATTATAAAATCATTATTTCGCTCAATGACTCCTTTAATTTCAAAGAAGATGGGAAATTTCGTGCAGTCTTGAAAATCTCGTCCAGTAGTGTAGCAGTCCAAGGCTAGGTAAATAAATCATAGCAGCTCTTATTATATTCAAATCACAACAATGCCATTGGTTGTGAATTTCCAAAGAATATAATCTTGCCAATCAAATTGCTTATAAATGGTTTGGAAATGTAAATCAAAAATGAGCTATTGTAATGTATTATGCCTCACCCAAGATTCCCCCCTGCATGGTCTCGTTGAATATATAAAAAATAATGTTTACCCAAAGCCATAAGAAAGAACGAGATCTGAGTATTAATGAAATAATACATGATGTAGGCAGTTTATATAACCTATACAAATGTTGTAATATTTGCGGAAAACCTTCAGCTATAAAAACGAAGCCACTTCATTCGCAATAACAAAGACATTTAAGAAGTTCAAGTGTACACGTCTACACAATTTATAGCATGCGTATGCCGTATAACCTTCATTGTGGAAACAGACTAAAGAGTTTTCAGCTAGGTTTTTAACCTTTCTACATTCGAAACAATTAAGAAAACGCTGTAATGTAAAAACGTCGAAAAACACACCAATTATTCCACATTTTTAAATTTGTTTAACATTAACGAAGGGAGGCAACCATTTGATAGATAATGACATTCACTTTACACAATTGGTATTGCGGTACAGTGATTCCGGCCACAAGAATTTGGTATTTCCGTACATCAACGGTGCTCTATTATGAAACACGCTCAACAAATAACTGCAGTATACCAATCGCTGGAGTTACTCCCTCATTAATCGTTTGTTTGTGCTATCGGTTTGCAATAAACAAACTCCGGAGAGCGGCAATCACATCTGCATAGAAGAGCGTCCCCGCCACACTGCTAAATATTATTCATTAACCTCGAAATATAGATGACATTTGCGAAACGTGTCGACTTGACAGGCTGCGCAATTATTTTATGAAGATCTTGATTGAATTTTTCACCGAATTTTAGAACCTGTGATAAGCCTCTAAAGTGTTTGCCCCAAGATCAAGCAGAGATTTAAAATAGCAAATTCCTGTCAAAATGTGCTTGATAATTCATCCGTTTGATGGCAACTCTGCTGTCCACAGAAATAGGAACTCGCTTATACATACCTGAATTTATCACCATTGTCAGGGACACGAAAAACAAGAGATTAAAAAAAACTCGAGACTCGAACATTCTGCTACGAAGTTGCATTCGCCCAACGTACAAATCTCACAGCACGATTAAGTTATGAATATCACAGCTGTTTGATTGAAAGCAGCTATAGGATGCAGTCTACGCTTAATGTTCACAACAAGTCAGCACCAATCTGTCTAGGAAAAGTACAGGAACGTGATTAGATCGGATGTGACATTGATATTATTATGAACAGATTTCCTTTACATACGAACGCAATATGACATGTATACAGAACATGCACTGAAGTATAGCAACTAGCTATTATTAGCCTTTGATATGAGTATTCAGTGTCTGTTTTATTTCTTTATTGTATGTTAATTGTTCGAGCATTTACCGTTTGGCATTCTTGCCGTATCGCTGCACACATTCTCCCATGGAAGCCGAAGTGCAAATTTAAGAGATATGGAATGAACGCATTGTAATATACACGAAATAACTTATCTGCTATAGTATCATAATGAAAATGAAATCGTGCATGGTAGACAGCATTTAAATTGAATTTCATTCACGAATCACAACGATATATTTTCGTTTATCAAATTCTTCACTCTTATCATAACAGCTCAGCACGATTCTTCCGAATAACTTATTGAAAGACAACAGTAAATAACATTCTAACCGTATACAACCAATTTCAGTTTCAAAGAAGGATGTACCAAAAAGGATAAAAGCCACTTAGGATATAGTTTTCGGCTCTGGGCTAAAGATACCATTGTTCAAACGCAGTATCAAATGCAACATGTACACATAACTTTCACACGTCTTATCTTTATCAGTTATTCAGCGCGCGTCAATCAGGACTAAGAATAGCACATATACAATCATTTGCATTGGGAAAAAGACATAGTCCATAGTTCTTGTCGAAACACGCAAAGCTTTCAATTTCAAAATACAACTTGTTCAAGCGGTAGCATATATGTATTTAAACGGTGACAATTTAGCCAGCTGATACTTTCTTGTTATAAATGTACAGGAATATGGGAATTCGAAAAATCCTCCATCCGAGAAATCATGCTCGAGTGATAAGTTAAGTGACTGGATCGATCAGTGGTGATGATATTTCAATATTTTAGGCCATGAAAACATGTATTTAGTACAAAATTTAACAAAATAGTTCACTGTGCGCGATGAAAGGTATAATCAAACACAAGCAAAGAATGTTATTTCTATCCAACAGACTTAAGAACTTGTAAGTTGCCATGACGTACTCTCGTTAGCTATAGACGTACGTATCTTAGTTTGTTTATACGTGAAGTGCCTTATAAAGCATTGTTGTTGAGCCTCTTGTTGTCGGTTTTGAAATAGGAGCGAAAATATGTTGTAATTGATTTATTGACAATATCAATGCATTTTATCGTGCCATTAGGTTAAAGAGCATAACGCAAAAAAATTTGTTAGCGGCATTTCGACGTTTGGATAAAGCAGGAACGATCGTATCAACAGAAGATTTGCTACACAGAATCCTGTTAAAGAAGTTTCAAATAACGGAGAAATTGCTTGCCTAGCGACATGATTATATATAGCTATACGGCTTATTCTCAATATAGATACATATTACTAAATTCAATTTCAGAGTGCAATATCCTTTTCTATAATCCGGTATATATTATGAGCACCTAACACAACACATGCAAAATCTGTGGTACGACGTTAAAAAGACAATTAGATGTTCATGTTTACAAAAGAAAAGAATTTTGAACTACGACACGACAACAATTTACTTTTGCCCCCAAGTATTCATTGCAGTAGCTTTATACGATTACAGGATTTGGGTCGAAACATATAACTATGAACATACGCATGATACTGATATTGAAAAACCCAAAACCATGCCAGTACGCTCTTACATTTGTTAGGTTCGGAATGACTAAGTGATTTACTGATAGACTCTATGCTAAGCTTGGGTCGTACGCAGTAAGCCTAGCGTGGCGGCAATAAACATATATACACACGTCTTTCACATACCAAAACATCTTCAACTGAGCAATGATGTTCAAGTTCCTTCCTTTCGTCGAAACTTTTCAAACTTTCACATATACAAATCGTTTAGCAAGATCCGCTTCACATGCACTCTAAGGGATTAAAGTCTTTATGTGTGCGATCAAATAATGGCCAAATAAAATATGTAAAATTAACACGCTGCGGGATAGCTTCTGTGGTATTTGACATTCTTTATTAGTTTAATTGCTATATACTCATGACGTCAGAAAAACGATTAATTGCTTGCACTAATTTTGTGCATAGCATTTGTCAATGACAGGAATTTTTACTTCGAAATAACTTTGAAGTACAAAGTAACTATTACGGATGTTGCAAGTGATCCTGCCTGGACAACGTCGTGGCATATGACCGAAGTGGTTTGTTAACTACATGTAGTGCGAACGGGTCGTTTAGTTCATGATGTATCTTTCAACTGGAAACGTTGACGGCATGCAGTTTTAAAACTTATCACACACATTTGATATGTGAAATATTTTCACTGGTTTGAAAGCCGTTAACTTGAATACTTTCCCTATCGATGTCTCGATTCTAAATGACGCAAGTAATGAGTTTAAAAAACTCACAAAACTTGATAATAAAGAACAAAATATCTACTTATGAATTTAAGTCTGGTAAAATTTACCAGACTTCAAATGATATACAGATATTTTGTTCTCAGGAGTCTCTAGATCGTCAAATTTGAATGACGAATCTATGCAAGTCTTTAGCGTCTTATTTCAATGAGTAGCTGACACAGTCTCAGTAGATGTTACTCTGTGGTGACTGACGTAACTGTCGAAGAGGTGATAACTGGTACAATCCTTGTAGATGTGGTAACTGCTATGAAGTCAGCACCTCTAGCAGTAGCAGTTTCACCACATTTAACACTATACGTAGCTAGCTACACAATGTAATGAGAGAAAAAGCCTACAATTCTATGTTAGAAGCCATAAATCCTATTTACATCATTTCATCCAATTGTTTGCTGAAGGTTGGTTCTAAATGTTTACTAGTTCTTTGTTCACCAAAGATTAGTTGATATATACGCTAGTCCCTATCCTAAACCTAACCAACTAACCTTTGACGGTTGACGTCCATTTATACTTCAGGCAGCTCGGCTTCTCATTCTATCAATAGCTACTTAACAAATATGCTTTTTATCATAGTCTCTTTTAAGTAACATTCAACATTCTACGTCGGCTGCAACTGGAATGCTCAACGTAATCTCACAAATTTCTTCATATGACGTAGGATCAGAATTAGGATTTGTGTTTTGACTTTCATCTTCATCGAAAGCTTTTTCCATGTGTGAAAATACACTTGAGCAAGTGGATTCAACACTTGGACTTGATGGCTCTTGAAGCGGAGTTTCCTGTGGCTGCATTGGGCCAACGAGCTCTCCAATGTCAAGATATTGCTGTTGTTAAAGAAAATGCCCATTGTCAGTTGTTTCATAAATTAAAGTTATGACACGTTTGGTAAAAAAACGATTGACGATCACAGACCTCACGCTGTCAAAAACGGTTTGGTGCCAAAAATCAAATCTCTTGAAATGGAAGCCATCTTGGATTACAATTCCCCGATCCCGAAGTAATAGTATTGTCCGAATAGATTTTTAATTTTGGGTTGAAGAGATTACAAATTTTTGTAATCTAGCTAATATGACTTCGAGCTTTCCACCCGTAAAACTAATTCTGGATTTTTGGCTTCAAACCATTGCAACATTTTATGCTTAAGGAAACATACCTCGTCGGTCATTTTGGACAGCATATCGTCCAGTTCTTCAACGAGTTCAGTGAATGTTGGACGATCGTAAGGCTCTTCATTCCAACATTTCATCAGCAAGTCGTAACTGGAATGAAAAAAAATGTAGAACTTCAAGTATTTTACGTCGAACCGTTGATTATGGCGAGTGTCAACGTACAGTTCTTGTGGACAATTTACAGGCGGCTCCATTCTGTAGCCATTTTTCAAAAAATCAAAAAGTTGTTCGAGCGGTATGCTTGGATACGGAGTGCCACCTAAATATAAATTATTTTTGTAAAACAACGACTTAGTTGTGGTTAAAAACTTTAGTACTGCTCTGAATATCTTGAAATTGAGTAGTTCTTGAATACTTGAAATTGAGTAGTTCTTAAAGGGCATATGACTTAAAAATTTTACTACTTAAATTATAGTTTCATTTAACAGAACTTTGAAAATGACAGTGTACTTTCTAAAACAGTTTGTGCATACATCTTTTCATTCTCAAAATATTTAGGTTTTTGTGATGTTCTATCCATACAACTTTCTACGTCATTTTGCATAATGAGAATTTGAAGTAGCAGGTATATTTGCCGATATATTATCTCAACTGAGCAGAGTTCCCTTAATTGTGAAGAGTTAATGGTATAAGCAATTGCATTATAATTTCAACGAAAAGTTGACTTGAATATAAAAGATGTTTGAAACTTTGCAGGGACGCATTATGCAAAATGACGTAGAAAGTTGTATCGATCGGACATTACAAAAGCTTCAATATTTCGAGAATGAAAAGAGATATGCACAAACTGTTTTAAAAAAATACACTGTCATTTTCAAAGTTCTGTTAAATGAAACTATAATTTAAGTAGTAAATTTTTTAAGTCGTGTGCCCTTTAAAGAACAACACTCAGATGTGATTCACCTATGACAAATACGCTATTCAAAGCAAGATGCGTAAGTTATAAGGAAGTATAAAAAAATACACCAAAAAATTCATCAATGCACCAGTTGTTCAAAAACTTACCAAAAGTTAGCATTTCCCATATAACAATGCCAAAGGACCATCTAGTAGATATGAAAAGAGAAATCTATTCAATGATTGAAATGGCAACTTCGAGAAATGATGAATGACGAATTCGTATTCATTGAGAAATAAAAGATGTTTCTGTGTTTGCACAAAGCATATGCAAACCGAAGAGACCTTCTGGAAAACTCGAAAGCTGATCAGTGCATGTCTTGCACTTGCTGGAGGGTTCTCACAAACATCTATGAGCAGAAGCGTAAATAGAACGTTAATTGGGGGGGGGGTTGCATATTCATATATTCCGTTGTGTCCTACTGATTTCTTTTGAAAGTGAATTGAATTTCAAAAGAAATCAGTAGGGCACAACTGAATATATGAATAATACACCCCCCAATTAACGCTCTAGTTACGCCTCTGTCTACGAGGTTTGCATAAGCCAGTGCAAACACGAAAAACATTTTTTATTTTTTTTTTAAAAATAAAAGTAATGCAAAACAGACTGAATTCAAACGGGGGTTTTAATTTTCGTCTGACATGTTATCACGAGTGATTTGCAATATCTCTTTGATTGGTTGAGCTAAAGCCGGATTTCCACTTGCGAATATTTTCGCGCGAAGCGATAATTTCGAGTTTATGCATGCGCAAACGTTCAACACGTCACATATACACAGCAATGAAATTCGTATAAACTGTTCGCCACGACGAAAATTTGAGTTGGATTGATTTCTACTTTTTTGCTTCGAAAAAATTCGCTAGCCAATCAGATTTCAGTGTTTCTGATGTGTGATGTTTTTCAAGCATATTCAGTTTTCAAAATGGCGGACGTTGAGGAGTTAGTTGCTCGTGAAAGACTTTCAATACTATCCAACGACTCTACTCTACAGAAGACCGACTATTTTGACTAAAGAATTTCTTACACAAAATACAAAACAAATGATGCTCATGGAAATATATTCCTAGACGTAAATACTAAGCTCTCTTAACGAGCAGACGAAATTCTCATTTTAAGTGCCGGTTCAATTTATAAACGAGTCAAACGACGTATGAAAAACCCTCTTTTAAACTTTCTTGGGAGTTCTGGCTATCACTCCAGCAATAGCAATCATAACATGCTATTTCAAAGCAGTAGCAGTTATATAGCCAGTGTTTGATTCAGCCATTTTGTATTAACATGTTTTGTATTTGGCGGCTTTATTATTACTAGTGGAAATGATATTCCCATTCGCACGAAATTTTTTGCTTCGAATTTATCGCTTCGCGCGAAAAAATTCGCAAGTGGAAGTCCGGCTTAAGTTCGGTCTTCATGCAAACACGGCTATGGACCAATCACCGAACGCGTTTTAGCTATTGTGTTTATTTTATAATTATCAATCAAAACAAATACTATATCTTATATAAATAAATTTTCAGGTATTGATATGAGCAGTTTTTAGGAAAAGAACTTACACATCGCTTTGCGTTGTGTAAACGCGCTCAAATAATGCTTCCAAGGCCATCCACTTGACTGGAAGTCGACCCTGTTTTAAAAAAGTGTTTGTAATGTGAAAACAATGTACCAAGATCAATCGAAATACATTTTTCACAAGATTACATACGTCTGTGGTCTTGCGATAGTAGTCAATCTGGTGAATATCCCTTGCTAAACCAAAGTCTGCAATTTTCATTACTCTATCTTCACTAACTAATATATTTCTGGCAGCAAGATCTCGATGAATACACTATAAAATTATTGCTGGTGTAAGGATAAATCATCACACCAATGCTTGTACCTATGCAGTGATACAGTTCAATCTAAAGCTACCTTTCTTCCTGACAAGTATTCCATTCCACGAGCAATTTGATAACTGAAGGAGATGAAATCCCTCAAACACAACTTTTCTTCTCCTTCTATTGGAATGGTGTTTCCGTTTCGGTCAGGTCTTCTTTCACGAAGATATTGTCGTAAGTTACCGAACGCTGCGAATTCAACGACTATCAATGGCGGTCCTGTAAATCAACGAGTTAGATGGCTTATTGCTAAATGACGATGTACTGCTTTGAAGTTACAGTTAACGTTTTATATACATTCAAGCACTCGTTAACTTTAGGTACTCCATAATTTTTATAAGATTTTTAATAGTTTGCTCGGCTGCTAAAACTTTACTTATGATAGATTCGTGTCGTCAGATCAAATGATGGCTTGTTTTTATATTGTATGATCTCACTAAATTTCTTTAGAAAGTTAAATTCAGACCAATTCAAAAAATCTTGTTGCAAATTTGTACCAACTCACCATTTTGAGTGCAACATCCAATCAAGTTTATGATATTTTTATGACGACCAATACACTTCATCACTTCCGCTTCAGAGATGAGATCCATCAACTCCCTCTCGGTAGCGTCATCTAATGGATACAAATTACAATTACATCCATCAATTTTGAAGATATAAGTATAACTACGTCGCAATAACTGTATATTCTATGACTCTTCCCATCATGACCTAACATTTGCCATGATATTTAAGCAATGGAGAGGAATGTCGAAATGTTGAAAACAAAAGATTAACAAAAAATTGGACTTTACCAATGGTTGTACGAAATTTAAGTGAAGCGTGAGAAATTAGTTTATTAGCATGAAAGGTGTTATTTGTTGTTGTTAGATATGTTGGAAAGGACCATCTAAAGAAAGTCCGAAATGCAACAGAGCAACTGTTGGAAGAGCTGCCCTCTCACCAGAATAGATTGTTGTTTTCTTGGTCGAGCTACAAGCTACACCAAAGTCGTTTGTATCGTTGATAATGTCTTTAAAGTCAAACCTTTTAACGTCTTCACGGCTACGATAGTCTTTCCCGAGTTCTGTTTCACCACATCAAACGCCTCGGCTTTAAGCACTTTACCAAAAGCACCTTCGCCTATCGCGTGCAAAAGATTCAAATTTTCTCGATCAATTTCCCACTCTGGATCAAGATGTATCGTCATTTCACTGATCTATTCAAAGGATAAAAAGTAGTGGTATTTTTGTGTTCAACTTTGGAAAAGTGTTTCGTTTATTGTGATACTCACGTGCGATAAATTCGAGTCTAGTCTTACATGGCGCGAACTCTTCAACAGCGGATTCGTCGAGCGATTCGAAATAGATGATGATGTAGAACTCAACATCTGTCTGCCATTCGCAGGATTGATTGGTACGCGATACGCCGCAAAGCCCTGCCTGTGTTTCCTGTGTTTTTTGCACTTGTATATTAAGAAATACAAAAACACTGATCCAACGAAAATTGCAGCAACAACACTGCATATTAAAATGATCAGTGACTTAAGTGATTTCGAAGACGATCTCTGGATCGATTCCTTGGTGTTCACTGATTCTTTCATTTCCAGTAGCCTACCACTGGTGCTGAACGACAGAAATTTTGACGAGGTTAAAGGCGTTGTGAAAATATCTGCAAATAAGCATTATTAATTTTACAAAAAGTGCAAATTTAAACCATGATTACAATAACATTTCACGTAGTACAAAACTGGCTTCGTAAGTCTTTCGATTTTTTAATTGTGCAGACTTAATCTTATTTTTTGATTTCCTGCGGTCTGATTGGCTGCGACAGCGAACGGCTACTTTTGATATCTTGATGGTGCTCCAAAAGTGTTGTTTTTTAAGCGATTTTGTTTACTATATAAATTGCAAATTTTTAAACTTTATTCAAAAGCTGCGTAAGTTTATTAAGGAGAAAGAAAATTTTTTTCAGATGGTAGTTACCATAGCGAGAGTGAATTTTATCATCTAGACGAAGTGAACTTTGTAAAAAAACAATCCAATTTTAGTCTCTACATCAAGCCACATCGGTGACTTTGCAAAGCGAATTTCTTATAAAAATAGAAAATAAATGTTATTTTTCCGTACGGTAAATAATACATAGATGCATTACTGGAGATAAATTTTTCTTAACGTTCAAAAAATCTCTTATAAGAGAATAATATACGATTTGAACTGTAAAATCATTAAAATAAAATATTGTTTCGAAGATTACAAAATTCTTTGTCGTAAGAAAAACACCTTTTTTGAGTTAACGCTATCCACGCTTCGTGCAACCGGCCCCAGATTTGAAAAATAATAACACCGAACTATCTGAACTATAATAATAACACTGAACTGTCCAAAATGTAACACGTACAGAAAAATGCACCAACCTGTTGTGGGTAACGTGGTCACTGGCTTTGGTAAAACATGCAGATAGAAAAATATTGATTCTGTGTAACTCTCTCCAAATCCATCAAGTGCTATCTCACAGTAATAATATTTTTCGTCTTCCTTAGTCACGTTATTAATTCTGAAGTTAATACCCATATATCGAGGGGTATCGCCATACCATGTGTATTCGTCATCGTCCAAATCTGGACTATAAAAAGTCTTCCGTTGCTTATTTTCACCTTTGCCGACATAAATATACCATTCAAACCATGGAGCGTAGTCACACATAGCCTTACAAGTGTTGGTCGCGTTGTCACCTTCGTACACAGTTATGTTCTCCAAAGGTAGAGGAATTGGCGTCGTTATCATCATTTCTTAAAAACATAAATTTATACAACATGAACATTGAAGGCTGGCTTAATGAACTAAATAAATAACTAAAAGGCTACCATATAATGTCTGAACTTGCATGAAGCGCAATTTTACCACGAAACACACGTGTCTGGGGGTCAAATCCCGCAATCTAGCTTATCGTTGTAAATCAACTGTATTTGGGATGTGGGGAAAAAAAGATTATGGCTGGTTTAATTGCAGGCTTTGAATGTAAGGCGGGAGGTAGCATTCCAGTTATATTCAGTTCAATGGGTTGGCTACGCCACTGGATACAACACGCCGACACTTTTAAAGCTAATACCCAGGGCATCTGAATTTATAGCGAAAAGGCTATATGCTCTGTTTTGAATGAGTGACAAACACAAGGAAACCCCATTACGTTTACTTGGTGCCATTGCCAGAAGATGATTGTCTTTTGGCAATTACTATGTTATGTTATGTGAACATGATGTTTGGTATTGTAAAGGCAAAAAATTTAAATATGATATTACAAAGAGTTTTCTATTACGTTGCAATCGCACTTCGTTCGTATTCGAAATATTTCCAGCTCTGTTCCACACGAAACACTTGTAAAATCCTTGATCTTTCATCTTTAAGTCTTTAAATTTTAACACCATTGTATGTTCTGTCAATGGGTCACCGTCTGCCGTGTATCTCATAAGTTGGTCGTCTTTATACCATTTTATCTTGGGGGGTGGCCTTCCGTAAGCATCACAGGTTATTTTAATGCTATGTCCAGTATATGCAAAAAAGAAATTGCTCGAAATCTCCCATGCATCTCGAAAGACAGGTGCAACATCTGTAAAGAAACCGAGAAGTGTTTGGCATAAAAATCAAATATTAGGTTTTTGTAATCGAACGTTCTTTTAAATTATTGTAAAATTATAAAATAGGCTTTTAAAAACACGGGCGCTGATGAACCGATTGATCGAATTGCTTAATAAACCTTTGTTTCTATAACTCTATATAGAAACACAAGAATTTCAGTCTCACAAGTTGCGTGGTTGGCGCATACAGAAAATAGAAACATTTTACTTGTTCTTTAGCAACTCAAAATAGTATGGATACGCTCGTACTTCGTGCTATTATTGTGTTCTATTTCTTAAATAAAATAAATTAATATTGATTGCAAGAGTACAAAAATTATCATGTAACCAGTGATAAACCCAATACAGTGCTGCTTTAGTATGAATCACTCTTAAATTTAATGTTGGATAAACATTGTTTTCTGTTTTCTGTTAGCAATATACTTGTGTGTAACAATGAATAAACTTATGTTTAGCCGCTCAAACTGACACATTTATTGAAGGTTCTTCAATCATGAAATGATTAAACAATTGTTCAAAACTTATAAATATAGAAGGCCACGAGGCTGCTCTAACATGGCGAGAAATTCATCATAACTCGCAAATTCCGTTATTTAGCGCAAGAAATTATTTCATTTATAATAAATAACCCATGCTTTCATATAATGCCTAAAGATCGCCATATAATATTTCGATATTTGTATCAAAAGCCTTGAAAAGAAGTCTGAAAGGACAATACTCACCCCCTTTTGTTTTGCTCAACACTGGATCTGAATAAATTAAATGAAAAAGACATACAGCATTATACAAAAATTAGTAAAGTTATCCATAGCAGGAGTAAAGCTCTCACCGAAAATTGATACTGTAATCTTTCTGCTCACCGTTCCAGCTGCGTTTTTAGCATAACAAACGTACTCACCAGCATCTGTCCATTGGACCTTTTTTAATCTGAGCGCTCTGTTTTTTTCATACCTATACTGTTTACTCTTCTTAATGCGATGGCCATTACGCGTAAACCAGTACTCATTTTCTACTTCACTCAGCACTTTACAAAATATATCAGCTCTTCGAGCGTTGATCTCCAACTTGAAACTAGTAACATTTGTTTTGAATGAAGGAGGCGCAATGCCATCAGCTGTAAAACGTTAGAAATGTTTACTAAAAAAGTATGCATGCGACGACATGCAGTCATTTCCTAGCATGCCTAAATTATAATGAAGTAATTGTTATATAGATATAGTTCCTTAATTTCCACCTTGCCAACAGAAAATTTTGTACAATCGAGGAATATGTGCGCTCCGTACATGGCTTTCCACTATTTTGAGAAGCAACCTTTATTTGGATACAAGTCAGTCGCATTTTTGTTTTAAAGATAGCACAATTTACCATTGTTTTTAATACAATGCGCGTTTGATTGTTGGCTTGTATAGTGGCATTCCTTTTGACAGTGATAAACACATTAGGAAATGGAGGAAAAACACGCACATCGCAGTTATATAAAGGGGATAAAAGTATGTGGCTAAAAAGTTCACCTATCACCTCCACACCCCGGAACGTGCTATAGTGCGCTTGCACGATACACTAGATCTGCCGTTAACACAACTGTTGGTTTTGCATACCTGAGTTGATCGTCGTTTGTACAACGAACACAAGAGCAAGAGTCAAATGAACTACCAAAGAGATCATTCTGCTAGGATGCTGTACTCAATGACCATAAGAATTTTGCATTGAATTACAAGCCACGACTATCCCTTCTATATAAAGTAAGCACATTTTGAGTACATTGAATATGACCTGGAGATTTTTTTGAAACAATTTCTCATTCTAAATAAGTATGACCTACCAAAAATATGAAACAAACTCTATCAACAAATATTATCCCACATGAGGTAAGGGCATAACCAATATCATTGCCAACTGCCATCTACGGGTGTGATTTTTGAATATTAACATATGCATATACTCGTTACTGCACTGTATATTGATCATCGACTTTACATGCATAAACATTAGTGGTATTGTCTTTTTTAGTTTTTACCATCTAATTTGGCTACTGATTTACTTTGCAATAATCAATATAAGTCAACAAAATAGAATCATTACAAGACTATCTCATGCAGCTCAAAATATCAGAACTCAAAATATTGTTTTTGGTTACTTACATAAAAATGGCGCAGTTAAAGATAGCAATCCTGCACTATTTTTACACCTGTTAGAACGAAACTGGCTCAAAACACAGTTACAATATAGATGACGTAAAATGTAAGAGGGGGAACTGACTATTTACGAAAATAGACAAACAGTGTTTAACATGGATCTTTTGGCATCATGTTCCAGGTTATGATTTATAACAAGAGCTAAAACCATAAAGTTGAATAATTGCAACCAAACTAATAACTCTCAATCGAAATCAACTTTTTAGCTGAACAAATTTTTTCAAACAATCAAACACAAAAGTTCTAGAAACAGAAATCAAGAAACCAACCTAGGGACATCCTGGGTGACAGTGCAAATACAATAGAAAACAACAAGGCGTATAATGAAATATTCCAAAAAATGTGTGTACATAGAAAGGTGCAGCCAAATTATGAACTTGGAAAAAACAAAGACTCTTGGCAAGTATTGTCTTTTCAGCTGGGAGACATTAATACATGTATCAACAAGAAATATATAAATAAACATGACCGTTATGAAATATGCAACTTAAAGTGAACTAATTTTACCAAAATTACAAAGTATCTTTTTCCTATACTGGCGCGGTAACTCATTTTCAAAATACATTAAATAAATTATCGTGTTCCCTAAAATCTATGTAGTGCCTCATCATATTATCTATTGTGTGTTGGTGAATGCTGAAATGAAAGACGTTTGCTATACAACGCATGTCAACTAATTAATATATACGGTCATGATGGATCTTAAAAAAAACCTTTGTCTTTATCGGTAAATTCAAACTGGTGTTTTTATGTAAGAAATCATATCCAATAAAATTTTTGGAGCTTTGCCATTGAAAAGGAAAAATATCACAACACGGTACATTTTTTCTTGCATGTTCGGTCATCTATTTGTTTTAACAATATAAAATTGACTTATAGTTATATAGTCGTTAGCAATCCAACTTTAATCTTCAAGATTAATTAATTCTGCTATGTGATAATAATCATAATAAATAACAACATTTAATATTGATACAGGAGGGCTATTCAGCAATAAATAATGATTATAAAAAGTGAAAAGGGTCCTGTGCTAAAAAACTGATTTATGAGGTTACACTCAAGCCTAGAAACTTTAAACTTTCATACATAACTCACAATCGACAATTCATCGAACTATGAAATCAGAAAGGATGATGCGGTTAGGCGATTCACTGTACTTATTTATATATTAATATATTTCATTGTAGTCTGCCGCTTTTCACTACCTACTGCACATTGAAGACACGATTATAACGCCTAGGACCTAGTGGAGCGGTTAAATTGACGAGAAGTGCATATGAGTCGAAACTAAACAAATAATATCAAGGTTTTGATGTGTGTAAGAAAAAGATTACCATGCTGATTAATTATTCAGTGTTCTTGTTACCATAATGTGTAGCAACTTGCGTAAGAGACTAGCATAAATTACATGCTCTTTTGAATTTCGGAGCTTTGGTTTAACCACCAAATATAGCCGCCATTATCATTACCACGAAGCCAGATGAAGCAAACAAGGAAAAGAAGCAACAAAACTGGAAAAAATGACTATTGAGATCATGATTTTGCAAGCATTGAAATGAACTAAAAAACTGGTGTTCCACAGAACAGCAGATAAACGGTTGTAAATTTAACAACAATGAACGCGAATTAAAATCTAACAATATTCAAGTAGTTTCGAGACAATATGGAATACAACCGTTAAAGCTGCGCAAGAAGGCCCTCGGATGTACACAACAAAATAAAATGCTAGGTCACAAATAAATTGTGTTGCACATTTAAATCTCGTTACATACGCATGGCACCTCAATCAACAATCCTAGCAACCTCTCCGAGAGCATTTCATCAAATAAATGACTCAATATCAACAAATTTACATATTCACCAATTATTAAATAACAATCACATACAAACACACACCTTACAGATAAAATTACACAGTAATTTAGACAGACACACGGTTATTACCAGGTTATGGAGGAAGAGTCGAAGAAAAACGACTTAAGGTGTGTATATCGTCAGACAAAACCAAATCAGCAAAACACAAATTCAATAAATTCGCAATCTTGAAGCATAAACCATCGACTAATAACTCAAGTAAGGAGAGAAGAACAATCATAAATGTCTAAGGCAATAAAGGCTTTTGTAATGACCACAGTGCTTAGCGTATTCATGTCGTGCTGAATAAACATCAAGACTTCTCATGGGATAAGAACAAGATCGCTTTATGCAGTTTGATTTCCGCTTTAAAATACAGCTCAAACGATTCTACTGGTATCACTTTTATTTCAACAAGTGATTTTCTTGGGAAACGTGGCGTTCATGTTTTCATTTTTTTCAGTCATTAACACGAATCAATCACGAAAGCATGTTATAGGAGCTGTTATAAAAACACGTCAAACGACCGTTACTGCATGTTTTGGCAATTAACGAGTTCATAGTTGATTGGTACGCGACAAACTCGCCGTGGATGAAATTTTTGCGCAACATAACCCGTTGCAAAAGTTCGCTACACTAAAAACGATAGCAGAGTAAGCCTAGAAATATACACTATCCACTTTTTCAAAACACTCTTTCTACTTACCACACACAATGACTTTGACCAATTAACACTATTGCCACCGTTCTAAACAGTTCAGGAAAGACAACTTTTCATCGGACTCAACGTACAGTCACAGACAGAACGAATATCATCTGAATGGTTATACTTCGAAGAGGCCTGTTTTGATACTCAGGAAATGATTAAGCTGTACATCATGAAGCCACTTGTAGCAGAGAAGTGACAGGTCTATTATCGTGCAAATGTGTCCTTTTATCAACTCAAGTACCTTGGCAATATTGTGTTTATTTCTCCGCCATGCATGTGATAATGCAACAAAATTAGAAAATATTTGCACTCAAAGGACGAAGAGTCAATGTCAACCACCATCGCTGACTTTTAGATGCAAATATGGTTGCTTGTGCGGGAAAATGTGTATATTTGCAACATTTGCAACTCGACGTACAGTGATCATTTTTCTAATGCTTACAGAAGTGTGCCCGTCTAGGTCAATGTATGAATTGAATTGAAAAAACCGGACGGAAAATAATTGTACAAAAATTGAAAAGAAGGGGAAGTCAATTGATGACTTAATCAAGAGAATACAACTTTACAGAAGCTTTTTACACAATTTCATTATAGAACAAATGTATGAAGTAAACTCACATACCATTGTTTGCATGTAAACAACATAACATTGTTATGCAAACAAATCTGCTAAAATTTTGAAACCCTCTGACGCTCAAGCAGCAGTGAACAAAGACAACGACATCTTAATAATAATCCATTTTTATGCGATTTACAAGAAATACTGTTGGACCCAGAATGCAAATAAATCTTATTAATATTTTAAAACCCTCAAATATATCATATGAATATAAGTAGAAACATAAAGCAAAATAAATCAAAGAATAAATGAGTGACTACGTTGAAATTGTTAACTGCACACTGCTTTTGTCACGTAATAATAACTGCACACTGCTTTTGTCACGTAACAATATTTCTTCGATGCTCAGTAGCTACATGAAGAAGGAATACCATGAACAAAAGCAACATAAAACACTTCCCTACACGTAATATAAAATCCGGTGACTTAATTGGAAGATCAGGCTGCTTATAAATGTCCACAATTATTGCCCAACAAGCTCAAGGACGTCATTTAAAGCGCTTGTTAGACGAAAAGACGAACAGATTCGAAATCAATACTAAAATGCACCGATTTTCCAGGCATAGTAATGATTTCAAAAATCGACAATTCTCTTGCAGAAACACTTTTTGAAAACATACTGATTTTCTATAATTTTATATCATAGTAATCTACATTTTCAAATCAAGGACAACCTCATGTGCTCCTAAGTATCCTTATCGATCCCACTCGACGCCCACCTTGTATTTACATACCAAATTTCACCACTGTTACCTTGGTTTGGATAAATTTTTTTTGTAATTCTTTGAACGTGTGGCTTGCATCATCCTGGCCGAGCCATAAATTTGAGCTATAAATTGCATTAGCTGCTTACGAAATTAATGTGTGACAAAAGCGAACCAATACTATCATAAAAACAGAAGTATTTTTTGCGATCAAAATAAAACAAATTCCGAAGAGGGACATCTTGTTTTCCCCTCTTCGGAATTTGTTTTATTTTGTATTACTTGAAATTGTCTGCTTGTCCTGGTTTTTGCGAACAAGAGTTGCTGCTTAAGACCAATGAATGTGATAAAATTGACTCCGAAATGACTACCGGCTACCGCTAAGGTTGTCGAAACGTAAGTCAACACCAACAGTCCTTTTTCAGAACTCTACTATCCCGGACGATCTGCAACTATAAACATGCAATTGCAGTATAATGTGATTCCATCTTTACTCAAACCGACGTGGGAAAGATCTGCTATCGTAAAAAGAAAAATAATTGATACAGTTGAAGAAAAAAGAAAGGATAGCAGTGAATGTATCACATACAAAAGGGCTACATTTGTATGAAAAAATATTCAAAACAAGATGAAATATTTACCAAACAGTGGTACAATTAATTGCGAATTTTTTGGCTGAAAGTTAGCTAGCTTCTGTTTGTGCAAGCCGACTAAAAACCAGTAAATCAGAATCATATTTCATTTCAGTGTTTTTAACTTGTCTAATATATGAAATATCTGAGTCGAAAACGTGGAAAGAAAATTTTACAACTGATGGAGAAGTACGCTCAAAATTTGTAATGAAAACGAACTCTACGCCATGTTTAAGGATATCACAATCACATGCATCGAATATCTTCATTCGTTAGTTTCCATACAGAGTTATAAAAAGATTTTGTGTACTCTACAACATTATGTAGCATTAAAAGCAAAGAATTTCAAGAACTATTCGAATAAGTAAGGACATAATTATGATTTTAAATGCTTTGTGCTTTTGATTAATGGTTGACTTCCCTTTGATCCACCTTTTGTATGATGATATCTGACAATTGCCCACATGCTTAGCAACTGGATAATAGACTCCTTTGCTAATGACGAAGATGATGGTGGATCTTTCCCCCTACAATACCGCAGTCTTTTCCATCTTAGTTGAAAGACTTTGGCATGAGACTTTGTTTAAGACCGATCCACCGAAAGACCGAACCAACGAAATATAGAACAACCGAAAGACCTAAAGACGGAACCATCGTAAAAACCGAAAGTCATTAGAGTTGGTTTTTATAAGCGCTCGGAACCGTATATTTTGTCTTAGTTTTGTTTTTATTTGTTCACATTGCAACCTTCAAAAGTTGGACTTTCATAAGAATTATTTTCTTAGCATGGACGTACGAGTAAAGGGGCAGATGGAACAGCTACTTTCACTCAAACTTCACAGAAATTATGAGAATATAAATGTACTTAACATAATTATTTTAAATATAAATTAATTTATATAATTTAATATAAATGTAATTAATATAATTATTTTAAATGCAATAAATATAATTATTTTAGATATAAATTACAAGGATTCGGTCAGTTGTAGGCGAAGTTAGCCAACTGTACTCAACTATAGCATTAGTTATATGAATCCGAATACAAAAGTTCCTCAAATTGAAAATATTTTACAAAATATCAAAGAACTTGTAGTTGAGTTGAGAGCAATGGTCGTAAGTATTTTAATGTGTCATTCTGATGCATTGAAATATGCGACAATCAAACTACTTCAATTCAATATGGCCGATCACTCACAAGACCCGTCCGGTGTGATTTCAGAGAATGTTAAGCGCAAAAGGGAACGAAGCAAACGTTTTACAGAAAGAGTTAATGCCAACATCTGGGAGGCAGGAAAATTATCTCAGCATATGGTAAAATCATCTGGATCGCCTGAAGTACGTTAAGAAATAGTCAAAATGACAGTTACTGACTTCCTTTCTTGTTGGATATAGCCTGTCTACGTAGGTTATTGTTGTAAGAGTGAGAGTTCCAATTGCATGCTTGAAAATCATGATTCTGAACAGACATATTGAATACCGACAATTCAACCTTAACATGGTGTTTTACTGTAAATTCTTTAGACTTGTTTAAATACGACTTCACACTTGTAGTTACTGATTGAACCTCAATTTCAACTCTTATTTTCAGATACTTTTATTTTTAGATAATGTCACAAACCACAAAACGACTGGTCCAATCAGAAAATGCAATGAAATCTACTCACGAGGTGAGAATACTTTTTGAGCAAATTTACCAATTGTCTCAAAAAAATGTTACAGAATTATGCTGTGGCACTTATTGTACAGTTTTCTTTTACCTTATTAGAAATTTATCGTATTTCAGTGTAGGTTTTTGCCTTATAGTGCATGCCACACAAAACTTTTAGTTGCTACTTTTAATTATATTTTCATTCGACAGAACGTTTAAAAGGACAGTGTATTTTCTAAAACAGTTTATGCATGTCACTTATCATCACTTTTTATATTTGTTCTCATGTCACTTTTTATTTTTAAGTTTTAGTAATGTCGATTTACACAACTTATAACATCATTTTGCATAAAGTTTCAAACATCCTTTAGTTACAAAGCAACTTTTCCTTGAAATGATCGAGCAACTTTTGCTTGAATTGATCGGGTAGTATTTTAGACCATTAACTCTTCATGAAATCTTCGTGCAATGTGACTTCATTGTGACGTCACAAGTTGTGTGTAAAGCAAACATTACGTAATCTACAATAGCTTGAGAATGAAGAGTGATATGAAAACGTACACTGACCTTTTGTTGAACGTTATGTTCAATGAAAGTATAATCTGAATAGTGTCATGTGTCTGTGGGCTTGGCGAACTTCTTCAAAATTCATTATTCCTTTTATAGAATATCAAGAAAATGCAGAGGCTTATTGATCAAATGAATACGCAGTGAGTAAAACCGTTTTAACCGTAAAAACAATAATACTCCCATGAAAAAACTGACCATTGAGTTTACTAATATATTATTGATTTTCGACGCTAGGTACAACGAGATTTATCAACAGTAAGTGAAGAATTTTGTCTTTCAAAACGACTTACAGTATTTCCCAGTAGGGATTGACATATAATTCTTCCTATTTCATGTAGTTTGGATTTGTTAGCGAAAATTGATCATCAGATGCATTGCACGGCAACGAAATGACGGAGTGTAAGTCGACCTGTAAGAAAAATCGATACTGAAATTAAAACAGCATATATGTTTGGTAAAGAAACGTTTTTAGTGAAGATGCTCACTATATCACTATAATTAGCCACTTTCTTTCATTTTGTTTCCTGTTAAAAATAATAATCATGTTTTTTTAATTTTTGGATTGCAACGAACCTCCACGGAAATATCAAACAACGTGGCTCGCCCACGACAACTGGTGCCCACAATAGCACTGACATAATATTCTTTTGTATTTGACCACCAACATGGCGGTCGTGACATAACAGGCAAACCACCTATCCTTGACTTCTTCATGAGCAAGGCAAGGCTACATTTCTACGATGCTTTGCTTTCATGAACATAAGCGATCCAATACGAGCGGTTTCGTAGAAAACAACATAAGTGTATTTTATTTAGTCCTATATTTTGTCAGTTATTGTGCAAAATAACTCATATGTCGTCCAGTTGTTCATTGCTGCCATCAACGAGAAGCTCCTCGATGCCCTCCTCACACATTTCCTCTTCTGTTAATTGCATATCGAAAGGATCATATACTTCCTTTCAAACACGGGCTGTACTTAGTCGGCTGAGAACATCGAGAAGATTTTGACATGGTCCATGTTTCTGCACATAATTTCTTTATCTTCTGATTCATCCAAGGGCTAGAACAGAGCAAAAACTTTAAATGATTTGGTAATTAGCTTTTTGGGTAGCATGCACCAAGACTGAAGCACCCATTCGTGAGTAGAAATATGCAGACAGAAGAATGCAATGAACCGTCAAACACAAACACAGCAACTTGACACAAGTGGAAGGGTAAAGTGGAACAAAAGCAAATAGAAAAGAAAATCTCTTTTATTTTGTTTCGTCCATACGAATAGCGAAGGGAAAATATTTTATCAAAAAGCACAAGCTTAATCTATTTTTAGCCTTAAGTCTATCATTGAATGCCTGATATCTTAAATCAAAAAAGAGTGTCGTGAAAAAGATAAATTATCGTATTGCAAGATGTCAAGCTTTCCTAAATTCTTTGTAAGCAGTTCAAGTTCGTTCAAAACACTTTATTGTTCAAGTTGATCCATTCCTTTCAGTGCCTCAAAATCACCAAGGATCATCTCCTTATAAATTGTGTTGTGCGTCATGTGGATTGTTTTTGTGCTATACTGGACTAGACGCAACACTGATTGTAAGGCACAATTTGAATAACTATTTAGACCGTTAAATCTATTGAATTTAATGGCATTCGGTTCACGTATGAAAGGAGTCTGAGTTGCGCACTAAATTGGTCTTACTGTGTGCAAGTTGGTGCGAGTACGTCATGACTGCCAAGTTGGACGATTTTGACAAAGACTTTCCTCTCGTACTATGCAAATGTCATCCAATACGGCGAATATTTTATTGTTGTTTAATTCCCAAGTGAGTGGTTGCACGCCATCTATAATATGGCTAAATCAAAAGAACTGCAGTTTTCAAGATATCTCTTATGCCATGAACTTGTATGTTAGGTTATTTCAAAATTAAAGCCTATAAAAGTAGCGTTGAATTCAGGTTTATGAATTAATAGAACAACAGCAAGTACAATGGCTGAAAGAGTAAGAAATAGATGTACGAAAGAAGAAAGGAAAAAGTTGAATGGCGCTTTCAACTTTACTTGAAAACGATAATTTGGGAGATGAAGCAGTTGTGAGCAAGCTGAAATATTTACCGATGCTTACGAGAGACGGCATGTTGGACGACTATTATGTCAAGTTTGAAAGTGATTCTCAACGAAACTCCACTTTACACTGCAAGCTATCAATGCAGGGTTACAACAACGTCCACCAAGAAAGCTATTTGTCAGTGCGTAAACCGCACCATATTTAAGCATATAAAAGGCATGCTGTTTATGTTGAATCGACCAGTTCTTGTAAAACACCGTCATGACTGTATAAAGTGTTCTCAAAGAACAGTTAAAATTTGCTCCACATGGACAGTATTTAGAGAAGAATATGAATATAATATTTGAACATCGAGAAGCCATGGCCGAGTACAGGGGATAAATACTACCGTAAAATATGCTGTCAAAAAGAAGAAATGTAATCGTTTGTGTACTTCACCATGTCTACCCAAATATTCACGGCATTGCTATGCCAAAATGGTTAACGTCTATTTGAAGAATGGCTTTGTAAGAAAGTCGAAAATTTACAGTTTCTATCTGCGTCTAGTTTTGAGTGATAGATTGTATTCTCAACACGTATTGTACAGCTGATGAAACAAATCTGTACCGGCTAACCTTGGTGAAATATTGCACAGAGAACAAAATTGTGCAGACATACTTTCTTTGACGTCTCACGTAAGGATAGACCCCATGGTTAGAAACTATATTAATGTATTGCTGTCGTGTGAACAGACAAACACTAAATGATGATGTCCTACAGCGAAATGCTTTTCGATGTATTTCTAGAGTTGTTCTGAAAATGTCAATGGTTTGAAAGTCGATGCTACAAATGTGTGGTTTGTTTTCTTGATTGTCACTTTACGAAATAATTTTTTTTATCATACTTCAAGCATCTATTACCGTAAATGGACTAAATTTTCCATCTGTTTCCAACGCACTCACTGATCGACGGCAGCCGCAAAAACAAATCTGCATTGCTTAACCGTAAGAAAACGTGCTGCTTTTGAAAGACATACTTGCTTCCATCTTTTTCAAAAGACGACATAAGTAACTATAAATGTATTGCTAATGTATTACCAAACTAAGATTAATATAAATGTATATATTTGTACTACTCTTTCACTCTTTTTATCAACACTTGAGAACGAATATGATTTTTGATTTGTTGCTTTATCTTTAGCTGGAAGTGTTCTGCTATGATTTTGATTCGAGACCTTTAAAGGTCATTTTTTTTTGCATTAATTATTACAAAGCAGGAATGGCACATTAAATTGAGCATTAGCCTCCAACGAACTCTCTGGTCTACTACAAGACACAACCTTTCGAGGTTGCAAAGTGGAGGTTCAAACCCTGTCTGTAATAAGGTATAGTTAAATCTAGGTTGAGCTAAGAAATGAGGAAATAATGCTGGTTAACAGTGCAAAAAGGGCATTTCTATTACTGAGTTTTTAGAGAATGGAATGCGACACTTAGTATAAATTCAGAAAAATGCTCTCCGATGAGAAGGAGGGCGAAGAAAAAAAAAGATAGGATCCCATGCAAAAAACCACTCTTAAAAAAACTAAGTCTTTTGCTCAAATTTTTTTATGACTCCCTGTGATCAGGGAGTTATTTTTTTAAATTTTGAAAAGTCAGGAAACCCAAGAGCAAACAGAACGCCCTAATATTTCCTTTCTTACCTCGAGGCACTTGTTCCTCAATTCGACTTTCTCTCGTCCACATCCGCCTCGTACACCGAAGTGTGTCAGCAGAGGGGCGAACCAAGGATCGTGTGCACAGGAGGTCAGTGATGTCGAACTAAGCGCCCAACATCGGCCAGTTGAGCTAAGCGCTCATCATCGAAAACTCTATGTTTTTCGGCGTATTTGCTAAATTTTCTTCAATGTGAAGCGAAATATAAGGAGAAGGTCTTGAACCTTAGAAGGTCTTGAACCCTAGAAGGTGAGATCACTGCACCGTCATCTTTACCACTCGGCCAGACGGGTGAATTGGAAAACCGCTTAAAACATGTCAAGTCCTTCTGACAAAACAACATTGCTTTCATTTCTCTTGAGGCTCACATTTAATACTGTGTTTATTTTGTTCTTCGTCACTATCATTATAGCTGTTCAATTCTAACACTGTTGAAGAATAAATGTTATAACAGAAAGGAGGAAGACCAATTAAGTATGCACAATCTCAGACATTGCCATGTGGTGAATCAAAACAACAACGCGCATGTTCGCAGTCAATTTAATGGCCCTGGGAGTTTTTAACTTGTCTGTTCAAACATAAATAACATATTTTTTACCATCTTGCATGATTATATTGTAATGATTACTACAAAAGCATATGGCTCCTACAGAACAGTATCCACTTACGAGTTCGTCGGAGTTGTCTATTCAAGTCTTTTTGTCATTTTAAAATCTTGCCATGTCTTGAGTGTCATCATTTCAAATATAGTCAATGTAATCAATATAGCCAATGCGGTTTTTGTCTACATTTGTGTCCACCTTCGTATCCATTTTTTGTCTACCTTTTTTGTCTACCTTTATGTCCATCTTTATGCATACCTTTGTCTACCTTTTCTTACTAGTCAGTTCAGACTTATTTTTTACAATCTATATTTAAACATGTTGTGTTTTCAAAAGACGTTCATGTGGTCTTTTCGAAATTCAAAATGTCGTTTATGTCGTCTCTTTGTAGAAGGTAGACACAAAGGTAGACACAAAGGTAGACATAAAGGCAGACACAAAGGTAGACATAAAGGTTGGCATAAAGGTAGACAAAAATGTAGACGACATATTTACCATATTTTTTATCATCATACATAATAATAAATATAATATTAATATAGATCTCCGAAAGAATTTGGTTTCTGCAAAGAAGTTTCCACTTACCATTTCATTGGAGTTGTCTTTTTAAGATTCAAATCATTTTATAGTCATTTCAAATAATTTCATCATTTCAAATGTAATCAATGTGGTAATCAAGGTAATCTAATGCAGTCTTGTCTGTTTAGACTCAGCTAACATATTTTTTTTTCTTCACTCTATGCAAGATTGTTGAAGTTGATGCTGTCCATTCAGAGTTAAACTAATGAAATAATAACTTTTTTAAATGCCACTCAGGGCGTTCTGTTTGCTCTTGAGTTTATATCTACCTTTATGTCTACCTTTGTGTCTACCTTTGTGTCTATCTTTATGTCTACCTTTATATCTACCTTTATATCTACCTTTATGTCTACCTTTGTGTCTACCTTTGTGTCTATCTTTATGTCTACCTTTATATCTACCTTTATATCTACCTTTATGTCTACCTTTGTGTCTACCTTTGTGTCTATCTTTATGTCTACCTTTATGTCTAGCTTTGTGTCTATCTTTATGTCTACCTTTATATCTACCTTTATGTCTACCTTTATGTCTACCTTTGTGTCTACCTTTGTGTCTACCTTTATGTCTACGTTTATGTCTACCTTTGTGTCTACCTTTGTGTCTATCTTTATGTCTACCGTTATGTCTACCTTTATGTCTACCTTTGTATCTACCTTTGTGTCTAGTAGTCACTCTTTCTTGGCAACCAATCATATTGCAAGATTGAAACATAAAAAGCACGAAAATATGTCTCAGAGTAAAAAAGAAATCACTCACGATGCTCTTCAATAGACAAAGTTTTATGATTTGAAATGCTCTCGTTGCTCTATCTTATTCTTCTTTTCCAAAGTGCATTCACGTACATACAATTACTGTTAAATATATTTTATACAATGTTATTTTTATACACACTATGTTTTTATATACACAATCGTTCCACACAAAACTAATAAATTCAGTTTTTAAAACTGTTCAATCGCTTTAATTGGGAAAAGATCCATGATTTTTTAAAGCAGTTCCGTGTTTGATGCTATTGACAAAAGAGTATCGACATGAGCAATTTGAAAGAAATATCTTGAACTCATGTTTGGTTAACTCAAAGTTTAAATAAACAGACCGAAACTAACAAATTTCGAATAGCCACACCAACTTCGCAGTTAAACACACTTAAGTCTGTTTCTCTGCATTGGCGACCTTCGACGATCATTCTACGACCAACAAAGCAATCATCGACTGTCGGCAATGCATGCCATCCAATAGATATAAATAATCACAAAATTCTCTGTAAATAAATTTCATACAATAGATTCTTTTGATCTTTGTGGATTCTTGTTACGAGGAGAGTCAATAAGTGAAGAAGGACCTTGCCTTTCATCATTGTCCAACAATGACGATAAGTTAGTGCAAGTTGGAGTTTTCTCCTCGACAAACAAACTAGAATCTAATGCAGGAAGTGAATTTTCCGAGAAACAATTTTCTTCCACTTGCGCGTAACATTCACTGTCAAAGAGATTACGATGTCTATCTGCCGTCAAATTAGGATAAGTTCTTGGAGTATTTGAGCTTAATTTTTTTTGTTCTAATGTTCTTTCATTTGCCGAATACATCTCAGTAAAGCAAGAAGATAGCGGTTTACCACGTGGTTCCGCATACTGCTGTAACAGGTCTCGTGGTTTGTATTCCTGAACGTACTGTTTCTCGAGATGCTTACGCTGTTTTCTACAGTATAGAATAAAAACACCCACAAGTATCATTGACAAGAGGAAAGATATCGCGATCAGAATCACAAGCCAAACGGATAATTCCTCTTCCGTTTCCTCGTTCGCTACATCATCAGCTGGTGGAGTTTTGACGAGAAATGAGTCTAACAAAAAACAACAACACAAATTTGACTATTAAGACTCAGACAGTTGTCTAAATATTTCCTGTTTAAACTCCTGAAAAAGAGCGAAACACGATTACAATATAACTTTCCGACAATAAAAGTTTGGCTATCGCTGCACTTGATCTTATATGGTATTGATCGACTTAACTACACCGTGGAACAATATTTTTATTAGGAACTGATTCTTTCCTAACAACGTTTCACTAATACTGATTGCACTCCAAGTCTCCAACAAAGTAGTGACATTCCTTTGCAACGTTGTATAAATAGTCGCTTCTCGTTATAACAATGTTGTTGCACGAACACTTCTCTAACTATGGTTTAGTAACACTGACCCCTTTCTTTAACAATGTTGTTGCACGAACACTTCTCTAACTATTGTTTAGTAACCCTGACCCCTTTGTGTAACAATGTTGTTGTACAAACACTTCTCTAACTATTTTTTAGTAACCCTGACTCCTTTCTATAACAATGTTGTAGCACTAACACTTCTGTAACTATGGTTTAGTAACACTGACCCTTTTCTGTAACAATGTTGTTGTACAAACACTTCTCTAAGTATGGTTTAGTAACACTGACCCCTTTCTGTAACAATGTTGTACAAACACTTCTCTAAGTATCGTTTAGTAACACTGACCCCTTTCTGTAACAATGTTGTTGTACAGCTCCTCGGAGTCTTTACGAAAAGCTTACCTTTTACGCGAAGTTCATAGATTGCTTTAAAACTTCTTTGACCATTTTTTACAATGCAAATGTACTTTCCTTCATCCTGCTTGCTCACATTTTTGATGATGAGATGAGAATCAAAATAGTAGTGCTTACTGTTGTGAGACGTTTTAATAAGATTTGTTGTATACTTTGTACCGAACAGCTTCGATTTCTTTAAATCAAGCGACTTGTTAGTATTCACGTCTCTCCATATCCAATCAACTTTTACATCACCGGCTGACGTAGCTTTGCAATCATATCTCACGTTGTCGCCAAAAATTGCTTCGCGCTCTGGTTTTTTCGTTTCCTCCATCTCTAGCTTTGGCAATCGCGCTTAAAGAAACAAGGAATTATATTTTCATATAACCCTGTTGTAACCATGGACGAAATCACGAATAGAAAATACGATAAAATTTTGCTATTTCATGCCGTGCTATAAATCAGAATCATTACAATATGGGTTTTATCAAATAAGAATAATAAAACGCGCGCTCTTATTGGTCTATAGCTGTGTTTGCATTAACCTGTGCAAAGCAGATCTGAGCTCAACCAATTAAATCAATTAAGACAATCAAAAGAGAATTCGAAAATCTATAATGAATAAGTGCTTAAGGAAAATTTAAAAGATTAGTTTTAAATCTATCTGTTTGCATTCATTATTATTTTATAAAAGAACTAAAAGATGTTTTTCGTGTTAGCACTGGCTTATGTCAACCGAGGAGTCATTTGAAAAAACTCAAGAACAGATTGGTGCAATGTTTCTTAAATAACAGATGTTTGTGCTAGTCTGAGAGGAATAACGAATTGGAATGATAATTCTCATCTTTTGACGCACTTGTATTTGGATCAAGAATTTCTGCATCAAGGGATAGGAGTGTCTTAAGGGTGGGTAGGGGTTAGACGACTGGAAAAAGTCAATTTACAGTTAATTAGGGTAAACTTTTCGGTCGACTAACAGTGATCTATAAGAGCTGTGAATTTTGTTCATGAGCATAATTTTACAGTAGGTACAACGAACGATTTTGTAACTGAAAATAAAAAATTTCAAAGGCGGGCTGAAATTTTCGGGGAGTTGTTTTAAAGTTGAACATTAATTGAATTGTGACCGCCAGCAACACCCCCCTGGCTCCTACGTCCCCGATTTGCATGCCTGTTGAAACGCCGGCACTCTCAATGAATTGTGACCGTCAGCACACCCCTAGCTCTTACGTCCCCGATTTGCATGCCTGTTGAAACGCCGGCACTCTCAATGAATTGTGACCGTCAGCAACACCCCTAGCTCCTACGTCCCCAATTTGCATGCCTGTTGAAACGCCGGCACTCTCAATGAATTGTGACCGCTAGCAACACCCCCCTAGCTCCTACGTCCCCAATTTGCATGCCTGTTGAAACGCCGGCCTCAATTAATTGTGACCGCCAGCAACACCCCCCTAGCTCTAACGTCCCCAATTTGCATGCCTGTTGAAACGCCGGCACTCTCAATGAATTGTGACCGCCAGCAACACCCCCCTAGCTCCTACGTCCCCAATTTGCATGCCTGTTGAAACGCCGGCACTCTCAATGAATTGTGACCGTCAGCAACACCCCCCTAGCTCCTACGTCCCCGATTTGCATGCCTGTTGAAATGCCGGCACTCTCAATGAATTGTGACCGTCAGCAACACCCCCCTAGCTCCTACGTCCCCGATTTGCATGCCTGTTGCAAACGCTGGCACTCTCAATGAATTGTGACCGTCAGCAACACCCCTAGCTCTTACGTCCCCGATTTGCATGCCTGTTGAAACGCCGGCACTCTCAATGAATTGTGACCGTCAGCAACACCCCCCTAGCTCCTACGTCCCCAATTTGCATGCCTGTTGAAACGCCGGCACTCTCAATGAATTGTGACCGCTAGCAACACCCCCCTAGCTCCTACGTCCCCAATTTGCATGCCTGTTGAAACGCCGGCACTCTCAATTAATTGTGACCGCCAGCAACACCCCCCTAGCTCCTACGTCCCCAATTTGCATGCCTGTTGAAACGCCGGCACTCTCAATGAATTGTGACCGCCAGCAACACCCCCCTAGCTCCTACGTCCCCAATTTGCATGCCTGTTGAAACGCCGGCACTATCAATGAATTGTGACCGTCAGCAACACCCCCCTAGCTCCTACGTCCCCGATTTGCATGCCTGTTGAAATGCCGGCACTCTCAATGAATTGTGACCGTCAGCAACACCCCCCTAGCTCCTACGTCCCCGATTTGCATGCCTGTTGCAAACGCCGGCACTCTCAATGAATTGTGACCGTCAGCAACACCCCCCTAGCTCTTACGTCCCCGATTTGCATGCCTGTTGAAACGCCGGCACTCTCAATGAATTGTGACCGTCAGCAACACCCCCCTAGCTCCTACGTCCCCGATTTGCATGCCTGTTGCAAACGCCGGCACTCTCAATGATTAAACAACGTTGTAACGCATGATTTATAAACCAACCTTTTACGATGATATTGAAAGTTCTGTTGATCGTGCCTACATTATTGCTTACACGACATGTGTATTTTCCTGAATCACCAACGGAAAGATATCTCAAATTTAACGTCCATCCATCTGCCTCAACGCTCGTTCTCTTTTTCACTCCCAAAGATTCTCCATCCTTAAACCACTCCACATTGGGATGGGGATCGCCTTCACTGTGACAGTGCAATTTGGCGGTGTCACCAGTTTTGTACATTTCTCTATTCTTTGGAACTTGTTTGAACTTTGGAGGCATGCCTGAAGACGTACAAAACAAAACTTCATTATCAAACTGTAAAACATACGATATTCCCACATGCCAAGCGTTAACACACGTGTCATTACGTCATCACATCAGTGGTGGATCTAGCAGCAATTTTCTTTTTTTTTGCGGGGGAGGGAGGGATTCTTGTCTAAGTGAACAGCTAAAGTTCGATAATAGAATCCAAAAAACCTACTTGTTATTGAATGTGGATACTACTAACTATTTTTGTCAACAAAATTAATATGTTGATATTTAAGGGTGCTATTTTTCACTATTACCTGCAGGAGTGAATACAATTGTGTAACCCCCGCTCCCCCCAAAAAAATCCACCACTGCAGTACGTTCACTCCTCATATATTTTTAGTTAAGATCTTAGCTACATGAAGAATGGGAAAAGTATGCCTACCTCGGACAGGTTTTCTAGTGCCTACAAGAGAGAAAACAAAAAATGTAAGTTTGACAAATTTCAGACGACCTCACTTGTTTAGCTACAGTTTGCAGAAATTCCAAAAGCTTTATCGATATGACTTGACGATTTCCTCAAGAATAAATCTGCGAATCATTGACGTATCAAATATTTACCATGATAATTAATCTCACAAACGCTTGAAATACATTCTCAAATCGGATAAATGCGTACATTTTGCCAAAAACAAGTCATCTCGGGTTCAAAACTGTACTTACTTTTTACTTTCAATTTTATCGACAAAACAGCTGCTCCGTAAGAATTGTAAGCAGAACAATTATACATCCCGGCATCCTCTTTTTTGACGTTGACGATCTTCAGATGTTTGTGGTTCCTAATCAGAAATCTTGACCAATGATTCTTTGTGTTTTGAATAATCTCTCCATTATTGTCGAGCCAAGCAACCAACGTTCGATTTTCAATTGGATCTCTCGTACCAGTGACTGGACATTTCAGTTTCACAGAATGGCCGAGATATGCGCTATAATGCGTCCGCGGCTTACCTCTGAATCTTGGCGGGCCTATACGCAATAAAAGAGAAAAGTTGAAGGAGCACTACAACATTAGAGAATAGACGTATAAACAAATCAGGGGGGGTGGAACGTAACAAATGAATAAATGTATGATGTATGGTAAGGAGAGGAGTCATAAGAAAAATGTTTGATGTATGGCAAGGAGAGGATTCACAAGGAAAGAAAAAGCCAAAACCAATTGTTGACATTTTTGGTAAATGCAAAGTCAGAGATCAAAAGATCTTATACACCCTATATCATATACTAAAATAGTATTTTTCTTAAATGTTTTGTAAATAGAATTCATTTATTTCTTTTTGCATTTGAGATTCTAGCTACATACGCTCCAGGGATTCTCGCCCGGCACCTAACTGGCATGCAACAAGACTTAAATATCTTAAACCATGATCTGCCAAAAAGGGAGAAAAACAATATACGTTAATCAAATAAAGAATCATTTATACCAAGAAAGGAGGGATGTAATTAACTATTAAGTGCTTGAATCCATCAAGCTAAAATAAAGAAGATAATTTAACACGAGAATAGCGAAAGTAAAAATAAAACGATTCATATTCCCATTCCGGTTTCCGGTTTCAAAAAGTAATTAAAAACATGCTCGCTGGGAGGGTGAAAAACTCCAAACACTTTTTCACATTACAAAAAAAAGGATGAAAGTCGTCATCATAATGGTTACGCGCGCAAAGTTGACAAAGATTTGCTCAGGAGACGAATGGTGTAGTTATTGATAGTGGAGAGTAAAACTTATTATCTGTCGTTTTGCCTCATTTTTGTAAGGATAGATAATGATGAGAGAGAGAGTTAAAGTTGATAATCTTGTCTATACCACCGCTTCAAGACAGTCTTATAAAAAAAGAAGGGATTTACCATGGATAAAAATCATTTGTTTTTTTCTTCACATTTCCTTCGAAATCCTTCTCCGCCTTATCGCCGAGAATACGCGCTTTATTGCATATAAAATAGGACGATTTCTTTCGACTTAAACCACAGGAAAATAACATAAATTAATGAATTCCGCGGTGTTTTAGAGAAAGGAGCCTGAGCAAAAAATAACATGATCAAATAGCTTAACCGGTGCCAAAAAGACGGAAATAGTAATTGCCACAACTCGTTAAAAGATTCTCCTGTGACGTGAAATAGTTTTATAGGATTACAATGTGTGTTAGGGTAATGCATCCTTCGTACATAGAAAATGGCTTTGCTTTGAACACTATAGAATTAACAGATTAGCAAGACAGTGTATTCGCCTATTGAAATATTTCTTCGCAAAAAAAATGGCTACAAATGTATGAATTGTTTTATGCCTGGTGAAGGAGTTTATCAACAGCAACGTGCGTACAAGTAGCGAGGACAGATAACTGTGCTTGCATATACAAATTGATTGTCAAGCTCAGATGAATAACTCAAAACCTCTTCAGCTGTCTGAAATATCAGATAACAGTAATGAGTAGATGTGTGTCAATACATACACGAATTACGCAAGACTATTTGACGAGAGATCACGTTGGACGAGTGATGTGTTGCCGTATCGGACACATCAACTAAATGGTGAATAGTTATACAGAACAACATGGGGTCAGGATGTACACTAAATACAAAAATTCCAATATGATTCAACGCTGCTTGAGATGTCTTAATAAAATATGTGCATGACGTAAAAATTTCTTATAAGCTTTTAATATTACTATTTCCTTGCGTTTTATTCTGCTCATTTTCGTGCTTTGTATTTCGTGTTTCACTTCTGTGCTAACCCCCACTCTTCCAAGAAGCAACTACGTACTATCAACTAGTAATATAATGAAATGTATTCCGTAGAATAGTGACGAATGCACAGATGAAATGATTCATTATAACGAAAATAAATAGTTTTCTTGTTCGACATTTAGTTATGAAATGTCTAGCTAGGTAAAGTTAGTGCAAGTCAAATATCAAGATATACACAAAGGCTACGGTTGTAAGCTTTGACCATTTGATACGTCACAGTCTGTATGAAAATCTCACAAGCACACAGCGATAAGAGAAAAAGACGTGCTCGACAAGTTACATGATTTCATAGTTGTTCGTTAGTATCATAAATAAGGTTAGATAAACTTCTGTTATCAAAGCAGATGCTTGGGCCAGCCAACTGAGCAAAGCAACTGATGTCCCATAAAGTAGCAGTGATAATCCTATTTAAATACTTTCAGTTCTTATGCCCACTGCGTTTTTATTTAGCACCCACTAGTTATACCGGGTCATGAACAAACAACTTAAAACGCCCAAAAAATGCGTTTGGCAGAACATTCATATGAATCAATTTTTTTTGTTTTGTCTGTGAAACGGATTAAACCATTAACGACTCTGCCTTGGTATCATGTTTTTCTAAGAAACAAAGTAATCATTTAAGTATAAGATTACGCTATAGCAAATATGTGGAGATACGTATTTCTTATAGATAGGGGCCTGTTTAAGTTGAATAAATCCCGCGTTGCTATTAGGAAAATCGCTGTAAAATACAGCACATTACAAAAGAATAATCAAACAATTGAGCTGCTGGACGTCTTCAAGATGTCTACAGATAATATTGCACTTACAAAGGACAACAAATAAGCGATCTATTGTCTAGATTTTATTCAAATTTTACTGGTGAAGATTTTGTTCTTGCAGACGGATTTTTCGTCAAAATGAATTAAGGCACAATCTAGTTTGAATTAACGGGTGAAAAGAAGCAGACACTAACTTACAGTGAGTATTTTTTAGACAGAAGTGTGTGCGCTGAGTAGGTTCGATAAACAAAATTAGTAAAACCGATTGTCATCAGTTCAAGTAATTTTGGGTTGTGTGAAGAAACATATCCCAACACTTTATGCTAACTGCGTATAAATACAACGGCAAACAAATAAACATACATACAAGAATAAAGAGAACCGTTATAATAAGACTTACAATCCATACTTGAATAATAGTAATATTAAAAGCTTAATCTCTGATGATGGCTTTGGAATAAGAAACTATTTATATTATGTAAAATAGTTGAAAAGTATGAAAAGTACCAAGAACTTATACAAAGAGAACTACTCCCTTCACTCTAAATAAATCACTCGAAATATGTGAAAAGTAAGAAAAGTAGCCAGACCTTATACAAAGAGAACTACTCCTCCCTTCACTCTAAATAAGTCACTCGAAATATGTGAAAAGTAAGAAAAGTAGCCAGACCTTATACAAAGAGAACTACTCCCTTCACTCTAGATAAGTCACTCGAAATATGTGAAAAGGATGTAGCTACATACTCATCTCTCTATCTTGACTATAAATATCTGAAAACGGCGAGAAAATGTAGTTATAAAGCGGTAGAAAGTACAAAGAAGAACATTATTTAGCGCATTCATGCTATACAAATCATTAAAATTAAAAATAGCCCAGAAAACAAAACCCCTAAGACTTAAAATGGTTTCCCGTTATTAAGAAAGACACGAAAAGGCGTGCATTAGTAAATCGTTGCAAGAACAAAAACCTCCGCTGGTGACTCGTCCACTTAAAAGACCGAATTCAAAGCAACGCGATTTAATTACAATGTACAGTGCAATTTAACAACAGGATTTCGAACTAATGGAAAATATGATTAACAACAATACACAATATTCTCACGCAAAACTTTTCCAAATGAGCATAATTGAGTTTATCGTCCACTGTATGTATACAACAAATTAACATACGCACACACGAATTTAAGTTCGCCGTTCGGTCATTTGTCAATATTTCTTTAAGGAAGCTGACCGACCTACCCCGCGGTAAAAATCAGATTAGAAAAGTTTTAAGTCGATATCGAAGACGTGATAGCAAGCATTGACATGTATTGTCATCCACGAGGTCTTTGAAGTAGAACATGTAATAGTTGTGCTTTTTTTGTCACAAAGTATGTAAGAAAGATTGTAAAATAATTCATGTTCTTTATTGAGGATAACTATTAATTAAGGGTAACTCGATGCATTAATTGCTACAATATACTAAAATGAACAAGTTCCGTGTACAAAATTTCGACAATATGCTCGACTGCTATCTCTCCTCATAGATCTGCGGCGAGATAATTTTTCATTACAGACTTCATTAACATATATATTCTTAAAGATACCAAACAGTCATTATACAAACGATCGATAAAAACAGTCGCTCACATAAAAACTCTTTAGAAATCACGATCTTAAAACATAGTTGTCTTCATATATCTAACTAAGCCATGATTAAAACTAGCGAACACTTTAAATTCATAGTTTTAGCATGCATAAATGAACAGTTTTATAAGTCTCATCAACATTATCCTGAACAGAAACTTAAGCCGAGTATACACAGTATAAAATGTATTTTTTTCAATTGCCGACAAAAATTGCATACTTGAACTAGATGCAGACAAGAACCTAAAACAAATCGACTTCTTGGGCTTAGATCTTCACGCCAATAAATTTATCTTTGCTATACTTCTAAGACAAACTATTTTCAATGGCAACTCAAATATGACCAGAACGTATAAATCAATAAAAAACATGAAATCTTCTAACGTGATTTCATGCAGGTATGATGTCAGCCTGTCGATATCTGCTGTGTATACAGTTTATGCTTGCTATACTAAGGTACATGCTTTCTAAATGGAAAGAGGGGTATAGTATAATGAGAGAACTGCTGCATGGCTATGAAAAGTCTTATCGATTTTCCGGAACAACTTGATGCGAGGCAGAACATATCCTGTCAAGAGTCCATAAATCTTGCTTACACGCAACGGAAGAATAGTGTATCGAAGATTCGATGAATCGTACTATCACTAATCTTTAGAAAATGGCGCAGACTCTGATCAGTTTCACAATAAAAATAGTCGAAATTCAAAAGCAAAAATGTAAATTTCAGCAACAGACGCGAGAAAGGCCCGAAGGCAGCAAAACATATGTTTTAATCAAAAAAACATATTGGCAATAGCACAAAAATGTTTTTGTATCAGAAAGGAGCTCATTAAAACATTAAAACGGTGTTTTAAGTGGAATTGAACGTATAATTATAGCAATTGCTTGGCAAAGGCTTTTCGCACGCATAAAACATACACAAAAATCACGAGTCGAAGGTGTTTCTCGTGTATGGCTCATAGCTGGTAGCTGGAGAACAAACAGGAGGATCATATTTCACGCAAGCCGTGTCAAAGTCATTTCATTTCGTCGCATGAAGATTTTTATCAAATACAACACGTTATAGCTCGTACTCTTCAAACTTAATAACATCAAAAATTACAAAACTCGCTCTTACCAACACAATAAACCAATATCGATGTCCGCATGATCCACAGTAAGGAACATACTAACCATACGCTCAATGCGATAGCCATTAACAATTGTTTACAGAACTCACAGCGACAGCTTTGTCTTCTCCAAACCACTTGCGAACAATCACGCTTTTAAGTCGACGTGATTACGAGGAGAGGTGCCCCTAAAACCAAGTAAGAACATCACGTCAACCTTACGAAAAGCGCCATTAAAATGAAGCAACTACATTAATAGGAATTCCAATATTGTATTATTATTGTGCTTCCCACTCGTATGTCAACACGAGGCTAAAGCGACCACAGTTGTTGAAAATGTGTTCATCTTATGTCGTACTTGACCAGAACGCTTGGCGCCACTCGAGTAAGATGGAATATCAAATACCTTATAAGCACACTACTTTTGCACTAAAATTCAAAATCAACTCCCATCACAAGTGTTAAAATAAGCGTGATTGCAGTCGGCTTAATACGGCGCAATTTGCACATCGGCTATGAAAGCATTTCCTTCGGATTTTCAGGAAGCGATGTCCGGAGCCGCGATTTTCTTCAATGTTTTAGTAAAATATAGGTAGTTGGAATGTGGTCTATATTGGAGTCCCCTCAAATGGAAAAAACATGTATAAAACACATGACTTGAATATATATTACCAAGATGAGGAAACCATATTTCCACAGATATGCTTTGTTTGTTAACTTCCTTTCTTCTAAACGAAACCGGTTTCTTCCAAGAGAGCAACGCTCATAAATGGTCGCTCGTCAGCATCGTAAGACAGCGTATTTTGTAAGGTTCCGTCCACACACAATTATACCGGACTACGAAGATATTCGCTTTCGAATGTCACACTTGTGTAGAAATAACAAATACAAACAGTACGCCTCAAGAGCTTTCAATATAGACCCACGCAAAGCTGAGATGAAAATATCTCACGCGTATAGGATTCCTCGAGGCTTGAGAGTGTACACAAGAGCGCAAGTGAATTACTTCAAATAACCAAGGAACATGTCTAGTTGGGAGTCTCAAGTTCCATTAATTAATCCGTCTGCGTTAATATTTCTATACGCGTTCGAGCAACACGCTTTACGTGGTCTGCTAATCGCGCAAGAGCATTAATAATGTAGTCGTTAAGAAAGGTAATCGATCAAAATCAATCAGGATCGCTCTCGCAAGATTTGACACACGAATTTGAGAATTGCTTTCCGCTATAATCGCGATACGTATACGATAGCGAGCTAACGGTAGAGCGCGTTAACAAATAACATGGCAGAGTGGTTGATTTGATTTATGACTATTGCTACCCACCTTTCAAATTTTCCACATCCTATAATTTACCAGAAAGTAGCATACAGGCCTCACGTGTATATAATTATTATCAAGATCATCATAGAGAAGATGATCGCGAGTTTGTGATAGTAAAAGTACAAGTATTTATCATACCAACCACATATCATACAATACACTTACTTTTATTCCCTATATCTCACTGTGTGATCTGCTGACGACCAAGTGACATTTTGTTTGATATACTCATGTTTCTAGAGACTAGCTTCAAATATCTTATTCTCGGGGATTAATCCAATCCCCACCCAGAACAGGCTCAATTAGAACCTGTCAAGGTGCAAGCTTGTCAGTTTTCCTTGTTTCCGTAATTGTGGGGATCATATAAACATTTGTACAACTCTACACACGAATTCACGACGATGCAAACTTGATGAATGCCGACGCGTATCGTTGTGAAAACATAAAATTTATCCCATTTACAGTCAATCTTTATAGCGACTCTGTTTTTTAAATTATAAAGTTGACTTCCTTTGTGTGTGTGTGTTGGGGGTGTCAAACTGCGAATGTTATTCAAAACTTGGTAAACATTGCATTTGTTTAAACATTCAATTCATCTGCGTTCCTTCGCCTCAATTTTGAAATCACAATTAAGTGCGACTCAATTAGTGCACAAGCTCATGGCAGCTAAAATTTACAAAACCTATTTTACATTGGACAGGATTTATTCATTTAGCTCAAGCATGTGCTGATGGAAGATCAAAGAGAGGTAATGACTAAGCCCCTGCAGAGCAATTGAATGCGGCCAAAACGACGAATCCAAACCAAATAAACTCCCTCGAATCTTGCAGCCAATCAGCGCAAAGGCGTTTGTGACATTTTAATCATAATAATTAGCGTACGTTTGACGTATATTCAAGCAGCCGCGCTTGCACAAAAGCCAATGAAAATGAGCCATTGCCATCTTTCAATCTCATTTGAAATTGTAAGACTTCCCGCTGCTAAAAGCCATCACAGAGAGCCGCAAAAATGAATATCATTAGAAATTCAAGGTTGCAAAATAATACGTGCTGTAGCTTGTGGCAGATGTCAAACCACAAGCCAACCACGCTATCATCTGTTTGTAAACCGATCCTTGTTGACGAAGCTCTTCATCACAATGTGCATGCTCAAACGACAGAAAAGGGTCTAACGAAAACATCAATACTAAACTCTTAGGGCAAAACATATAAATTTGTTTCAATATATAAGGGAAACATGAAACAGTTTCGACTTTCATATTTTGGCGTACTTTGCCATTTAGTCGTGTGACATGCTTAGAATGGAACAGAATGTTCGCTTTGTGAAACATTACGAGATTCAACTAAGTTTGAATGTAATGTCAATTTTAGACAAAGACTCGTATCAATAATTTCACTGTTCTGACAGCTTCTATTCTTATGGCGCACTGCAAAAGACAACAGGAGTAGGCAGCGGTTATTTTAAATTGCTGTAAAAATTATCAGGCTTTGACATTACATCAGAACAAACGTATGGCAAAATGGATTTTCCGCTTTTCAAACGTCATGCAGTGGTTACATCTTCATAATTCACAGTTCACAGGGACACGTTTCAAATTGACAACGTGTCAATCAATGAAACAATTAGTGATATGACTTACCCAACGAGAAAATGTTCAAGTGAGCACTGTAGTTTGCGTTGATCTCTAGCCAAGAAACTGTTGTTCGCCAAACAATTTTGTAAACACAATCTAACAATAACGAAGCAAGTTATTGTATATGCACAAAAAACACCGTCCAACTAAGCAGGGGGGCCGTTTTACTGGTCCCATTATCTATTTCGCATGCATATAAATATCAAGAAATAAATTGCATTTTAAAAATGAATAACAAAGACGCCACATTTGCCTAACACATTTATGTTGTTTACCGTGGTCTCGAGGCTCATCTGAAATTGTGGTTCACACGAGAATCGCGTAGCATTGATTTGTACTTAATGTACGACAAAATAGCTTGTATCTAATCGTGAATAGCAAATATATGCACAGGTGACTGACAGTAAATGTTTTATTTCACTGATAGCAAAAATTTCACTTGAAAAAATTCTTCGCTTTCTCCAGAAAAATAAGATAGTCTTCAGCAGATGCTAAACACTTGGATTTTGCTCATAGCCACTAGGAGCAAGTTCTCCGGACTGGAAAGATGAAACCGCCATCAAAGTACACTGATTGATGTGGTTATTTAATTTTCCAAAGCGTCCGCAAAGTAATTGAGCCTATTTACGCTCACAAAAACTAAAACATAAACGACCCCATTTGCAGACACTGCACAAATTGACTATTTACCCAAACCCGTCATCAATTATCTTTATGGAAACATCAGGCACACATCCAATTTACTGTACCATTGTTTTCCATCATTAATTTCATGCAGTTTGGGATTAGTGGGGCAAAATGAAAAAACAATTGTAACTCTGTTTGTATCGCTTGTTCGTTGTCGTGACGACATTAATGCTTGCCTATAGTGTATTGTATTATGATCGTGAACAAAACGTCCCTTGGTGTTGAAAAAGGAATGGAAACAGGTGATTTAGTGTTGAAAAAGGAATAAGAGAGTATGGAGGAGAAACTTATTGATATGTGATAAACCTGTATACCTTATGCCCAAGTATAAGATTCGCAATTAAGCCAGCCATCGTTATTGATTGTACATGTGTAAATAGGTACTGCATGCCCTAGCCCACAAGAGCGTTTACATTCTCCCTTAGTTGCGGAAAATCACATAAAATAGTGCAAATAAAGACAAAGCTACATTCGTTGTTAATCAACTAGTGTCATGTGATGTCGGTAGGGCGAAATAAATGCAGGCATGAAAGATTAAAGGTAGAGAGAAGAGAGACATTTCCTAGAACGTACATCCTGATCTGTTTGAACGAATAACAACGAGCAGACGGTAATTTTTCTCATAAGGTTCACGGCATTATTGTTTGCTGTTGCAATCAATCAGACGACCAAATGGACTCTTTCATACATTAGACCTCTCCCGCGGTTCGATAAATATTTATTCAAACCAGAAGGTGAAAAAATGACAAAACTTCACTTAGTAACTCGGACAATTCTACGTAATGGGAATTCAAGCGGAAACACAGAGTAAATGATGATTTGAAAGCCGATCACCCTGAATACACCATAAATTTTCAGGCAAATCATTTCGTTAGCTATTTTTGGCATATTTTAAATCGCAGCGAGTTGGATCGAGAATGAGCTTTTAAAAGTTTTACCCAAATGATTATTTAATGAGGTTCAAAAGCAAAATTTTCAACTTCCATATCTAAGAAGACTCGAATGAAAATTTAGCCTTCATTGTGAAATTAATCTAATTAGCTACGTTTGCGCTGAAAATCGGTCGGTTCAAGAATGAAATCAATTGTTCGATACAGTTCAAAGGAAGCAATTCGAAGTTTTTAGATGGACAAATAGATTTAATTATAGTCAAAAAAGTTTCATTTAAAAATTTGAATTATAGTTTGACGTTAGACTTTAAAAAACACACATTCCCGCCGAAACTTGTTTTTTCAATAAGTTGCAGTCGCTCGAAGACTGAGATGGTTTTCGGACTGAACGCCGATTCAAAAGCGTAATCAGGCGAAACAATTCGAACATACTTCTCTATTAACTGAATTAACATTCTAATTGACAAAAATTCTCACTTTTTGTCTTCTTTTTATCACCCCCAAGGTCCAAAGTTTCCACGTCTAGTTTTTGGCGGTGATAATGGACAACATCCGCACAATACTAAAACAAGACCAATCAAAATCCGCGAATGACACCATATGCTATAAAAGCAGCGAGAAAACGTATCGCTGTAACTATTTAGTCAGTTACACAAAATCTACTTCGAAATTTTGCACAATAGGCGAAAGATGAGTTCTCGCGTTAAAGGAGACGTACTTTACATACGAACATAAGGTTGCTTTATTTTACCATTAAAGCAGCACGACAAACCGGAACCAATTAGCGAATGCGCCAAACTGACTATATTTCTCATTAGTTTGTATTAACCAGCAAATGTAAACTATTGTACACATATTGCATATCCTAATTGATTCTGACAAGTCACTGCTTGAATGTGAGTGATAATGTATTAGTAGCAAACAAGAAAAAAGCAAAAATTCGCTGAATGATGTTAAAACCTTAGAGTGAATGAGCGAACAATCATTTGATCGGTTTTTCCTTCCTTGACTATTCACAGAAGGAGAGCTCCGCCTCGTTCCTTAATTGATAAATGGCAAACTTACGATGTATAGCAGTATTGAAACTGACAATCTTATGGTTGAAACAGTCTTCAAAGAAATAAAGATAAACAATGTTAAATAGACGTGACTGATGCGAACCTAAAAACGACCGAATAAGAGTGCAATTCTGAGCAAACTTTGTGTTTGACAAAAGTCATAATTTACAAGAGAATTTACGTTAAAAAACCGAATGGAGGGGAGGGTGAGACTATTTTCAAAAAGCTTTGTCGTGCTTTGCCTTTAAACATAAAGATGGTTCAAGTCTTACATAAATGCACCACTGATTTTGTAACAAGGCAATTCAAGAAATTCTGGCCAACGTTAGAGTTACAATTAGCTATTTCGAAAACTGCAGGGAGTCTGGGTACAAACAAAACTTGAATAGGATTATGGTACTGTTTGCATTGGGGACGCACAATTTTTCAAATAATTATGTTACAAACACTGTAAACATTAACAAACAGTACATTCAAGTAAGATAAAAAAGATTATTAAGTGAATTGTTGCTTAAAGCATTTGTATTCTCCAGTTTTCCTGAACATCAGCACAGGGATTTCTGTTGAAATCACCATTGACTTTAGAAAAACTTGCAATGCTATTGCTCTTTTTACATTTCTGTATAGTTAACACCACCAGATCTTATAAGCAATTCACCAATGTTTATTGAACGATCTTTATTTATATACATCTATTTAGTTGTAAGGCAAATTCTATTACAATTAATTCTTGTGAATATATTACAATTTCGGACATTTCTCGTAGTATATTAATAAGCTACGGGCGTAAGCAAGCGTCTTCCAAAACAATACCATAATGCTTCACGAGCTATAACTGGCACCCAAACTTCCAGTTTTCGAAGAAGCTTATAGGTTTTATATTATACACTCAATGTGTGCTTCCTCGGGAAATATTGAGTTTTATTTTCCAGGAGAGTCAATGTTTCCTGGAACGAAGTTAAGAGAAACGTTACGCGAGACTCGAGAGAAAACAAAACTCACCATTTCCCGAGGAAGCGTACATTAAAACAGAGATCATAGATTTCGACAGCTTAAGAAATACCATCGTCTTTCCGTGGAGATCCTTCCATTGCAAAATACTATAAGGGTGACCATAGCATTTTTGGTCGACTTCCAAGTGTTTTCCGAATCCCTTTTTTCTATTAATAGTTGAATGTCGTCGCTTAACAAACTTGAGTAACATTTTCTTAGTTTTCGATACCATAGCTGTTTTATTTATGATATCAAAATAAGCAGACAACAATTTTTCACTTGTTTCCCAGAGGGGATACATTGTATTTATTTTAAGTCATGTGATTATGAATGAACCAATTATAATTTACCACACACCGCACTTATTTAATAATGAAAGATATATTTGTGATTTTGTTCTAATGGATGAGATCTTATAACCTTCTTTTTGACGTTTGTCAGCTGTGTTCTAGCATAGTTTGTTTCAGGTAATCTTCACAATTTTGTTGACAGTACTTGTAGTGTTATAAGGCCTGTCGTCGCAGTCGAAAGAAGGCATTTGCATCTTTGGTCCGTTATTACCAAAGCAAATGTTCGCCATAATTTATAGTAAATATACAGAGCCTCCATGTCATCGAAAGAAGGCATTTGCATCTTTGGTCCGTTATTACCAAAGTAAATGTTCGCCATAATTATAGTAAATATACAGAGCCTCCATGTCATTTATATTTTCAGAAGCGCAAATCATATTGCAAGAAAAGTCTTGCAGTTTTTTTCCAAAAGTACATATATCTGACAAAATCATGCATAAATTACGTCATGGACATGCATAATTAATCACACAACATGGAAAGATACGGGCTTCGTGGGGTTATGATCACCCTCACCCCTATATACCAACTATACATCGGTAAATTAAAGCTGTTCTGCATCAAATTCGTGTTTAGTATAATATTTATTAAAAAATTGCTGGAATATAATGTACGTATGTGGTTATGTGATTGATAGTGAATATCAAAATACATAATCAAATCTTGATTAATTACAGAGTCGCCACTTAAATAATTACAATGATACCCACAACTAAACCAACTAATAATCACACTTTTCTCTTAAGACGATATTAGTTAAACCCAAAACATCAAGATAGACATCTATTTATCCACGACATTCTGAGGATGGTTCGCTTCAAAGGCAATGTTATAAATTTCATCAGAATACTCGCACATTTCTTGTGCACCCTCTGTAACATCCAGCCACAGCTGTGGTATGTGTTCATCCCCCCAATAGGCACCAGCTATTGCTCCAGTCATTGAGGCAATAGTATCAGTATCGCCTCCAAGAGACATTGAATAAAACAGGGCATCTTTCATGCAAGTTTTTGACTTATGAAGAAATGCGTAGATAGCAGTAGGTACAGCCTCTGCCGCTCTAATGCCATGTCCGAGTGTATCAATCACACGTTGGCGGTTTGAATCGTCTTCATGTTCCACAAGTAGTTGTTTTACATGTCGTAGTTGAGTAGTGAACGATTGAGTGGCTTCTTCATCGTCAACATGACAAATGTCATCACTAAAAGTTTAATGGCGATTATAGCTTGACGTGAATAAGATTAAAGACAAGAATGAGGGAAAGTATTGGAGACGAGAATGGGGAGATTTGACAAGAGGGAGATGGAGGAAATCCGAGACGAGAAATTGAGACAGAGAGACAAAAGAGGAGGAACAAAAGGGGAGATCAAAAAGGGGAGAGAAAGAAAAGAAGAGCATCAGAACAAAAGGGAGAGATGGAGACAAAAAACAGTCAAAGGAAAAGAGGATCAAATCGAGAGAGAAAAGAGAGAGAAATCATCGGATTTCAAAATCGAGAAAGAAATCGAGATCGAGATTTCGAGAGGGCATCGATCAAAGAGATCGAGATCGAAGATCGAGACAAAATCAGACATCGAGGAAAATGAAGATTTCAAAGAGGATCGAAGAGATCAGTCGAGAAGTCGAGATCCGAGATCGAGAAATCGAGATCAAGAGGGGAGAATTCGAAGATCGAGAAGAATCAGAATCGAGAAAGGAAAATCAGACAAAGGAGAAATCGGATCAGAAAGGATGGAGAAAAGAGGAAGCAGAGGAGAGAGATCAAAAGAAAGAAGGGAAGAAGATGAGACAAAAAGGGAGAGTATTGAGACAAGAGAGAGATTGGAGACAAGAAGGGGAGAGTATTGGAGACAAGAAGAGGGGAGAGTATTGGAGACAAGAAGATAAGGCTGACAAGGCAACATGAAAACAATGAAAAGAAAACCAAAGAGCCACATAAATCAAGGATCTAGGATATCGTCTCAGAGATCTATGATATCACACACATCATGAAGTAATACTTACTCAATTTTGCTCTTATTTTCCAAATCCTTTGCTACAGAGATAAGTTTGTCAATATAGGCTGAGGTGTCAAGTTTTCCAAGTGGTGTATGTAGAGATAAATACACTGCAACTGCTTGAAGGACAGCACCTTCAACACCAAGAGTGTGCGCATGAGTAATCAATGCCTGTTCTCTTGCTGCCTAAAGATCATAACTTTACAGCATAACTGAACTAAACATTATAAGTATTGTAAGCAAAACTTACATTTTCAGGAATAAGGTTTAGAGCCCTTGATTATGTTCAATATGCTAACTAAAAATACTCACTTTCTTAACTTCCTTAACGTCATTTTGATAAAATAATGCAAACGGTGCAACTCTCATGGCAGCCCCGTTACCATAGGAACCAGTACCATTGAACTGATCTCGTGCTGGTGCTTTCACATCTTCTAACGTTTGCGACCTCAATTTATCAAATACCGTAATAACACCGCCACCGTATCCTCGGCGTGGCTCTGCCATAAAGCTCCGTACAAACTCGTTTGCTAAATGATCAATGTCAAACGCTTTTTTCCTCAATAATGAGCGACAGATAGCCATTGTCATCGCAGAATCGTCGGTAAAGTGAAACAGTTTGTTTGTTTTCATTTCGCGAAGTTTTTCGTTTGAAAACCGATCAAACTCTTCAGACGGGACAGGTTCTTGGAAATACTTACATTCAAACTCTGCACCAAACGCATCACCAAACAAAGCACCCAAAAGACAGCCTTTAAATTTGCTTCGAAAGATATTCTTATGCGCGACCGCCGCCATACTGTATATATGAGCAAGTAATACTACATGCATGCGGTAGTAATAGAACATGCATATTGTGTTAAACTTTTATCGAGCTTCATGTAAGAATGATCTAAGGTATTATTGCCTAAAACTATTCTCACATTTCAGAAGTTCAAAACTAAAGTAAAGTTTCTAAAGTAAGCGCAAATATTATAAGTAGTGCCTTTAAAAAAGTCACTGTTTGATTTGAAGACTTCCCACAGTCACATCCATTTCATATCAACTCTCCGACGGAAAATAAAACTGACTCCTACGTGTTGCTTTCAATAAACGTTTTGAAGCGTAATACGGAAGACTTTTTAAGAAAAAGCAGCAATAATTTTTTAAAAGTATTCGTTCGTGATCTTGATATCCTTTCAACACTCTCCTTAGTCTCCCATTGCACTTAGCGCAGGATATGGCAACAGTAACACGTCATGATAGACGACAAAATTATCACATCATAACTTTCGGTTTGTGCTTCAAAATGTCACGAAAACACGCTTGAAACTATCACATTTTAATTCAAATTTGTCGAAACTTTATTTTTTCTCACACTTTAATGAAATTTTCATTGTTTATTACGAATTAGCGATGAATGACAAAGAATAACAACGCAAGTTTTGGCGTGTTTCCGTCAAAACAAACGTAAAAACTTTATGATTGTTGATACAGAAAAAAGTTCTTTCTTTAAAAACAAAAGTAGAGGCTCGTCAAACACTGACATTACACATACACAGCATACATAGCATTTGATTCCACAGTAATTGGTAAAAATGCCTGTGGCAACAGGTAAGGGGAGGGATATTAGGATACAGAAAGAGAAAAGTGCTTTATTTATAGAGGTTTAAGTGCGAGTTAAAATATGAATGGCGTAATGGCGACAGGCTTTAACTCATCTTAAACTGGGTACAACTTAGTAAATTTACGTTTGTATAACATGTCATAGAATCATAAACTATTTATTGGATGAGATTCGAGATGATTTGAAAGATTTTCATGAAAGATTCTTTTAATGTGAAAAGCAAATGCTCGAATTTCTTACGAAAATATCAACATAGCATAGAATAGCACAACATAGCATGACACAGCATAGCATGACATACCATGAACTTAAGAATGAGGAAACGTACTTTTTCTAACTTTTTTAATATTAATGACAGAATTATGTTTTTTCCACATCAATAGATAAATCATTCCAAGAAATAGCTCCATATACTTAAAAAAAACTTTTGAACTTTTTTCCATCGGTCATTATAATATTCAATCGTTCAACAATACATGAGTTAGTAAAAGGAATAGTCTTTGTCATGCTTTTGCGTTGGAAGTGACAATTTCACACACAAGACTATCACAAACAGAAGGCCGGAAATGTTTAAAAACATAATAGAGCATGTTAGTTTTCACTCGATTTAACTCTTCCCGTCTATTGAATAAAAATATTGTTATTGTGGACATGTTTGAAAGTGACGAGACCAGTCAAAACGGATTATTTCAAAAACAATGTTTCGTGTGCTACATTGTTTTGTTAAAAAATGGTTTGCCAACTTTGAACGCTGAAAACAAATTTCATTCAAGTTGTATCATGTTGAGCATTAAATAATCCCCAGGAAGTTCTAAAAAGCGGCAAAAATTTGGGTGGTAAAAAGCGTTTTCAAAACTCAATTATATGCCACAGGTAAAAGTCTACTAAACGACTGCCCTTTGTTGGGGAACCTGAAAGCTATGGCGTCTTAAAAAAATGCTGGAATCTTCAAATGTTCTACAACAACTTACATCCCCGCTTGGGACCAACTAGTGCATAAATAACTGACGTGAAGTTGATGCCAGCACACCCCCAGCCTTCAAAAACGACTGCTGAACATGACAAACAGTCTTCGATTGACGTCACTTCTCTAAATAATAATTAAGAGTCGAAAACTAATTTCTGAAATAAGGAAAAGGTTGGATGGCTTCGACGCAGTTTCGTGGCTTCGACATAATAATGAGCGGTAATGACTTATGGTTATATTGACGTTGACCGTTATCCTGTTTCCTCATTCAAATGACCTTGGTGCGCCGGGATTTCATGCTTGAACACTAAGGTTGAATGCAGTGGCGCTTCTATGGAATGAATTGGGAAGTGATTTTGAGAGGCACTTCATGAGAAATAAATTCATCAATTTTTCAATTCAATATAAATATTTAGTAATGCAATTTAGATAAAAATTTGCCGTCACGTTTATCAATGCAATTGTGACTCCTGAACAACATGCATATAAGCATAGGATGTTTTGTTTATGGCACAAGAGATTATGATTTCTTTTACGTCACTTTATTTCATTGACTACCACACGTCTACTCTATTCTAGATTGCTTTTTCATCTTCTCTTCTCTTCTCTTCTCTTCACCTCTCCTATCCTTAATTATGTTTATACAAGTCGGCCAACTAATATATACGCTCAAGAATAATCCATTACTTAAACGACTTGGGAAAGATTAGTAAAAGCAAAGTTGAGATTACCAAAAAAGAATAAAATATATGTATGCAGATTGCCAACTCTTAAATCTGTCATTCCACTTGATTTGTATAAAACTCAAAATTTGTATTGAGTTTAATGACAGATCATAGGTTGAAGTTCAATGACAGACCATAGGATATATATACATTTTATAAAAATGTATATCATTTATTCTGTAAAACACCAGCTGCACAATCTCATAAGACAGGAAGAAAGAACAAAAACCAGTAGAAAATTTAACAACAATAGCCAATTAATACAAAATTATTTGTGAACATCATGTTTTGTTTTGAATTCAGAAAGAATTCTTTACATGTGTAAATTGACGTCGTTTACAGTGGGGGAGGATGAGGAAAAACGTCAACAATAAGGAAAATTACCGAGAAAATTACGAAATGCTTTCCGTAAGTGACTGCCAACTAAAACGAAAATCAGTTGAGTTCATTCAGGGGTGCATTTTGTGAATAATAAAGCACCTGAATAGGCATTTATGAGTTTTGACAATCAAGAAAACTGCAATGCGCATAAAGTTATAAGTGTATAGCTTTGTTGTCATTTTTCCTTCCTGTCATGTTAGAATCATTAACAAGACTGAAAAATCGTTTCGTTCGTCAGCCGTTCTACGTAAGAAGGTTTGATACTACAGGTCTTAAAATTTTTTCAGAATTAGAAATCTCGCATCCAATTAGCCGGACTTTTCATTACGAAACCATTGCCTAATTTCAGGCTTTCTTAATTAATCTCCTCATTCCACAACCTTGGTAAGTTCACTTCCTAAATGTACTCAAGAAAACCTCAAAATATTACAAGAATTTCAATTTGCATACTGCTTCAGTTACGTGTTGCACAATTCGCTGCTAGTTTCTTTCAGATGTCATGCGCCGAAACCACACATCACAGATGTAAACTATGTAGATTTGACGAGCACATAGGATCGCCCACGCGTGACGCACGCTTCCTTAGATGATATTCAATATTCCACGATATTGCGGCATGTCTAGTTGGGGGGAGAAAGCTGGCTTTGTTGTTCTCACTTTTTCAAAGCAAACCCGGGTACTCGAAAGAATGGGTCGTATATTACTCAAGCGCATTGCATGCTTATTTTCCGTCATCAACACAAAAAGACTAAGCGTTGAAAGGTAAAAGTGTAGACGGTATAGCATCTTACAACTACGTTGCTACGCCGTAAGGTCAGTCTCGTGAGAGGAGGCCCACTTTGGGGTCGAATACGCAGACATTGTTGAACTTAACAGACTCCTGCAAGCACTGGTACGACTTGTTGATGAGATATAATCTAAAACTATTTGCCAAACACCGGAAACGTCTTTTTCAAATTCCACCACTTCCTGTGATAAAGAAATGCTCTTTAGTAACTTTTATTCGCTCTTGCATGCTCAAAGATTTCCATAAGTGTTGTGTATCGTGAACGCGTATGGCAAATCGGTGCGTTGTAAAGTCAAAACAAAGTGCGTAGAAAAGCGAAAGGTCGCTAATGTTAAAGACATATAGCGTGTTGTATAGTGATCAGGCGACACAGTGTTGAAAGCGTGCTGCTGTATTTCACCTTATAGTCTGAATGGGGCATCCTGAGCCATTCGACAAGATTATATTGCCTGACATACTGTGATTTCTCAACAGTTCCACTCTGATAAAACTCGAATTTCAGACGTTAGCGTTATCGCTGTGAATCTGTAATCCTACAGTTACTACATCAGCGATGCAAGTTTGTTACAAATAAAAAGATAAATGAGCAGTTTTGAAACATAGGCAGCAACACAACACATCTGAAGAACCTGCGGGTTCGAGAGCGTTGAAGTTTTGGGAACGAAAAATTATCGGAAGTTCTGTGTAAACCCAGGAAGGAACGAAGAAAGGCGAGCCCATTATTAATACCTTACTTGCTGACATTTCATCCTAATCACAGACACGGTCAGAAGCCCGCTTCATGAACTTCTCTTTGACCAAACTCGATAAATATAGTACGTAGAAAGTATAATACAAACATCTTCTTCGAGTATTGCTTGTGCTGTGTTGACGTATATATGGCCGCAACAAGATTTGAAAGCCAATCAAAGGGCTGGCAAGGTTTTACACAACGTTCTATTGGTAGTCTAAGACCGTTGAATTATGGCGTTAAGTTGGGACGATACAAAGAAGACATAAACTCGTTTGCCGAAGATGATGAATGTATATATTATTCAACTGTTTATGGTAAGGATCATAAACTTAAGCTGGTGAGCAATCCAGGATTTGGAAAGTTCGCTAAACCTCACTCGAAGTTTAAGGACGAAAAACTAAATAAAACTATGTCAACGAAAGTCGATAAGTACGACGCTGAGGATGAAGGAACTTATGAACTTTTAAGTTGTACGACAGAGCAACCACCAGTTTCTCATTCACCGTTTCATACGGCTTTAAGTACTAATCGGGATCGTCATACTCTCGTACCAATGAACATGCTTCGCGCAATGAAGAACGATCTTGTCTCGCAACAGAACACGGGTCGAGTGATGACATTTGAACCGGACAGTTATCGGCCGTACCTATCTTCCGAATATGTGTGTAATAATAACTGCGTTGAAAAGGCGAAATTAACCGGCCATAGTGGCTTTGTTTCGCAACAATCTTCGCACAGCTTGATGAAAAGGGAAGACAGCGAAGAGCTTTTAGACTATTGTACATGTATGTGTTTCGTTAAAGGTGCTTTCTACCACTTTACAAAGGATAACGAGGACGAAGGACAGATTGCTGATGAGCCATGTTCGTGTGCTGGTCCGTTGAGTCAATGTTTACCTCGTTGGTGTTGTCTAAGCGCGTTCTCAATGTTATTTCCCTGTCTTTGCTGCTATCCACCATTGAAGGGTTGTAAAAAGCTGAGGAATCTCGTGAATGAGTCAAAAACGACAGCAAATGAGAAGAAAACAAGCAAATAATGAAATTCCCATTTATCATGTAGCCCTCTATTGATAGCTTGACTGAACTCACAGAGATCAAGAAGATTTAGAAGAGTAATAATGAGAAAATGGTATCCGTAATGGATCAACTCTACGAATATTGATCATAGCCAAGGCGCTAAACTTTTTAACAAACTGTAAGCTATGCACGGAGTTGTCGACAAATGAAATTTCAATGAAGTATAAGACAAATGGCATTTGAAACACATTCTAGCTGCCTTCTTTGTGGCCAAATTTATTTATGTTTATTTTTTAAACGTTTTGGAAGTAATTTATAGTTTATAAATAAAAGAAGGTAGCAGCGTATTGTATTTAACTAGAAAGCAGCGCTTGTCCTGAAGTCTGCAAAGGTTCATCCATAGCACCTTTCTCAGATATATCATTTAGGAGATGCTATTTATCTGAAGTTGTGCGTTTATTTCACGCAAATGCGCGAGCGGCATGATAATATTTGTAGCGAACAGAAATATATATATATATATTAGCTAACAAGCATGCTTGCCATTTTGTATAGTACTTGTCCTTCTTGTACATAACTGTATATATTTAATGAAGTATCTGTGATACTCTACCGATGTAAATAAAATGAATTCCACTGGGAAACTACAAACGAAAAGTTACTTGCTTTGCAAAACGACAAATGCCCTAACGTTAGAAATGATTTGAAACTGGACACATGTAATGACAAGCGCTTGAAAAATATAACCTTTGACTTGATAAGGCCTAAATTGAGGTTAATTTTGTAGAGATAGTACATGGAAGTTTTGCATTAGCGACAACAGTCATACTATAATTGTTAGAAGGTCGACCTCTAACTCTACATTGAATCGATTTCTTTTTCTTCAAGGCTTTGCAACATTGCTTATAATTCGGTGAAACGGCACTTTAATTTTATCCTCATTCTCAACGAAGCAAAAGTTTTCTAATTAAGATTGTGACCTGAGATCCTAAAACACGTTGTATTACATGCGAGTGACATGAGGACCCACGTTTTTCGTCTAAACTTCTATAAGCAAGTCAAAAGAACAAAATATTTATGAACTACTAAAATTCTTTTACCAACTTAACAATTTTACTCTTCTGTCTACAAAAACACGCCACCTCTACTATTTACAGTGAGCACACATATAGGCGGGAGTTTGAAACCGTGTAACAGATACTTTCTGTATGAGGTGCGATGTTTTCTTTGAAAAAGATTGTTCCTGTCTCAGGAGACGAAATATTTACTAAAGAAATATCAAAACACACAAATCCACATTAGTTTTGCTTAGAAAAGCCACGAAAAGCCGACGGGTCAACAAGCTATAATGCCCTGTAGAACGATGCTTGGAAGAAAGCCAGAAGATTTTTGTGGCTTTGTCGAGGTGCCTGTATAGTATAGACCAGAAGAGACAGTTACTTGTCACCATTATATGGCATACGGTCATTTCCTATATAAACAAACGTTGGACCGGTGCACGACACTTACACAGCAACAAAAGGCAAAAATTGCCCTTCAGTAAGTTCAACAGCGATACAACGTCTTAAACTAATAACATTGAACACAGAGGATGCGCTGTGGCGATAATTAGCCATTTGTGTAAAGAATGCCTTTTCATTATAAATCCGGGAGCAAAGCCGTTCCGCCGATGACAGATATACACCCGGGATAAATCTATCTGAGAGCATGCCTCTGGGCTGTTTGTTGGCCACCATATAAGTTCGCGATTAAACGTTTTTGGAAACGGGTGCTTTCAGTAGCCATTTCGAGACTATTTCGACGTGAACCCATACACTAGCGACTCCGTGAGATTAGTAACCGCACTATACGGTAGTCATTTCAGCACGTTGATAAACTTAAACAAATGCTTTAAAGGAAATGCTTGCCCTAACTGGCATTCAATAGTCTTTCCTGAATGACTTTAATGACAAGCTTATAGTGTGGCATGAATGGCGAGGGAAAACAAAACCGATTGACACTTTGAGATACATCAAATTTGATAGAAATCACCATTAAAATATCATTACGGTCCTTTTAGGGAGTTGAATGCACACGCAACGACTTCGAACGGCGGTCACATACTTCAGCAGTTTGCAGTGCTGTTCAAAAAAGAATCGCACTGATATCAATGAGTTGGAGAAAAATATTGAAGACAAGCGAAACCAACTTTTCGTTGAAACAAATCGCTTGAAACTCTCTGAGGGAAGGTAGAAAATAGCGAGTTGAATTTTGTTCTGCATGGATTACCGCCAGCTCCATGTACAAGAATAGGAGTAAAATCTTTACCAAAGAACAAACCGTTAATTAGGTATCCTCGAGCAGGATTCGAGCACGAAGGGAAAGAACATAGGCATAGATCACCAACAACTTTACAAAACGACAGATCTTATGATAAATATAGCTAAATTCAAATTCATAAAAACATGTAGTTGTTTGGCGCATGCAGAATGAATTACTTAAACTGCCAAACCCTTTAGATATTCCAATTGGAGAAAGAAGGGTTTTGAGAATAAATTATGGTGGAAAACGTCTGACTCAAGAAATGCACTAAAGACACCCCACTTTCACATTTGTTTATCGTCAAAACCTGAATGAAATCTTGATAATTTACATTAAAGAAAACAAAAATATTGAATGTATGAAAAATCCAATGACACGACATGCGTGCCAAGTAGAAAATGAAGCTTAATTTTTAATAATCTTCTTGCAAGAATTAGAATGAAAGTAGCTGATGTCTTAAAGAAGACAAAATCAACATTTCACGATAAAAAATGTTCACTGTATGGATGATTCACTTTTTAAAAAAAAATAACTATTAGTTCCTTAGCACCATTCAGCTGAAAGAACACTTAACACTAAAATTCTCCATGTCTAATGTAAAACATATGTTTAATTCAATTTTAGCTACGCGTTATGAATTCTGTCCAGCGGAAGTAGCTGAACGTTCGTCAGTGATCTTATCAACGTTATCAAAAACATACCAAGTTCTCTAAAATCGATTAAATCTTAAAACTTATTTTCGAAAAACCTTTCATTATAAATTATCAAATCCTGCATGTGACATAACAGCAATTGATACGGAGAAGCAGTTTATTAATAACTCCAACTACATCTGTACGGATTTCAATGTTCTAGAATGTTCCTTTTCCGCACTCGCAGCATGCACGTATGAAGATTAAATATAATTGCACGTTGAAATAATGAACGCCCACCATCTCCATAGCTGTTCAAGTATGTGGATGTTTTCGAAGGCTTTTATAAGCAAACTTCAATACCAATACCAAAAAAGACACAAAGATTATATTTTTTGCGTGGTTTGCTACCGAGTAGCCAAAATAGCACGGGGTAACTAACAAAACAACCGATCATTAATCAAGTGAAACTATATTCATTTCCGATCATTTCTGTATTAATGATCCTTTCTAATCCAGCCTTATTTTGTTCAGAAGTTTTAATAAAATCCCATTGCTTTTTTTTGGAAGAAAAGGAAAGCGTAACAAGGAGATTAGATTTATACATTACGTCGACCATTTCAAAGAGATGGCGTTGAAAGGAAACGCATAAAATCCTTTTCCTAATATATCATACGACAAACACGAAAGTTAAGTATGTTTTGTGCAAGTCGTTGGTTTCTTTGTTTCATGTGCTTTGACACCGTTTCTTATTCGCGGTATTATTCCACACAACAGGTTGTCTAACTTTGAACGGAAATGCATAGAACCCCGAAGTTTTTAATGACCCCCGAAATTAATGCAAGTTCAGAAACTAAATGGACGGACATTCGTTAGATCTATGAGCTTGACGCCTCCACAATTTCCAGTCCAAATAGATATTCAGCATAGTTATAGCTACTTTGTGGTTACTCTGAGAGAATAACAACGACGCCTATTAAGAACAGTCTCCCAATTACGATTTCAATCGGATGAAAAACACAGCGAGGGCTGCAGGGATTTGACCGATGCTGCGTCAAGAATTATAAGTTTCAGAAATAAACGTCACTAAACAGAATGTCATACGTAGATACAAAAAGTGATAAGTTTTGTCCACAGTTTTATTCATTCGATATATGCTGCAACACCTTGCTTGTGTCATATTCCACTTAAATTTGTTATTTATCGAACGTCCGATTATCTCTGTTCAAATAGAAACTTGTTAAATAGATGTTGTGTACAATTAAGCATTGCTTGTTTTGAAAACTTCATTTAGATAAGCTACGCAGAACTTCAGGATGAAAAGGATATTTTTCAAGTAAATTTTTGTGAGCAATCAATGAAAACTTAGGCAACGCAAGTCCTTCCCACGATTGCCATGGATATTGGATATGAATTGTGAAAAATGCTCTCGCCTTGCAGTTTTTACATTCTCATTCAATGTTTGCTAAAGATTTTCTATCACTAGTATTACATGAAGTTTCCTCGGAATTTTGAAGACAATAATACGCTGATTTGTCAACGGACTACGACAGACGGATTATTTTAGATGAAGAAAACTTGATGGATTACCGGAACAGCGTAATGCTGTAAACAAGAAATTAAAGAAATACATCCCTATTTCACGAAGCTTATAACTATATAAAATCTCGACTATGATAAAATGACAAGTAATAATTCCAACACACTTGCAAGATGTAATCAGAATGACTTTTACTATACTGATATCAGTCTGATGTTTGTACAATTGAAACTGTTCCACGATAAAACAGACTAATCAATGGCAAAGACATCGACTTTGCCTCCTCAAAATTCCTCGACCACGGCATTTCCTACCTCTTGCATTCTTCTGATAGCTAATGACGAGTTTTGAATCAATTCCTATACAAAAACACGCAGACACGTGATGAGATTTCCGGAAACCACTCTATGATTCCAACTATATTTGGGTAATCCAGAGTCAATCAATGTAGCTGAATGTAAAGATTAAAAATCGACAGTGCTTGTATCCCTACTGTGTTCAAGGCAAACGGCTAAGCCCACTTAAATTCCACACGCCGATTTCAAAATAATTTTGGATAGTGGGGGTAAAAAGGCTGGAACAAGGTGTGCCATCATAATTATTTTTTTTAAGTTAACAAAGCAATGGTGTCGAGATTATTGTGGTGTGAAAAGTTTTTCGCCTGCACCCACTATGAATTCATAGGTTTCTACGACTTAATGATTACCACTGGACGCAAAACGCTGCTTAGAAAGCTCCCTGTTTCTCCTACTGAAGTTACTTGAATCTCTTAAAAACATCTTTGTATTTGTGTTGTTTATATTACGCAATTTACGTAACGCAAGCGACATCCATCTTTTACCCTAGTCAAATCGACACGTGCTAGAAGTAGGCCTACTTTCCCTTCAACCTCGTGGTTTAGTTTATATGTCGTTCGTTCAAGCGATATTTGTATCTTTAACAACATTGCCATCAATGAGGTAGATGTAAATTATGCCAAAATTTTGCCAACATGCAAATGCAACAAAACTGGTGCATTAATTAGCATATCTTCATCTATTTTCATTTTGATAAGAATGTATGCATGTGTTACTGATGTTGCTGCGGGGAATTTTTTGATTTAAATAAAAAGATCATTTATTTTGAATAGGGAATACTGAAGGATGTTGTTCCATATCATATGATCGCCTGAGTATATCGAAATATGCTTCTTAATGGCTTTACTCGACGTAAAAATTTTTGTACATCCGTCTCACGGAATAAGACATCAAACAGCTTTTAGGTCAACCAGAATCAAAATATCCGAATTTACTATCATAAGCAATGAAGATAACGCGATATGACATGTGTCATGACCTGACCCTTTGCGAGAGTTGGTCGAAGCACGGAGACACCGCACGCGTTGACATATGGACTGATAAATGATCAGAAATATGTCTTTTCCCCTTTAGTTCTTACTGAAAACGGTTTATCCGTATGATATAGATGAAGGTAGTTAGTCAGAGTGTCAGAGCTCTACGCGTGCTATTTCTTTTCTAGAATTCCCAACAATGACAGTACAAATGTCATTGGTTAACTCATTGTTGTATTTGATTGGACGGAATTTCAATGCCAGACGATCCAAAACCCCTTTGTTTACGGTAGCAAGGTGAGCTTGTTGCAGAGATAAAGACGTTCTTTTTTAGTCGACGAAAAACATTGAGCATTCAAGAGTCAATAGAGATCTTAAGTGGCGGAATATAAACGATTTCTATTGTCAAGATTAAACGTCTTAACATTGACAGACATGGTTTTAACCATACACCACGTACTTGAAGGAAAATGCAAGGAATTTGACCATACCCTCGCCAATGGCGTCGTCCATGTGATCAAATATTCAATTAAAAAGAAATTGTGGAATCACCAACCTCAAAATTTAAACCATTCTCGATAACTTGCCATGTGTTAAGTTCGTCTAACCCGGAAACTCAATCATAACATGCATATAAATTACTGCCAATCAGTTACAGACATTGAGTCGCCATCCATCGTGGTGAGTTTCCGTCCACAATCGAAATTAAAACAGAATAGCAGCAAATTAAATTTCCATAAAGCAGTTTAAGCATACAGCGCATCCTGCCCAACTTATTTTTACAACACCATTAAATTCCAGAGATAAAGAAAGAAATGTGAAGCGTCTCTAACATAAACACTCTTTAGCGTTAATATGAGTTGTATTATAGTGCAGTTAACTAAGGTGACCGCGCAATGGGGTAATATTATTCCAAAATCTGTCATTATTCAGACAAAAACCGGAGATATGAAAGTGGCCACAAAATATTTCCCGGTATTCAATGAGCAAGATAGCAAATTACAAAGTTTTCAAAGTTACAATATGAATGACTTTTTTAAAATCTCTTTCCAAACAACACTTGCTCTCTGTGTTGAATCGTCTTTTTGAAGTCACACCTTAACAAAAACTTCTTCTCTAAAAGTGGGAAAACAATAAGCTCCCATATAGAACGTTATACATGTGTTGGATAGAATGGAAATTTCGTATGTTCAACGCTCATCCTATTCCTAGATGTCTCTCACTTCATTTCTTATTTTTTCAGGAATGGTGCAAGACTTTAGGGGGGGGGCTAGCTGGTAAGGTGGAAAGTTTTGGGCAGTCGGATAGCGTAGCCACTAAAAGTAGTGTTGAAACAGTGCCCAGAAAGCTCAGTTCAACTGTACTACAGATTTTTTTGCGAAAAATTGAGGGATGAAAATGTTTCTTAGAGGGGCGAAGAATTTATGACACCACCAGCACCCCTCTCTGAAAATCCGTTCATGCTGCACTCCAAAGTTTACCACTGACAATAATTTGGAATTATTGCGGGCACTTGGACTACTTCACCATTCTTAGGTAAGAAAAATTGGTTCCACGTGTTAAAATCTTGATTTGCTTCAGAAAGACAATATCGTTCTCGTTGTCTCTTACTGTGTTTTGACGTTTACAAACAAACAGCAACAAGAATGTGATAGCCTACAGTACTACTAGATCAGTGGCATAAAAGAAAAATGTAGGCAGTCAACACCAGCAGGTCCGACGATGTAGCTAAAGTTTAGAGCATTATGATAGTCTGTTTCTGCATAAATGTCTTGCTTTTACAACGAGGAAGCGCTGAAGAAACCTTAATACAACAATGAAAAATTTTCGACAAGAATTTTTGAGCTATAGTTTCATTGTTGCGCTTTGATAAGACGTACTTGTATCCTGCTTGAAAGTATAAGCCGGTTAAAAATAGCGATTCAAAACAACAATTAACGAAAATGAATTTCCGATATGTATTTCTAATTTTGTACATGGATGTTTGTCAAATAGTTTACATGAAAGACTATAATCATGCAGTTACAAAACTTTACCTTTTAGCCATAAAACTATGTGTAATAAAAATTAATTGAATATTTAAAAGAGTTGGATTTTGGAGAACGTTGTGTTTCTCTCGCTAATGACGCTTGACGTTATTGGTTGCTTGGTGGAATTCTTCGATGTAAAAGAATATCTTGTGCTACATAATACATTTGTGATGCTTAATATAATAGATGGTAGCTACTACATCAGCTAAAGAATCCATACTTCTCCATACATACAAAGCTCCTTTCACCATTTATAAATAACAGCCTTTTGTATATTTATAGGCTAGCTATAAATTATAAGGGATTTTTTCTAACGCTGGACTGAAAGAGAATCTTTATCTCAGTTTCTTTGTTTACTTCCCTAGTTGGTAGAAATGTCGTTTGCGGCATAACACTCATCAATTACGGAAACGACAAATCTAACGACTTTATGTCCAGCATAATATCTTAGCTATATCGCAGTCATGAATCCTGAAGACCTTGCCATAGACAGCAAGAGTAATTTCTCAGAAAAAATTTCTGATGGCGTAATTCCACACGTCGATAAATACCAATTCCTTTTTATGAAATGACAACGTCGCATTAAAATATGATGGCTCAAGCTTTAATCCAAAATGACTAGGATCAATTATTTCGATTATCTTTAGATTTCTTTTTCAACGCAACCCTGCCACGTAGCCTATTTTTGGGAGGAAAACGATTATTTTCGATGAGACGACTTGCCCCCTTTTGCCAGACAAGTTTCTTGGAATTTTTTTTCGAGTGGCCATTTCTTTTCTTATTCAGTTTCTTGTTGGCATTCTTTTGCGTTTTTTTATTTTGCCTTTTGTTCACAACAGGATTTAAAGGAGAATTATTTTGACTGAACAGTTTCAGCATCTTTTTTGCTTTACGTTTATGTTCATCAAACTCCCAAGGTTTGATTGGCTGTCTTCTGCCTTTAGGCAAAGATGTGTAATATCTGAAAAGGACAGTTTAAGCACATAATTTAATTTACGTATTGGAAAAATGAGCTTATGGTGGATTTCCTGTTTTTAAATCTTCATCCATCAGTAAGGGCAGGCTTTTGAATCTGTTTATTTACTAATAAAAACGTTGAGTTGAGTCAGCTAATTTATTTACTAACAAAGATGCCTTTGATTTTGTCATTTACGAGAAAATTGCCATTTCTCCTTATCGTTTATTTGTAAAATGTGGTTGATTTTGCCATCTATGTGTAAAGATATTGTTGATTTTGTCATTTCCAAGTAATGATGTTGTTGTTAATTTGGTCATTTATTTAAAAGATGTACTTGATTTCGTCATCAATTCATAAAGACGTTGATTTCGTCATCGATGTATAGATTTCGTCAAAGACGTCGTAGACTTTGTATGCAATTAAGAAATAAAAGATGTTTGCTGTATTTGCACAGGCTTATGCAAACCAAGAAGAAATTTGGAAGAACTCCAGAGCTGATCCGTGCAAGCATGAAGCCGAAGGTCAAGGGTTGCACATGCTCGAGAGTTCTCACGAACGTCTCCGAGGTTTGCATAAGTGAGTGCAAACACGAAAAACACCTTTCACTTCTTCTATAAAATAACAATAATGCGAAAAAGGCAAATTGAAAACAAACGTTTCAACTTTTCATCTAAAATGTATTTATGATTGATTTGCAAGTTCTCTTTGATTGATGATAGATTTAATTGGTTGAGGTGAGATCCGTTTTGCACGGGCTAATGCAAACACAGTTCTAAAACAGTCACTGCACGCGTTTTATTGTGTTAATTTTGAAAAGTAATTACTAGATATATTCTATTTATACGATATATTACTTAGTCATTATTTAAGAAATAAAATAAGTTTACTGTGTTTTCACAGGCTTATGCAAACCGAGGAGACCTTTGGGAGAACTCAAGAGCAGATCAGTGCAAGCCCGAAACCGAAGGTCGAGGGTTGCACATGCATTTTAATTTTTCCTATAAAATTAATTCATGATCGATTCGCAAATTCTCTTTGGCTGATTGTTGTTTTGATTGATTTGATTGGTTGAGCTCAGACGTGTTTTGCACAGGCTAATGAAAAACACAGCTCTAGACCAATCACCGCTCGCATTTTATTCTGATTATTTTATAATCATCTTTACCAAGCTGCAACTTTTTCATACAGAAAACACCAGGTTATGCCTACCATGATTATTTATAAAAAAAGTCCATTGTTGTGATAGTCGTAGCTGTCACGATCATATTTTATGTCAGGTATCGTTGAGGTGAAATTGTTGTTGTGAAAGTTGTTGTTGTTGTGAAAGTTGTCGTTGTTGTGAAAGTTGTTGTTGTTGTGAAAGTTGTCGTTGTTGTGAAAGTTGTCATTGTTGTGAAAGTTGTTGTTGTTGTGAAAGTTGTCATTGTTGTGAAATTGTCGTTGTTGTGAAAGTTGTGGTTGTTGTGAAAGTTGTCGTTGTTGTGAAATTGTCGTTGTTGTGAAAATTGTCGTTGTTGTGCAAGTTATCATTGTTGTGAAATTGTTGTTGCTGTGAAAGTTGTTGTTGTGAAAGTTGTTGTTGTGAAAGTTGTCGTTGTTGTGAAAGTTGTCGTTGTTGTGAAAGTTGTCGTTGTTGTGAAAGTTGTCGTTGTTGTGAAATTGTCGTTGTTGTGAAAGTTGTCGTTGTTGTGAAATTGTCGTTGTTGTGAAAGTTGCAGTCATTGCGGACGCTGTTTTTTTTTGAAAGTCATGGATGTGGAAGTTGTCATTGATGTAAAAGTTGCCATTTTTGGGAAAGTATCATTGTTGTGAAATTGCCGTTGTTTTGAAAATTGTCATTGATGTGAAAGTTGTCATTATTGTGAAAGTTGTTGTTGTTGTGAAAGTTATTGCTCTTGTGAAAGTTGTCACTATATTGTTGTTAGTTATTGTGGTAAAAGTTGTCGTTGCCATGAAAGCTCTCGTTATTATGAAAGTTGACAGTGTCGTAGAAGTTTTGACATATGTGAAAATTTTGTGTGAGAAAGGTGACATTGATTAAATAATTCTAAAAGTTGTCGCTGTGATTAAAGCTGTCATTTTTTAGAGCTGTCGCTCAGCATAAAGCTGAAATTTGTCGATAATCTTGAAATTATGGATATGATTATTTGAGCTGCCCTGGTATGTTGTTGCACTATTGACATATTTCACACACACCCACATAAAATAAACTCTTAACTGTGAGTCTGGGACATAAATGCGCAAACAGATAGAGCCAGTTCAGTACAATTTTTTTAATAAAGAACTTGCCATAGTGTCTTTAAGTTAAAAAATTGGATTTTTGTGTAAAACCTTTCAGATTTAAACATCACTCACCCCGCTCTGGTGTCCGCCTCTACCCACAGCATTTGCCGAAACAGTCATGTTAGTTAGTTGACAATCGAACCCACCTTAAGTTCCTGGTGTTTCTTATAACTGTTGACCTGGGACGCTCCACAAACTGCACAGGTTTAGTCCCTAACTTGCTTTTCACTCTGTGCCTGTACATTCCTTTTTTAGTAAAAGCGAGATATTTTCCCTTGAACTGTTGTGACTCGTACACATTGTATGCGTCAGGTCCGTGCTTTTCGTGAAATACACATCCCAAAGTTGGTCGTCTCTAAAATGGTAAAAGAAACATCAATATGATATAAAAACCACAACAGACGCCCATTGAACATATTATTGAGTCTAACGAGTAATCTTTGTACATGACATGACACAGCACAGGATTAACCTCTCAGGAGGCCTGGGGCCCATCTTATGGTGGGTGGCCTTTTTTTACCTAAGTTTATGTTCTGTGCAAAAATTCTATTGTGATTCTACAATGCAATTATATTTTTGTGACGTTATCCTTGGAAAGACAACGAATGGAATTAATTTACTAAAGAAACGACTAATAATTTTGATGAAAAACTTGCATTGTTGGAGTGAAAGATGGGTGGTTTCGCAACAATATAGGGAATGTACAGTAGGCACAAGTCGTATGCACCTGGCTGCTGTATATTTAACAAGATTAATGGTTGCCCTTAGCCATTTCATCATTTCTACTTGTCAATGGCTGCAACAATCATACGCGTAATAAGATATGCATGGCACAAAAATTTCAACAGATTGGCTCTACTGTATATTTACTATACTGTGGCTTGGCCACTCTTGATATTTTATAAACTCAAACACTTGGAGGTGCATCTACAGCGAGTGAATGAAACGACATTGGAAACAAAGGATAAGACCTTTACCATGCAAGAAGCAGAACACAAAGATTCCCAATGTGGTTGTGTTGATAGAATGATAGAAAAGGAAGGTGGTGATTTTTGATGGGCTGTCCCATGACTTCTATTATTTCTAGGTTGTTGAAACGAGTACTTTGTTGAACATCCTTTACATCTTAAGAAAGCCATTGGTTTTATATTTCACTTGTGATTCGAAGTAGTCGTTGTTCAACACCATTATCAGGCCATTATTATTTTTATTCGTACTGTAGTCGTCGCTTGTATGATCAGTTGAGTAATTCGACTGATCTGGTGGGAGGCCCCTTCTAGCTCCTTATGGCCGGTGGCTCAGGGCCCTTGTCCCTTGAACCCAACACGTAAATCTGGCCGTGACATGACACGATAAAAAATAGTTCGCAACGAGAACTTGTCAATACATGAAACTGAAGTGCCTTTCATCAAAATACTTTTTAATTTATGCAGTAATTAATTCGACACACATGTATGAAACTGTGTGTTCCTTTTTTTGAGAAACCCTTTATATTGAAGGTTAATAGCTGGTTTGGTAGAATTAGCGAAAGAGTTGTTACATGAATTTTCTTCAAATTCATCGTGCAACCCAGCAATCTGCGAGGACATTTAGCACAGTAACAAACCACGAATATTTTATAAACACAGGATGTGGGTTCTTCATTATAAAGAATTAAGATGTAAAGATTTCGTCCAATTTACATAAAGTTTTAAAATCCAATCAACTCTTATTGAAATATTTTTCTTGACCTCTTCACTAAATCATTTCAGTCGTGGGGAAGATCAACACAAAACAGTAGGGATATGTACACAGGAATAAATGCATGCGTAAATGTGAGGTTAAATTGACGAACTTATGAATAATTGATGATGTTTTCAAAAATGGTAACTAAAAAAGGAAAAATGCATAAAAATATGTGATTTGGATGCCTATCATTCGTGTACGGTTTGGTCAAATTACGCAAAAGTTTGTAATCTTGAACAAAATTGATCACTTAAGCAACATTTTCCTAACTGTTTAGTTTTTTATACACCCTGTATGTATAACCAGCTATAGAAAACCATTCGAAAAACACACATCAAAACAGCACCATATCGTCCATTCACACATTCCTATATCCGTGTGTGAAAAGCCGGCGAGTGTTTTTAATAATAATATTTCTGCAAGTGCTAATTTGGAGTAATCCGAATAGCCAATTGCGTTGTTGACTTTAGTTGATTTTTTCTATTTATGCGTATATGTTAACATACTAGAAAATGATACTTCACACTATATGAAATTGTGCAACATCCCTTAAAAACTAAAAAATTCTACAAGTACCTTTGTCTGACGATGGTATGCGCGTGGTACAATTTATTGAGCGCAAAACAACGACACTTCGAAGTTTATAAATAGAATGAAGCTACATCCGTTTGTTTAAAATTAGCGTGCACATAAACAACGCTCTTTTACAATATGACAAATCCTCTTTTCAATTTGACTTGTTTCTTTACATGTGCCGAATGTATTTATAACAAAAACATGAGGAATTTCATCTTATTATTGTCTTTAATTCAATGTAAATGTGGAAAAAGTAAAGGAAAAAAAATATTTCATCCACATTGCACTACCCAGATGGGTCCAACAAAATGAGCCATTACCAGGGAATACGCTGTTTGTATTTTTACAGTAAGCTGATAAGCTTCCCAAGTTATATGTGAACATCAGCTAATGATTGCCTCGTGCATGCTTTGAGTCAAATCCGTTCAGAGTAGAGGGGGGAGTAGGGAAGAAGGCAAGCTGCTCCAGGCCTTCAGGCAAAAGAGCATTGTGATTCATGAGACACGGAGATGAGGCCCCATAATTTGGCTGTGCCTTATACCCCTTAATTTCCCTGAACTATCCTGCCTTGACTTTTCACTTTCAGTTTCATCAAAGTATTCTTATATAAACGACATGGGCAGCGATATTTTCATTAATAAAAAGTTACCTTTGCTATGAGGCGTCCTCGTTTATCAAAGCAAACATACAAAGACAGCGCCAGGCCTTTAATATGAACTCGGCCAAATGAAACTGTAAGTATCTCCAGATCAGCTAAAAGAGAAAAACAAGGGCTTCATTGGACATCAGCGGAGTTTAACTTCACTTGACATGTAAGTTAACTTATTCATGTAAACGTTTATTCCATTTATACAAATAACATGACAGCAAAAACAAAACAGAATTCACACTGTAACCTTAAAGCTCAATTTTAAATTCAATATTCTTTTACAAACAATGCTAATGGTTTAATAAAACAAATAATTTCTCGTGATGACAAATCTAAGTATTGCCTTGAAAAGTGGAATTTCCATAGTGAATGGTCAAAAACGTTTTGAGCTCCCAAGAGTTCTGAAACCCGAAAAACTCAAAAGAAAACCAAGAGAAAAAAAACACACACACAAGAAAAACCCAATACTTTACTGCTATGTTAATTTCAGATCATTAATATAACTTATTTCTTTAGAAATGTATTGCTTTCACAGTTAGTGAACACAGAAAGATTACCATGCAGGACCAAATAATCGGGCTGCCTTCACGACCGGCAGTGATTAGCACATTAATGATGCCAGAGATTAGCACAAAAAATCGTTGCATCACCTAAGCTAAGTACAAGCGAGGAGCTAAGTACAAACAGGACACATTCCAAAATAAGTTTAAACACCACTGTAATGCTTTTACTAGCTCACTAGTTTACACAGAAATGTTAATGATCTAAAATTACATAGCACGAGCAAACTCGCCAGATGCACTGCACTAGATTTGCCACTGTATCAAGGATTACATGTTTGTAAATGTAGATCATCCACGCTCGTATAGTCCTGGAAAGGACTGTTTTCGTTGTTATTGACTGACGTTTCGACAACACCAAAAACAGTCCTTCTCAGGACTATACCAACCTGGACGATCTACATTTACAAACATGTAACGATACTCCCGGGTTCAAACCATTTACATTGTATCAAGGATATTAAATAAAAATAGAGTATTTTTACTTTCCAATTGGAAGTGTATGTATGAGGGAGACTAAGCTTTCCCAATACAAGTAAGTTAAAAATGACTTCGTTCCATTGAGAGTGAATGCAGGGGGGAGAGGGACGTTCTTTACAACACTTTTTCGTACATTATCTACTTCGGTGAGATTTTCTGTAATCTTGGATTAGAAGGTATAATACCTCTCAAAGGAAGCGCGTCTAAGAGCCCCGAAATCCCTCTTTATAACGAATTTTTTTCATTATTCAAGTGTAGAATTGACAATAATCATATCCAAACATAGCAATCAAAATAAGAATAAAAGACGATCATTACTTCGTCATGCAGGCAATAAACACCATTTCCCTTTTTTTGTATTCAAATTGTAGAATTCTTTTTCATATGAATTCATCTTGTTTTCGGTGTGTTTTACTTTCTACTGGTTAGAATTTTTGCACTTGCAAACGTCTTAATTAACAGATTAAGATGCATGCAAGCAAACAAAGTTTATTAGCTTTTTGACACTTTAAGTAACACTTGATTTATGAACATACTAATGTACATAATATATCCCTCAACGATGACAGTCAAGTGAAATAACTGATCCGATAGCAATGTCAGCATCCATTCGTGAAACATTGAAAACATCATCGTCGAAAGCAGATCTTACGATCACAATGATTGAGGGTCAAAGAAGATTCGAGTATAATCATTATCCAAACACGATTTCTGCTTTTTTATTTCAAGAGTTTGTACTAAGCTAATGCCTACGTTTCAGCGATAGCTGATAATCATTTCTACAATTTAAGTTATGAATTCGCTCCATGATCGTCTGTCCTTATGAAATAATTGTCATGAGCTGGCTAATACCAAACGTTTTTTGCGTGTATGCCATACATTAGCAACACAAGTCGTAATATCCTATCAACCGTAATGGCAGTTAACTCACTAACAATGTATGAAACAATGTTATCTACACCGACAAAAGCAAATGGGTGTCAGACTGACACACCAATGTAAACAATGTTATCAGATTAATAACGAAAATAATTTATGAGCAGACGCGGATAAAAGAAAGCGAAACAAAAAAAACCTATTTTCGAAACAATATAAGTATGTAAAACATGATACAATACAAACAGCATTTAGCAACGCCAGAACCTACCATCCCACAAAACAACTCCTTCATTAGAAAATCTTAATAGCATCTCTAAAGACTCATTAATGCGCCAATTTCCGATGACTAATCGAACTACTAACCGTATTTATTTCCATCGATTCCCTTTGCAACAACCTTCCTTTTCGCAAAACTTGAACGAAACGCCCTGTGTTTCTTGAATAAAGTTGAGTTCGACGTCGATTGGGATAGCCAATTTCAGTCTCAATCGGACTTTCCACAGATTTTTTATAAAAATCATCAAAACTTTTCTTATGCACATCTTGTACCTAAAAAAAGAATTTGCAATTTTAAATACATCCAAAGAGCCAATACTTAGGGTTTGAGAGAATATTCCCCTTACATTGACACTAATCGCCTTTGCACGCGTTTTCAAAAGTATACGTCCTTAATTGCTTCAGATCTCAAGGACAATAATCCGGTGTCAGTCGTTATCAAAAAAATATCCCAACGATTAACTTAAGCGTGCAATTACGTTAAGTGAAATCACAATTAAAGATATCTGCACTAGGCTTTTGTTATTGTTGATGATCACTATCTACAATATGAAGATTTCCATTCTGCCAGCAACCACTTACTTAGCATAGTGGATGTAAGTGTGGTCATAAATCTACGGCATTGAAACTCTGCGGTTGCCATTACCATTGCCATTTGTAAAAAAAGCCTTATCGTCTGGTAATGGTCGATTCACGGATTAGCAGAAACATATTGTTACATCACCTCAAGCTATATGTACAAACGAGAAACTGTTTATGGCCGATAGGATCTATTCCAATAAAGTTTCAATACTATTGTTGATTTATATAAATAAACAATCTTTTGACACAGTAAAAGCCTTTACTTCATCATACTGCTAGCGTCAGCAAATTTAACAGTGAAAATTGAAATGTTTTGATGAGAAACATTTAAGTAAATAATAAAAATGAAAGCACATCCAACTGCTTTTGTTTATAATAAACCATTGCTTAAAACCCTTCGACTGAGGTTGTTTCTCAATGGTATTTTAGATCTCCCATCTTCCACTTTGCAAACCATTCATTTCATACTGAAAATGACAAAATAGAGTTGGTTGCTACAACGTCACAGGTCGTGGGCAACATTTTCCAAGGGTCTCATAGGACAGTAGATGAAACACTGTTACAAGTACTATCGTGAAAAACTCACTCACACGATTTGCTGATTAATTTTCAGCGATGCATCCTTGTCTATACGAAAATTTACAGACACAAAATCCTTAAAGCTTTCCTTCCAAGACGATCAGCAGACTCAGAAGCTAATTAATATGTCAGCGAAATCCCCCGAAGAAATTTGAAACAATTAAGGCAATTTTTTGCAGGCAGCTAAAAGATTTCTTTTCGTGATTTCTAAAATACGTACCTTTGACGAACGTCTACTTGCAATCATGGTACAACTTCCAACGACACTATGTAAAGCACATAAATAGACATGATTTGATCGTGTTTACAAATCGAAACAATTCTAATCGAAGTGCAAAATGAAGTTCCCATGTGCAACCCTCGTGCAGTATCAATAATGTTATTATTAATGCGTTTTCTTGATAGTTTCAATAGAACATCAATTGTAAAAACTTATGTAGATACTTACAACAACAAAACGAGACTTCGGGCGATACAATTCATCGTAAGATAATCGCACTGGCAAATCCTCCTTCGAACAGCCTTCACCAAAGAGCTTCCAAGCTTATGTATATATAGGTCACAAAGCAAGATGTTATGACCCAACGAGTAAGATTGTGGCGTCTTTAGGACGCTCTGATGGTTATTTATATACGACACCTTGAGGCAAGAGCTAAGGTGCGAAGGAAGTGCTTTTGAAGGCTTTTGGTAATTTGGTTTGGAGTGTTGATGGCTGTAACTTGATTTCCTCCTGTCAGATGTCGGCGTTGTGGGTTGTTAGGAAAATAGAATGCTCGCCACAATTAATTGTGAAACTAAACTTGCGCTAAAAGACTTTTCATCGCCATAGTTGTTTCCCATTTGAAAGCAATATAAATTTACCTCGGCAAATGGCATTTAATGGACATTTAAATACGCTATCTATCAACCACGTCCATGTTAGGATGACCTCGATCACAATCGATGATCATTTCAATTACGGTCAAATAAGAACACTGTAAAGGAGGAGTAAGCTAAAATGACAAACTGTCTTTTCCGGCCAGAGTAAATGATTTTGCTATGACGGAGTTTGATGTAGCCGCGATCCATTTTTTTTTCAGTTGAGCTTGAACTTTCAGTTGTATAAGAAGACCGAAATTAGGATGTCCGCGAGAGAGGTACCCCATACGTTGAAAACTAAATGATCGCGTTTATGTCATTTGTATAACCATTGGGAGAGGTCACTGAAGATATATTGTTCGTGATGAAATAGCTAATGGCACACTGCCATCGTTCTTTCTATCCAATGTACAATTCCGTCCAAATTTCTGCTCTCCTCAAAATAAACATGTTTATTCAATGTTGTTTATCTTCACTCCCGACGTTTTATGAACATCAGTGACGCCATACGCAAAAAACGAGCGTATAGATTGACTATGCTATTTCATTCATAAGTAACTTTACAGAGACATCTTGGGTTTGACTTTGCGTGTGCTTGAAACATGGCATTATAAAAACGCGAAGTACATAGCATTAAACGTACAGTCCAAGTCTTAAACACCAATATTTTTATTGCAAATTCTTTCAATAACTTTAAATCAACATGTGTCGGATAAAATCATTCCGGCAAGCAGAAGGAGACGCAACTTTGTTGTGAACACACTTCGTTGTCACGTGAGATTATCATGCGCATTAGTTTGAAGGTTTGAAGGCGCGAAATCGTTTTAAGACCGGGATATAAGCTGAGGCGATTTTAAAGCTTACAGCAAACTCGTGTTTTCTGTGAGCAGATTAACACTTTGTCTACAAGTTAACCATTTCCGATATTAAGTACAAGCAAAGACGCGCGGATTTCACGAAATAAGCACGCGATAGTCAAAGCAAAAACAACATCTTCAATGCAGAACTAATCAAAAGCTACGCAACTCGATGGTCATTTACATGTGACGCACAAAATTTCGAAAGTTTCACGCCCTTTAAATCGACATCTAATTTTTGTTTTGAAAGTTTATAACTACTAGGCTTTTGAATGTCCTATATGAAATGATTTTTTACTCAAGATTTGAATGAAAAATTAAAGCGAAGTAACGTCGTTTGTTTAATAAAATCTAATACCTAAAGCAACAAACAAAGATAAGCTAAAAACAGCAAGACTTTCAAGCTTAAACAAGGCACATTAATCGGTGTAATATCCTATAGCTATATAATTCCCATGTAAATTGAGTACGTATCATGCATGCTGTCCGTACGTTAGACACGGCCGTACCGTGGGAAAAGTTTAAATAGCTCTAAAAGAATGCGTTTGTCAAAGTCGATCATACCAGCTGATAAGAAAACCATTTACCATTGATGAATGAAGATTGAGCCGGTGCTCGTATTTAGATTGATGGATTAAAGCAAACGCGTCATAAAAAAAGGAATCGGATGATAAAAAAAGTTCTGTCTGTACATATATATCTCCATATATCTTTGTCGCCATATATATATATGTATGTATACATGTAAATACAATATTTACCCTAAGGCCAGTGTAAGAGTAGTCGTGGTAAAATGAGGAAATTCCTAAACTGCCAAACAAATTTTTGCTCAAAGTCAAGCCCTATAGATACCTAAAAGATGCAAGGATTCCAATGAGACTTCTTCTACAATCGGAACAGGTTCCCCATAGAGAGTTTTAAGCAAATTATACACAAACACATACAAACAAATTAATCAAAATATCGAAACCCAATATTATGGCTTGAACTTAATGTGCATATGATTACAATTATTAAACAGGACATTCATGTCAATTAACTTGTGGGTACAAAAGGCGTCTCATCGTTTCGTATATATTTTGCGTTATCGATAATTTTCGTTATCCTAATGAGTGCCATATCTATATCACTTTTACTTTATTGACGTGTGAACAAGAAATGCATGCACTTTGGGCTGAAACTAATGAGACAGATGAAAGCAATTTGGCAAGAACACACGTACCATATTAAAAATAGCATGTGACAAATCACATTTTTTAGATTTCGCTCGAAAACATGTCTGATACACTCAAACTCTACAAAGTTTGCCTCTTAATTTGTCAAAAAACAGTATTCTCAAGGTATCTCGAAAAGTCATTATCCGTTCCGTAAATACGACTTATAACATTGATTTTTTTATTAAATATTGCAGCACGCAAGCAGAGCCTTACGCGTAAGTAGAATAACAAGACTGACTGCAGTAAGCACTAATACTGTATTCATTTTCAAAACTAACCTCGAAGGATCTTCTTCGCATTTTGAAAAGTGGGAATGTTTTGGACTACCAATTGAGCAGTAGCTACAGTACACCATACTTCAGAGCTGCAATTGCTGTACGATAAAATGGAGAGGACTACACTTAGATAAATATATATTGATATATTGGTCGAGAATGGGGTTAAAGTATTCACAGAAGACAACCGAATTTCAAAGCAGGCTCAAAATATAATTTAAACGAGAAATATCGTGGCTTGCTATATATTGAATGAATGAAAATAATTCACTCCACAAGATCATGTAGGAACAATCTTTGTAAATAGTAAGTGATTCATTGAGAGCACGTCAAAACACAACACATGGACCGAACAGGATATTAGCAACCACAGAAACTAAATGGGATAAAAGCGAGAGAAAACATAGGACTATCAGTCACTTTTTCACTTTTTCTATATAAATACATGTTGGTCAATTTTGTGTTTTTAATATGAATCCCAACCAGGAAAATAAGTTAATAGGTTCTATTCTTGTAAACATGTTTTCTAAAAAACTGCACCTCGGTATAAAAAGTTTGTTTGTTAAAAATATAGTTGATATGGTAATTTAGCTTCTAGCTAAATCCCCATGATAATAAATCCGCCATTTTTTATTGTATAAATTGTATGGCTAACACATTGACATTGAACTAAAATACATGGAACGCTACCTGTAATAGAAAAGCCTAATAATTTTTTGAATCCAAATTTACACCCAGACACACGAGATTGCACCCAGACATGCGTGTGTAGTTCAAGCAATTTTCACTACGCGAGTGAATCTCGAAACACTAAACACGCGTGTCTGGGTGTAATCTCGCTTGTCTGGGTGTAAGATTTGGCTTTAATTATTTGCTTCAAGTAGCGTTCCATGTATTTTAGTTCAACGGGTCAACACCCTCTATACATAAAATATGGTTTCCGTGAATCTACTGGAACGAGTTTCGCAACATCTTCGGCGGCGAGCTACGACCGCTTTACGATCCAAGATATACTTTCAACTTTAAATGTATATTTCTATATTTGTAAGAATATTATTTGTAAAAAAATAAAATAAAAAACGCATAAAACACCATGCATGTGTATAATCGTAACATATTACCTCTATGATACAAATATATCAAGTTCTACTTATATACGTAGTTGTATTAGCACCATTATTTGTATATGTCGACCTCAGTTTTTTTAATAATCTTTGACAAACATAATATTTTACTGAGTTGAGATATTTCTTCATGAATTGTTGAAGGGGGGAAGGGACGTTAGAGAATAATTAACAATAAATCTAGCAGTGAGAAATTCTATTTTTATACAAACTAGAAAGATAAAATGCCACTAACTTGTAGAAAGGTTCATGCCACCAGCAGACACCCTTGCCTCAGCAGCCAGTAACCAAAGAAATTAAACTAAATTGTTACAAAAATTGAGGGAGATCATTTAGCATTCAACAGAAAAATACCTTGCGAAATGAGAACAGATCATGAAAGATTAATTAAGACTTAGCAATTTGTTTTTCTCTGATGCAGAAGCCAATTTAACATCCTAAGGTCCGGTTGTACGAGACTTGGATAGCGTTAACAATTGGACAGTAAAATTTTCAAACTTACAAAAAGATGTTTATATTTTCGTTACGACAAGGAAATTTTTTAATCTTAGAAGCAATGCTTTATTGCAGAGATTGCTCCATTCAAACCTTATACTTTTCCTTTTTAAGAATTTTTTTACTGTTTAAAAAGATCAGTCTACATTAATTGGAGAGGGGGGGATGGGGGCAGTGGAGACCATATTCATATATTCTGCCTGACAAACTTTTAAAACAATTCCACTTTCATAAATTATCAGAATATATGAACATGGTCTCCTTAATGACGCCCATGTGAAATAATGCTCTACCTGCTTATATTGGCGCATGTTGCTCAGCAGAAAAGTTACTGCACCGCAAAAGAAATTTGATTGCATTTACTACGGCGATTTCGTAAATGGACAAACTGATAGCATGTATCATGAATCATTCCATGATACAGAGAAAGTTTGCCATTGTTGTCGGCCAATTCGACCGAGAAACATGCGCGTGGCCAATATTAGAAATTGAACAATCCATATTTAAATTAACATCTCTCAATAAGGCCCTCGTTACGGTCAGAACTTTTATGTGGTCATTAAATTCACATAATGAAAACATAAACTTCACGTGCAGTTACAAACAGTAGCTTTTTATATATTCATGAATGAATAGTAATTTAGAGAGAGAAAAGCAGAACACGGAAAAGCGATAGACCAATGAAAGAATAGTAATAAACACCTTTCAATTTCAAAATAACATTGCAGGTTCAAAAAGCGCTCGTTGCTTGTATCCGAAGATTTTGCAAAACTCTCCCTAAACTACGCACGAAAACTTATTTTGAAGCATACCATCTAGCGATCAACCAATACTAAAGTTTAAATGAAGATATGATCTTCGCACTTTGCTGGACAATTTAAAGCAATTGTCTCATGAACGTGAAAAATTCAGGTGACTCAACGGGATTCGAACCCATGACTTCTGCGGTGCCGGTGCAGTGCTCTGACCAACTGAGCTATGAAGTCACACAGTGGAGAGCAGGTCAATTTTGTTGGGCTCATGTTTTCTCGTGAAAGGAATGTCATATGAAAGAATGTTAGCAGCAAAGTGCGAAGATCATATCTTCATTTAATTTCAAAACACCGCACTGCATATAACATTCTTTCATAATACTAAAGTTTGTAACATAAACCTTCCACCAAATGACATTATCTTGTCTTCCGCTTAGAAAGTCTTCACGAATGCTAATTTTTTTCAAGTTTATTTCAAACTTTAGATAATTCATTCAGGAATACTTTATCTCTATAAGAGAAATGCAAATCATTCAAAGAAAAAAAGAAGCTTTCATGAAGATGTTTCATCATAGAGAGGCGAATTACATATATATAGAGCTTAAATTGTAGCTATAGTATTATTGTAGTTATAGTATTATTCATTCTATATAGTCCTACAAATATGCTTATTTCAATCATTAGCTATAAGCTGTTTCTTTTTGTTGAACTTTTTGAGTACTTATTCTTTCACACGTACTTATTCATCAATGGATAACGTGTATAGATGAAGTTACACTCACAAGAAGTGGTTTCCATCACAAGCCCATGCAATCATGAGCTGTCTGAGACCCCCAGACGAATGTGGACATGTACTGCTTTCAAATCAGTGACATTTAACGTAAGAAGTGTCTATCAAACCATGGTAAAACAAATACGAAGCAGATTGAAAAATAAAATCTCCATTACATATTTGATGTTTGTCTTCAATTGGGTGCCGTGAAAAAATAAGTCTAGCAATGATGCTTTCGAAGTCTTTTTTTATGTTCTGCTACAAAACAACCTTACCCAGAATGGCTTCCTTGAAAATCCAAATCCCTGAAATGCATGCGATGTGCTATCTGATTCACGTAAGTTGGCACATAATTATTCCTGCCCTGGCAATGACCCTCATCATCCAATTGAGGTCCCTCTCTGTGAAGTGTCTAATAAAAGTTTAGCACCAGCTTGTATCCAGAGAATATACGACGATATGAAAAAGTCTAGGATACATTTCCCTTCCCTCATCTACCAGACAAATTTCTACCGACAATGTACGGCAACAATGATCTTCATCACAAAAAAATATTCATCGACTGTGTATAGTGCAAGGTTTCTTCAACAAGTTGAACAAAGTCACTGTATCCATTGGTGCGTTGTATTTCGTCAGGTGGAAGTAAAGAGTCATTTTCGCGCTCTTTGTTCACAAACTACGTTTAATCAACTATCGACGGAACAAACAAAGTAACACAAAATATTTTGTTGCTGATACAAGAAAAAAAGCTTCAGAAGAACGTAAGTGTTTGCATGCAAGACAAAACTAGTTGTTGTCAAATGTAAGGATATTCAAGAAAATTCAATAATTCCTAAACATTGAACTCAAAATCAATAAGCAACTCGATATACAGATGTTTGATGACATTGAGTTGTTTTATAATTGGTCAAATTGCAATACTTATTGATCTAAAAATGAAATAAACCTTAATTAATATCTAATTATCCACATAATTCATATTTAAAATTCCTAAGTTTGTTGCTTTCGTAGCTAATGTTTGCAGGTAGGGATTCCATGCGCTCATAAATCGCACAAAAATAAATAAGAGAATATAATCTTCATTATTTAACCAACAAAAAAGCAACTTCGCTTCGATCTGGTTATCTGACGTTTCACAAATTCCAAGATATGATCGAATTTCACTCCTTTTCAACCAAAGATCGTGTTGTAGAATTGTACAAAGAATTGGACAAGAAACAAATACTCTCTATTTCTTCCTAAAATATTTCATTTTAACAGTTAATAAGGTAAGCCATCTCACCCTGCTGATTTAAATATATCTCGACGCTCATCGGTCCTCGCAGAACTGATTCAAAAGCTGGGATATTCATTAAATACGGTGATCACACTGGTGTACAATACTGTAGGATTGGCCCTACTACGGCTTCTCACAACAACGTGTAATTAAGACTTTCTGTTGGATGACCCAACACCATATTTTTTACCACACCATTGACACGAGGTCCTTTATCAACAACATAATAGACTTGAATTTCCAATTTCAAATCTTATAGACTTGAAGTGTCTAAACTGACAGATAATATTCAGGTCGTGATTGGTCCTCTTATCTGACAGATAGTATGCAGGTTATGATTAGTCAACTTATTCGATACATATTATTCAGGTTTGGAATGGTCGTCTCGTCTGATGGATAGTATTCACGCTGTGATTGGTTTTCGTATCTGATAAATAGTACTCAGGATTTGATTGGACTTATTATTCGATAGAAAGTATTGAGGCTGTGATTGGACCACTTATATTATAGATAATCTTCAGGTTGCAATTCCTCCTGGTGTCTGACAGATAGCATTCACGCTATGATTGTTCTTCTATCTGATAGATAGTATTCAGATGGTGATTGGTCATATTATTTGATACATAGTATTCAGGCTTCAATTCGATGTCACAGACAGCATTCAGGCTGTAATTAGTACTCTTATCTCATAGAGGCGTCTTCTTATTCGATAAAAAGTATTGAGAGTGCACTTGGTTCTGTGAAAGATAGTATTCAAGCTGTGATTTGTTCTCTTATCTGACAGTGACAGAAAGTATGCTGGCTGTAATAGGTCCTCCTATTTGACAGATAGTGTTCAGGCCGGGATTTGTCTTCTTTTATGTGACAGATAGTATTCACGCTGTGATTGATCCCCTCATCTGATAGACAATAATGACATTATGATTGCTCCTTTGATTGAGACATACGCATCACTTCACAATACTTGGAAGTAGAATTTAAATGCAAGATAAGAAACCAACCATAACATTTAAATAGGTTTGTAAGATGCTACTACCAAGGTTTTATATTTCCGGTATATCTTCATGTCATCGGTGAAAATTTTAGTTGAACTTTGAATTCCTACAGGGATATCGCAGATAAATAAAATAGGACCAAACAGTTTCTTGGGTACTCCCGATTTCACATGTATTATGTGCGTACTGGCGTCTATCTTCACAAGTATAGTTTAGGTTTTAACATTGATTGGGCCATACCTTTCCACACTTATCACATCAATTTTGTCTTACACCTGCAGTACATTAAATGGGCTATATACCTTCCTAGATTTGCCACATCAATTCTGCCTTGTACAGAGCAAGCAAGTCCTAGTTTTTGGGTTTACTGCCATCAAATATCCATAAAGTAACACAAATAATTCCACAAAAGGCAAAAACAAGTGAATTAAATAAAAAGCGATTGTTTTAAGGAAAGAGTTCTCATTGATAAGGATCAACTTTTCCACAAGATTAACTTATTCAAACACAAGCTCATATGTGAACAGGCATTTATAATTAAGAAATTAATAATCCAAGAAGGAAAAAGCGCTCAAAACAGGAGAATTTTGGACCGAGTTCCCAGGAGGGGAGACCATGATTTGTAAAGTCACTTTTGTGAATGCATGATATAATGGAAGCCCCTCCTGTTCTTTAAAAAAACAAAACGAAAATCGACCAGTTTTCACTCTTAATACAACATTTCTAAAACGATAATTTGGCAATAAAAAAATTTACCTAAATCATTTCAACAAACACTGCATTTATTTTTGTTCATGAATTCTATGTATAAGTGCATGTAGCTAAAATAAATACTTTTGTACACATTGGTTGAAATTCGTGTAGATAAATAGGCATATAGAAATGTATATGTGTGGAAGGGCAGATCCTGGTAAATTTAATAGGAAATTCTACGTACAATAGGAAATTCTATGTACAATAACACCCTCGCAGACAAGCTATTGTATTATCTGAGCTCGGGTAAAGGTGCACACACCCAGCATTTCCCATATGGATCCGTCCCTGGAGTAAAACATGTAACAGTGCAAATCCTGTCTAATCTAAAAAGTAAAAGAAAACTTGTAAATGTATTAGAAAGTTAAAAGTAGCCAAACATTTTCAGTGGAAAGACATCTCTGCATCAAAGAATAACCACGGCTTCTAGCAGCTTAAAGTTAATGGCATTTCTTTTCGTAACACACACCAGCTGGACCTTTAGAGTCCTCCGATTCGATTTTCACTAAAATAGTTTTTCCTTTCACTTGAAGCCAATCCTTTATATGGGGTGTGTTGTGCTTGTCACACATGGGCACAATATAAACGCAGGGACAATCTCCTTCAATTTCTACGTGTGCTCCGCTCCTGGCTGACTCACAGCAACCTTTAATGCGACAAATGTCTGGCCATTTCCTCTTTTTATTGCCAACATAAAACTTTTTCCACGAGCTAAAAAAGCGTGCGTTACAGAGACTAGTGCCAGATTTATTGCGCACTCTCATTCCAGACTTTATGGGAACAACGTTAGACCTAACAAAAATATTACTATGTTTATTGGAAGTACTGTACTAATTATGTAGCTATTGTATGCCATTGAGTAGCTCACATTGTGTTGAGGTTATCCAAAAGTTCTTTCATAATTTTGTCTCTGTCAATGTAGACAGCAATGACATTTCTGTTTGTTTTTTGAAAGTACTTCTCGCTGGGATTTCTATGAAAGCCGCAAGTTGGAATGATGTACTCTTCATCTTCTTCACAATCCACAAAGACATGCGCACTTCCATCTGCTTCCCGGTCACACCGCCTGGCACTACAGAAACGCGGCCATTCTTTGCCAGATCTATCACACCAGTATTTTTTCCATGTTTTGCAACGCAGAGGCAGAGGAGAATGTCCATGCTGAATATTCTTAAAAGAATAAGGCTCTATCACGCAAGCCATGTTGAAAAATTGAAAACCTGACTGGTAACAAATAAAGAAAAATAGCAGGAACGCTTAACGCTTGGATGTCTGAGTTCTATCTACAGTATATAAACCGGGTGAAAAACAAAATGAAGAATTAACTACAATCAACAACTAACAAAATACGTTTAACTGTATATGCACAAACATATGTGAGTTTAAGACAGTTTATTTTGTGAAGGGAATAAGACTTACGAATCTTTAAATGAATGTAATATACTGTTGCGTCACCATATTCATGATAAACTATAGGAGCCCAAACTAACGGAGCAAAGTCAATTTTTAAAGAATAAACATTGTAATGAAACTTACCTTTTCATCAAACCATTTAGCATGAATGGTGTTCTTGCAGCGACTTTAATCTTTTTAAAGCCAAAGCGTATGATGAAAACTTTCAACTTACAACGCAATTAATAACAACAACTAGGGAATTTCCCTGCAGGGAATGTCGTTTAAGAAATCCCCCGCAAAAATATCATAGAAAAAACCAGAAAATATGTCAAGTTGCAAAATTTAGTAAAATTCAAAACGTTCGTAATTATAAAAACTCAAAATCGCGTCATAGCACGATGCACAATAGCGTATGATGAAAAAAAGCGACAAAAGTTTACAAACACACAACTAAGATGGAAGTGAGTGTTTGTATCCAGCAATGCTAGGTTTTTTGAATACTACAGCACAATATCAATGATTTTATTTTTCTTTACCTTACCGATGGCTGGATCCAATATGAATTAAAATGTGAACTGCAAATGTCAAGTTTTGTTGCAAGTGTAAGTGTTATTTCAATTAAATGAATGCCTGATCAATGACCAGTGCGAGTTACATTGCCTTCTATATCATTCAATGTGTGTACAATTTATAATACTTGAACTATGATCAGTGCGAGCAACAATGGCTCCTATATCGTTCAACGAGTGTATAATTTATAATGCCTGATTTATGATCAGTGCGAGCAGCAATGGCTCTTATATCGTTCAACGAGTGTATAACTTATAATACCTGGATCTTTGATCAGTGCGAGCAACAGTGGCCCCTGTAATGTTCAAAGCCATGCATATAACAAACCTGCATTGATTGCACTGTATTACTGTATTTTGATTCCACTAAAATGCAGCCCAACATAACGCAGTCACTTCAACCAGAAGAAACGTCAATGGTAATTCGCCGAACATTCTAGAAAAGATACATAATAATTCAGATATACATTGTGGTAGAAAACAAAGCCAAAAATACTTGTTTTGATGCTGTTAAATGTGATAAGCATAATTCGCAAAAGCAGCGTTGAGCTTTTCGATATATTGCCAGAAAATAATTGGGAGTTGCTGAAGGGAATTCAATACGAAAACCTGTTTCATTAATCACGAAATAATATTCATTATTTAAGAATATCGGAAAGTCCTGAAAACTATCTGGTTCTTCATTCTCGCATATATAGAGGACATGTCAAAAACAAAAAATTGAAAACATGTTTAACTTTCATTACAGAGTTGCGGTGGACTGGTGGCGACTGATGCATGTTTCATCATACGTACTTTCCGTTTTATGGTGCTCAGTTATAATAAGAGGTATTGCTTTATTCATTTCATGGAAATAATTAGATATTGAGAAAATACTTGAAGTTGTGGTGAACTTGAGTGCTTCAGCATACACTAGATCTGTCATTGAAGGACAATCGATGGAGAAAACGTCGAAAGAACGCGGGAGCACAAGAAGTAGTTACGTGCAGGATGACGTCATTGGAAATATAAAAACCGACAAGAAAAGCGCTGTCGAAAGTGCCCCGCCGATAACAGATAATGATGAAGAAGTTTCCAAAGGTTAACTGTAAACATATAGAATCACTGATTGGCTATTTAAAATGAAGCATATCTTCTAAAAAATGTAATGCTTGTATTTAAAAATGTCAGAGCGATAAGCAGCATGGCATCAATTTGAAAAACTTTTGATGAGTCAATCAAAACCAAGTTGAAATAAAAAGCACAAGATTAGTCACGATGGACTGCTCATCACCAAACATGATCACGTGGTTAACACGATCATCAAACTAAACCGACATAATTTCAACTCGACAACTCGGGCTTTTTTTCTTTTCAGCTGAAGAAAATCTCGGCATGAACTACTTTGAAGGCGATGTTTTGACGACAGACGATCAAATGATCAAACTAAATCGGATAATGGGAACATACGAAAAACCGAGCACCCAGCCTCAACCAAGAGGTCTCATCAAGTACGTCAGATGGACATGGAAAGACGGAATCGTACTATATACTATAAACGAAAATGTAGGTGAGTCGCGAGTATCACAGATTCTCATGTGAAAAAAAACTGAACATCCACGGTCTATGCGTCGTAGCTACTTGAAATTAGAAAACAGAAAGTGAAGGTGATCAAATTGAAAAGGGAAAATTACTCTATAAATATGAATTTTTGGTAACGAATAAATTTCTGCAATTTTAGATAAAAAAAGACGACGTATAATCGAAGAAGCTATCAAACATTGGGAGGAAAACACATGTTTGACGTTCAAAACTAGAAAAAAGGAAAAAGACTACGTCGATTTTCGACAGGGAAATGGGTGTGTACGAAAAGAAATAGAAAAAGCGTTAGAAACAGGTTGATCCGTGAGAAACCAAAAGTGCCTTCTATTTATGCTTACATGCTAGTGAGGAAACGATTGTGTATGGTATATGCATTAGGCAGTTATTATTTAGATCGTTTCAGAACTTCTTGAAAATCATAAAAAATGTTTAAAACTTGATAATGGACAAATGGAAACGTTAATGCATTAGCCCCTCTAGTCAACTTTTGAGGGTTTCGTATCATCGGTGCATATTATAACGATCCCATGATACGAAGAATTACTTCCCCTCTAAAGGAAAACCTCGATGAAATCCCCGACCTGTACATCCCGTACAAGTATACAGCAAGGCCAAAGACATTTTGCTTCGTTTTACTGTAGATGTTCATCATACGTGGGGCGTATAGGTGGAAAGCAACGTCTCAATGTCGGCAACGACGAGCACAGTTGTGCAGTAGGAAATATCATTCATGAAATAGGACATGCGATCGGATTCTTTCACGAGCAATCCAGACCGGATCGAAACGATTTTGTAAAAATAGATTGGAAAAACGTAAAAAAAGGTGCGATTATTATGCATTAGTTTAACGATCTTACATCTTTATTCAATTATATTCAAAGCTAAAAAAACATCATTACATGTGAAATCTTTTTTCTTTTTTCCCGTATAAAACGTAAAAAACATCATTACATGTGACATCTTTTTTCTTTTTTCCCGTATAAAACGTAAAAAACATCATTACATGTGACATCTTTTTTCTTTTTTCCCGTATAAAACGTAAAACGTTTCTTTTACAAAGGCTATCGCGTGAACTTCAAAAGATTTTCAGATCACGTTATCGATTCTCGAAAAGTAGCTTACGATTATGGTTCAGTGATGCATTATCCAAGAAGAATATTTGGAAAGGAGCCTAGAAAACCAACTGTAATTCCAAAAAGAAAACACGCTAAGATTGGCCAAAGGAGAGGGCTAAGTAAACTGGACATTTTACAAGTTGGTAAGCTATATGGCTGTCTGGCTTTACCCGATGCTGGCAAACAACATCACCAAAAATAACACGAAGGATACAAATGAAGACGAAATAAATAACAGCGTGGTTATAGCAATCGAGTAGTAGAACTGGATAATATAAGCGTGAGGATGTGAAGGACATAAAGAAATAGGAGCCGATTGCACGAAGCCTGGATAGCGTTATCCATTGGATAGCTAGTTTTTTAAACTTTTATAAAACCTCTTACAAATCAAAAACTATGAGATTCGAACTGAGCAATCATTGAAATAAAATATTTTTCCGAAGATTACGAAGTTTCTTTGTCGTAAGAATAATAATAACACCTTTTTTACAAGTTTGAAGATTCTTGCTATTCAATGGATAACGTTATCCAGTGTTATCCGTGCAACCGGCCCCAGGACTACAACAGTGATGCAATCCCTGATAAAAAATTCACAATATTTGTCATCCATGAACAGGTGTTCATTGTACAAATTGATCAAAATTAATCCTTACGTTTAGCTTATGTAATTGTAGTATATAACTTTTTATCCCAAAATTTGCGGCCTTCTAAACTTTGTTAGTTGACAAAACCACATATAGAAATTATATGCACTAAATATTGCGCTAATTGCTTACGTGGTCACTGTCAAACACGCGGAAGAAGCCGTGAGTTTCCATCTACTTTCCTTCAATCGGAAAAAAAAGAAGATCCTCGGCATCTTTTGACGATTATTATGCAAAAATTAGCAGCAAGTTGTACACGAACGGGCACACGACTACGCACGCGCGCATGTACAAAGACGCCATATGCTCATTCACTTCAATTTGACATGCAAATTTTGCAATGCAATAGTAAAAACAATAAAGCCACAAACCAACAGGTAAAAAACACTTCACGCAATTTTCTATTCAAAAGAAGTAATGAATTCACATCACACGTTGAAAGCCACGTATACTTTCCAATGATGATATGGATAATGCCACACAAAGTGAAGAGGAACACGCAAAGAAAAAGTAGCTACATGGAATAACAAAAAACAATTGTGACTATCGGATTTAAATCGTGGGTTTTGAAGACATCATACTTGTGATGTATGCAAATGATGTTTCAATTATGGATAAAATGTAAGACAAATGATTGTGATTGGTTGACAAATAGTGGATGACATAACATGTGTTTCGGTTCTTTTATTGATGAAGATCTTCGGGCAAGAGCGAAATAGGGAAAAACGTGCACATGTATCCTCGTAGATTCTGTTGTACATAAACACGATTCTTTGCATACAACTTCTAAGTGAGGATTAAAAAGGTTAGTGCGAGAAATATCAGGTTTCCAGTGGATGAGAATGAGGTATTTGTGAAGCATAGATGCATGATACAAACAAATGAATAGAAAATTCAATTGTTTGGATATACTGATATTTATACGAAAGTTTCGCACCTTGATGAAAAAATATCAAAAAATCAAAGCTGCTTCCACAGTCTAGAGCATTAGCTAAGAAAAGCCAGATCGTTGTACAATTTAAAAGCTTGGTTATGTCTGAGATAAGGTACATGCATGTACGCTTGCTTCTTTGCCGCCTTTGATGACGTAAAACTATAACATTCACAAACGAAAGATAATTGCTGAGAGGTGAGGAGAAACAAAACAACGAAGGAATACTTATATTTAATTGCATAACACACTTAAATTGTTCGAGTTGTGAATAGCTAAAACGTCGTTCTCTGATGAGACGGTATTCCCGTGAAAACTTCAGTTAAGGACTAGAGAGTATATGACACGCAAAGCTCCAAAGGAGCAGAAAAAATGGGCGACACACACTCAGCAAGGTCTACGTTGTGTCGATTTAATTTACGATGAAAGTATAATTTTCGAGTATCTGTTTGACGCTTACATGTCATGACAAGTTAGTCACACAACCTTTTTCCAAATTTAGTAAAAGATTTTGCCAAACTATAGTTGTATCAACGCCCTTCTCTCCATCTCTCTCACGGGATTATTTCATGTAAAATGCGTTCACTAATTATAAAGGAATAATATGAACGATATATCGACAAAATAAAAACCATGGCGATGAAAACCAGCAAAACTTGTTTACCTATGATAATTTTTTATGCATTGAGCATCAGCTGACGGCTCGAATGGCCAAAAATAAATAACAAAAAAAACTATAAAAAAATATAAAACGAATTGACATTTAACGTCTGGTCTTATGTTTTCAATATGAAATTTCACGACATTTAACGTCTGGTCTTATGTTTTCAATATGAAATTTCACGACATTTTGTGTTACTCAAATGCTACTGATTTTCTTGAACGTCAACAACGTCAAACTTATTTGCGTGAATGCAACCAGTGAGGCGATCATAATTTATTTACTTATGATAGTTTTTTGTTCAATAAGCATCAGCTGGCTCGAATGGCAAAAAATAAAGCAAATATTATCTTAACTCAGTCCAGGATTGCGAACTTTTTAACTTTATGAAAAATGATGATAAAACTAAAGTTAAAGTGAATCCGGGAGTATCGTTACATAATGTAGATGTAGTGTTCTAGCTGTTGGTGTTTGTATTGACTGAGGTATCTATAGAACATTTGCATGACTATGAAGATGACTACCGCTAAGGAAGACAAAACGTCAGCGACAACATCAACAGCCAGGACGACCTACATCAACAAACACGTACAGAAAGTTACAGGCTTCAAGCTCTCGCTGCTAAAAATATTTTCCCAGCCAGCACGAAGCAAATTATGATCGCCTCACTGGTTGCATTCACGCAAATAAGTTTGACGTTGTTGACGTTCAAGAAAATCAGTAGCATTTGAGTAACACAAAATGTCGTGAAATTTCATATTGAAAACATAAGACCAGACGTTAAATGTCAATTCGTTTTATATTTTTAATGGAAAGGTTTGCTATTATCCAAAAATGTTCATAAAAAACAAAAATAATCTTGTCATGCGATTGTCATGGATATACACAACCACGCAAGCCAATTCATGTTGTGATTTAAAAGATATCTATTGACTTTCGCTTCTATTGACTATCTAATGATTTAAAAGATATCTAAACACTTTTCATTGGCTAATTTGTTGTCATTCGTCAACATGGCAAACGGGATAAAGAAGTTCTTTTTGTGCTGAGAATTAATGCAAACCAATTTTGCTTGACAACACAATTTTTTTCTACCTGCAGCTGCTCTACACAATTGCACGAAACTGCGTGTCGTTTTAATTGTACGAATAAATATGAATGGAATGAAAATGTTTTGAATTGTCTACAATTGCATAGGAACTTAACAGCTCGCTTCTTAAATTTCTTCTTATAGTATTCATTGACAAGAAACAAACTTGTGATCATCATGGGTGAGTCGACGAAGAATTAAAATATATTCAACCATAACTACGTATTATTTACTAAAGTAAATATATGTATGTATGAATATAATATCTAATATTAATGTATAGAATAACAAAAAGGCATGTATGAACTGTTTAATAATAAAATTAGAACGTCGATTAATTTTAATTGTATCAAATTTTCTGTTGCATTCATATACTTGAAACAATACAGTATGTTGGATTGTGGATGCAGCTATAGGAGTTTTACTAAGTATTTTTTCTGAACTTTAGATGACTTCTCGAGAAAAGCTTTACAATGTCACAACGAATGCCGCGAAAAGCACCAAGTACCTGCGATGAGATGGGCCCCTGATTTGGCAAAGGAAGCTGAAGAATGGGCGAACAAGATTGCTAGAGCCAACACATTGAAACATGCTAGTCAAAGCGAACGAAAAAACGCAGGCGAAAACATTGCGATGTTTTCTGGAAGGTCAGTAATATCTTCATCAACATGAACGACAGTGAATATTCGCCAGTTGTCGTCCTGTCTTTACTCAAATACCTACGTGCAACATTCGATCATTTTTCCATGCAGGTATGATACTGCGGCGGAACAAGCAATCAGTATGTGGTACAGTGAAGTTGAAAAGTACAACTTCAAAATGCCCACATTTCAGTCAGGCACAGGACATTTTACTCAGGTAATGACCGCGTATACTTCTTGTGCACCAGGTTTATAATGCATCAGATAAAGAGACTCCCACACAGCAACCAGGTAAAACAGTACATTATATTTTAAACTTCCTTTTCTTTTTATCGATCCGTATTATCTCGCTTATATTTATATTGTGTTATAAATATTTTACGTACTAATATTTGATGATTATATTGTACGTGGTTAAAGAAGTTTTAAAGTGAGTAATTAAGAGAGAATATTGTTAAAAATCGTAGGAGCTAAATAGCCAAAACGCGACGAAGCGCACCATCGCATATTCACCCATACACATATAAGCTCTCTCTTATCAAGCTAATTTACTGACTATATGAACGATGATGTGTATAATAAGACTGCACTGACTGCACAGTAAAGTAGAATCTTCAAAACTTTTTATATTCACTAAAATTTGAAAAAATATACAAGTCCAAAATTTCTTCCTGCTGGTAGCTAGGAGCATCATAGTCTGGATTCTATCACATTCATTAACCAGCTTCAACAATAACAAAAATTCGTAAATAACTCGATCCCATGAATTCATATAGCCAATGAAAAAACTCGAGCAACCTATTAGGATGAACATTTTCGAGAAGCAAAAGTGCTTTCAATTCATTATATAACCGAAAAAAATAATGGAAACGTATTGCCCAGTTTTGTGTCTCACATTTTCGTAATGTTATCAGAGAGAAAATCGTCAAACATGTAAATTACCATTTTGTCATTTTCATTGGTACATTATCGCTACCTCGCAAAACTGAAAGAAAAATTTAAATGACAAAGTTAAGCGAAACTTGAAAATATGATTTATCACGTGCTCACAAACACTTCTTTCATGCATGACCATTTGCTTGTCTTCAAAGCAGAAATACAAACAGAATAGTAGAATCCTTTGTATATTTGGCGCTTGGTGCAGAATATATCCACAATTGCTTAAAGGTAAATTATACTTTACGACTAGGGTTTCATTATATACACGACAAAACTAATTTAAAGAATGATATGTTTAAAAGCTCCATACTGAACTGCTTATCATCAACAAGAAATGATGATATAACACTTTGTACACGAAATTAATTGTATTTGAGATATGTCAGAGTTCATAAAAAGTACATTTGAATATGTGTAGGTATCTCAAAGATCGTCATTAATCGGTAAGATGGTAAAATAGTCAAAATTATTAAACATTCCACAAATCGTAATTTTTGTCTGGAATATTCCAGCAGTTCAACACACCGTAATTTCGAGCCAACAAATCGAGGTCTTTTAAAGAACTGCATAAATTAACTGCACGACTTGTCAATTATTCTTACGATTTATGAAGAAATTTTATTGAACGAACATTTCCCGATGTAATAATAGAAATAAAAGCACAAAATATACTGAAAAGGCAACGAGTGTATGTAGCCTTGTCTTTTTTATCGAGTTGTGTTATCCACATAGAAGCTAAATTTCATCCCATTTGACATTATATTTTAATTGGAAATGTATATCATCATCACAGATTTCAAAAAACGATTAATCACAATTAGCAGCGTCATTTAGTAGCGCCAGGCAGCAAGTTTAGTCCTGCTATGTAAATTTAAGAACATTATCTGTCATTTCTTCAGAAATCTATATTGTTTCTGCAGCGTGTGTGTGATAGTCCTGCTAGGTAAGTTTAAGGACATTATCAGTCATTTCTTCAGAAATCTATATTGTTTCTGCAGCGTGTGTGTGATAGTCCTGCTAGGTAAGTTTAAGGACATTATCAGTCATTTCTTCAGAAATCTATATTGTTTCTGCAGCGTGTGTGTGATAGTCCTGCTAGGTAAATTTAAGAACATTATTAGTCATTTCTTCAGAAATCTACGTGTATTGTTTCTGCAGTGTGTGTGTGAACATAACACGTCACGTGTTTCACTGCCTTTAGTTACAATTCAAAAAAGCCACTCATGTTGACACTCACAAATCGCAATTATTCGTATTGAACCGGTAGTGTACTCGTGGATACACGCAGGTGCACGAAAAAATAGATACAGCTACGAACACTTTGTATTTAAACATATTCTCATTAAAGACCTTCACAAAACTTGATCATACGACGAAAATATCAAAATCTATGAATGACTGTCAATACTGGAAGCGCGAGTGTGAATACATGGGAACGCCATAGAACACCTTATGCCTACAATAAATACGCTTTCTTTTGATTCTTTGTGCGTTGTCCATAGGTAGTGTGGAAGGACTCAAAGGAACTAGGGATGGCAAGAGTGAAAACACCAGATGGGAAGAACACATATGTTGTTGCTCGTTATCGTCCAGCAGGAAATATGATGGGAGACTTCGAAGCGAACGTCTTTAAGAAGTATGTTTTTTTTCAACAATTATCAAACCATTTAAGTGCCACACAAGGCAATACTTTTATGCTTAATGACTGAGAGCGCTCTCTCACTCTCTCTCCCTTGCACTGATCATTGATACGTACTTCTATCCAGCAAATCAAAAGATCCACCGCTTTTCGTGAAAAACATCGATGTGTCACGTGGTGAAGAGCAACACAGCCGCATAGTGACAACATCGCGCGAAAAGAATGATGGGAAAGGGCAACAGACACGCGTTGTTGTCAAAGAAACAAAAATAAATACTCCACAAGGCACAAGAACGGTCAAAACAACAACAACTTATACAACAACATCAGGTAGTCAATTGAAGAATGACGACCCTTCAAAAAAGTTCAAGTCTCTTCAAATCAACGACAAGGATGACAAAGCGTCTGGAAGGCCGCAAGCAAACACTGCCAATGCGAAACCATCTGGTCCTTTTCAAGAAGTGGCTTTGAAGCAGCACAATCATTACCGTCGTTTACATCAAGTACCTGACCTACGTTGGAGCAATGAACTTGCCCGTGATGCTCAAACTTGGGCGGATAAGATTGCCCGCAAAAATACCATGCAACATGCATCATCAGGAGAGCGCAAAGGAGATGGTGAAAATTTGGCATATTTTGGTGGCAGGTTAGTACCAAAGAACATTGTTTCAGCCTGATGTTTAAAGTTCATTTTTCATATAGTCTCATTGGTCGAAAGTGTGTCACGTGAGAGTGAAGAAATCAAGCTGTTTCTTCCCAAGTGGTTACTGCCCGGAAAACAGGGGGATGCACTAGTTGGACATCTAAAGCGCGGGAATTTTTCCAAATTATTTTCTATATACTATTTTATTCATATGTTTGAATCCAGACATTTTTATTATTTATAATACAAGTTTCTCCGGATTTTTTATTTTTTCATTTACGTATTTATCAGTATTCCCAAATTGGTATATGACAAACAACTTATTGACTGAAATCTCGAGGGAGAGCGGGGCGGTTGACCGTCAAGGAATACAAAGTTTTAAGCAAAAACTTTTAACAAGAACAATTTAAATCTTCAGATTTGGTGATATTGGAAAAGATTCAGTAGACATGTGGTACAGCGAAGAAAAGAAGTATAAATACAGCAATCCAGGTTTCAAAAGTGGAACGGGTCATTTTACTCAGGTATTAATTAATTCATTCATATGTAAACCGTAAACGTCATGTTGACTTTACTCAAACACAAGTAAAGAACTAAGGTTTACCTTAATAACTATGGTTTAACTAAAGATAAACGCCATTTCGTCTTTTTAGACGCTGCTCATTATTCTAAATAATTTCAATCCCGGCCTATCCTACGGCGAACAAATCACAAACGTTTAACGGACATATTTTTCACTTATGACGAAAATGAACAACAAATACCTTTTCTTTTCAGGTTGTGTGGAAAGATTCAAAGGAAGTTGGCATGGGCTGGGCCAAGTCACCGGATGGAAACAGCGTTTTTATTGTGGGTCGCTATAGACCAGCTGGAAATATGATGGGTTCATTTGACAAAAATGTTTTCCCTCCAAAGAAGTAGAAATCTGCTGCGAGTTCAACATGTATTTTCGTAACGCACGTTTTGGCACACGGCTTTTGCATCACTCACAATGACATTATCACGTGGCTTAATATTTTGAATTAGACAAAGTGTAGTTTTGTTAATTTGTTCTCATTTTTTTAACTCATTTAGCAACAATTTCATAAGAATTTCACTTGTAAACGTATTGGATAGAGGGGACAAAAATTGCCTTTTGGGTATGAATAAATAAAGAAAAATATAAATTGCCGTTCTTTGACTGATTGTGAAACTTTGGTAATCTCGACGATGTACAATAGTCGAGGTGCGACTTTCAATTTTGAATTTTCCACCATTTTCATAAATACTGTGGTATAATGGAATTGAACGAAGAAACTTACTGGGGAGATGTGGTTGAAGAAAATGATACCGAAAGCGCTGTAAACTATGAAGAATTATTCAAACCAAAAGCTGTAGAATGCTCTGATTTTAAACTTCATCAAATTTATTTGCAAGAACATCAAACAAATGAGTAAGTATTTGAATTTGGTCCATTGGCTGAAAGTCTGGCGTTGGAAACTCGTTTATTTGGAAGGGAGGGCAATATTCATATATGAATGTTTTAATGCTTAGAAAAAAATTTATTACATCAGAACAACATATGTATGAATATGTGCAACACCCTCCAATTCTCAAGTTTGCTATGCCACTGCTGAAAGTCACGTGTTACAATATCATATCTGAGACGATTGCTTAAATTGTCCAGCTAAGTGCGAAGATCATATCTCATTTAATTTCAAAACACCGCACTGCATAAAACATTCATTCGTCGTCTTTGTCACCCTCGGCCTCGATGGACTGCACATTGAAAAAGCAATTGTTGCAGTATGCAACGCACACCATTTCTAGCCAGCCTTCTACTTCTTCGTTCTTTTCTTCCACTGAGCACGATGGACGATTACAAACAGATATTTTGCATCGAATACATTTGTATTTTGTTGCTGTTTCACATTCAACACATGTTTCATGCTTGCCCGCCATTTTGAAATTATGTGTTCGTGGAACACACGCAGCAGAAAACGCTGAATTGTGGGAATGGAAAATAATTATGAAAATTAATGCATTTTGTTCGACGCGTCCATTGAGCTCTATAAAACCATTGAGTTCTATATACCTGGAGCGGCTAACTTTACTGGGGCGAGGACGCCAAAAAAATGGCGGCCAAAGGACGTATTTCCGCTGAAATGATCGCTTTGCAGAAAAATAATATTCTCGACCTCCCCCTGGTGTCTATAGTAAATTATAAAGAATTTTTCAAAAACAAACACGATATCACAGAATATGGATATCGTTAGTTCCATATTCTGTGACGATATCTTTTTTGGCATTTCTTTTATAATGCCAACACTTCAATCGTTCAATTGTTGGATGTCGTAGTTTCCACAAAAAGGAACATATCGCTTCTCACAGGTGAGGTAGTTGTTTGTTTTGTTAGTCCGTCAACGATTGAAAAGCAATTATACATGCACTTGAAAAGCCATAAAATACATATTAAAGATCGTATTTTGTAAGACTGACTTGAACGCCAAATATACTGATGTTTTCCTAGTTTTGTTTATAAAATTCTGCATACTTTTCTGTCATTTGTTAATGCATGAAATCGTAAATTTACCCATTTATTTGCAAAATAGTTTCCCTAAAGCAAAAGACCCTGCACACATTTTGCTCTGTGAGTAAGTATCAAAAAGAAATGATCAGCCCCAACGGTACCCATGATTTGGAGCAGAGCTTGTTATGTTCTATTTGCTGACAACATGCAGGGAAGATCAAGGAGTAAAGATGACTGGAAGATGTTATTGACCAGGCAGAGTCTTAAAAAATGATAATGCTGTAAAGATAATTGATTTATTGTCTGCCCTATCCAGAGTTATTTAATTTGATCATGGTCAAATTCTATGGATGGAGATAATGGATTCACTAAGGATGCCGTGAGTGCTTTTAAGTGTGTTTTGATGCTTAATGAAATGTCAATTCACAAACATGTAAAATGGAAGGCCATAAAGTTTGTGTCTATGTAAACATTTGTACTGAGATTGATGATGACTCGATGCAGATGTGAAGCTTCAAACTGTATAAGCCATTGGGTTTTATATAACTTAATGTTTAAATCATGTCATATCTTTATCAAAATACTTTAGTTGAGTGTTGTTTAAATGTTACTAATATCTAATGCACTATACTGAAGCATTAAAGATTCAGTGATGAAACCTTTAAAGTTATTGTACTGTATATGTCTTATATATTTCTTATATTTTTTTAAGAAACAGTGTGAGCTTATTTACCTATTAGAGTACAGAATGGAGATTTATCATATGCATTATTGCTGCTTTTTTAAAGAAAAGTTTTTCACTTTTCAAAGCTTTTCTACAAATTTTTTGCTTCTTATTTCTTGTCATGAGATTGATGATATAGAGGTAATATAATCCAATAACTTTCTAATTTCTAAAAAGCTTTTAAGCTTCTAGCATAAAAGTACACTATAGGTATGTAATTCATTTGGTTTTATTGCCTTGCTATGACATCTACTTGCACTTCATCATTCTTGTATGAACAAAACACCAGATGTGGATACTCAGAGAACAAAATGCACTACCAACTGCTTATGAAATTTATTATTGAGGTGAAAACTGTGTTAATCATTCAAATTATAGTGCACTTTTTATTGCAAATATAGGAAAAACAAAACAAAGTGAAAAGAAAGGTAGAAGTATTAAAACTACAAATGAATTATAAACACCATTGGAAGCATAAGTGTTTTGATGATTATTTGCATTTTGCCCAATTCATATATCAATACAACAAAATCAAAATGTGCTACAACTTTACAAGTATTTGATGCAGTTGCACTTCAGAACATCACAAAAGGTTACTTAAAGTAATTTCTATACAATATTGTTTGTTTTCATTTACCAAACCTATGCAGACTTGAGTCTTTTTAAAATTTCATATGAAACTCAATTACAGAAAATCCGTAAATATCCAGAGATTTAATATGTACTTTTTAAAGAAACAAGTAAAAATCCTACAATTGTGGCGAAAAGCCATTGCCCATTGCATGAAAAGAAGCAAAATAGCAATGATAACAAATAAGCTAACTTCTCTCTCGTGAACCGTGGAGATGAACTATGATATACTTTTTTGTATAGACTAAAGAGTTTAATCGATCAAATAAGTTTGACGCTGGTAAGAAAACGACGCACATCTGCATTCATACATGTAGCCGACATATAGGTCTTTCGTCGATAGTTATAAATGCATCCTCGTAGGAGCAGATAACTGACAACCACAGTTGACTCGCTGTTATGAATTTAAGGTTTTACCTTGATTTTCATCAAAATTGCTTGCCGAATCCCAAATACATACATTTTCCTCACTCTTTCCTCAGGAGGGTGGGAAATTGTGAAATTTTCGGAAAAGCGGTCAATTTCGGTAAATCTCAGCGGCAAAGGACGAAATCCGCCATTTTTTTGGCGTCATCAGATATCTAAGGCCGCGCTTGAGATAGCCGCTCTAGTTATTATAGAACTCAATGTATAAAACCCATTGAGTTCTATAAGACCTGGAGGGGAAACGTCATCAAAATTACTATAAATTATCAGCGCGCGGCCGCGTGGTCAAAAACATGGCGGATTTTGGTTGTCAAAGTCAGCGGAAAGACGCGGGCTCATAAAATGAAATTTTTCGCCCACCCGGATTTGACAACCACAATTGCGATTATATAAAATATCAATGCCAAGCACAAAACTTTAGAAATTTTATCTTTAAAACATGCTGCAAACTTGTTTGGTATAAGGATGCTGAAGTAATGCCAGAAAGGAAACATTTCATGACACCGGTAAGCAACGTAAGATTGTTTACTATTTAAAGTGTTCAGTGTTTTGTTTTAAGTCAATACTTGAAGTGTGATGGCATATATTTTGTGAATGTTTTACTCCTAAGTTATAATTTAAGTTATGTTTATCCAGTCTTATTTGTTCTTTACTTAATCGATTGCTAGACGAGGCAAAAGCAATCAGTTCTTATCGAGATATGCATATCTTAAAACTCCTTGTTTCAACTGAGTTGAAATGGAGGATTTTTTCATGATATTTTTCTGAAAATATGAAGCAAATATTAAGATCAGAGCTGTATTGAAATCAAATGCAGTGCAGGATTAATTAATGAGCTCTTTGGTACATGTCGTACAATAAAAAATACCTGTATTAAACAGCTAGCCTGGACAATTTGACAGATTATGGACAATCATGATGATGGTGTGTTAAGGTTTGCTTTATGCTAAAAGTTTTATAAATGCCATCTGGTGTTTCTGTAAATGAATTGTTTGTTGTAGTAAACAGGTTAGTACATCAAAATAAGATAAAAACTACTTTGTTCAATAATGTGCCAAATTATGCTCCTACCTTGAAATATTTGCTCAAGAAAAGCTTATATGACATGTAAACTTAAATATAGTACTGCATCATCTGACAAAATCCATACATTTTCAATTCCAGGTGATTAAAATTCACATAAGATGCATTGGTTGCAATGAAGTTGAATGTAAGAAGCAAAATTGATGGCAAAACTTTTATGTCTTGAAGAATTATGATATCATTTAAAAGAATAAGAGTAGCAATCTAGTAAAAGAAGCGACATCTGTTTTCAACATGAGACTTTTCCAATTATGTATAGTTTCTTTGTACAAAATACTATTTTAGATAAACTTGATTTTTAAGTCATTCACTGATATTTTACCAAAAGACAAAAACAAAAATTCAAAGGCATAATGTAAAATTCAAAATTTGTCAAGTTGTTTGAACCTAGAAAAATTAGTATAGGTAACTGTAATTTGTAAGGACACAAGAAAAGTAGTGCAAGAAGGTTAGCATTTTTGAGAATTAATAAGTTCTTCTTGACATACATTACACAAGGCCATAATATTATAAATAATGTCTGTACAATAACAATTATACAACATGCTAAATATCTTCACCTACATTATAATTATTTAAACAGATTTGCCTTCATGCAGCAATAAGAAAAGTGTTATGTCAGAGAAACCAATGCACTTTAATTTATGAAATCGTATTTTCAATGGGAAATTAATGTAGTTCTGTTCAGTAGTAGATCCATGGTTGTCAATGACAATCCAGTTTCTAATATCTTGCCTCAAAACAGAACCAGCAACATGATTATAGAATTTCTGAATTTCGTTCTTTTGCTCTCCTAGTTCAAGATATTTTCTTCATAAGTTCTCAGTAGATTTATCAGAATATCATAATACTTTATAAGACACCCAGAATCAATCCTACCAAAAAAAACTCAAAAAAATTACATACCTACTTATAATATATTTCCAGTCGACTTAAGTCGTAGGGGTAAGCTAACTTTTTCTAACTCCTTTTTGGACATTTTAACTAAGATTTACCCATCTATTCAAGAAAGACAGTTGCACCAAGCTGTTAACAAACAGTCAAAAACACAAGTAATGCGCATGGGATTATGCATTAAACAACAACACATTGACAGTGTAAAGAATGCCGTTTGATATTTATTTCTAATATAGCTAAAGCATTACTTGACAAAATATACGTTATTTTACAGTAGATTTACCTCATTTAAATGTGTTGTCTATTTCACAAAACCTGAAGCATTATTTTCAATATTTTATGCTTACGGTATCGTGGTTGTTTTCGCTGGTTGTTTTTATATACGCAGAATAGAGATCCGCATTCGGGAGGGGCAGATGTTAAAAATTTTCTCAAAGTGGAAGTTTTGACAGCCAAAATCCGCCATTACCGCCATGTTTTGACCACGGGGTCCAGGCCCTTTGCTCAGGTCTTTTGGGGCTCAGTAGTAAGCCTGGAGGGGCAGGGGCCTGGACCTGTCAATCAAAACATGGCAATAATAACGATTTCAAACCACTTGAAAATTTGGCTCGCTCCTAATCCAGATCTCTATTATATATTAATGACAACCAGCGAAAACAATCACGTTACCATAAACATAAAATATTGAAAATAATGCTTCAGGAACAATGAAATAGTACATTAAATGAGAATAAATCTACTAATAAAGCTCGTATTATATTTGTCAAGTAATGCTTGCTTTATATTAAATTAAATATCAAACGCATTCTTCACTGTCAATAATGATAGTTAGCTTTGTGCATGATCCATGCGCATTACTGTGTTTTGTTTTACTGTTAACGGCGGTGCAACTGTCTTTCAAATAGATGGGTAATCTTAGTTAAAATGTCCAAAGAGTTGAAAAGGATTACCCGACTTAAGTCGACTGTAATATATGTGACATATTTTCGGTGGGATTGATTTCGCAGGTGTCTTATAGGTATTTATGATATTCTGATAATCTACTGAAAGGCTATGAAATATCTTGAACTAGAGAGCAAAGAGCTTGAAATTCGAAAATCATGTTGCTGGTTGCTTTTTGAGCCAGATATAGAAACTGGTTATTATTGACAACCATGGTCTACTGCTGAACAGAACACAATTCCATTGAAAAATACTATTTCTTAAATTAAAGTGCATTGTTTCTCTGACATAACTTGCCTGTATTGCTGCATAACAAACCTGTTTAAATAATTATAGTATTGGTATTTGGCATGTTATATAATTGTTATTGTACGAGACATTTATAATATTATGGCTATTATATGTCAGAACTTGTTAATTCTAAAATGCAACCTTCTTGCTACTTTTCTCTTGTCCTTACAAATTACTGTACCTATGCTAATTTTCTGAGTTCAAACAACTGATGAAACTTTTAATTTTACATTATGCGCAATTTTCTTTGTCTTTTGGTAAAAATATCAGTGAATGACAAAAATCGGTCTATCTAAAATGGTATTTTGTACAAAGTAACTATACATGGTGAAAGTCTCATGTTGAACAGATGTCACTTCTTTACTGCATTATATACATTCTTTTAAAATGATATCGTAATTCTTCAAAGACATAAAAGTTCTTTGCCATCAATTTGCTTCTTCCATTCGGCTTCATTTCAACCATTAAATCTATGTAATTTAATCACCTGAGAATGAAACGTATGGATTTTGTCAGTGATGCAATACTAACTATATTTAATGTTTCGCATGTATGTCATGGCATTTCGAAAACAAATATTCAGGCAGAAACAAAATTTAGCACATTGTTGAACAGTATCAATTTTATCTTGATTTTGATGTTTTAACCTGTTTACTACATAATAACAAACAATTCATTTGAAACTACCAGATGGTATTATAAAACTTTGCATAAAAGAAACCTTTACACACCATCATCATGATTGTCCTTAATCTGTCACGTGTCAGGCTAGCTGAGTATTTTATTGTACGACATGTACAAAGTTCATTAATTAATCCGCACTGCATTTGATTCAATAGCTCTGTCTGGCATAGCTGTAATTTTCAGAAAATATCATGAAAAATCCTCCATTTCAACTCGGACAAGGAGTTTAACAATATGCGCATATCTCGATAAACTGGTTGCTTTGCCTCGTCTTGATGGTAAAGAACAAATAAGAACTGGATGAAACACTGAAATTATAACTTAGGAGCTAATTCACAAAATATATGCCATCACACTTCAAAATATTGACAAACAAACACTGAACAGTCTTGCGTTGCTGTGTCATGAAAATGTTCCTTTCTGGCATTACTTCGGCATCCGCATACCAAACAAGTTTGCAGCATGTTGAATAAAAATTTCTAAAAGTTTTGTGCGGCATGAAATTTTATAATCGCAATTGTGGTTGTAAATCCAGGTGGAAACGAAAAATTTCATTTATGAGCCGCGTCTCTTCCGCTGACTCAGTGGCAAAATCCGCCATGTTTTTGACCATGCGGCCGCGCGCTGATAATTTATAGTAATTTTGTTGACGTTTCCCCTCCAGTTATTATAGAACTCAATGGACGCGTCTGAAGCTCAACGTCTAAACTGCTGTCGCGCGTTTGGTGCGGTAGGGATGTTCGTCGCGTAACACGACAGCGTCGCATTTAATGCGACGCGTTGAAGATAATCGGTTTATACGTCGCATTTCCGTCGAATAAAATTCAACGCATTAAATTCGACAGATTAAATTCGACGGAAATTCGACGTATAAAACAGGCCTAAAAAGAAAGACAGAAAGTACATTAAAGTCACATACCTTTGAGGGCTTTGTGCATATAATTTTTTGTCCTTTATAAAGCTAAATTGAAAACAAAAGCTTTTTATATCACAATAATATATTTAACATGTAATACATCCAAGTTCATTTAAGTCCTCAGGACTTGTGAATCTCAGAACCTGTTCAAGCTTTCCGGCTGAATTTCGCCATAAATATATTAAATAAATGCATTTGTTACATGATATATACAAAATACTTGCCTTTTTATTTCAATTTCATTCAAAAAGATGCCAAAAACAGCCAACAGCTCAAAAAATCTACATTTTAACCCACTTTACGGCTTCCACTCCATATATTTTCATAGTTAATGTTGTACACTTTACTGGCCAGAGTAATGGCGGCCGTCACATTTCCGGTATGCGCGAAACAAACTGCGCGCCACGCTTACATCAAAGGTTACCGACGCGAGTTGCCCTTCTATTATTCTCTATTCTATGCCAATACGGATTCTTTGGAATGTGTGTAAACGTGCTCATTCAGAGTAGGCCGACAGCTGGCATCAAGGAAAGGTCTTTATACCACAGGTACTTAAAATTGTTTTGTTTTAAAATATAACGATTCGTTTGTATTGCGCTTTGTCTTTTAAAATCTTGCGAACGATGTAATGTATTGTTTGAGGGTTTCAAGTCTATTAAAGTGGTTATATCACGAATTTTAGCCCCCCTTTTTTATTAGCTAAATTGAAAGACCTTGTTTCAGTGATTTTAAATCTGCAATTATAATTGAAATTGGATTGGTAAAAGTGATTTTACGGACGTTCAAAGTCACGATTTTCAGCATTTTTTTTGCGAACTTTTTGATCGGTATGCTAATGACTTGTGACGTAGAAAGTTGAACACATATATCAACATGGCGTATTCTACTAGTAATCTTAATAAACGCGGAGAAAAACTGTGTTGCTGGCGGACCTAATCAAATTAGTTGCGCCAATGATTCAAAACCGAAGGAATGTCGATGCATCTGTTTCCTAAAAAGAAACAGAGCCGCAAAGACATAGAAAATGGAGTAAATTTTGTGCGTAAACATAGACCGGGTTTTGAGGCTTCCTCTACCTCGTGTCTGTGTTCTGCGCATTTTGAAGATTCTTGTTTTGACCTTAATTTGAGCGTGCAAGTCAAGCTCAAAGAGGTTGAAGAAAGATGCTATCCCAACCATTGACGTGGCTGGGATTCCTGAACCATACAGGACGAAATAACCGATCAAAGCGAAGACAAGTAAGTTTACGCTTGTTTATGTTAATTTTTCTTTTGTCATATGTAAATTCGATATAAGTTTTGTAGATTATTCGACATACTCTCCATAAGCCATCGCTGAAGGAAACATGTTCTCTCAATGAGGAAGTACCATCTACTAGTGATGAAGCTGAGCATGTTTAAGTATGCACTGGGGAAGCAAACGATTCGCCATTTGAACGGCTTGCTATTTTCCATTTTTACATTTATGCTATGATTTAATTCCATGTATTTTTTCTTTTGTCTTTTTTCCCAGACTGACATTGAAGAAAAGATATTCTTTCATTTAATTCTTTCAGCTTAACCTCTCAGTAGTTGCACCAATTTGTTTTTATTGTTTACTCTTGTTTCAAACCATTAAACTGCATGTCAAATTATATAGTGCATCCATGTATCTCCTATTTGGTTTCATCTAGGCATATTTCCTGACCATTCCAAACTCAGCAAAGAAGGTCAACAGTCTCTACAGTGCACAAGTTAAAGACTATTCCATCATCGCCCTCTGATGGTATGTAACCTGTTGTGTTACCACTTGGATATGCTTTCCGAATAAAGTGGTAAACACAAGCAGGTAAAGGCCAGTATTCTCCCATCCCATAGACCCACAAAACCATCGCATCAACCATCTGTATGCCACACCTCTCAAGTACCTGAAGTAAATAAAAAGGTTGGACTAATTATTGTTGATGAAACAATGTTGATTATAACATTGTTTCTCATACAATTTACAATCTTACATATTTAATGATTGTGATGCTTAGCGGCGATAAGCACGTCCATTCTTATCTCTCAATAGTGGCCCGACGTTTTCAACGACAGCCTCATGAACTAAAGGCCCAAATTTGGCATGCTGTGTTATGCATGATATTTTCTCAATACTGCCATCGAATGTCATTTTCTGCAAAGCTGGTCCAATTTCCTTACAGCATCTGTATTCTAATGCGCCTTCTAACAAATTGGTATGACAGCATTGACAATTACACCTGAAACGTGGGAGCATTCTGGTTTATAAAGTAACTTTATGTATATTACAAACAGGAGAAAACAACAACTTACCATTCACCAAGTGGAATTACGCCATCACTTCGTTGTTCTAATGTCGCAGGGAGAATTCCATCGGGATCATCTGGAGTATGCACTTCATCACCATCTCCTGCTAGCGGTTCATCGTCATATGCGAAGTCGTTTAAATGCTCGACATAACCCACGGATTCCGAGCTCGAATCAGATACGCATTCAGACATCGAATTCGAATTATCTGAGCACTGATTTGAGGCCATACTTTCCGGACAACTTGTTTTTTAATATTTTATTGAAAATACTGGCATTATTTGTTTTTAAGACAAGAAAAACGACAACAAAATCACCTTCTATAATATAATATTATATTGACGGAAACAGACGTGTTCAACTATCTACGTCACAAGTATCAATATGGCGTCGTAAAAAATTCGCAAATAGTACCTGACTTTGGAGGCAAAATTAAGCAACTTATATTTATCTGTTTACGTCCAGCGACATGTCATATTTCTTCAAATAACCCAAATTTTTAATTAAGCTCATAAAAAAGGGGGGCTAATATTCGTGATATAACAACTTTAATGTTTTAACAAAGATAAATACTTACATAGCACGACCAGTCCTGCATGCATTATGACTGATAAGAGCATTAAATTAAACTAACATTATTGGATTCCAGTTTATTCTGAGCAGATGTGACTTCCTCTTTCTCTTGCCACTTACAATCTAATTATTTGTGAAATCAAGTTTTTGATTTTCTTTTTAAGAGCGATAGAGCTTTCTAATGCGGTGTTTACTGTTTAGAAAGAAAATTATATAAATTAGTTGTTCTTTGACCAAGAATGTATTTGTTTTTTCGATGATGGCTAGCATCAGTAAGTTGCTTTTGATGTAAAATACATGGTGATCTTGTGTGTTCCTGAAACAGTAGCGTTCTTTTTGCTGTGTTTGACTTTAAGCAACAACACTCTTTTCAAAATGAAGCAAAACCACGTTCAATGAGATTTGCGCTTCAATAATATCAAGTTACTAACTTATATTAATAGAACCTGCATTTGTATTTAAACAATATCAGCATTTGGATCTTGTAAAAACAAGCACATCAGGTTACAATGCATGGGGTCAAGACCAAGTGTTTTCATTCGTAAAAAAGGTGATGGCTGTATGGCAACTTGTACGAATGAAGTAATAATGAAAAAGCTGCATTTTGGTCGTTTGTATTTTCGAAGATTTTACAAAAAATACATATAGAGAGCTATATTTATTTAAACTTGTCGTAGAAAAGGTAGTGCGTCAATAATCTCCTCGTACGTCAGAATTAGTCCTTATCATGTTCCACTTAGAATTGAATTCAAATAGTTTAAACTTTTTTTTCTTCTTGTATAAGGCAGGATTTTCGGAAATTTGTAGCGTACGTCCAGTATTTATAATATAGCGCATTCTTGGATACATTTCGAAGAATCTAAGTAGCTGTATGGTTAATACAATTCTGTTATTTGGAGATTAAAAAAACATGCATAAGATTCTTGGAAAGTATTTTCATTCCATGATTAACCTGCTCTGATATATTATCACAAATGTCGAATATCACTCCCACATAGCGATGTTATGGTCACTAATCCACTGCTCCATTCTTAAACGAAACACGAGGAGTCTGAAAACTGCTCCTTCCAAAAAAACGGGGCTTTTGTGCGCGCGGTATTTCGTGCATCTAGTCAAAAAGGTCTTGTCTGACCAGTAATTTCTCTGCCATGAGTATTGTTCTTTCACATTTGTTTGAACTATAGTTGCAAGGATACCGCAGCCTTTGATTACCAGTCTTGTCGAACTATAGCTGCAAGGGTAGCGCAGTCTTTGATTACCAGTCTTGTTGAACAATAGCTGCAAGGATAGCGCAGTCTTTGATTACCAGTCTTGTTGAACTATAGCTGCAAGGATTACGCAGTCTTTGATTACCAGTCTTGAAATCGCTGGATGATGGCTGGTGAACGTTATCTGACAAGTTTTCGTCTCTCATTCATCGTGTTTGCCACATTGGTATCGTTGACGTTGGGATTTTTCAGTAAGTCTACACCTGTTGTACTCTTGATATAATTTCTAGAATGAAGCGCGATCATGCTTTAGTAAAATATGCGGTCAAGTCCAACTATATAAGTATATTTCACGAATTTTTGGTTTATTTAGCTATATGCACAAAAATATTACTTACTGACATTGATATCACCTATTGAAAATATACCGATATAAGTATTTCTGCTCTTCAGCTGGTCATAGTTTCATGATTTTCCAATTCAAATCATAATTTTTGTTGCACAAAATGGCGCAAAAGAGTTGCTGATATTTTTTCTTGCTTGTTGTCGACAGGCCAGAAACCACGTTTAAAGGGTGAACGCATAATTATAGTCGATGTTGAAGCAGATGACACCGCTCGTCTCAAGCCGACGTTACAAAGCTTTAAGAAAAAATGGAAATGGGAAGTTTTTTGGTACAAGAACAACACGCTCATCCGAAAGCGAAGAAATAGCAAGAAATATCGTTTTAAAAATCTCTTGCTAAGAATCAAGCACGTCAGTAAAGACGATGCTGGCTTGTATAAATGTGTCATCAAAAATAAATTTGGGAGTGCTAGCCAATTTTTCAATCTTACTGTTGGCGGTGAGTGTGAAGAAGATAAAGTTTCTAATCATTAGACCTGGCCGTAGAGATGGTTTTGTAATGTATTTTATTTTCATTATTTCAGGTGAACCACCAGGAATCAAGGGACAGGGTAGGTGAAAACCTGATTTACATTTACAGATTCATCAGTTGAACATAAATGTAAACATATTGTGTTTATTCTTAAGGTCCTCCTTGGTTCCCAAGGGCCCCACCTAAGGAAAAGTTCATTGCATGGCCAGCATCAATAGACCTAAAACTCCGATGTCCCGCCGACGGTGAACGCCCACTCAGATACAAATGGTATAAAGATGGAAAGCCGGTGCAACATCGACTGTTAGATCCCAGGTAAGCAAGAACTTGTGTCCCTGTTGCAATGGTTTTTATAAGTATGGGTATCTTTCGCACAATCTGCGCGAAGTGCTGGTTCACTGTTCTAAAACTTCACACTAACGATGGGACTGTATTTTGAATATATAATTTTAACACTTGATAGGATATTTACAGTGGTTTGTGCACGATTTATGATACGGAGTACCAAACGTTGGTTCTATGCGACACAAATATGTTATTGAAACGTTGAGATTACGGACAAACGTCAATCTTTAAACTTGAAACTTATTCAAACGCTATCGCCTCCTGCGATACGACTTCCAACTTATCACTTTTGTACGTCTAACAACGTCTGTTTTTCCGAATGCCGAACCAACGCTTGCAAGCTCTTATTTATATTATAATTATTAGGATATGATTTTTGGGCGTTTGCATGACTTGCAACACGCCATTCCGTTTATAGAGTACCGTCATTACCTACATCCTACCGCAATGCCACATTGGGTAGAAAAAGTGTTCCTAAGTATTTTGAATTTACGTACAGGATTTCCACTGAAACCACAGTTTAGTAACTATATACGTATTTTCCTATTTGTCTAGTAATACATGACTTAACATTTTACAGTTTATCCTACAGTATATTCACACACTACACAACATAACATGACAATTTACAACAGTATCCTTGAAACAATCATACAAATTTTGACGAGAAAATGCTTTAAAAGTGCCACGCTTGGAAGTTCGTTGTTAAAGTGGAATGGTTGAACTGACTGAATAACAAATTAATTGGAGTCATTTTGCTGCTGCAGCGAGCGAGCATTAAGCGATCTATCAAGGCGGTAGACCTAAAGCTTACAGCTGGCAAAATTTCAGTACGAAAGGCATCTAATTCAACATTTCATGTGTTTTTTTTAATCTAGCTATGTTTGTTTTCTATGCGTAAAATAGAAAAATCTAAAATGCTTGAAGATGCCCTTAGTGTCACAACTCATACCAATTTTAAACTATTTTATAAGGCAAATTCCCAGCGATCTTTTTTTCTGTTATTTGATTCTTTCTAGCATTGCTCCTGCCTCAGACCTTGCGAATAAAATTATCCGTGCATTTTTTCCTTATTTTTTTATCAGCTTCAATAGCACAAGATGGCATTTGACAATAAAAATGTCCGTACTTTCTGACAACGGTTTATACACGTGTCTTGTGACAAACAAGCTTGGGAATGCAAGTCGGCGATTCAAAGTGCAAATTCTTGGTAAGCTGAAATGTCTATAAGTAAAAGGTCTGAAAACTAGCAACTGAATGAGTATCCATTTTACAACAGCAAATTATTTTTCACTTAAGCAATTGAATATCTTCTTTTCACGATATTACCATGTGTGGCGCTTTTCGACTTGATATTATTCCTACAATAATTTTTATACTAATGCTTCCATTTTCGTAGAAAGAGCACAGGTCGCTCCTATATTATCAGATCACTATCCTAAGAATTACACAAAAAAGATTGGATCAAATGTAACATTTCAGTGCATTGAGCTCGTCAGTCCAATTCTAACGGACTACAGATGGTTGTTTTGGAAAGGTGGTAGCTATCCAAATTTGCAAATGCTAAAGGACCTTTCCTCGCTTAATTCAACGTACTTCAAGATGATAAGCCCGCTTCAGTACCAATCGTTTAAAGTTGCGCCTGGCAAATATGGTGGAAGAGTATTGCTTACCAACGTTACGAAGAAAGATCAGGGATGGTACACATGTTTGATCAGTAACAACCTAGGCAGGGGATGGCGAACTGCACACTTGACCGTGCTCACTGGTATCCTATTTATCTCATTATGTCGCTAAGCTTCTAAATTTCTCAAGTGCATGCTTTTTGTATTGAAAATGAGATTCTTATTAAGAAAAGGCATGTTTCTGAAAATCATATATTTAATGTTTTCATAGAGAAGGAATGGGATGATAGGTTTGTTGTGAAAAGAAATCCTACAACTGCACCAGAAAAGAGAAGCAATTCCAACGCGATAGGAGAGAGAAGTATTATAGCAATTTCAGTGTTTGCTGTTTGCATCTTAATCACTTTCATCAGTGTCAGCATTGGCATCGTATTTTACAAGCGGAAACTATCGAAGAAAGTTGTTGAGAAGGTGTTGTATTCGCGTGGTTTTGATTTGTCCAAGGAAAGCTCTAATGTTTTTGTCGGTCAGCAAGATTCGGTGAAAGTGTTTGGTCTGAAGAGGAACGGGCGATTGGAGTCGAGTAGTTTTACCAGTTCAACGATGCCTTTGATGCACAGACAGAACAGTTACCGGACTAGACTACCATCAAATATTGACGCGGATTTGAACGAAGGTGCAGCAAAGCTGATCCTTTTTAACTTTTTAAAAAATTGCCATATCTGGTCTTTTTCTTTTACAATTGTCAGATAAGCTCTCAAAGCTTGTTTTAAAATACACACTGCAGGGCGTATATCATATCCGACCATCTTTATGTTCCACCCAGTTTACAAGCTTCTCTCGTCGCAATTTTAACATGCTTTTTCTTGTATGGCGAGTTAATTTTCCCCCTCAAAATACCTTGCAGGCGAGTTTGAACTTCCTTATGACGAGGAATGGGAGATTGAAGAGTGTCAGCTTGCAATCAAGGACGAGATTCTTGGTGAAGGGGCCTTCGGGTTGGTAATGAAAGCCGACGCATTTGATCTGCCTGGACATCCAAAATGCCACACAGTTGCGGTCAAAATGTTGAAAAGTGAGTGCACACTTATTGAAGGTATCTTTTAAATTTCAACCTGATCGCCAACATGCCCCTTCTAGTCAACCGCTGACATAATCTACACCGGCGTTCAACATTCCATTGTGTACCAAAAATCTAATTACTACCAATGATTTGCTCAATCAGAGGATAGCGATTAACTATGTATTCGCTCTTCAGATTTATTATTTCTATGGTGAAGTACAACTTCAGCTCATTGTACTTCGAACCTATGCCTCATAAACCCTGATCATTTAGGTCGATACCCAACCCTTCAGGACTGTTGAAGAGGGTAAGAGTGAATTGAATTGAAATTCTCTTTTCCTTAGATGATGCGACCAAAGTGGAGCTTGCCGATCTCGTCTCCGAAATTGAAACAATGAAAAGGATCGGCAGTCACAAGAATATTATAAATTTTCTTGGCTGTTGTACGCAGAACGGTAATATCCCTTTGTCTGTTGCAGAATTTGCATGATAAAATCCCAGAATACCTACTAACATACTGGAGATAATATACATTGATGTTTTTTTGGTAAGCGTTATATGCCTGTAAATAAAGAAAAATATGAAAATCCGCCAATATAGAGATGATCTTCCGTATGTTTGTAGTTTGTGATGTAATGCTTTATCATACAATGATTGTGTACTCTTACAAACGATGATTGTATCTTGTTACCAAAGGGGCATATTTTCTGTACATGGTCGTTGAGTACGCACCTTATGGCAATCTTCGAGAGTTTCTTCGAAATCGCAGACCTGCAGTGCTGAACGCAAGATTACCATGCGATCCTAACAGCAATCTGGCACCGGTCACGACAAGAGATTTCATATCATTTGCTTTTCAAATCTCGAGAGGAATGGAACACTTGATTGCAAGAAAGGTAACTTGTGCTATTTTATTAAAATCTTAGGTCAAGACAGAACACGGTGGTACGATGTTGTATTTATATCGTATGTTCTCTTCCAGTGTATTCACAGAGATTTAGCTGCAAGAAATATATTAGTTGGTGAAGACTACGTCATGAAGATTGCAGACTTCGGATTGGCTCGTCACACGCGCATGGATTACTACAGAATAACAACCGACGTAAGTTTGAAGGAATATTAGCGTCGTTTGACACTGATCTCTCTTTTTTTCATAACACGAAGTGTGTACTTATTTGTGTTCGTACATCAAACGCTCATTGTCAATTTATTCTTCTTGATTTTAGGGAAGACTGCCAGTCAAATGGCTTGCAATCGAAGCACTATTAGACCGAGTTTATACCATACAGAGCGATGTGTGAGTTTTTATTAGTATGCTTATAATAAATCAGTACATTTACAATAAATTTGTATATTTCTAATATAAGAATATTTTAAACCCACCCGAAACAAACATGTACAGCATGACTGCGAACCCTTGTGTGAACCGTACGTAAAAGTGCGAACTCTTTACCATGTTGTAAAATACTTACCCATATCGACTTATTCAACCTTATCCATCTTTACCGAGTCGAGAGGGAGCTATAGGTTCATATTTATGTTTAGTTATCTTAACTGTTGTTGATGGTGAATCCATAAAATACTTATAATAATCTAAACGAAGTAATGAATTGATAATTGTATTTTCTACAGGTGGGCGTTTGGTATTCTTCTATGGGAGATATTCACACTAGGTAATGGCATCATTTACCTTTACACTTTTCTTAACATTCTGCTTTATTCAATGAACTGTAATATTAACTGGAACGCCAACTGCCATCTTCGAAGCCAATACTGATGCCTCTTTTTCTTCGTTTTTAAAAGTTCCATGATATTATTTTAAAAAATAAACAGTGATATACATAAAATAAAGTAGCACAAATGGCCATGATAATATTCGCTTATAAGGCATCGTAGGTAGCTGATGTATCGTACGTACGTAGCTTCAAAACGACCTCCAGCCATAATCTTGGAGTTAGCTTTCCGGTTACTATATTACAGTTCACTGGCTTTTTCTCAATAACAGCAAATGACGTGAAAAATACTTCATTTGACATTATAACAGTTGCGTAAGAGCGGTGGGAGGGGGTACGCTCCCCAAAAGGGGATATTATGTTGAGACGTTACCCTTGATTGATATAGTTTCACACATGTATATTGCAGTTGTAAAAGTTGACTTTTTTTATCTATATTTACAATTTATATCTGTAGTCCTCTACCACCTATGATGCTGAGTTGTGCCCCCCTGAAAAAATACTTCTTTCTTACGCCACTGCATAAGTACCCTTAAGTATTCAATTAAATGACCTCTTTCGTTTTTTTTGTCTTCGATCAAAATTCAAAAACGATATATTTTTTGTCATTTCAGGTGGATCACCATATCCCGGCATTCCAGTAGAGAAATTATTCGAATTCTTAAACAACGGTTACAGGATGGAAAAACCAGAAAATTGCCCTTATCAAATGTGAGTGTAGATTTCATACGGGAGTTGTTGTGATCCTTCTTTGAGTACCAGGATGTAACTAATGTGCCTTATTTGGTGTTGTTGTTCAGCTACGAAATGATGTTGAAAACGTGGAGTGAAAATCCTTCACATCGACCATCATTTGCCCAGTTGGAACGTGAACTTGAAAAGATGTTATCAAGCCTTACCAACCAGGTATTTAACCGTTACAAACTAATTTAAAAAATGCATTTTAAAACAGCTTACATGTACGACAAAAATGTTGATATGGCACTTTGTACACGAAATTTTGTATTTGAGATATGTCTGTTCATAAAAGTAATTTGAACATGTGTAGGTATCTCAAAGCGCATTAATCGGTGCCATGGTAAATATTTTGCTATTCACTCACAATAGTTTACATGGCATGACCAACTTGGGGCTGGCTACATCACTATGTCATGGCATGTTTGTGTAGAAATGAATAACAATAATGCTCTGAACTTGCAAGGAAGAAATTTTATTGAACGAACATTCCCCGATGTAATAATAGAAATAAAAGCACAAAATATACTGAAAAGACAACGAGTATATGTAGCCTTGTCTTTTTTATCGAGTTTTGTTATCCACATAGAAGCTAAATTTCATCCCATTTTACATCATATTTTAATTGGAAATGTATATATCCATCACAGATTTCAAAAAACGATTAATCACAATTAGCAGCGTCATTTAGTAGCGCCAGGCAACAAGTTTAGCCCTGCTATGTAAATTAAGAACATTATCAGTCATTTCTTCAGAAATCTATATTGTTTCTGCAGCGTGTGTGTGATAGTCCTGCTATGTAAATTTAAGAACATTATCAGTCGTTTCTTCAGAAATCTACATATATTGTTTCTGCAGTGTGTGTGTGAACATAACACGTCACGTGTTTCACTGCCTTTTGTTGCAATTCAAAAAAGTCACTCATGATGACACTCACAAATCGCAATTATCCTTATTGAACCGGTAGTGTACTCGTGGATACACGCAGGAGCACGAAAAAATAGATACAGCTACGAACACTTTGTATTTAAACATATTCTCATTAAAGACCTTCACAAAACTTGATCATACGACGAAAATATCAAAATCTATGAATGACTGTCAATACTGGAAGCGCGATTGTGAATACATGGGAACGCCATAGAACACCTTATGCCTACAATAAATACGCTTTATTTTGATTCCTTGTGCGTTGTCCATAGGTAGTGTGGAAGGACTCAAAGGAACTAGGGATGGCAAGAGTGAAAACACCAGATGGGAAGAACACATATGCTGTTGCTCGTTATCGTCCTGCAGGAAATATGATGGGAGACTTCGAAGCGAACGTCTTTAAGAAGTATGTTTTTTTTCAACAATTATTAAACCATTTAAGTGCTACACAAGGCAATACTTTTATGCTTAATGACTGAGAGCGCTCTCTCACTCTCTCTCCCTTGCACTGATCATTGATCCGTACTTCTATCCAGCAAATCAAAAGATCCACCGCTTTTCGTGAAAAACATCGATGTGTCACGTGGTGAAGAGCAACACAGCCGCATAGTGACAACATCGCGCGAAAAGAATGATGGGAAACGGCAACAGACACGCGTTGTTGCTAAAGAAACAAAAATAAATACTCCACAAGGCACAAGAACGGTCAAAACAACAACAACTTATACAACAACATCAGGTAGTCAATTGAAGAATGACGACCCTTCAAAAAAGTTCAAGTCTCTTCAAATCAACGACAAGGATGACAAAGCGTCTGGAAGGCCGCAAGCAAACACTGCCAATGCGAAACCATCTGGTCCTTTTCAAGAAGTGGCTTTGAAGCAGCACAATCATTACCGTCGTTTACATCAAGTACCTGACCTACGTTGGAGCAATGAACTTGCCCGTGATGCTCAAACTTGGGCCGATAAGATTGCCCGCAAAAATACCATGCAACATGCATCATCAGGAGAGCGCAAAGGAGATGGTGAAAATTTGGCATATTTTGGTGGCAGGTTAGTACCAAAGAACATTGTTTCAGCCTGATGTTTAAAGTTCATTTTTCATATAGTTTCATTGGTCGAGAGTGTGTCACGTGAGAGTGAAGAAATCAAGCTGTTTCTTCCCAAGTGGTTACTGCCCCGAAAACAGGGGGGATGCACTAGTTGGACATCTAAAGCGCGGGAATTTTTCCAAATTATTTTCTATATACTATTATTTTCTATATTCATATGTTTGAATCCAGACATGTTTATCATTTATAATACAAGTTTCTTCGGATTTTTTATTTTTTCATTTATGTATTATTCTCTTTGAAAATTGGTATATGACAAAACAACTTATTGACTGAAATCTCGAGGGAGAGCGGGGCAGTTGACCGTCAGGGAATACAAAGTTTTAAGCAAAAACTTTTAGCAAGAACAATTTAAATCTTCAGATTTGGTGATATTGGCAAAGATTCAGTAGACATGTGGTACAGCGAAGAAAAGAAGTATAAATACAGCAATCCAGGTTTCAAAAGCGGAACGGGTCATTTTACTCAGGTATTAATTAATTCATATGTTAACCGTAAACGCCATGTTGACTTTACTCAAACACAAGTAAAGAACTAAGGTTTACCTTAATAACTATGGTTTAACTAAAGATAAACGCCATTTCGTCTTTTTAGACGCTGTTCATAATTCTAAATAATTTAAATCCCGGCCTATCCTACGGCGAACAAATCACAAACGTTTAACGGACATATTTTTCACTAATGACGAAAATGAACAACAAATACCTTTTCTTTTCAGGTTGTGTGGAAAGATTCAAAGGAAGTTGGTATGGGCTGGGCCAAGTCACCGGATGGAAACAGCGTTTTTATTGTGGGTCGCTATAGACCAGCTGGAAATATGATGGGTTCATTTGACAAAAATGTTTTCCCTCCAAAGAAGTAGAAATCTGCTGCGAGTTCAACATGTATTTTCGTAACGCACGTTATGGCACACGGCTTTTGCATCACTCACAATGACATTATCACGTGGCTTAATATTTTAAAGTAGATAAAGTGTAGTTTTGTTAATTTGTTCTCATTTTTTTAACTCATTTAGCAACAATTTCATAAGTATTTCACTTGTAAACTAATTGGATAGAAGGGCAAAAATTGCCTTTTTGGTATGAATAAATAAAAAATATATAAATTGCCGTTCTTTGACTGATTGTGAAACTTTTGGCAATCTCGACGATGTACAATAGTCGAGGTGCGACTTTCAATTTTGAATTTTCCACCATTTTCATAAATACTGTGGTATAATGGAATTGAACGAAGAAACTTACTGGGGAGATGTGGTTGAAGAAAATGATACCGAAAGCGCTGTAAACTATGAAGAATTATTCAAACCAAAAGCTGTAGAATGCTCTGATTTTAAACTTCATCAAATTTATTTGCAAGAACATCAAACAAATGAGTAAGTATTTGAATTTGGTCCATTGGCTGAAAGTCTGGCGTTGGAAACTCGTTTATTTGGAAGGGGAGGGGGGGGGGGCAATATTCATATATGAATGTTTTAATGCTTAGAAAAAAATTTATTACATCAGAACAACATATGTATGAATATGTGCAACACCCTCCAATTCTCAAGTTTGCTATGCCACTGCTGAAAGTCACGTGTTACAATATCATTTACTGCGATATACCCCTACCCTAATAATTTTCCCACTATTTCAAATATTTTTAATGTATTTTGTACCCCTTACCCCCAACCATCCACTAAAATTGGCAGTCAATATATCTTTCTCCATTCAATGAAAAAAGGCTCTGTAGTCACTTACCACAGAACTGCATAAACTCTAATCCAGCTAATGGCAACTAAGACCATACTGAGAAATTTTCACCATAGTTCTTCACATTGCTTAACCGATCTAAGTTTTGAAAATAACGAATTCCTTTTTAAGCATCTTTAAATTAAGGTATCTATTGACTTTGTGTGAGTGCAATTTCTGTGTCGCAGTGAGAGTGTGAATGAAATTTTTGAAATACAGGCATAGTGTTTGTTGGGTTTTGAGCAGCCGTTTTGAAAATTTCACAATTTAAGGTTGCAACATGTTAAGCTTGAAGTATTATCAATTTTATCCAGTGAGGATGCTTATCAGTTGTCTGTTGCTCCTCCTGTTGACAAACATGGACAGAACTTGCTGCTTCACAGTATCGAGCTCAAACACCATATTAGGAAAATGATGCTGATGAAGATGGCTGCCCAGCATCAACAGGCTGGAGGAAATGTATGTCATTTTGTGATGGATGCAAATTGATGTGCACATGCCATGTATATTGTGGAAAATCCAATAGAATTTTTTTGCCATAAAAATGTTAAAATATTTGCTACATACTGTGTTTACATCACTTATTGATATGTACCTTTATTCTTGCAAATTCATTCTTCATGATCATTAGAAACTTATCAAATCAGAGTCTTAACTTCACTTGAAATAAACCAGGGTTTTAGAATTCTGTATTCCTTCCTATATGCCCAAATATTGATATATAACTTGTTGGTTTTTCTCATTCATATTCAGATGCAACATAACTCTCATCAGTCATCATTAATATAGAAGTTCCTTTCGGAATCCTTAAGGGAATTTCCACTCTGCAATTTATTGACAACTTACATGATGTTCAATTATTACAGTTAAACTCTACAGATCAGTTTGTTATGAATACATACTTGACATGTGTTATAGCACTATTTAATAAATCAAAATAGAGATCAGTAAAAGCATTAATTGCCACTCCCTTTAAGAAAACTGTAGCATCCCTTCAGGATAGGCCTGTTAAATAACTTCTTGTTTTGTCTTTTCTTCATGATTTAGAAAAATGAAAATCTTCCACAATTACCTGCGGCACCTTTGCCACCAAAATCCTATTGTGGTAAAAATGGAATTCATGTTGCCCAAAGACAAAGAGGTTTTTTATTAAATCCTCCCGAGATTGATGAAAAAAGGTTTGTGCATAAATAAAAAAATGCACTTTGCCCGATTCCATTTAGGTTTATACCCTAAAACGGGTGGTAGCCAATTTCCCTCAACTTCAACTCAAATATTTTTATCCCAACTGACTTAAAGTATGTATCTTTCTTAGTTCCTTGATCTCACATTGTGTTCTTGTTCTAATTCAATGTGTCCTCCAACCTTTCTTCCAGCGATATTTTATCATATGCCTATAAAACTCTTTCCTTTAAATGCTTTAAAATAAGTCTGGTGCGTCAGAGCTTACTAGCTTTACCCTGTTTTCTTCCAGTGTCCCTTTTGTATTATGTTTCTTCTGCTGTGAAACTTTCATTGTTTTATTCCCTCTCGTTAATTTTTTATTCTGTTCCTTTAATAGTCTGCCCCTAGACCTGTTCTAAACCTTACCTTACTGGATTCAAATTCATTATTATTCGTTGACATTATCTTTGTTTTTGATCCTTCATCATTTTCAGTCCATTTATCACTGGCTGTGGCCACAGTCCAGTCGAGCTGGACTCCGATTCATTGAGATATCTCTCATACAAAGCTATTGCAGCTATTTGTTGTCACTGCGGTTTTGAAAGTAAGTTTCTCGTGGAGAAATCAAGCGTCAGCCATTTGTTTTTACACGTACTGTATGTGTCACAACATTTCATGGTTTTTATTTTCAACAAGATGCTCACGAGTCAACGCTGGATGTATTAAGTGATGTGTTGGGTGATTTTTACAAACGTTTTACAAGGCTTCTACGAATTGCAACCGATGCCGAAGCGTCACAAAGAGAATCCAGATTTCCTGTAAGTTCTTACGTAGAAATGTTTTAAATTGTTTTGCATTTTCGTGTAAATGCAAGTCTCAAAATAACTGCTGAAATGTCCGGTCAAAATATGACCGATGAAGCTCATTTTAGTTTTGTCGAAAGTCGGTTTTTGGCCTGTCTCCTATGCAAATAATTTGCACCAATAACGTGAAAAAGATACATTTTTGACACTACTGATTCTCATGTGTGACGTTCTAAGCCCTTCTGACGTCACGTGATTCTCATGTGTGACATTGCCTAACTATAGTGCTTTTTTTGGTAAGACGTCATGTTCCAAAATTTGGCCTTATACACACAAATAAAAATTTAGGTTTTGATGGACTATCCAAACGACATAGACAGAATACTTTATGAAAACGAAATCGAAGCTTTGGACACAACTTCACCCGGACAGTGTGTACATATGTTTACCAGAGCAAACGCGGTTTTTCTGTGCAAAAATTGATGTTGATAATTTTAAAAAAAAACCGTTGAAATTTTCTTTCAATATTGTAACTTGGCTACTCCGACATAAAAAGGTGGATGCACTTTTATCATTTACCATTTTTATCGGATACGTTTACCGAAGTCTGACAGTATTTTGTAGCACAAACAACTCCTACCGGAGTTTTGCCGGAGATGAACAAAATCCGGATCCGGCAGGCAAAAATAGCCGGAGCTCCGGCCTAACTACGGCCTCCGGTACTCCGGTGCACAGCACTGGTTACAGCATTTGTAAAGCGGGCGCGTGGTGATGATTACAAAAATACCGTCAAGCTTTGTTCGAATTCTAGAAGTCAAGGCATAATACAATAAAGAATAGTTCATGTTAAATTGGATAAACCCTTCTTTGTATGCTTGATTATCATGCTCCTGCAAAATTGTGGATTGAAGGGAAGATTATTAGGGATGTACCAGACATGAGATATAACGTACCAACATCTATCTTTTTTCGAGTTGTGATTGGTTGTTTTTTTTCGTGGTACGGCATTTTAGGATGTATGATATACTAGCTACGTCTGTTGCTTTTTAGAATGTGATAGAATATGCTCTTCAAGAGTCTGGAATGGGAGGTTTTAATGCATTGTGGCGGTACTGGTGTACTAATATTCTTGAGTATGCTCTTCGACTTGAGCAGGAAGATCAAAGACTCATAGCCGACTATGAAAAGTTGACATGAACGGAAAATTTCTTTACTCAAATTGTTCTAAAATCATTTATATACGTGGCTTAACCTTCTGGATCATTTCCAACCATTAAAAAGTTCTGATTGTGTTGAAGGGGCGTAAAACCAGCAATGGCTGACAATGGTACTGCTGATCTGTTGATACGTAGGAGCAATGAGGATCATCCTTGAGGTTTTGCTGGGGTGGCACACGTACTCATAGGAACTTCTGCGATGCTTTTCTTTGATGGCACGCAGGAACAATTAGGATCGTCCTCGAGGTTTTGCTACCGTGGCACCTACGAACAATTTGGAGCTTCTGCGATGCTTTGCAGTAGTAGCATAAAGGAACAATGATGGTTTCTATGATGCTTTGCTTTGGTGACACGTAAGATCGATGTGGAACTTCGGTGAACCTTTGGTGACACTTAGGAACAATACGGAAACTCGGTGTAACCCCTCTTCAAAAAAGATTATATTTTCCTTTTTTTTGGAATACCCCCGCGCTTGCAATCATTTTATCAATGTTCTGGGAAGCGCTGCATGTCAAAAAAAAGACAAGGACATAGATAATGAATGGACAAACATATGTTTTGTCTTACCATCTAGATATCTGTAAAAGACCATCTATTTCTCTTATTTTCTGACATATTCCGCATGATTGTATAGTCTATTTTAACTGCAGATAGTTGCTCGATTACTTATATACGTTTGAGCAATGATTGGTCGAACGGAATTCTATACCTTTCTTTTGAGTTCTTTGATTTCAACGATGGTTTACAGTTTACTTTACAGGAATTGGTCAATGTGTTGTCTGTCTTGTTTTTAGCATCGTTTGAGCAATGATTGGTCGAACGGAATTCTATACCTTTCTTTTGAGTTCTTTGATTTCAGCGACGGTTTACAGTTTACTTTACAGGAATTGGTCAATGTGTTGTCTGTCTTGTTTTTAGCATCGTTTGAGCAATGATTGGTCTAACGGAATTCTATACCTTTCTTTTGAGTTCTTTGATTTCAGCGATGGTTTACAGTTCACTTTACAGGAATTGGTCAATGTGTTGTCTGTCTTGTTTTTAGCATCGTTTGAGCAATGATTGGTCTAACGGAATTCTATACCTTCCTTTGAGTTCTTTGATTTCAGCGATGGTTTACAGTTTACTTTACAGGAATTGGTCAATGTGTTGTCTGTCTTGTTTTTAGCATCGTTTGAGCAATGATTGGTCTAACGGAATTCTATACCTTTCTTTTGAGTTCTTTGATTTCAGCGATGGTTTACAGTTTACTTTACAGGAATTGGTCAATGTGTTGTCTGTCTTGTTTTTAGCATCGTTTGAGCAATGATTGGTCTAACGGAATTCTATACCTTCCTTTTGAGTTCTTTGATTTCAGCGATGGTTTACAGTTTACTTTACAGGAATTGGTCAATATGTTGTCTGTCTTGTTTTTAGCATCGTTTGAGCAATGATTGGTCTAACGGAATTCTATACCTTCCTTTTGAGTTCTTTGATTTCAGCGATGGCTTACAGTTTACTTTACAGGAATTAGTCAATGTGTTGTCTGTCTTGTTTTTAGCATCATTTGAGCAATGATTGGTCGAACGGAATTCTGTACCTTCTCTTGAGTTCTATGATTTCAGCGATGGTTTACAGTTTACTTTACAGGAATTGGTCAATGTGTTGTCTGTCTTGTTTTTAGCATCATTTGAGCAATGATTGGTCGAACGGAACTCTGTACCTTCTCTTGAGTTCTATGATTTCAGCGATGGTTTACAGTTTACTTTACAGGAATTGGTCAATGTGTTGTCTTTTTAGCATCAAACAAACATAATGCAACTAAATTATGCATTTCGCCATCATCATATTACAAACATGCTTGATGATGCATTGAAAATATTTCACTCGTGTTTTGAAAACAGACACGATCAAATAACGTGACAAATTCTTGCGCTGTGGGTGTGATAGTGCTTCCACTCGGTAGAACCGGGCAATCGTTTTTCAAAGTATCTTCGCAAAAAATCTCTACAAACTGGCAAACTTTCCCCCACATCCAGTGCTGTAGAAGTGGGGAGGAGCCCCCCATTCTACCTTTGAAATGGGTAATTTTAAAAGGGCACTATTGACAAAATGTCAAGAGAGCCCCCCATCTGATAAATTTAGTTCTACAGCACTGCTCACATCTCCTTCCAATATTCTGCGTTAAAGCATTTTGCTGACGAATTTTTGGCTTATTAGTTATCACGCACCTATTCACGCGCCTGGCTTCTTTGTTTACATTTCTAGTAGTAGCAAAATTAGACTCGCTTGAGATCTATGCAATAAATTTTCTAATAGCTGACATAAACGCGCACTGTCGAAAATGATTATCTAATTTTGAGGTATTTTTCATTTTCTTTCAATTTTTCTTCTTTCTGTAAAAATATCTTTAAAATTTTCTAAAAATTTCTTTCTTTAAAATTTTGTCACTTCGCAAAATAGCCCTCTCCAAGGGAAATTTCCCTCTGTTCATGTACAGTGCTCTAAAAAAGAAAGTTTAGACTTTCCTGAAACATTATATGCATGAAATTTGACTCACAAACCATTAGCCAATACTTATTCTTTGGAATGTGTGTAAACGTGATCATTCAGAGTAGGCCGACAGCTGGCATCAAGGAAAGGTCTTTATACCACAGGTACTTAAAATTGTTTTGTTTTAAAATATAACGATTCGTTTGTATAGCGCTTTGTCTTTTAAAATCTTGCGAACGATGTAATGTATTGTTTGAGGGTTTCAAGCTAATGTACACGATTATCCTTCCTTATTTGGAGAAGTGTATGTTCCTGAGTTTGAATAGAAAGTTTCTTTCTTGAGAAGTCTATTAATGTTTTAACAAAAATAAATACTTACATAGCACGACCAGTCCTGCATGCGTTATGACTGATAAGAGCGTTAAATTAAACTAACATTATTGGATTCCACTTTATTCCGAGCAGATGTGAGTTCCTCTTACCTTTGCCACTTACAATCTAATGATTTGTGAAAGTTTTTGATTTTCTTTTGAAGAGCGAAAGAGCTTTCTAATGCGGTGTTTAATGTTTAGAAAGAAAATTATATAAATTAGTTGTTCTTTGACCAAGAATGTGTTTGTTTTTTTCGCTAGTTTTTTACTAGCATCAGTAAGTTGCTTTTGATGTAAAATACATGGTGATCTTGTTTGTTCCTGAAACAGTAGCGTTCTTTTTGCTGGGTTTGACTTCAAGCAACAACATTCTTTTCAAAATAAAGCAAAACCACGTTTAATGAGATTTGCGCTTCAATAATATCAAGTTACTTACTTATATTAATAGAACCTGCATTTGTATTTAAACAATATCAGCATTTGGATCTTGTAAAAACAAGCACATCAGGTTACAATGCATAGGGTCAAGACCAAATGTTTTCATTCGTAAAAACGTGATTGTTGTATGGCAACTTGTACGAATGGAGTAATAATGAAAAAGCTGCATTTCGGTCGTTTGTATTTTCGAAGATTTTACAAAAAATACATATTGAGAGCTATATTTATTTAAAATTGTCGTAGAAAAACTACTTCTACTCTTTGACTTTTCCTACAATATATCTCGGCTAATGCGTCAATAATCTCTTCATACGTCAGAATTAGTCCTAATCGTGTTCCAACTTAGAATTGAATTCAATAATTTTAAAACTTTTTCTTCCTCTTTTATAAGGCAGGATTTTCAGAAATTTGTAGCGTACGTCCAGTATTTATAATATAGCGCATTCTTGGATACATTTCGAAGAATCTAAGCAGCTGTCTGGTTGATATAATTCTGTTATTTGGAGATTAAAAAAACATACATAAGCTTCTTGTGAGAGTATTTTCATTCCATGATTGACCTGCTTTGATGTATTATCACAAATGTCGAATATCACTCCCACATAGCGATGTTATGGTCACTAATCCACTGCTCCATTCTTAAACGAAACACGAGGAGTCTGAAAACTGCTCCTTCCAAAAAAAAACGGGGCTTTTGTGCACGCGGTATTTCGTGCGTCTAGTCAAAAAGGTCTTGTCTGACCAGTAATTTCTCTGCCATGAGTATTGTTCTTTCACATTTGTTTGAACTATAGTTGCAAGGATAGCGCAGCCTTTGATTACCAGTCTTGTTGAACTATAGTTGCAAGGGTAGCGCAGTCTTTGATTACCAGTCTTGTTGAACTATAGCTGCAAGGATTACGCAGTCTTTGATTACCAGTCTTGAAATCGCTGGATGATGGCTGGTGAACGTTATCTGACAAGTTTTCGTCTCTCATTCATCGTGTTTGCCACATTGGTATCGTTGACGTTGGGATTTTTCGGTAAGTCTACACCTGTTGTACTCTTGATATAATTTCTAGAATAAAGTGCGATCATGCTTTAGTAAAATATGCGGTCAAGTCCAACTATATAAGTATATTTCCCGAATTTTTGGTTTATTTAGCTATATGCACAAAAATATTACTTACTGACATTGATATCACCTATTGAAAATATACCGATATAAGTATTTCTGCTCTTCAGCTGGTCATAGTTTCATGATTTTCCAATACCAATCATAATTTTTGTTGCACAAAATAGCGCAAAAGAGTTGCTGATATTTTTTCTTGCTTGTTGTCGAAAGGCCAGAAACCACGTGTAAAGGGTGAACGCATAATTATAGTCGAGGTTGAAGCAGATGACACCGCTCGTCTCAAGCCGACGTTACAAAGCTTCAAGAAAAAATGGAAAGTTTTTTGGTACAAGAACAACACGCTCATCCGAAACCGAAAAAATAGCAAGAAATATCGATTTAAAAATCACTTGCTAAGAATCAAGCACGTCAGTAAAGACGATGCTGGCTTGTATAAATGTGTCATCATAAATAAATTTGGGAGAGCTAGCCAATTGTTCAATCTTACTGTTGGCGGTGAGTGTGAAGAAGATAAAGTTCCTAATCATTAGACCTGGCCGTAGAGATGGTTTTGTAATGTATTTTATTTTCATTATTTCAGGTGAACCACCAGAAATCAAGGGACAGGGTAGGTGAAAACCTGATTTACATTTACAGATTCATCAACTGAACATAAATGTAAACATATTGTGTTTATTCTTAAGGTCCTCCTTGGTTCCCAAAGGCCCCACCTAACGAACAGTTCATTGCATGGCCAGCATCAAATGACCTAAAACTCCGATGTCCCGCCGACGGTGAACGCCCACTCAGATACAAATGGTATAAAGATGGAAAGCCGCTGCAACATCGACTGTTAGATCCCAGGTAAGCAAGAACTTGTGTCCGTCTTCAAATAGTTCCTATAAGTATGGGTATCCTTGAAGCAACCATACAAATTTTGACGAGAAAATGCTCCAAAAGTGCCACGCTTGGAAGTTCGTTGTAAATAAATTAATTGGAGTCATTTTGCTGCTGCAGCGAGCGAGCATTAAGCGACCTAGCAAGGCGGTAGACTAAAGCTTACAGCTGGCAAAATTTCAGTACGAAAAGGCATCTAATTCAACATTTCATGTGTGTTTTTTTTAATCTAGCTATGTTTGTTTTTTATGCGTAAAAGAGAAAAATCTAAAATGCTTGAAGATACCCTTAGTGTCAGAACTCATACCAATTTTAAACTATTTCATAAGGCAAATTCCCAGCGATCTTTTTTTCTGTTATTTGATTCTTTCTAGCATTGCTCCTGCCTCAGGCCTTGCGAATAAAATTATCCGTGCATTTTTTTCTTATTTTTTTATCAGCTTCAATAGTACAAGATGGTATTTGAGAATAAAAATGTCCGTACTTTCTGACAACGGTTTATACACGTGTCTTGTGACAAACAAGCTTGGGAATGCAAGTCGGAAATTCAAAGTGCAAATTCTTGGTAAGCTGAGATGTCTATAAGTAAAAGGTCTGGAAACTAGCAACTGAATGAGTATCCATTTTACAACAGCAAATTATTTTTCACTTAAGCAATTGAATATCTTCTTTTCACGATATTACCATGTGTGGCGCTTTTCGGCTTGATATTATTCTTACAATAATTTTTATACTAATTGCTCAAATACTTCCATTTTCGTAGAAAAAGCACAGGTCGCTCCTATATTATCAGATCAGTATCCTAAGAATTATACAAAAAAGATTGGATCAAATGTAACATTTCAGTGCATTGAGCTCGTCAGTCCAATTCTAACTGACCACAGATGGTTGTTTTGGAAAGGTGGTAGCTATTCCAATTTGCAAATGCTAAAGGACATTTCCTCGTTTAATTCAACGTACTTCAAGATGATAAGCCCGCTTCAGTACCAGTCGTTTAAGGTTAAAAATGCGCCTAGCAAATATGGTGGAAGAGTATTGCTTACCAACGTTACGAAGAAAGATCAGGGATGGTACACATGTTTGATCAGTAACAACAAAGGCAGGGGGTGGCGATCTGCACATTTGACCGTGCTCACTGGTATCCTATTTATCTCATTATGTCACTAAGCTTCTAAATTTCTCAAGTGCATGCTTTTGCTATTGAAAATGAAATTCTTATTAAGAATAGGCATGTTTCTGAAAATCATATATTTAATGTTTTCATAGAGAAGGAATGGGATGATAAGTTTGTTGTGAAAAGAAATCCTACAACTGCACCAGCAAAGACAAGCAATTCCAATGCGATAGGAGAGAGCAGTATTATAACAATTTCAGTGCTTGCTGTTTGCACCTTAATCACTTTCATCAGTGTCAGCATTGGCATCGTATTTTACAAGCGGAAACTATCGAAGAAAGTTTTTGAGAAGGTGTTGTATTCGCGTGGTTTTGATTTGTCCAAGGAAAGCTCTAGTGTTTTCGTCGGTCAGCAAGATTCGGTGAAAGTGTTTGGTCTGAAGAGGAACGGGCGATTGGAGCAGTGATTGCTGTTTGCATATTAAGCTCAGTTGTAATTGTTGTAATGTGGTTTTTAATTGTCCAAGAAAGGCTCTGGTGTTTTCGTCGGTCAGCAAGATTCGGTGATGTTGTTTTGCCTGAGAAGGAACCGAAGGTTAAAAGTCGAGTAGTTCTACCAGAATAGTAGCACCAAAGTAGATTATTATCTAATATTAACGCATATTTGAAGGAAGGTAAAGCTGCATGATCTTTTTTAACTTTTTAAAGAATCTACCTTGTTGTGTAATAAATATATCTTAATACTGTAATGATTGTATAAGTATACTTTACATCTCTTAGGATGACATCAACGGAAAATTTCTTTACTCGAAATGTTGTGAAATAATTTACATAGGTCGTTCAACCTTCTGGATCATTTCCAACCATTTATTGTGTTAGAGAGGCAAAAACCAGCAATTGCTTAAAAAGGTACTGCGAATCTGTTAGCACCTAGTAACACTGAGGATTGTCCTTAAGTTTTTGTCATAGTGGCTTTTGCAAAACAGCCATCTTTAAAAGAAATTTCCCTCAAAGCGGAAAGGCTAGGTGTTCTTACAGTGTTCTTGTTTGCTATGAAGCCCATTGATGGTTTGCTCGTGATACTTGAGAAACAGTAAATGAGGGAGTTAAATCAGAAAGATATAGTTGTCTTGAATTATAAGTGTCAGAAAAAGGCACAGTGTCAGAAGAATTGATTCAAACATTGCTTGGTTTATTTTATGAGAAGAAAAAGATAAAATTCGAAAGCAAAAAACCCCGTTTTCGGTGCATGCTTCCCGATACCTTCTTAATCTCAAGGCACTAGAACGCCGCATGTTAACGTTTCGGTAGGAGATTTCGGCCCCTCCACGCTATCCTACTTGGGAGATGCAATAGCAAGTTTCCGCCCATCAGACCCCGAGATCACCTGCGATAGGTTTTGCTCGGGGTACGCAGGGAGAGTGCGGTCGCCACCGAAGTGTGGGCCCTAAGCCACTGCATACCTAATTGCACCCAGCTTCCATTGCTAGTTGACATCTACTATATGAAGTTTTAGCTTTATATATATATATATAAAAATTCAAAGACTTACGAAAGTTGTGGTATTATAAAAGTTACTACTGCGCATGCTCAGATGATTTCGTTGATAATTTGACTAAATGAGCTAATTGCCACAAATTTTGTGCAAGTACATATAGTTAGTCGTTGCCATGACTATGAACAATTAGTCGAGTGGACTGCGCATGCTCAAGCGCATGTGCAGATGATTTCTCTATTAGATTGTTAACTTGCTCTTAAAATCGGTGCCAGTAGATGCAGTTGGTCGTTGCCATGACCTTGAACGTGGGCAGTTTGTCCAGTCGACTGCGCACGCTCGAACAGACTGCGCATGCGCAGATGATTTGTCTGAAGATTTGTGACTGAGCGAGCTAATTACTCTATAATCGGTACTAGTACATACAGTTGGTCGTTGCCATAACCATGAACTTGGAGAGTTGGTGGAGTTGACTACGCATGCTCAGATTTATTCTAAATTAATTTGTGATGGAGCAAGCTCTGAAATTGATGCTTGTATATGCGCTTAGCAAATTTTCAATCATATATTTTTGACATGCTCTTTGCTTTGTCTTAAGCTTGTTTTGGCAAATGTATATCAAACTAATCAACACTTTGTTACGTCACTCGTAATATTCGTGACCATGTTAGAGATGTTTTCATTTTTCTCTATAACTTTGTATCTGCATATTTGTGCATAAACAATCCTTTAATATTTATGACATATATATTATAATTCGTGGATTGAGGTAGAAGAAATACTTCAAAATGAAACTTCCAACAGTGAAATAAAATCAAGCATGACAGAGGAGAAACAAAGATGCCAGGTTGAAGATAGCTTTATGAAATTGAACGTAGTGGAAGCACCTGAGCGTAGTTAAAACACCCGTAGTTGAAGAACGAGATTTTTGGGTGATGACTCTTGGACCAATGAAAACACGAATGATTTCAAGCATGTTGACAACGATAAAAGCTCTAGCGAGGACGAGGTTCCAATACAAAAACAATCCATTAATATCACCGACTCTTCTAAAGATATGTTCAAAAGAAATATCGATGAATCACATATACAGTTTGGAAGGTCGTTAACTCACGTGGTATATTGTAGAGGGAACTGTTCATGATGTTACTGAAGATATGTAAAAATAACTACCAGCGTATTTCCTTTAGGACGAGAAATCTGATTTCCAAAATGGAGAGGAAGCAATCGCCACAAGAGGTTTGCAAGAAGATTCAAAGCTTACTCCGCAAAGTTAGTATATACTTTGATGGAGTATGGTGAAAAGACTACTCCGAAGTTCAGCTTACCATTGCTTCCTTTCTTCTATGCTGTGGTGGCACCTAGAAACTGTGGAACTTCGGTGGCACTGAGGTCACGCAGGACAGATGGGAGGCTTTGGTGACTATTTGCTTTGGTACCATGCATAGCGACACTCGTAGAGCACGTGGGCTGACAGTCGTATAGCACGTGGGCTGCCTACAATGTCAATGATTGCACTCATTTCATCGTACCATTCACCTTTACTGTGATGAGCGATGCAGACATTTTTCGATCACGTATCATATTTTTCTCAAAGTATTTCAGTTTTTTGGTGGTTTTCACGCAACTTTAGCTACAAATACACGCATCTTGCTCTTTTTGTTGCCCAACACGATCGCGAATGTGTTTTCCCGGTGAAATTCGAGATTTATGCGAAGAATTTATACGTTGAAGCACCTTACAGACGAACAAATTTTCTATGACAAATACTCGCTAGCCCATGTGTACGGGCAACAAACTTTTTACGACAAATTTTTATGGGGCGAATTTTCTTTGATCGTCTGCACGTATCAACATCGTGCTGACATGCTAGCTTTCGAACAAATACTTTTGTCAAAGAAAACTTTGCTAAAAAGACCCATACAGACGGGCAAATGACATTTGCCACAAAAAATTTGTCAAGAAAACTTTGCTCGTCTTTGAGCGACTTTAAAATTCAATGGCATTGCTCTTGGAGCTTGTCACATGACTTGCTATAAATAAGAACTCGTATAGATGGGAGAATTTTTATATTCGCAGCATGGCTGCATGTGAAAAAAACGACCTGGACGTATACGCAATCAATCGAGACACATATGTTTTGACTTACCTTAAGCATATCTATTAAAAAACCGTCTGTTTCTTTTGACGTGTGTTCAATCTGTTCTTTTCTGTCACGTTTCTTGGTCGATTCATGTAACACGGACTATTTCTTCCACAGATAAGTTAACTCGAGGGGTGAATGCGCTCGATAAGTTCTCAATAAATGAAGGATGTGGGTGAGAATTGGATGACTTTTTCCCAATTGTTTTGCTGAACTTATCATTCGCCGAGTGCCTTATCAAATTGTTTATTCACACTTGAGCGCTGATTGGCTAATTGTGTTCTGTAACAGAATCTTGTACCTTCTTTTGAATTTTTCGATTTCGGTGAAAATTTATTTAAGGGTAATTTGCTACTGACATTAGACATTTTGGGTGGCATAAAATTTACATGAAAAATCACACGAAAAGTATTTTTCGTAGTTTAAATGCTCGTCACTTTTATATGCTGTAAATTCGGACTGTAGGCAACATTGTGGAACTTGATGGTACTTTACCGTGAGTTTAATTTGATCGCGATATGAAAAACGGAAACGACAATGTAAACATGATTGAACGATCAATGAGCAATAGAATGTGAGAGTATTATCGTGGACTTCGAACTGCATGAAAGCAAGCCAAGTTATTATTAAGATATAGGATATGGACAATTCGCAGTCCGCCGTAATTAGTCAATGCGTTGGTTGTCTTGTTGACAGGCTTGGCATAAAACAACAAGACAAAAACGAAATGTAGAATCTACCATCACGCTTGATCAAATTCAAATGTGTCGCTGAATTGAGTTCAGGGCATTTTTCAGCTGAGATATTTACTGCTGTAGGCCATAACTTTACCACAGAAGTGAACTCCTGCTAGAATGGCTCTTCCCTTACGAAAATTTCACATTTGATTTCATATTAAAACTGGAATTTCATACATGAAATAGACACATTTCATATATGAAGTGTTTCAATTTCGCATAAGTTTCACACATCATTCCATACATGAAATCAAATGTGAAATTTTCGTAAGGGTATTGTCACACTGAAGGATTGCTTTTTGATTATTAGTTGTGAATCATCGGTCTTGAAATGGGTTCGAAGAAATATAATCAGCTCAGGCTAGCTAAGATTTCTCCCATGCTGACATGTTTATGGATGTAGATCGTCCAGGTTAGTAAAGTCCTGAGAAGGACAGTTGGTGTTGATGTTGACTGACATTTCGACAACCTTAGCGGTAGTCATCTTCAGAGACAAGTCAGGTTTAAACCATTCACTTTATTCCTCCCATGCACTAGTTTTAAAATTCTTTAAAAAATACCCTGCTTTTGTTTGGAAATATAGACTTGGCCAATGAAGTGCACTCATGGCGGAAAAATTATCGTAGTTTGTCGTAGTTTAAAAATATGTCACAGTTTTAAAAAATATCATATCATAGTTCAAAAACATTAAAATATATAGTGAAGTACATTTGCCGCAATGGAGGATGTATTTGTCGAGCGCAGAAAATTCTTTCTTGTTGAATGGTGTTGAATGTTGATCGATTTTATGTATGTGTGTTTTTTTGAAGAAACATGTGTGTAGTTTTTTTTGGAGAATGATTGAATGTGCATGTATTTTTGTGTAGATGTGACAATTAATGCATGTCCTTTAATGCACTGTGAATTTAAAGTCAATACCCCTACGCAGTATCATTGAACTAAAATGCATGGAACACTACCTGAAGCAAATAATTGAAGCTAAATTTCACACCCAGACACGCGTGTTTGGTGTTTCGAGATTATTTCGCGGAGTAAAAGTTGAGTAAACTACACACGCGTGTTTGGGTGCAATCTCGCGTATCCGGGTGTAAGATTTGGCTTCAAAATATTATCATGCTATTCTATTACAGGTAGCGTTCCATGTATTTTAGTTTAATGCGCAGTACCCAATTGTCGCTGACCAGCCTTTTGGTGTATGTGTTTCACAAGTGATGATTACGAAGCGCGTAATGATTTACCTCGATTGCATGAACCAGTGTATGAATCGGGTATCACTTTCAAACAGGTTTGCCCTCTGACAGCGACCTTGCTTCAATTTGCAGTCCATTACCTGATGACGTCTGAATCTCACGATAAATTGATAAAATTTACCAGCTGTCCAAATTCCATAACAACGATGCACTCTGATATCAAGTCCCTATCTCTTATTCAACTGAGAGACGACGACACGCCTCGTATGACTCCACCTGTGATATTTTCCAATCTACTGTTGATTTGAAACACCAAGAGCACAAGGTATGTTTCGTTTGCATTAAACAATTTCGTCCAAAATTGCCTGCGATTTGTGAGCGTGAACGAGTTAGGCAAACTACACAAAGGACACATTTGTTGTTGATGTTTCAATTATGACCAATACTGTTTGCTTTTTCACTAATCAAATTCCCGGCAAATTTACGTCTTTATAAAATCATGCTTCCTTTAGCAATCTACGTGTGTAAAGGAAATGTAAGATGTAATCGTTCCGCTGTGATTCCTGTTGAGAATTCTGTTGTTAACATTTAAAGAATTTTGTGCTTTGACGCAACCATTTTGATCGACTTGCATTTTGGTCATTACCTATTTTTACTGCTATCAGATGTAAGCTTTTTTTCGAAAACCTTAAGAAAGAAATTGTATACATTTTTAGTGGCTATGGGGTAGAAGCGAAGCGCGTATATGATATACATTAGGAAATTTGAAGTGTTTGGAAATATGAACTTATCACATTTAAGGTGCTCGAACTTATGACCTAAATATATATCTGCTGAAACAGTGCAATTTCTGAGAAGAAGCAAATGCTCGACGCATGTTTATGTGCACTCTGCCTTTTATGTCAAATTAAAATATCCCTCTATTGAATTGATGAAATTGACATTCACATCGATATGGAATCTGCAAACAGCGATGTGAACATCATGTGATGTCATGCTCAAGCGTTTTATTTATGTTGTCGAACTTTACTTACTTATTCCGCGAAATTTACGTCGTAGAATCAGAAAGATTCCACGTACGGTATGAACAATAGCGTAATGTTCGACGTTAATTAGTTGTCCGTAAATTCGTTTTTACAAGCTGTGATCGGTCTGGGGTAAACTGCAACAGTGATGTACGTACAGCGGGTTGCACAATAACGAAATCTTATTTTGTAATAGGATTTGACGGAGAATTGTACGCATGCATGTATCCGGAGACTGAGCAAAATTTGCCATACATATTCTCACAAAACGAGTTCGACTATTGCATAATCTCTGATTACACGTGTTCTTTGGTTAGTCTTCTGTTATCATATTCAACTTTTGTAATGCATGCAAATGCCTTATGATGGTCGTGGATTCGATTTTTTTATTTACAGCTTCACGTGAATGGGTAATATAAGCAAGACAAACAACGCATTGATTGATTACGGGAGCTGTCGATTTTTTGTGTAACTTGAAGTTAAACCATCTTGACTTCTTGCCAAGCAGTTCTCCGTCAACATTGCTTTAGAAATGCCCGACGCGTGAATAATCCTTGGCGTTATGCGAAAAATGCGCCGCAGAAAACCTAGAAGCATGCCTCGACCTTAGCTAGATGTTTTTGTTGTTATTCATTATATGTATAAATTTATATATGACTATTTTAAGCTCCATTATGTTCGTTAATAGAATTATGACAATGATATTGTGATTCCCAGCGGCGCTCAATGCGAGGCTGGCTTTCACGGCGCGACATCAAGGCGATAGTTCCTGCAATTCACTGCGCTATTACAACGATTTGTGCGTCGGAAAATTTCTATTTTCGCTTGTACGCATCTGTTTGCGATTAGCATAATATGCGAGGCGCGCTCACCATTTTGTTTATTAGCGGCTAGCAACTGCATTTATGGCGATGCGTAGAAATATATGACACATTCCTGCTTTGTGTGGTGCTTATGATATGCATGATGGTATACACTTTAGCGATTTCTCGCGTGCAGTCGCGAATGGAGTTCTAACTCAAAGCAGATGGGCAATTTATATACATGCTTTGTACGTGTAAACACGCTTCTCAGTAAACTGATAGCTGGCGTCAAGGAGAGGTCCTAACAGCCCTACCACAGGTAACTGAAGTTGGTTTGTCTAAATACGTAGCGATTTGTTTGTGGCACGTTGTCTTTCTATCATATCTTTGCAAATGATGAGATGTATTGTGTATAATAAAAGATTTTGTTTACATTGCACGAAACTTTGATTTCATTTGAAAGTATTGTAAACGATTATCCTTCCGTTTGATGATTTTGAGCATCCTGTATTGTAGTTCTTACTGAAATCCCGGAACTCTCGAGGAATTCAATGATGTCGCTATAGATATAAGATGAAAACTGAGTGACATATTTTAAAATCTTGTGCAGATGGATTAAAATGATTCCCGAAGTGGTATTCATGTAGTGAATACCGAATATTTTTGTTAATGCATCTTTCACTATTGCGTTGTGACAACTTCTACGGTTCTGCATTGATTGCAAAGGCCTGCCCGACGGCTCTGTCACAGCGAGAGTGCGTTGTTCTAGTTTTGTATAACACCAAGCCCGTCGCTTTCCCACAGCTTTTTCAAATGCATTATACTAAACTGTCATTATGACTTTAATGAGGGCCTTTCGAGTTCATGATTGAGATTTTCTCAGCCGATAAAACAACTTCTAGAATTTGGCGTAACAAAAATTTTGCCATTTGGGTTGAGATCGGCTCCGCGTTTATGGCATTTGCAATTATGGCTTTTAATGGAAAAAACTCGTTTTTCTTCAAACTTCATAAACGCATGGCAGGTGTTCACGACACTGTGTTCTGTGATCGCTTTTCTAATCTTTTCTAAAGATGTGCTATTCAATATGAGTGGGATTTTAACATGTTCGTCGAAGGCTGCTCTTCATTGTAAAAATAACCAAGAATCAACTGCTGTATGCCTGAAACTCGTTTTACGTTATGAAGCATTTGTTCTTTTCTTTGCCTTATCGATCGCATGTGTATGTTCCGGTGTTGAATGAGATAAGAGAAACAAAGTAGGATTACCGGATCCCACCGTGTTCAGTTGAATCCTTCCTTTACGTCTTATACAATGCAATAATTTGTGAAATCCAATTGCTTCATTTTTCTTATAGAGAGGATAGGGTCTGTCTTATAGCAAGGGTATAAGTCTGCAAACATGAGAAATAATCGAATATAACCGTTCTTTCACGAGAACGTATTTATTGAAACAGTTTATAGGTGCTGTTGTTATGGAAATAGGTAAACATTGTTATCGTAAAATAGACGATGGGCTTGTAGATTTTCGAAACAGCTCACAGCTGCACGTTTTTATGACGTTCAACTACAAGCTAATGCACTCTTTTTAAAATAAAGGGAAATCTTGCACGTTACGTTTGCAAGGTGAAGCGAATGGTATAAGTACGATTCCCAACAGCGCTTTCAAAGATATTAAGGTACTAACTTAATTATATTTCTGTTTTCATAATGTCTGTGCTCTATTTGTTTCAAACACAATAGACTTATGATTAACCAGGGTTGACAAAATTAGACCACCAATACACCAGTCAATTCTGTTTGCAAAAATCAAACAAATGTAAACTTAGTCGTGTCGAATCAATCACCATGATCGTTTTTACAATCAGTTGAAAGTGTGGCAATATTTTGAGCCCGCGCTCCTACATCACCTATATTTGCTGTTCCCACGTAATGCAGTATATACTCAACGGGAACTTTTGTTATTTTATATATTTTTAGTGTAAATCTCTTTTTTGTAACCTTTGGGTCATTCATGTATCCGCACAAATACCCGTGCAACCGCGAAGTCTTTATGATTGAACACACTTGTTATCAACCCCATGCATTGTAACATAATGTGCTTGTTTTTACAATATTTGAATATAGTCAATGAATCGTCACATTCACACGTCTGGCAATAGACGTTCTATTTTTTGATGTCATTAGCAACCAACCACAAAGTTTCTCTTGAATGCCATGCATACTTAACTTTAACTCTTATCAAGTGCGTTATTCATCACATTTCAACTTTTCATTAAAATATTGACAAGCAAGACATCTGTATTTGGAAACTGTTTAACACTATACGTTAACAACTATGACGAGGTCGCATGTGCGCATGCGTAATGCTTAATGTATGGCAAAGAGTCAAATGAGGGCAATGTCATTGCGTCAATGAATGTCGACACACAGGTCTAACCTTGCACCCATGTCTTTGAATTATCTCCCTCTTATGTCAGAATTTATTTTCTAATTATATTTCAGAATTGAGTTGATAGTTCGATGTTGTTTTTTTCAAGACAGGATTTTTCATCACTTCTATTATTATTGTTTTGTCGAAACAAGTTGCTGTTTTCTTGGAATATGTAAATATAATTCTCGTTTTTTGTTTGACGGACTCTCTGATTAAAAAAGTTAGCGCATACTGTTCTTGAGTATATAGAGTACTTGGTTGGGGAACAGTATGAGTCGAATAATTTAAAATAGCTCATTTTTAGATGTATGTACATTTCAAGTTACCTAATAGGAAGTTTCATTGGTAGAATGCTATTATTTGGAGATTTGAAACCAAAAGTATCTTGTTATAGTATTTCTTGATTGTAGAATTGAGCTGCTATAATGTGTTTTGAGTCTTTTGATAAATGCCGAATTTGTTACGTTTTGTGTAAATTGAGTTATGGATTTTTGCTGGTCCGCAAATACATTCTTCAACGCAGAATCAGGCAACAAAAAGCGCTAATTTTCGTTATTTTTGGTCATTAAAATACGCGATCCATGAGGTATGGTGGTGCTCGCGATGGTGTTGATGGTACTGCTAATTAAAATGAAAATATTTTCATCCGCACGGTAATGTGATAGTTATTAATACATTCCTTTTCATGGTTGGATTTTTGATTTTCTAAAAGGTGAACAAATTGATAACGATAGCATTTTACATTTTTGATATCTAAAAAGAGGAAAGAAAACAAGCGTACCTCATCCTCTGCCATTTTAAAATCGTTTGTACATACACGTCTTTATCATTTTCAAAACTTTGCGCTTAATTATATTGAGATTGCTGCTTATAAAGTGTGCGTGTAGTCTCTGTTTGATGAAAGACACTTGTGAACTGCGTTGAAGCCGCCTTTTCGAATCGGACGTCATTTTTCGGATAATATTGCCCCTGATTCTTGACATTTTCGGAAGACACGAGCGTTAAATATCGTCTTTGTTCACGTGTTTAATCGATATTGTGTTGCAAAGTATAACGTCTCTTGATAAAAAAGAATTCGCATACAATACTCTACGTAATCTAGTCATGTGAAAAGGATGATTTTATAACGTTCTCGTGGTTGTTGACATAAAACCCTACATAATGTCTATGGCCAGAACCTCAAAACATATTTTAATTGTTTTTGCACAGAAAGCTTTTATTGATTTCATTATTTAAAGGACACCGGCAGAATAGTTTAGTTTAGTTTTTTCACTAATTGAAGGCATTACATTTGAATATATTTATACTGATGTTGTGTAGAAAATTTTTTTTTTGTATTCGAAGAAATGTGTAAAACTATTTCATAATCTACGTTTTTGTTACCAATAATCTTACTCCTGCATCATGTACATATTTCATGCATGTACATATTTATTGTATGAAGTACTTAGATAGCAATGACATACGTACATATGGGTTGTTATCTATGCAATGTCAACATACATATAAGGTTTTATCCAGAGTGATCGATTTCTCCATGTACATATATGGCTTAATTAATTGTACTTGTGTTTCCTACATTCTAGGTTTTTCTTGTGTCAGATAGACAAAAATTTCAACTCAAAGTGTCATGGAAAAGTCTTAAACCCTAGTTTTAAGTTTATGATTTCCATTATAGCTACATGCAAACCATGGGCATGGGATTAGATAACTTGGTTGAATAGGCATGTGTTATAATTTAAATTGATATATGACTTTCTGATCAATGCCATTTTGCATTAAAAGCTATATATGCATGTAGTGTATATAGTTTATTGACAAGAAATGTCAACGTACGATCAAATGAAGATTTCTAATTAACACTTCAAAGGCTTACAATGCACAAGACATAGTAGAAATAACTATCATCGATTTTGTCATAAATCTTCCCCTAATGCTCATCTGCAAGTGTCAATAATCGTAATGAGCTTAAAAGATCAACTTTTCTTGATTGCTCTTATTCGCAGGTTCTTTCTTAGAACATTTATTGTCATGTTGATTGTCTAATAAACGTCTTAACAATGAGGACTTTCAAGTTCAAATTTCATTAATTTTGCATTTGTGGCGATTGTAAACTTATAGAACTTCAGAGCTACGTCACTTGAAGATAATAAGGGAAAATGGACATCAGCGCTTTTCTCCCTGGTTTTTCTTTTTATGGCAGTAAACTAAAGTAGTCAATTAGCTACTTTTAGGTTTTAGGCCAATCACGATTGAGGTGGATCAGCAAATGTTGTGCACGTAATTTGATGAAAATTTCGAAATGACTTCTAGTTCATCGTGAGCTAGGCAACCACTTGATGTCGATGACCAATCGTGCAACGTGTTCTTAAGCATTTGCCCAGTATCACATGAAAAACGGTCCTAAGAAGAATCACAGAAATAAATTTGACAAAGTTATTCTGATCTTTTTTAAACTCCGTACATATATATGTAGATACCTTCAACAATGTCGAGTCAAGGTTTGTTTCCTTTTCGAATTCTTCTTGAACAAAGAATTCGACAATCTAGAAGGAGTTATTGAGAGTGTTTGTCTGTGAGCTAGGACGTTATGTCGGAATTCATATGTGGCAATGTTTATTAGTTACATATAGACACGAATACCTCAAATGATGTATAATCACACGACAAACCTTTTATTGTATGTATGTAAGCACGTCTATGGTCGCCGCGGTTAGTATTTTGTTACTTTATAAATATTATGATTCCAATGAATTGAACATGTATGTGTGCATTGGATATGTAGTCATAACATTTATCAATGAAAAGTAGCAATTTAATTTGTTTTTGTTAGCATATCTACAGTCGCCGCGTTGTTTAGTATTATGTTGCTTTAAAATATAATTATTATGTTGTTATGAAAATCGTCATTGACAAAATTTATAAAATGTTATTATAAACAATGTTATCGTTGCCAGTATGATGGGATTTTTCATTATGAAAATATTATGAATTTCCATTGCTTTTATATGTTAATTATAGATATATACACGGCTAACGTATTGTTACTATTATCATCAACAATGATGTGTTAGAAATCAAATAATTGCTGTTACGAACATAACATAACTACGTAAGACGAAAAAATTTCAAGTTCAGAGATGCACATTTAAGACTTACTTTATATTTTAATTGAATTCCAATTTCATTGGTCATCTTGACTAAACCACTTTCTGAACTAGCTATATATATATAATATATATGTATAATAAATATATGCAATATTGATATAGATAACGACGGTGATATTTTCAGAATGCCAAGTGCTTTTTCTTAGGAATTTCAAGTATCGCTAATCGCTGTGATTTTCCTGAAAGAATCTTTTTCTTATCTTCTAATTGCACCGCCAATTATCTGTATAGCACAGTTATGTAGCCGAACACTAAATATGATTCACTAAAGAACAGTCAGGTATTTTCATAAAGAATAAAAAATTCAGGAGCCTCCATTTTCTTTCGTTTCTTAAGTAACCGTTCGAACTGATGTAGGCGTGCACTAATTACTATCTATCTTCATTGATGTCTTTAATTATCCTCCATCGCTTTGAAAATGTTTTCAGCATAAATACCAGTAATTGCCTGTTTATTTGGCTCATCGTGCTCGCAAATTTTTAACGGTTTCGAAGCATGTGGGCATAATTTCCAATGTAATATCGTTCATGTTATCACCTGTAGGCTAGAACTGTGTGGGCGAAGCTATGTGAGCTTTTTGTCCGGAACTTTCTTTGCAAATTTAATTCCGAGTGAAAGAATTGTGAAACAGAAATGCAAAGCTTCTGTCGTCATGATGTGTTTTAAATTCGCAATCGTTTCAGTTATAATCAGAAAAATATATTTCATGGCCCGATTTCACGAAAGAAAGAGAGTCTTATTCTGTTTGTTCTGCCATTACGTATGTCGTTTGCTGTTTCATTTCCACAGTAGTTTACTAATTTTTTAGTTAACTTTATTTAACACAATAAGTTCTTTGTAAATTGTCCATTTCCATGCATGAGACATGTTTTTACACTTCAGTCGTACTTTCGCCTCGTTTTGTCGATGCTTGCACATACATTATGTGGTTGACCACAGTACTTCGAAGACGATTTATTTTAACTTGCAACTGCTAGGGGTCCTTCCTTAACAATACCTCGTCATAAAACGCGCTCATTTACACCAATCGTCTTTCCGATGATTGTATTACGGAAGTCAAGAATAATGCTAGATGACGCTTTATTGTGCTTTGACCCTCTGTCTCTGATAGAACGAAGGCGGGACTATATTGCCCAAATAGTTAATTGCTTTTAATGTATTGGGTTTCATATAATTTACACTCCGAGGTAGAGAAGTTTTGCCTTGGCACCTTGACAATCGTCATTGACTCTTTTGTTTTGGCTAATGCACAAGACGAAGATATTTTTTATGTTTCGCTTATTGGTGTAGCAACTCGCTATTGAATATCCTTCTTCGCTAGCTCAGCGTTGGTAGATTTATTGGCAAACAATACCGTCCACGATTGGTCCATTGTGTATTATTTAATTTACGCATTAGTTAAAGAAAGAGGCCCGTTTGCTTTATTTACTCACGTTTTGGGCAGACGGATGTTACGAATTAGCAAACTCTTCTATCTACGAAATATTCTCTGTGGACATGACACTTCATTTGTTTAAATACGCTACTGTTTATTCGCGTTTAGCGCTACAGTTTGTCGATCAACTCTAAGCAAGCGTAAGGACTGGTAATAATTTGTATGGACTCTGGATGATGGCCGGTGAATGTTATTTGACAAGTATACGTCTCACAGTCATCGTGTTTGCCATGTTGGTATCGTTGACATTGGGATTTTTTGGTAAGTACACCTGTTATACTGTTGAAATATTGTCTCAAGACGTGCTAAAGTATAAATTCCGTTATTTTCTTGTCGGATATGCTTGAGGAAACACAATTACCTTTCAACTTGTATCATACATTCTTAGCACTTGGCGCTTGAAATAGTCTGTTTCATTCAAACGGTCTTGTATCTTATATTTAGACCACGCGTATTTTAAAATTGTGAGTAAGATTCTCTGCAGATTCTCTGCGCGGTCCCTTGATTTAGAGTGGAATTTATTTCACTTAGAGACAGCGTCCTATTCTAAAAATATGCGCCAAATCTGTTACATACAGCATGAGTTTGGTCCTAAAGAACAATCGACTATCACGTCCACTTAGCCGTTTTGAGTGTAGTTTAAATGACGTTTTATTGAGATTTCGAGAGGTTATCCAGTATTGCCGTAATTTTTTTCATAAAAAATCATGTCTTATACAGAACATTAACGTGTATTGTTTTATGAGTAGCAACCAATACTTAAATGTTATATTTGCACTTGTAATGGGTTTTTAATTTTTTTGTGACGCAGAGATTTCATATTCCCACAGCCGTGATACGGTGAAGTATTTAGCAGTGACTTAAACAAGTCTGGACTTGATTCTTTAATGTTGATAAATAAGGTCTTTGTGTGCATATCTACACAAATTGTTGCTCCCTCGGTTGAAATGTGCTTACCCTCGTCAAAGAAGTTGTAGCAAAAGCACTCGCGAGCTTTCTCAAAACGTTTCGCTGGATTAAAAGCAGGCGTTCTTGCAAACCTGCACGCATAGGTCTTTTTAGACGTAGCTAATCTAAAAGTGCAATGGAAGGCGTTGGCGATAGTAAAAACAGGGAAACACGCCTTATATGTGTGTTCTTATCAATGCCTTCGCGGTAAAAAATCCAAGATATTTAATCAGCCGTTATTACACGTTGTTGCATGAAATTGAAGACAATGGCTGCGTGGCTGAGAGAGTTTCTTTCTTTAGTACAAACCGCATGTAGTATTACTGACGCCGTTATGTCGCGAGTTTGCCATTGTGAATTTAATTTTGTTTGTCATTTAACTGAGGCAGTTTGCGGCTAATAGACATGTGCGTGTGTTAAACTCCCGTTCCTGCCCCTATTTCGATTATTTCTTTGCGACAAATTGATCTTTTCACGTCCATTTGTAGGTTTTTGAATTTCTGTCGCGAGCAGCTTTTCGTCAAATTGCTTTGTACAATTCGTTATTATTTACTGCTTGACACTCAATTTTATCGCCTGCTGTTAGGACGTTTTGAACGCAGTGCGCGCACGCTGCGCAAAGCATTATGGCCAAAACAAAGCGCAGTCGCCGTTACTTTGTGAAGATCTTACGTTATTGACACGCTCGCAGTTGGTGCTTTTATCGTTTGAATGGGTGGCAATAATGGAATCACGCATTCCAAATAAAGTTATTCGGATGAGCAGATAAGGTTTTCAAAGACTGAATGTTTCTCACAAGCGTTGAAACGAGAATACCGTAAAATATGCTTCTTATACTTGTTTTATTCTTTGAGCTTGTTAAATACCATTGCGTTTCACATTGATAACGCTATACGTCTAATTGACCACGCGCTGACCTTATAATAAGTCGAGAATATAATACTTTCGAGGTGATACTACTGATATAAAGTGATACTACTGGTATAAAGTGGATCATTTGATCTCGGGATTGCCCTGACATGTTTGTAGATATTGATAGTCCAGGTTGATGCATTAATTACTGGTAAAAGGAGTATAGTATTATTTTGCGCACAGTAGTGTCAGTTGTAGTAGAGAAAATGGTTTTGGTCAAAAGGCGAAACTATCTAATATCAGTTTTGTTGTTTTTTTATCCAAATGGTATTGAATTTCCAGTCTCATCCCGAAAAATATCTTCAAATACATTTGTTGAGCTCAAATTACTACGAGGTATAGATTATTCCATTTCGAAGGATAATTAACTCTCCCCAGTAATTGCATATTTAATCATAATAACTTAATTAAGCAATTTGTAATTATTTTTCCAATTTTAAAAACTTGGCTGAATCATGGCAGAAAGGTAATCACCGTAATCTTATTCAAGCCCAGCTTTTTTAATGATTGAGAATTTCATACATGATATGAGACGCTTTATTTCAACGATGAACAGCTTTTAAGTTGACTGCCGGAATGAACGCTAGAATAAAATATATTTTAAGTAAAAGAATTAGCGATTCCTTTACAAATCACAATATATATTATATATTTAAAAGGAAAGCAATGAACTCTGAAACAATTACCTGACTTATCTACAAGTATTTAAAACTTTTGCATGCTTGATCTTAGTGGTATATTCGTGCGTAGGAATCAGAAGAAAGAGTTAAAGCATTAGATATAACAACGGTGTATTCATTGGCTAAGTTATTGCTATTGCAGTTAAGAATAGTGAATCTAAGCAGTCGTTTAAGATACAGTGAGGCAGATTACTCAGTAAGGTAAGTAGGTTGAAGCCTGCTGGCCCGACTTTTCGAGAGTTAGTTTCTACTTTTTACCATTCCGGATTAGCTAAATGTTCTAAAGTTCGATCATATATGCTGAACAACGATTTTAGTTTAAATAGTACGTGTTCATTTCAGGGATGTAAAACAACCAAACATTAATAAACAGTGTATCTCCTTGGAGGTTCATTTCATAATGGCGATTTGCGTCCCCTCGAGCGATTCAGTCTTAAGAAAATAGAAAAGTTTTTAAAGGAGCAAGATTACGTGTCGCGCCCATAGCTAAGCCGTATAGTTGTCTTTCCTGTAAATCCAATTTTTACAAATCTTCTAATCTCAAGTCGAAGGTCAAACAAACACGCCTTTTCCGTATAAATATTGACTAGGTCAACGCTTGACTTTCGCTTTGCTTAAAAGTTTTGTATTTGTCGTTTAAGTAAACATTAATTTATGGTTTCGTGCGCGTATTTTTTCTTCGCACTAAGTTTGTGAAACTCGCCATTCTGTATATTATCATTAAATTAAGTTTAGAAATTAGAACAGTTTCAGTCGCGTTAAATTTTAAGCCTTCCTTTCTATGTGTCATTTGTGTTTTTTATAAAAGATTGCTTTATTCTTTGCATAAGAGAGGGCTCCGAATAGTCAACTGGCCTTGAAACATGAGGGTAACAAATCCAAGTATTTCATCCGTATATTTTCTGTGTACCTTCAGCACAACAATGAGGATATTTTCTACCAGAGAAAAAAGTAACAGATAAACATGATGGTTGTTTTTTTTTATTTTTCATATTGCTTGTAGTTAAAAGAACACAATTTACTTTCAATCCTCAGGTGGTAAATTTGATACCATTTTACCTTTGTGTTAATCTTCAAAAGAACGCCCGCACGCGGGTGGTAAAGTATACAGACACAGGCACTCGTTGCACTCAAGTCTTAAGCGCGTGAAAGTAACAGGATTATAACGAAATAAGAGTAAAGTAGCTTTGCTATAAACTCCTGCTGATTCTTGCTTTTTGTTGACCAACTCGGAGCGTTATTTTTAAAACGATTTTTTTCAATTAAAGCATTTGAATTTTACATCGATCGGTTGTGTATTGATTAGGAAAGTTTACCAGAAAAAAGTTATGTTGATTTACAGCACATGCGGAATAATAATGAATTGAGATCTAATTGGTTGTTTGTTATCACATGGTACCAAAAACATTTTAATTTACTGATCTCGTTAATAATTTTCCAATTAAAATCATAGCTTTTGCTGCACAGACTTGCCCAGAAGAGTTGATCATGATTTTTCTTGTTTGTTTATTGTTGTCGACAGGCCAGAAACCACGTGTAAAGGGTGAACGCATAATTTTTGTCGAGGTTGAAGCAGATGACACCGCTCGTCTAAAGCCGACGTTACGAAGCTTCAAGAAAAAATGGAAAGTTTTTTGGTACAAGAACAACACGCTCATCCGAAACCGAAAAAATAGCAAGAAATATCGTTTTAAAAATCACTTGCTAAGAATCAAGCACGTCAGTAAAGACGATGCTGGCTTGTATAAATGTGTCATCAAAAATAAATTTGGGAATGCTAGCCAATTGTTCAATCTTACTGTTGGCGGTGAGTGTGAAGAAGATAAAGTTCCTAATCATTAGACCTGGCCGTAGAGATGGTTTTGTAATGTATTTTATTTTCATTATTTCAGGTGAACCACCAGGAATCAAGGGACAGGGTAGGTGAAAACCTGATTTACATTTACAGATTCATCAGCTGAACATAAATGTAAACATTTTGTGTTTATTCTTAAGGTCCTCCTTGGTTCCCAAAGTCCCCACCTAAGGAACAGTTCATTGCATGGCCAGCATCAAATGACCTAAAACTCCGATGTCCCGCCGACGGTGAACGCCCACTTAGATACCAATGGTATAAAGATGGAAAGCCGCTGCAACATCGGCGGTTGGATGCTAGGTGAGCAAGAAGTTTAGTTCGTGTTGCAATGGTTTCTATAAGTATGGGTATCCTTGAAACAACCATCCAAATGCTTTTTACGTGGATAATTTTTGACAAGATAAGGCCCATTGAAGTGCCACGATTTTATGTTTAAAATTGTGTGTTGATGCTTTTGGTAAAGGTGGAATAAGCTGAAGTAATTGAATATTAACAAAGATAAAGTTTTGACATACAATAGTAAATCTCACCGTCTTCATTTGAATTTTGTCTCTATTTTTTATCAGCTTCAATAGTACAAGATGGTATTTGAGAATAAAAATGTCCGTACTTTCTGACAACGGTTTATACACGTGTCTTGTGACAAACAAGCTTGGGAATGCAAGTCGGAAATTCAAAGTGCAAATTCTTGGTAAGCTGAGATGTCTATAAGTAAAAGGTCTGGAAACTAGCAACTGAATGAGTATCCATTTTACAACAGCAAATTATTTTTCACTTAAGCAATTGAATATCTTCTTTTCACGATATTACCATGTGTGGCGCTTTTCGGCTTGATATTATTCGTACAATAATTTTTATACTAATTGCTCAAATACTTCCATTTTCGTAGAAAAAGCACAGGTCGCTCCTATATTATCAGATCAGTATCCTAAGAATTACACAAAAAAGATTGGATCAAATGTAACATTTCAGTGCATTGAGCTCGTCAGTCCAATTCTAACGGACTACAGATGGTTGTTTTGGAAAGGTGGTAGCTATCCAAATTTGCAAATGCTAAAGGACCTTTCCTCGTATAATTCAACGTACTTCAAGATGATAAGCCCGCTTCAGTACCAATCGTTTAAAGTTAAAAATGCGGCTGGCAAATATGGTGGAAGAGTATTGCTTACCAACGTTACAAAGAAAGATCAGGGATGGTACACATGTTTGATCAGTAACAACCTAGGCAGGGGATGGCGAACTGCACACTTGACCGTGCTCACTGGTATCCTATTTATCTCATTATATCGCTAAGCTTCTAAATTTCTCAAGTGCATGCTTTTTGTATTGAAAATGAGATTCTTATTAAGAATAGGCATGTTTCTGAAAATCATATATTTAATGTTTTCATAGAGAAGGAATGGGATGATAAGTTTGTTGTGAAAAGAAATCCTACAACTGCACCAGCAAAGAGAAGCAATTCCAACGCGATAGGAGAGAGCAGTATTATAGCAATTTCAGTGCTTGCTGTTTGCATCTTAATCACTTTCATCAGTGTCAGCATTGGCATCGTATTTTACAAGCGGAAACTATCGAAGAAAGTTGTTGAGAAGGTGTTGTATTCGCGTGGTTTTGATTTATCCAAGGAAAGCTCTAGTGTTTTCGTCGGTCAGCAAGATTCGGTGAAAGTGTTTGGTCTGAAGAGGAACGGGCGATTGGAGTCGAGTAGTTCGACTAGTTCAACGATGCCTTTGATGCACAGACAGAACAGTTACCGAACTAGATTGCCATCAAATATTGACGCGGACTTGAACGAAGGTGCAGCAAAGCTGATCCTTTTTAACTTTTTAAAAAATCGCCATATCTGGTCTTTTTCTTTTACAATTGTCAGATAAGCTCTCAAAGCTTGTTTTAAAATATACACTGCAGGGCGTATATCATATCCGACCATCTTTATGTTCCACCCAGTTTACAAGCTTCTCTCGTCGCAATTTTAACATGCTTTTTCTTGTATGACGAGTTAATTTCCCCCCTGAAAATATCTTGCAGGCGAGTTTGAACTTCCTTATGACGAGGAATGGGAGATTGAAGAGTGTCAGCTTGCAATCAAGGACGAGATTCTTGGCGAAGGAGCCTTCGGGTTGGTAATGAAAGCCGACGCATTTGATCTGCCTGGACATCCAAAATGCCACACAGTTGCGGTCAAAATGTTGAAAAGTGAGTGCACACTTATTGTAGGTATCTTTTAAATTTCAACCTGATCGCCAACATGCCCCTTCTAGCCAACCGCTGACATGCCCCCTAGTCAACCGCTGACATGCCCCTTCTAGTCAACCGCTGACATGCCCCTTCTAGTCAACCGCTGACATGCCCTTCTAGCCAACCGCTGACATAATCTACACCGGCGTTCACAATCCTTTGCTTACCAAAAATCTAACTAATACCAATGATTTGCTCAATCAGAGGATAGCGATTAACTATCTATTCGCTCTTCAGATTTATTATTTCTATGGTGAAGTACAACTTTAGCGCATTGTACTTCGAACCTACACCTCATAAACCCTGATCATTTAGGTCGATACCCAACCCTTCAGTACTGTTGATAAGGGTAAAAGTGAATTGAATTGAAATTCTCTTTTACTTAGATGATGCGACCGAAGTGGAGCTTGCCGATCTCGTCTCCGAAATGGAAACAATGAAAAGGATCGGCAGTCACAAGAATATTATCAATTTTCTTGGCTGTTGTACGCAGAACGGTAATATCCCTTTGTCTGTTGCAGCATTTGCATGATAAAATCCCTGAATACCTACTAACATACTGGAGATAATCTACATTGATGTTTTTTTGGTAAGCGTTATATACCTGTAAATAAAGAAAAATATGAAAATCCGCCAATACAGAGATGATCTTCCGTATGTTTGTAGTTTGTGATGTAATGCCTTATCATACAATGATCGTGTACTCTTACAAACGATGATTGTATCTTGTTACCAAAGGGGCATGCTTTCTGTACATGGTCGTTGAGTACGCACCTTATGGCAATCTTCGTGAGTTTCTTCGAAATCGCAGACCTGCAGTGCTGAACGCAAGATTACCATGCGATCCTAACAGCAATCTGGCACCGGTCACGACAAGAGATTTCATATCATTTGCTTTTCAAATCTCGAGAGGAATGGAACACTTGGTTGCAAGAAAGGTAACTTGTGCTGTTCTATTAAAATCTTAGGTCAAGACAGAATACGGTGGTACGGTGTTGTATTTATATCGTATGTTGTCTTCCAGTGTATTCACAGAGATTTAGCTGCAAGAAATATATTAGTTGGTGAAGACTACGTCATGAAGATTGCAGACTTCGGATTGGCTCGTCACACGCGCATGGATTACTACAGAAAAACAACCGACGTAAGTTTGAAGGAATATTAGCGTCGTTTGACACTGATCTCTCTTTTTTTTCATAACACGAAGTACTTATTCGTTTTCGTACATCAAACGCTCATTGTCAATTTATTCTTCTTGATTTTAGGGAAGGCTGCCAGTAAAATGGCTTGCCATCGAAGCACTATTTGACCGAGTTTATACCATACAGAGCGATGTGTGAGTTTTTATTAGTATGCTTATAATAAATCAGTACATTTACAATAAATTTGTATATTTCTAATATAAGAATATTTTTAACCCACCCGAAACAAACATGTACAGCATGACTGCGAACCCTTGTGTGAACCGTACGTAAAAGTGCGAACTCTTTACCATGTTGTAAAATACTTACCCATATCGATTTGTTCAACCTTTTCCATCTTTACTGAGTCGAGAGGGAGCTATAGGTTCATATTTATGTTTAGTTATCTTAACTGTTGTTAATGGTGAATCCATAAAATACATATAATAATCTAAATAAAGTAATGAATTGATAATTGTATTTTCGACAGGTGGGCGTTTGGTATTCTTCTATGGGAGATATTCACACTAGGTAATGGCATCATTCTATGGCATCATTTACCTTTACACTTTTCTTAACATTCTGCTTTATTCAATGAACTGTTATATTAACTGGAACACTTACTGCCATCTTCGAAGCCAATACTGATGCCTCTTTTTCTTCGTTTTTAGAAGTTCCATGATATTATTTTAAAAAATAAACAGTGATATACATAAAATAAAGTAGCACAAATGGCCATGATAATATTTGCCTATAAGGCATCGTAGGTAGCTGATGTATCGTACGTACGTAGCTTCAAAACGGCCTCCAGCCATAATCTTGGAGTTAGCTTTCCAGTTACTATATTACAGTTCACTGGCTTTTTATCAATAACAGCAAATGACGTGAAAAATACTTCATTTGACTTTATAACAGTTGCGTAAGAGCGGTGGAGGGGGTACGCTCCCCAAAAGGGGATAATATGTTGAGACGTTACCCTTGATTGGTATAGTTTCACACATGTATATTGCAGTTGTAAAAGTTGACTTTTTTGTCTATATTTACAATTTATATCTGTAGTCCTCTACCACCTATGATGCTGAGTTGTGCCCCTTGAAAAAATACTTCTTTCTTACGCCACTGCATAAGTACCCTTAAGTATTCAATTAAGTGACCTCTTTCGTTTTTTTTGTCTTCGATCAAAATTCAAAAACGATATATTTTTTGTCATTTCAGGTGGATCACCATATCCCGGGATTCCAGTAGAGAAATTATTCGAACTCTTAAACAACGGTTACAGGATGGAAAAACCAGAAAATTGCCCTTATCAAATGTGAGTGTAGATTTCATACGGGAGTTGTTGTGATCATTCTTTGAGTACCAGGATGTAGCTAATGTGCCTTATTTGGTGTTGTTGTTCAGCTACGAAATGATGTTGAAAACGTGGAGTGAAAATCCTTCACATCGACCATCATTTGCCCAGTTGGAACGTGAACTTGAAAAGATGTTATCAAGCCTTACCAACCAGGTATTTAACCGTTACAAACTACTGACAAAAAAAAACATTGCATTTTAAAACAGCTTACATGTACGAAAAAAATGTTGCTTGTGGCGGTACTTGACAACAAGCTGATTTGGTTCTGTTTTGACGAATTTTTCTCTGTTCAATCCTGTGAAAACAACATGTTTGGCGTGGTCTGCCCGCGCTTTTGTCGATGCCATGTAAATATTTTGCTGTTCACTCACAATAGTTTACATGGCATGACCAACTTGGGGCTGGCTACATCACTATGTCATTGCATGTTTGTGTGGAAATGAATAATAACAATAATGCTCTGAACTTGCAAGGCAGTATTGAACCTGCAGTCTTTCCACACCACTGTACTATTTATGGCTATTTCCACGATTGCTGCTCAATGGTTGTTCTGAGTTGGGTTGAAAAATTACTCTTCATCAAATATGGCGGTTGTCTTAGAGTGTGTGTTTTTTATCTTCACAACAGGAATATTTGGATATTTTGCCCGCTAATACGTCGCGCAAAGAAGTCGAATCATTGTCATCTGATTCTGGCTGCAGTGTTATCGAAAGCAATGAAGAACAAAAACCAAGTGCCAAAGATGCATCTGTATAGCGGCATCGCCGCCATTATGAATGATGAGAAAAGAACTGCGACCCGCAAATGTTGCCGGGAATGCTCTCAGGCTCTTGCCATTGCCGTTCTCCATTCCCGTGAACACCCGCGGGAAATCTTGATGGTTCTCCATTCTTTAATTGGATGGTATGTATGACGATCATGACCTTGCAATGGGAGCTATGTATAGACAAAGAAAACAGGATTTAAATGCTGTAAATAATCATGGAGAGGGTTATAGTTTACCATAGAGCGTTTGCATTCACGGAATACGATGCAAGATGTAGCCCGATTGATTGCAAATCAAAGGCCCGTTTCAAACGTCGCATTTGACATGCGCCGAATGCATTTAAAACAATAGAAAATGAGATAAAATTATTCATTTTTTTGTTTTAAACGAACTCGGCTCATGTAAAATGCGATGTTTGAAACAAGCCAAAGAACAAATTGGGTATTAAATGTAAATGTTTTGTCGTGGTTAAAATTAGCTACTTCGAATATGTAATTTCTGTAAATAATGACATTTTATTGTTATAATCGTTATTGTCAACGCTTTTCAATGTAAAATTTTGTATGAAATAATGTCTTAAATAAAAAGGAAATCGCTATCGATGATTTGATGAATTAATTATTAGCAATCATGATTCGCCTTATTAATTGGTCAGTGTGACTCTGTGAGTGCGTGACAAAATTGTCGATTGGGTGGGTCACAACAAAAGCTTGGTCGTATCCTCTCTTTAAATAATATTTTACTTGCTGCAAAACCTTTTATCACTTTACTTATATTATAAATTATTCAAAGTACTCGAGTGTCCAATCTGTCCGCAAGCACAGTGGCTCTATCATTGCATTTGGCGTGTATTTATCAAGCGAACCTGACTTTTCGTATGCTTTTACTTATGTGTATTGTAGAAAGCAAATCAGGAAGCACATAGAGGATATAGCCGGAGAGCTAAATCTGTAACTGCAAGAATACCTTTGTGTAAACATGCTTGTACTTATTATGACTATTGAGCAATAGCTCGAACGATGGAAGATGATAGGCCCAGAGGTGGAATGGATACACTAAAAGAAGACAAGAAGTTGGTTGGTCTTAGCTTACAGGATACATTAGGAAAGAATAGATGAACTCTTAGAGGAGAAGCCAAAAGAAAAAGAAGATTGTAGAAAGGAAATCAGACTAGTTCAAATGGTGGGTACACGTATTTTTTACTTGTGCTCGTATGAGGTTAATCCAAATTGGTTAATCTGGTTGGGTTGGGTTGATCCGAGTTAGAATTGCTGATCTCGCTTTTGAATGTTTAATCTGGAGTTACAGAACTGAGTCTGTGAGTGATTGTTATTATTGAAACAAGAAAGGCTGATCAGAAATAAGTGTATTTTTTGTTCAAAGGAGGTAAGAGCGTTTCCCTTTAAGTTATTGTCGTCTAATTTCAGTCGATTGCATGTTGTGTGTGAAGAACTTGCCGTAAAAATCTTAGGAAATGAGAGACTGTATGTGTTCGCCTGTTTGCGTGTCGGCGTCATTCATTCACTGACATAAATACATGATTTCCATAATTATATATTTAAACAGTTGTCAAAATAGTTAGGAACCGGTAAGTCTTCACGCTATCGTGAATGCTTAGCATTTTACCCCAATCTACTGTTGTTTTGATTCAAGTTTAAAACTTCAAATGGTTTTGAAATCTGATCGTTTTCCTGCAGTAAACAATATGATATTGGTTGTTTCTTGATCGATCATCACTGCTAATTGTTTTCTTGTTCGGCCAACTTTTCTCTTGCCTTTTGTGAGTAAGAACGCTTTCAACATGAAAAGACAAAGGCATGCATCAGAGCCCTCCATCACAATAAATGGGACTATCAAGGTATCATATCTTCCTTTAAAAATTTCAAACAACATATTGCCTTATAGTGTTTAAAAGGGCTTTTAAGCAGAAGTTGTCATATGATTAGCAAATCTACGGCTTTGCTTGTTAAAACTTGAATTCTAAAATGACGATGTTAAGTCTATCGTATACGTTAATAGGCTCGATATGGAACCCATTCACTCGTTGAAAATGCTTAATAGTTGCTTTGTCCTTTAATTTCTTATTTCGTATTGCTGCACTAATAATTTTTTTTAATATGTGTCAAAGGGCGACGTTACTAAATGTGACACGTAAATTATTTCAGTTCTTTACGTGTTTCATGTATCTTTGTGAAATGGAGCTTCTATCTTAAAGATGAACGAATGTTTTTTTTTTGCATATTTGTTTATAAAAACTATCGAATTAATGGCTTTCTCCTCAGTATCAGTACTTGTGAATTGACGTTTTGTTTGATCAAACAGGCTTTTTACAACTTGCAAAAATTAATTCTTTTAACACTTGCACGAATGCAATGTAAATATAACGAGCCAGATGAGTTTTTGTTGAAATTTTTTTTGCAGCATTTGATGAGTGTTTTGTACTATTTTTATTGCTTTAAAAATAGATTGATTCTTGACCTTTGGTTGTGGAGATTAATCTGTGTAAATATTTATAAAACATCAGCACACCAAGAAAGGGATATAGCTGATGCAATAATGAAAACAGGAGAAACCCTTTATTGCCATCAGGCAGTGAAGTGTTGACTGATCAACTCTCTTCGCATCACCTCAACATATGTTTCCTAGAGACATTTTTATGAAACATGTATTTTAATAGGGACAGCGTAAATATAGCCGTAGCAAGTACTTTGATGACAACATGCCCCTAACTGGAAGTCCGCAGCATCAACATGGCTTCCAAAGCCAGACTGATATTGTCAAACAGTATAAACGAGATAGAAACAAAAGGTAAATTGTATTTGACTTTCCTAATCATAAATATAGATATGTGTATGTACACAGTGTGCATAACAATGTGCATATCGCTATTGTGACTCGAGAACTTGGGACACAGTTATAGATTTAGATTTACATTATAGATTTGAATTTGACAGTTTCCGTTTTTTACAGGATCTTTGTCAACAGAAGCTTGAATCTTAGCAAAATAAAATTTTTTGGCTTCGACATGGATTATACTCTGGCAGGTACATAAATGTGCAAGTTGTCCAATTGGACATTTATCAAATCATACACATAAGCACTTGTGTTGGTTTCTTGCTTTGGTACTATGCTTGAATTATATATTATAGTATAGTTGTTTCTTGAACTGCAATCTAATTATAAATTATTTTGAATAATAAATTATAGTATAGCTGTTTCCCGAACTGCAATCTAACTTATTACAACGAGCATAATTTGTAGTTTGTTTATTGTGGTCCACTTGTATTATTCTACAATTTTCAACACTAAAAACACTTGTATTTTTGTGGTTTTCTAGCCTACAAGTCACCAGAGTTTGAAGATATGACATTTTCATTGCTTGCTAAACGACTTGTTGCAATTGGTTATCCTAAGGTACTGCATTCATGATTCTATGTTTGGTATGTACCAGTAACCATGTTCAACTCCACAGCTTGGTCAAATTTTGCAAATAATTATTTTTGTTTAGTGCAGGGGTCTCCAAACTACGGCCTGCGGGCCAGATGCGCCCGTTGTGCCTCTCAATCCAGCCCGCAGAGACACTTAAGAAAAAAATAATAATATTATTAAACAAAATAAATTTTGTGCAGAAAGTTCATGTTATGACGCAAGCCAACTAGAAAGAGTGGCTTATGTCAGTTTTTGTCCCAACTTCCTACTGAGACAGAATCTGTTGACATGCCATATTAAACTGCAGTAAGATGGCTAAGTTGTGGAAAGTGCTTTCAAGGGTTTTTGAGCTAAGGAAGGAGCTATTTTCTTAACTAATGAAGCTTGTGTTATGTACTTCGTTTTATTAAAATATTCGCTCTTTGACCAGCGGTATACGGTTCGTCGGCCCTCAACATGCTGGATGAAAGTTCATGTGGCCCTATGGCTATAAAGTTTGGAGACCCCTGGTGTAGTGTATACTACATACACAAGTATTTTACATTTTTACATCATACTTAGTTAAGAAGCAATTTACTCACTGCCTATTATGTCAATGTGTTTATTTTTCCCGCTTATGTCTTTGCTCTTGCTTTGTATTGGATAAGCACTTGCAAACACATAGTTTAGTTGCATTTTTTTATCTGTTTTTCATGATTGTTTCAGGAACTTGAAGGATTCAAATATGATGCAACATTTCCTGTCAGGTATTGCATGCTTTCAATTGTGCTATCTGTGAAGTCTGACTATAGATATTACAAAGATAACAAATTCAAAAAGGTTGCAGTAATGTCTGTTAAGGTAACAGAAAAAGCACACCTTCATTGATCATGTCAATCAACTTAAACAGCAAGGACGGCACAAGATTAGTCCATAACCATAACCATGTTAGGACATAACCATAACCATGTTAGTACATAACCACAACCATGTTAGTACATAACCATAACCATGTTAGTACATAACCATAACCATGTTAGTACATAACCACAACCATGTTAGTACATAACCATAACCATGTTAGTACATAACCATAACCATGTTAGTACATAACCATAACCATGTTAGTACATAACCATAACCATGTTAGTACATAAGCACAATTGATTTCAATGGAAACAACTAAAGTAGAACAGACATTTGCGAATATTGCCCCACCCTCAATTATCGATCTTGCACTGCCTCTGAACAGACAGGACATTTTGCATTGTAGACTTTGCAAGCATCTCAAATAGCTCTGAATGCAATTATTTCATTGTTACATAGAGGTCTTCTCTTTGATATTGAACTTGGTAACTTATTGAAGGTATATATATATTCATATATTTTTATGGTGAAAAATGAAAATTCAACCATATAAATTACTATTTGTCCTCGCATGGTATCTGCATTGCTTAATGTACAGATCATGCATGAACTGATCCACCAATCTTAGTAATATTTCCTTTAGGTCGACACTTACGGAAACATTCTCATATGTGTTCATGGTTTTGAATTTCGTACAAGGTTAGTGAACTGGGTCAGAGTTTTCACATTTCCCATTTCATATTTAGCCTCTTCAAAAACCGACAGTTGAGAATTTACATTCTTCGTGAAAAGTTAATATCTCAATTGGAAAGCATTGAAATCCTTTAGTGGAAAGGCCTTCTCGTTATTTTGTTGGAGAGCATTCAAGTCTGTTAAATGGATAGCATTCAACTGCATTAGTTTCTTTGATCGGAGAGCATTAATTTCATTCAATTGCAGAGCATTCATCTCCGTTAGTTGCAGAGCGTTCTACTCAATTTTTCTGAGAGCCTATATCATTCCATTTACTGCAATATTCTCCATTGATTGGAGGCTGAGAGATTTTATCACCGTTGATTGAAGAGTATTTATCTCCGTTTACCGGAAAACCTTTTCTCCATTGATTGGAGACTGAGAGATTTTATCACCGTTGATTGGAGAGTATTTATCTCCGTTTACCGGAAAACCTTTTCTCCATTGATTGGAAGCTGAGAGATTTTATCACCGTTGATTGGAGAGTATTTATCTCCGTTTACCGGAAAACCTTTTCTCCATTGATTGGAGGCTGAGAGATTTTATCACCGTTGATTGGAGAGTATTTATCTCCGTTTACCGGAAAACCTTTTCTCCATTGATTGGAAGCTGAGAGATTTTATCACCGTTGATTGGAGAGTATTTATCTCCATTTACCGGAAACCCTTTTCTCCATTGATTGGCGGCTGAGAGATTTTATCACCGTTGATTGGAGAGTATTTATCTCCGTTTACCGGAAAAACTTTTCTACATTGACGGGAGACTGAGAGATTTTATCGGCCCTTGCAGGTTTTCAAAAATGAGTTCAAACGATCTTTCAAACTTGTTTACAATACGTTCATGTTGTTTTTTTATGCAGTTCATATATCAGAAAGTCGTACCAGAACAAATTCGTCAATGTGAGTTATTTTTGCGTATGTTTCGCGCGTTTTCGTATTTGGTTTTTTTTTCGAAGGAAAATACAAATATTTTTATCTTAAAGTTCGTCATCTCTTACAGCCCGATTGTGAACGATATTGCAAACTTACTTCAGTCTATAGTCTTCCAGGTTTGTACACACGTAAAACTTTCATTTTCTCATCTTTCTTTTATTTACTTTTTTTTTTTGTCTTAGAGTTTTGCACTTATTTTTATATATATTGCAGAAATTTATCTTTTGGCTTGCCTAGTCCATCATTTCGACAACAGTCCCAAGTATAAAAGGTTTGTGAAACTTGGTTACTTTTTATAGGCTCTGCTTTCCTCCGTGATTGTCACTGAATGGATGAGCGGAGGCGCATTTTTTACTTGGGGGGGGGATTGGGGTTGGAGGAGGGGGGCTGCGTGTTTAAAACGCTTCCACCGTTGATTATAATGAATAGTCCGTGCTATGAACTTTTACGTCACGTTGCGCGGTCAACTGAGTGGCATAGTTTACCTAGTTTATCTTAGTCACAAATTTAAATATTTTACCTAGTGTACTTCAGCAACACATTTGCCCATTGCACCAGTAACACATTTACCTTTTTACTTCAGCAACACCTTTGCACCTTTTATCTAGTTTTCTTCAGTCATACCACATTTACACATTTTATCTAGTTTATTTCATTATCACATTTACATTTTATCTAGTTTTCTTCAGTCATACCACATTTACACATTTTATCTAGTTTACTTCAGTCATACCACATTTACACATTTTATCTAGTTTACTTCATTATCACATTTACATTTTATCTATTTCCAGTTCATTCCACACATTTTATCTAGTTTACTTCATTATCACATTTACATATCTAGTTTACTTCAGTCCATTCCATTTTATCTACATTATCACATTTACACTTTATCTAGTTTACTTCAGTCATACCACATTTACACATTTTACCTAGTTTACTTCAGTCATATCACATTTACACTTTATCTAGTTTTCAGTCATACCACATTTACACATTTTACCTAGTTTACTTCATTATCACATTTACATTTTTTATAGTTTTCTTCAGTAACACCACATTTACACATTTTACCTAGTTTACTTCAGTATCTCAGACACACTTTATTTAGTGTATTTTTTTCTTATTTTCTAGAATCAACACGGGTGTAAAATATGACCACATCGTTCTATCTTATCAAAGTATGCAGCAAGATGTTCGAGCTGCTATGGATTATCTTCACAATTGTGTATGTTGAAAATTCATTTTAATATCATGGTTATCGTTAACATATTTCATCCGTCGTAATCATCATTAACGTACGCGCAGTCGAATTCTCAACTTGTGATCTTGACGCAAGCACGATGCGTGCTCGTGACTGCTCTTTCGTTTGCACACGACATTCACGTGGCTGATGGTCACTTGTATTTCAGTATGTATAGCCATATATAACTGATTTTTTTGAAAAACAAGTGCATGCATCATTCTCGTGGTTAGCACACACCCAGTTGCTCAGTGGTCATTTGTGGTTCTAGTGTTGTTCCTAAAGGCAGTGTAGCAAGTTTTGTGGCATTTCATCACAGATTCGTAGCCAGTCTGCAGTTAACTCTCTCTATTCTAATGTTGAAGCATTTTCATAATTATCATTTTTAGAATTTCTATAGCTTTGCAGTTAACAAGTCAAAAATGTCTAAAAGGCGGGAGTACAGCCTTGCTAATTTTATAAGCTGTAATGACAATTGATTTCAAAAGTGGTAGATATAAAAATGGTAGAATATTCTTAAACGCATAACCACCCACCCACCCCTCCCTCCACACCATTATTTCTCTGTGGCCGTGGCGGATTTATCACTGCGTGTATCTCTATCTTATTTAGGAAGGTTTAAAAGATGAAACACTGAAAAATATCGAAAAGTACCTCATCAAAGATGTAAGCAAATGCTCAACCATTTCCTTAGTGGTATTTGTAGCAGTCGTTGATCTAAATATATAACTGGAAGGCTATCTCTAAATAAACATGCCTGTACTTGTATGAAGCTAAACTTTCCTCCAACTAACAGTCATACTAAAATGAGCCTTCCTCGGACAGTACATGGAAAGACTAGGACTAGTTAAAGTACCAGATTTAAATTTTCTCATGAGGTAGCTATCCAGTTACATTCAGTTCAGTGTTAGCTAGGCACTATACGTAGCTGTGGCGGTATTGCGTGTTAGGGAACCTTTTTAGTGATGCAAGTTTTTAAAAATTTTTTATTTCTTTCTTCATATCTCTAGCAAGATAAGCATTCCTTTCGAGTTGGTCGATTTTTGAAATGTAATCAACTTGCATGTATTTTATTTCATTTTAGCCAAGATTGCCCAAGTTACTGCACAGGTGCGTGTATGTTCTGGTAGTATAGACCATTGAACTAAAATACGTACATGGAACGCTACATGTAATAGAAATGCCTAATAATTTTTGAAGCCAAATCTTACACCCGGACATGCGAGATTACATCAATCAATTTCCACCCTGCGAGAGAATCTCGAAACTCTACACATGCGTATAAGATTTAACTTCAATTACTTGCTTCAGGTAGCGTTCCGTGTATCTCAGTTTAATGGTATAGACTGACCTGTATTGCAAACACGAATCGGGTCGAATAAGAATGTCTACATAAATTGTACGTCAACTCTTGCAGGATGAAAGAACACAATAGGAAAACATTTGTTCTTACAAATAGCGATTACAACTACACCGAGGTACGTTTCACCCAAATATACAAGATGGTGCCAGGCAATGCATTATGGTAAGGATATTGAATGAATGTAAAAATGGCGGGAAGAAGCAGATAGTTAATAACAGGTGCTGTGCCATCTGTTTACAGTTTAGATTCTTTGTAGCTATTTATAACAAACTTGGAAATGGGTTGTGTACAATGTCTTCGGCGTTGTTGCCTGCCCGCTTCTTTAGCCCCACTATGATAATTTTCCTGTGTTTTTACCCACAATGAAAGCAAAGAACGTCTCTAAAGAAGTGAATGATGTTAGCTAATGTTTTGAAATTTATATATAGCAGGATCAAAACCTGCAGGCATGTTTATTCCCTAAATATTTGTACTCATTCTTTTTTCTTCTAGAAAATCATGACCTATCTGTTTGACTTTCCACATGGACCCGAGGTATTCGCACTCTTATTTGTATTGCGACCAATAATTAATTGTATTTACTTCATGCTTAACTGTCCTTTTTGACAGCCAAACACGCCTCACCGAAACTGGAAAACGTATTTTGACTATGTTGTGGTTGATGCCAAAAAACCGCTGTTTTTCGGGAAAGGTAAAATCATGTTTCGTTGGTCAGTATTTACACGTCCCTATATGTAAGGGTCTATGATTGGTTTCCTTGAAAGGACAATAAAGCAGCTACAATACGCTGTAGAAATGATAAATCCAAAGAGCGAATACTTTTGTTCATCTTTATGCATTGTACGATTGGGCCAATATACAAAAATTCAAAGGCTTACGAAAGTTGTGGTATTATAAAAGTTACTACTGCGCATGCTCAGATTATTTCTTTGATATTTTGCGACTAAGCGAGCTAATTGCCACAAATGTAGTGCAAGTACTTATAGTTAGTCGTTGCTATGACTATGAACAATTGTTCCAGTAGACTGCGCATGCGCTCGAGCGCATGCGCAGATGATTTCTCTATTAAATTGGTATTAAACATGCTATTTACTTTAAAATCGGTGCCAATAGATGCAGTTGGTCGTTGCCATGACCATGAACTTGGGCAGCTCGTCCAGTCGACTGCGCATGCTCGAGCAGACAGCGCATACGCGAATGATTTACCTGAAAATTTGTGACTGAGCGAGCTAATTACTCTATAATCGGTACTAGTACATGCAGTTTGTCGTTGCCATGACCGTAAACTTGGAGATTAGGTGGAGTTGATTTCGCATTCTCAGATTAATTCTCAATTAATTTGTAACAGAGCGAGCGCTGAATTTACTGCTTGTGTATATGCCCTTAGCAAATTTTCAATCATATATTTTTGGCATGCTCTTTGTCTTTTTAAGCTTGTTTTGATAAATGCATATTAAACTCATCTACACTTTGTTACGGCACTCGTAATATCCGCGACAATGTTAGAAATGTTCTTATTTTTCTCTATATTTTTGTATCTGCATATATATTGTATGTAATATCCAAGCTTTCCTTTGATTTGACGGAAAATGACTTTTATTTACTCTAACACCTTCTGCTTTTATAATTAGTCGTTCTGCATTTCTAAAGTAAGACTTAAAAATGCCCCAAGAGCATCTTCTTTCTATTTTATTGCCACTATTCTACATCTACAATACTATGTCCGACCATTTGATTGTCCGAATTTTATAATTTGATCTCGTATTTTTGACACATGTTTTACCTCGGAAAGGTGGATTGAGAAATGTACATAGTTAAGAAGATTTGAAACATATTGGCAATATATTTCATAATTCTAAAATTTGATCTTCGTGCATCTCTGGAGCAGAAAGTTGGTGATTATTTGCTTGACCGTGACTAAAATTAAAAAACTTAAAAAAACTGGGGCGAGAGCTCAGATCTGACGTCATTTTGGAAACATGCTTTGAGAAAACACTTTTCCCCGTAATCTTCTAAAGAGCATAGCACGTGTGTGTCGTTTTGTGTCGTATGTATGTAATTGAAATGTAACTTTTATCTTGCTTTTAGCTTAAATTTGGGTTTACAAAGCGTATTATTTCGGATTATGTTTTATTTTATAACAAAGCTTATCGATGTCTTTCATTATGTAATAATGGTTCCTGTTCTTTCTACTAAGGAACCCTGATCAGAGAAGTTGACAAGGTAAATAGTACACAGCACTATGTACACACGTGACTTGCGACTATTTGTTGACTATCCAGGAATGATTATCACAAATATGCATTCTTGTAATGACTCACCATTTTACAATAAGTATTAATGTTTCATTTTCTAAAGACGACAGGAACATTAAAGATTGGCTCCTATTCTGGCGAACTGATGAAGGAACAAATATATTCGGGAGGTAGATATTTCGGACTTGAGCTAATTTACACAATTTTTTTTGCATTAAGTACCAACTCGCGAAAAGGAAAACTCGCAATTAAAAATAAGTTAAAAGAAAGTTTTGAAAACCAATCCTATCAAACATCTGACTATCACCTCTACAATTAAACGTATGCACGTGGAACAAGCAGATTACAGTTGTACATATCGAGTTTTGCCAACTTTCAAGATGGCGTCTAGTCTCCACTCATAACTACTTAAAGAATTTCGTTGGGGTGAAATATTTAGTTGATTAAGTTCTCGGTCATCGGTCTGGTCTTTTATACCACGGATTCTCCTTGAACACAGAGTCTCATCTTGAGATAAGCGTGGATCGCCCATCATTGGTCGTCATTTGTTAGAATTCCCAGAATGCTTTTCGGATGCGTAGTTGTTTAACATCTACTTAGAGTCAATTTTCTCTGTGACAGTACCTGTTGCGAACTATTTTAGACGACAGACTTGCATGTCCGAGAGCAAAATTCGAATTCAAGTGTTTGTATGTTAATTTAAATGCATATATTTTCATTCATAATTATTTTTAGGATCATCAGAAGTCTTCTGCCAACTGATTGGAGCGGATGGAAAAGTTAGCGCTTTGTAATATATATGTGATGTATACAGTTCAGTCTTCTGTAGTGATTGTGTACATAGGTTTGTGCTCGTGTGTCGGCAGTCTTATTTCTTCAACTGAAGAATTTTTTATGAACATGTCAGCTAAACGATAAAACAAACTCATTGCAATGTTTTCAGGATATTCTTTATGTTGGCGATCATATTTTCGGAGATATTCTTAAATCGAAGAAAACTAGTGGCTGGAGGTAACGTACATAAGCCATACTTCATGTAACAAATTTTATTATTTTGCCGAGAAAAGTGGGAATTGTTAGCTAATAGAATAGGAAGTTTTTAATATTTTCAAGACCGAGAATATGGTACAAAATATTTCGCGTGAAATACTATTAAAGCCCCAGAAATTCACTATTTTTAACTATAGTACTTTATGAAAGCTATAAAATGGTGGTAACTTGAACGGTGTACGTATAAATTCTGTAATTTATGACAATGAAGTATAAAGACAGTACACCGCGGGTTACTGATATTTGGATAATTTATGACAATGAAGTATAAAGACAGTACACCGGGGGTTACTGATATTTGGATAATTTATGACAATGAAGTATAAAGACAGTACACCGGGGGTTACTGATATTGGGATAATTTATGGCAATGAAGTATAAAGACAGTACACCGGGGGTTACTGATATTGGGATAATTTATGACAATGAAGTTTAAAGACAGTACACCGGGGGTTACTGATATTGGAATAATATATGACAATGAAGTTTAAAGACAGTACACCGGGGGTTACTGATATTAGGATAATTTATGGCAATGAAGTATAAAGACAGTACACCGGGGGTTACTGATATTTGGATAATTTATGACAATGAAGTTTAAAGACAGTACACCGGGGTTACTGATATTGGGATAATTTATGACAATGAAGTTTAAAGACAGTACTCCGGGGGTTACTGATATTTGGATAATTTATGGCAATGAAGTATAAAGACCGTACACCGGGGGTTACTGATATTGGGATAATTTATGACAATGAAGTTTAAAGACAGTACACCGGGGGTTACTGATATTTGGATAATTTATGACAATGAAGTATAAAGACAGTACAGCGGGGGTTACTGATATTGGGAGTATTGGATGCTTTTAACAGTTAAATAACTAAAGTTAGTGAAACTGCAATCGCGATGGCCCCCGACGTGTTTACGATGTTACCAAATTCTTTCATTGTCGCAAAGGTTGACCAATTCAAAAATTGGTCGTGGCCAAAAAAATTGATAATTTTGACCAATCTGTTGTTACTCTGTGTAACCGGTTGCAGAGAGGTGTGGAGTAAGGGCATAAAAAGGCACCACAGCACCGTCCAATTCCCTGACAATTCATCACATTATCACAAGCTGATTTTTTTGGCAAAAATAATTTTGGCATATTTTTGCATTATCAAGGACTTACCTGGTTGTGCCGGAACTTTCAAAAGAGCTGGATGTTTGGACAGAGAGACAAAGTAGTAGACGTCGTAAAAACATAGGGATTTAAGGATGAGTGGATAAGTGAGCTTTGACTGTATACTTTTTATTTAGAATTGTTTTCCACCCTCAAAGATTTAGATGTCGAAATGGCGGATGCTTACCGGTAATAAAATATGTGATGACGTCTTTTTGTATTTACATCTTAGCGATCCGTTTGGAACTCTGCTCAAAAAATGTGTTTTTTAAATTTAGTAATATGGATGCGTACAGTACTGACGATCCTGACGTTGAAAACATCAAGAGAAGGATAAAGGTTAGTGGTTTTTTTCGCGCAAGGCGTAAGTTCCAAAGTTGTTCTTGTTTATTTTTACTTCTGCTGGGAACGCCGTGGAAGCTGAGTTGATGGCTGACGCACTCACAAGTTTTGATAATTTTGTCAAACGCGGTTTCACAAATTGATAAATGTACTCGGCAAAAGATTTGTAATTACCACCCATCTCTAATACATACATACCCCTTTGTCCACGTGATGTTTTCCCTTTTAATTATCGACTCTATTGATTACGTAATTCAATACGTCCAAGTTCCCGCCAACTTTCGATGTGATCGTTTCAGGAAACCACTCATCGCATGGAAATGTGCTACGGGAAACTGGGAAGTCTCTTTCGTAGTGGTATGTAAAGCTCATGAGCGTTTCCATTGTGATGATAAGAACTATAATCAACAAAGATACTGTGTATGAAAATTCTCTGGTCGCCTTTATATCGTAGAGGTTTATTATGGGAGATAAGATACTCTGTGTGAAAATTCTCTGGTCGCCTTTATATCGTAGAGGTTTATATTGGGAGATAAGATACTGTGTGTGAAAATTCTCTGGTCGCCTTTATATCGTAGAGGTTTATTATGGGAGACGAAAATATGTAGTGATTTTTTATACCTGCGAACGTTGATGACAGTTTTCCCTTCAATAAGATTTCTGGTAACGTAGCTTCAATGAGAATTTTCTACCCATCTTTGCAGTGTGTATACTCTTCGCCATGAGCTCTTAGTTTCTCATGGCTAACACAACCAAGAATTATTTGTTGATGCGCCCGGATATTGCTCATTGTCACTGGAAAAGTTCACCCGATAATGGACAAGAGAGACTTTGATTTGTTATTGTTTAATGAATATCATTTAAACAGTTAGACAGTTTACTTCTAGTCTTGTTTTGATTCATATTTTGCAATCTCAAGATGTCTTGCTTCTTCGGAATTTGTTTTATATTATACTTAATGAATATCCTTCTCCATGATTTTTATTTCAGGCTCTCGTCAAACTTTCTTCGCTTGTCAAGCAACTCGTTATGCTGATGTGTATGCGGCATCTCCAATGAACATACTCTATTATCCCTTTACGTACCTCTTTCGTTCACCTGCTCAACTGGTAAGCCATAAATATACTCTATTATCCCTTTACGTACCTCTTTCGTTCAGTAGAAGATCTAGCTTTAGTCAAAAGAAATTATAGCTGTTCAATTTTAAATTCAAAGTAGCAACGTTCAAAAAAAACTGTTGGTTTCGAATTTCTAAAGAATATAATTTTACCAATGGACCTGCCTCTAAGGTGCTTAGAAGTGTAAATTTATTCTAAAATATTTGTCAGAAGTATATTTTGACTTACACTAGGTCCGCCACTGCTTTCGTTTGCACGCTGAACTTGTAAACAATAAATATACTCTATTATCCCTTTGTGTACCTCTTTCGTTCGCTTGCTCAACTGGCAGGCAAGAAATATATTACATTCGCCCTTTACTTTCATCTATTTTCATGGTTAATGTGTGTAATCTCAAGCTTCGTAATGCTAACCATTTATGTTCCAGTTGCAGATGCAAACCAGTTGCTCATTTGTTTACTTATGTAACTGGTAAACCTTACGAAACATATATACTAACCGTATACACACATCATATCATGTCTCCAAGTTCACTTGACTTAAATGTTTAAATATTGAAAGTGCTTGTTGTAAACAAGAATGTCTTATTTCATTGTATAGTGGGCTTATTCCAAATCTCAGTAGTTTTGTCAACTCAGTTCCAAACTCCGGCGCGTGTCATCTATAACTTGTTTAGCCTGTTTGTTAACAGCATGTATAAAGTTAACAATCGTACAATCAACTGCACAATGAAATTCCCTTTGGCAACTAACAGAGCTCGTGTTTACGGCTCTTCTATACATGAGGTTTTCGACATTACTTAGCATGTTACATGAAGTAATGATACGGGCATCTGGAGCAGTGTGTCCCCATATATATATATATGCAAATTAGAGCTTAGACACTCCCACCTGCGTTATGTAGTTGCAAATTTCAGAACAGGAGGGAGTTTTTAAGATCATCCGACCGAATCTAGTCTCATTGAATTCTGGAAAATGTTATTAATGATTTTCAGATGCCTCACGAATCAACTGTGGAACATTTTGATGAACCACATGAGCACATGGAAAGAACGAAGGTGTTGTATCAGTGGGAAAGTTTTGTCGTTGATGGCAACGATGGCGATCAAAACAACGCCATCGACTTTGATCTTGATGAAGAAGACGAAGAAGATTCATCGGGAAGCGACGGACTTAGGCGACAATCGTCGACGACGGATGAAATTTCATCACCGTAGTTTTACGGATTATGGAAAATTTCCACATATTTAGTAGGGCTGCACATGTTACTAGAAAGTTCATAGGTTTTTACAATGGTCAAAGAGAAAATACTATTGCCCATACAAAGTGAACTGCCGTGAGAAGAAAGAACTCATATTATTTTTTTTGTTTTGACTGCTTTTTTGGCATTATTAATTATTCTATGACTGCGATCTGTAAGCCTTACAAATCGTTCGCACATCTACACAATATAGGCTCTAGAATAACACAGTTTCTCAAAAAATACACTTGAACTTATAAATGGTGGCCAAAAATCATAATAGGAAATGCTCAAGTGATAAGTAGACACTTTGAATGCTTAAGTACTCAAACAAGAAAATGACTTTATTGTCGTTTACGCTTTTTACATTGTCTAATCTTCCTTAGATTTTTTCACTGTTTCACTTTATATTTACAGTGTTTATATTTACCGTGTTTATATTTACCGTAAATTGTGCCAAGTTATGCATTTTTGCCACTTAAGTACTAAACTTTAGTTGGAATTACACACAAATATCCATTGATATCAATTATACATCATTGTGTTGTATAAGATATCTACACCTTGTGTACGCAAGTATCCACAGATATCCATCATGATGAAGGATTTGTATGACGAATATAAATGAGATATCTTAGATAACCTGTGTACACAAGTTTTATACGCAAATCTTCATTGAATTTTAGCCCAATTTCTCTTTCGTAGTTGGTCTTTTTTCGTCAGGGATACTGCACTTTAGAATCTATTAGGCATTTATTATTGTCTCCGACGATTACAAGCTGTTTTGATTTTTTGCCAATGAAAATCCTGAAATTCTTAATTTAATTTACAGAATGGATTAAATCATATTTAATGTATTTTAGATTCATATTTTTAGAATCATTTTACGAATAATTAACACGTTCATCTACCTTTAATGCGTATTTACTACTTCCTTACTTCTTTCGCTTGTGATTTTGTAGATAGGAGGGAGGGCTAGGGATAGCACGGACCTTTAGTGATGTCAATCAATCAAACACGTCGTCTTCATGAGGCGTGCCAACCTTGCTGTCGAAACCATCATGTTGAAGAAAATGTCGGGCAATTTACAATGTGGTGATATTATTTTACCTTTTAGTTTATGATAAAACAACTTTATCAGAGTTGAATGTGTGGCAGATTATTAATGTCATTCCGAAGTTTCTTTGACAATGAAATCTATTTCAAAAAGCTTCATTGCAGTTGTTTTGTCCGCACGAAAGCGGCTCGATGGACAAACTGACGACACACAAGCTTCTTTATGTACTTTACTGCCATTTAGCCGATTAAAACACCATAAATTACCTGGATTTTGACTTTATACAAATGGAGTTTAAAAACTTTACATGTGGTGTACATTTATCTGCACAATGCCGTCGTTACTTCCGCGAAAACGAAGACTTTGAAAACCTGAAAGAAATGCTGGAATTGTTCAAAATGGCCGAGGTTTGTATGATTTATTCATATTTAATACCGTAAGTAATTGCAATTGTTTGTATTCCATTTATTCAAAGTTGGGCCAACATACAGTTAACGAATAATAAGAGCTTTTTGGCAATGTAATTGGTTTTAAGACAACATCGAGAACGAAGTCAAACTCATTTTGAAATTTTCGCCGAAAATGTAAGGCAAACACATTGTTGATATGGGGATTGTTTGCGAAAAAGTTGCCCGTATAAAATTGGCTTGTTATAAATTTCTTGATCAAATAATTTTGAGTTAAACGAACAGCAAGACTATGAAATTCAATTAAGACAAATCGATTTAGGTGTAATTCGTATCATTTCTTTTAAGAATAAAGTAAGCAAGAAAAACAACTTGTTAGATAATTTTTTATTCGACAAAGTCACATTTGGTGTAGCATGTGCTGAAATTTTTCGGATTTTCGGGAGTTTAGCTTCAGTTTGTGTTAAATATTGGTGTATCTTTGGCGTTCTTGCACATTTCACGTTCGTTGTGTCAATTTATCGCAAAGTATTATTCAATATTGAGTATTAGTGATGGGCGATTACCGAATTCTTGGTATCGCTACCGCCCGATACCGAGTCTAATCCGGAAGTAGTCGATAATGCCTGGTATCGAAAAAGGACTTCGATTACTTTTTAAATTTTATTATTATGTAAGTTTGTCTTCTTTTTCATTATTGGTTTTGACAAACATGTTGTTTTTTTTCTGTTTTATTATTTTAATATTTTATTCACTTTTACTAAACAATACACTTCGAGATCTCGCCTTCAGAATAATAACATGTAACCAATTTTTTCAATTCGAATTTATACAGCTTCTGAAAATTTATCGTTACTCCTAATAATGTTAAGACAGTTTGTAATTTAAGACAAAAGAAATAAAAATTTCGTCGTATTGTTGAAGTATATAAGGCCACACTTTAGCAATTCCGTTATCAGATCTTTATCAAGTGACTCAGACGTTTATTTTCGAAATTGAGAAAGTAATCGCTTTAGTAATCGATACCTCGATACTTTTAAGAAAAAGTAATCGGTATCGTATCGAATCGATACTAGCGGTATCGCCAATCACTATTAAGTATTATAAAATAAACACAATGAAACGCGTACTCTGATTGGTCTGGAGCTGTGTTTTCATTAGCCTGTGCAAAGCACATCTGAGCTCAACCAATCAAATCTATCAAAACAATCAATCAGTCAAAGAGAATTTGTAAATCGATCATGAATGCATTTTTGGAGGAAAAATTAAAATATTTGTCTTTTTCGCATTATTTTATTTTACAAAAGAAACAAAAGATGTTTTTCATGTTTGCACTGGCTTATGCAAACCCATTTTCCGAATTTAAAAAATCCCTTACAAATATACCCTGCTTAATCCCCTCCCCTCCCCTTCTTACATAAATGTACCTCAGTTCGCTACTTTAAACTAATCATGTCTTGCAGTGCAGTCTTTAACCTCCGGAAAAAGTCGTCTTTTTTTAAAAAATGTGCAATTGATTTCAGTCACACTGACTCCTGTTATCTTAGCCAGATTAGTGTTTTTACGCATAATCCTTTAAACTTCAACCATAACTCCTACTCGGGCAACCAAAATCAAACGATGCATGATTTTAAAGTCTACAAGAACAGCTTTCGTAAATAATATACAGCTTTCGTGTATTCAGATTTTTGATTAATTTCTTTTCAACTTCACACAAGGAAAAGCAATTTTTGGTTTCAGTATACATATGAACACATATAATACCATCAAATCAAAGGAGATTTTGGTTTATATGATCTAAGAAAAAATATTTGAATTTTATTATGAACTGGTCGACATTATTTACATTACTCGAAAAAGAAATGAGAAAGTGACTTTGTCACTTTCCATTCGTTAAAGAACTCATGGATAAACCAATCAAACTACAGTATTTGTATCAGGGGACTAGAGAAACCAATCATATTACAGCATTAATATAAGTGGCCTTGCACACTTGGGTAGAAACTTTGAAACTTACCAAGGACTTAGTCAAACTACAACAACAAATAAGTCAGTTCGACTTTTGGCATAAATACTTCTAAAATATTACGATTTCATCCAAACCTGACTCAAATAATAAGTAGAGAGTACAAAAACATTCAGAATTCTGTAGCTCAATCGTTTATATATATGTATAAACACTTATTTACAAATTACTTATATTGTAAACTATATTTCAAAAAGTTTTCTCCAAGAGTTCGTTCCGTCTACTTATTCAGCGCTTCTTCTAAGAAACACCTACATGACGTATTCGACTGTTCACATGATTATAGAAGCATCTTTCATGCTCCCACCCGAATTTTAAATTTTCTTTGTGATATACCAATTGCGTTTCGAGCTTCACATGTGTATAAACCAGTATCATTAATGGTCGGTTTTCTATAGTGAAACTTAATCTGTAGACGTTCCTATCAAGTTTAGTCAGCCTCGCTTTCTGTGTTAGAATTTCTTGGTTTCGATGATTAGGTCCCAGGCTCCGTGAAATGCTCGCGGTGATCGCTTTTTCAGAAATAATCGTACAGTTCACTTCATGTCTTTGTCCGAGTTGTAACGATTTTTCTTGCAAAGGGACGATGATTGGTCTTGTGAAAAGCCATTCTGGAAATAAGTGATTTGCGCAGTTTAAATTTTTGCTACGATATATTCAAATAGCGCAATAAACTACTGGCGGATCGAAGCTCATTTGACACGAGGGGTGAAGAATTTCAAATGGGGGTGCATCGTTATCCTAGCTTAAGTTTCAAGGGGTTTTGGCTTTTGTGGATTTTTAGGGGCTTACAAATGATTGAAACTTGCGTAGTAATGAAAGTGTTAATACCTTTTTAAAAATATTTGATATGTTTTTTCAGTAAATAAATGTGCCTTTAGTAATTTATTTCAATTTTAATGTTTCAAGGAAAATGTACATGGTGGTAACTCAGTTGGTATATGGTGCCGATATAAAATGTATAATTGCTTTTAAAATGAGAACTTCTACTTTTACTTAGTCTTACTGTACAATTTCAGAGCCTCTAACACTGTTATATTTATCATGTACAGTACGTAATACCATTTAAGAATTTTGCTTTGAATGGTTGCTTGTGAGTTTGGTGGTGGTGGTGCGCACCCCCCTGTCCACCCGCCATAGAAAATCTGCCCCTGTAATAAATGTCTTTGGTTGCTTGCTTACAGCTGACTGTAGATATTGTTCAAAGTATTTTATATCATTTAACGAAGTCAAGTAAAATGTTATAACATATAGACAAGCTAGTTTGTCAATGTACTTCATGTACGTAAAATTATTATTTTACCTCTGATCCTAACGTCAAACGTTCGATTAACTAATCCCCAAATGTTGCGCACACTACATGTGTAATTTCCCGAGTCCTGGGGTCTAAGATTGTTAAGCACCAACCAATAATTCGAAAGAATCATTCTATCGGATTGCTTAAGTCTCTTGCCATTCTTAAACCAATTCACTAATGGCTTTGGGTCACCTGTTGCCTTGCAGTCCAGCTTTAATGGCCCAGTGTGTGGTATTTCGATAACAGACAAGTGTTGAACATTGGAATCAAATTTTGGACCTAAAATATCAACATTTATGGCAGTCAATACTAAACAATGTCCGTACATAGCAGTCAATACTAAACAATGTCCGTACGCAGTAATAATTTTTGTCTTTGCTATGTATTGAGTGTTTTCACTGTTTGTCATGTTGGCAGAAAAACTCGTTGAGTGAAAAAAGAATTTATGTTGATTTAAACGGACCATTTGCACATTCACACGCTGTTCACATTGCCCACTAGTTGAAATTTTATTGTAATCTTAAATGTTCAGTCGAATTTTTTTTTAGTCGCTTACATTATTCAAATATAATGGTTCTACCCTGAATATACTAATACAAGTACTACTAGATGTACTAGTAGATGTACTATTAGATGTACTACTAGATATACTACTGGAGATTACATCAGATATACTATTAGATATATTACAACATATACTACTACCTACACTATTACATATACTCTACATATACTACTACATACCCTACAAGATATACTAATATAGATATTACTAGACATATATTACTACTTTCCAGTTTTCTTCAGCACATGCAGCTCATGGTAATTAGCTATAAAATTTTTATCTATAAATAAGTTGAGGCGGTTTACATTTTATAACTCTTAAGAATGCGTCAAACTCTGAATCAGTTTTTAGCAAAGCAAATGAAGGAATGCTATTTTAAAGAAAAAAGTAAAATTCCTTAAGAACTCTTCTTACCATTTTTATTTGCACTTAAAAACGCGCTTCCATAATCCATACCGAATTGATTCCGAAGAACGCACGAGTACAATCCGAGATCATCTTCGGTGACGTTTTTTATCGTCAATTTTCCACCGTAGCGACTGCTCGTTCCAATTTTCACCTGCATCGGTGTGTAGTGAATAGGAGAAATAACGGTGAACAGCGAACTGTTGCTGAAATCCAATAATGGATATGTCGAAGGCACCAAATGCCATTTGTACCATCTGTAATCTGGCATTGGATTGCTTATCAGTTCGATACACTGTAATGATGCAGTCTTTCCTAATGTAGCTGTAACGTTCTTAGGATAGCTGTCCAGAAGTATTGGTCCTGATGGTACGCGCTCTGCAAAAAGAATCAACGCGTTTTTGCAGTTATGACTATTGTGAAAAAAAATAGTCCTAAAGTTGAACGTTAAACATATGCTGCATTAAAATTTTTTTGTTTCGGTTAATTGGCTGCATTAGACGCAGCTATTGAACGTTTGTGTATTTGTATTGCAGCGAAGAAGAACAATCACAAAACGGGGAAAGCTAATCAAATTTTTTGGCTGAAGAATTTTGAATAGTATGTTTCCTTTTGGTTGAAAAGCTTTCAAGGTAAGGTTTTCTATTTACATTTGGATGGCGGGTTTTAAAGATATATATTCATTACGACGGAGGATTTTCAAGGTACGATTCTATTTGAATGAAGCGTTTTCGAGGTAAGATTCTAAACTTTTTGATGCAATCAGCAAATGATGTCACGCGTTGCATGACCGCATTGCATAAGTTGAAGAACAAGAAGGCAATGCGCAGATTACAACAAAATTTGTAGCAATGTGTTACAAGACGTAAACACGGTAGATAATTTACGTCATACTTTATTACGTAGACAAAATAAAACAATAAGACGTACGCGCTGATTGGTCGATAGCTGAGTTTGCTTAGCCTATGCAAACCAGTCTGAGCTAAATCAATCAGAGAGAATTTGCAAATCAATCATGACACATGTTAGAGGAAAAATTAAAACATTAGTTTTAGTTTTATCTGTTTCTCATCGTTTTTATTGTATAAAAGAAACAAAAGATGTTTTTGCGTGTTTGCACTGGCTAATGCAAGCACAATCAAAATCTTTAATTTCTCAAGTACTACATCGCATTGCGTTGGTTGAAGAGCAACAACAATACAATGTGTAGTACCGATTGCAACAACATTCGTAACAATGAGTAACACATAAGATGACTTACGTAGTACTTTCAGCGTGATCTTATGCTCGTATACACCATATCTATTTGATACACGACACATGTACACTCCCGAATCGGAAATAAGTATATTTCGGATACGTAAAATGGGTGTCGTGGAGTTGACTTTTTCACCCAGCAGTCTGCGTTTAAATTTCTTGCCATCTTTGAACCATTGAAATGTCAGCGGGCTGGCTCCCGTCGCATGGCATCTGAGTCGTATTGTGTTATGTGTCGGTGTTGCCATGAAATTCCTGCGCAGTTTTTCATTGATGGGATAGGGTGCTGCACCTAACGAAAAATTTAAATAAAATGCATGTAGAATCCTTGAAAAATTGATAAAGTGGGATGGATTGGTAGCTACAAAATCATTGCTTGCTGTGTCTGTATGTCTATTTTGGAAAGTTTAAGCACAATACTTCATTTACAAAAAGCAGCCCATGATTTAGAATCCAGTCCCCCAAGATATCTAACTGCCGTGTGAAGTCAAGGTAAGGCAAGGAACACATCTTGAACAGTGGCAAAAAGCAAAAGTCATTGAGCCTTGCATGTTACCATAACGAAAAATAAACATAAAGTGTTTTCTTAAATTAGGAGATTTTACTTTTATATAAACAAAGCGTTCAGAAACAACTTTTTAATGTTTGAATATGTAATTGACATTCCAACAACTATATTGATTGCATACTGTTATACCTTCAGAAGATTTAACTTTTACTGATGCACTCGCATAACTTCTGCCATATTTGTTCTTCAAAATACACACGTATACTCCTGAGTTTTCCTCCTTCAGATTGTCTAGTGTCAGATGAAACACGTACGTATCGCCATTTTTTTCGTGCCGCGTTCTCGTTTGTATTGATGAGTGGGTTCTGGAAGTCCTTTGCTTCGGAAAAACAATTTTGAAGCCCTTTCCCTGACGAAGAAAGTCGTTCGACTTCATGTCATTGTGTTTCATCTGAATTCCTCGAATTCTGTTTTCGTTGTTTGGTGTGTTTAACTTCACCCAGCTGATTTGTGGTCGATGCCGTGTGTTTTTGCCAACACATCGTAATGTCGCGCTCTCCCCCACTCTCAGGGAAACGTTCTTTGTGCTGGACTCGACAACCGGTCGGCCATATCTTAATTTGTCTGTGAAAGAAAATCATACGTACATAAGAAAAAAGGCCCTTGAAAATTAAGATTAAGGCAGTTATATATCCTGTCATTTTATCGATTATATGTGTACAGACATATATATAGTCCAGTGCATTCATCACAGAAAACTGTTTTCTATATCAACTTCATTTAGACAGAACATGTTTTGCTATTCTTTTTATTTATCTACGTGTAATGTCATGAACTCCATTAAGTGATTCGTACGTTTTTAAAGCTCAAGATTATAAACTTCAAAGAAATAAGGTTGAATTTGCATGACAACAGTAAACTGATTTTAAGATCTTCAGTATCAGTTACCACGTTGGTTCCCTTTCTTCGTTTGTGCTTGTGGAAATTGCTATCTACTCCTTATATGCCCAGAAAGATATGTCTTTGCGTTTCAAAATATTTTCTGTTATTTCTGCAGCACTTAAACTACAAACAAACTTACGAAACACTTTCAAAAAAAAGCTTCTACTTCTTTCTTGCTTAGCCATGAGAACCTTACAAGTGTATACTCCTGTGTCACGAAGTTTCACTTCGTGAAATTTCATGAACCAAGCAGAACGAGGATGTTTTATTCTTTTACCATCCTTGAACCACCTATACCTCAGGCCGAGTAACGATACCATTTTTCGCCGGCTGTAATCTAAAGCCCTTCCAGATTTAATTCGTCTAAGATACTGGTACATTTTGGCAATGGATGCTCGAACTGGACAATGCAGCGTCACTGCCGACCCAACTTGCTCATTTATAAAGATTGGCTGTAACGTTCTTGTCTCTCTCGTTTGTTTAGTCGGTATTCCTAAAGGAGAAGAAAAAAAAGCCAGGTTACTGTATGGTTGCTAATGAAATGATTTCCATCTCTTAAATACGTCGATGTTTCATGCAATTGACTGCACAGCGATAGATAATTGAATAGATAATATGCCTCTCGACTCCTCCTAAATCTAGCAACGATCGATCCTACAAGAAATATATACAATGAGTTGGATGAATCATGTTGAACACAACTTCCTTATTTTCGTAAAGTCTTTTTCCTTGTTACCATGGCCATCATGCTCAATCACTGTGTGGCCTACGGAATCGACTTGCTGCAATGAAGTGAACCGCTGACCGTCAAAATGAATCACAATGGCCTCCATCAAAAAACTGAATCAAAGATAATAAGTAACGAAAAGACGATATGTCATCAGAGGGCTCTCTAAAGTCTAAATTCACAAAGCTACCAGTCGCGATTCACTGTTCTTTCAAAATTCTAACTGTTACTAAACCTTTATACTCAAGTCTGAATCATGAAGCCGATGGGAACGCTCGATGGGGCGTATTTATTTAAATTCTTTATATGTGCATTCCGAACTTTAACTACCTATAAATTCCACCTGATAATATTTCGAATATCTTGATCTCGTGGAAATAACATAAATCGAATGTAGGCAAAAATTTTGTTCAATATCGTTCGCATGCAAGATGTGCCGTTTGCTATCCCATAAGACATCTGTAAATCCGACTACGTACTTAATGCTCACTACCTTTGGCCTGTTGATGTTTTTTAACTAATGTATGATCATAAAAAATGCATCACATTGAAGCAGATAAGCTACTCCTCTTAGAAGATTCCACTGAGTTTTGGCATTTTCAAATTTGTGTCGTAGTCGTTTGGGTCTGTACTTTGAATTTCAACCTTTGGATTGACCAATATTGCAAAATTTGTTGTGTTTTAGAAAAAAATTGCAGTAATTTTAAAATAGTATTTTGATATTCTAAGAACAACACTTTTAACATTTTTTAAGACATGGGTCGCTTATCGGTTTGTTGTTTATTCAACAAAAAGTCCTGAAACTAATAAAAGCTCGAATCAATCACAACATAGGGCTGTTCAGACTGTTTAATCCTTGTGTATACAGACTGAAATCAGGAAATCGTTATTTACCTGCGTTAGATCTTATATACTTTAAATTGAATACTCGTCTTGTCGGTTGAAATTAATCTTCCGCATTTGTTCCCTTTCTTTTCTTTGTCGTAATTAAGAAGTTTGAATAAGATATTTCATCCGCTAGTCGATAAAGCAATGAAAACAATACCATCATAATTAACCATCTTTCCTGTTTTGCTTGCCCGGCTAATGTAAACGTTCTCAGGAAAATGGTCTTGAATTTGCTTTATGGTTGATGACACACGAAGATTTGCTATTTGTATCTCATTAATGCACATTTTCCAATTCAATTAACATTTAACAACAATCTAGTCAAATTTTTCATTGTAAATTAAAGAGAAATCTTACGATGAAGTTAAAAGAAACAAAAAATGCCTTTGCCAAACACTTAGGTCAACCGCGGGAAACTGAAACTTTTTATACAAGCATTTTTAACATAAGGAAAGGCGTCATTAAATTTATAAACTATTCTCTTGGAAAAATTTAAGAAGTTTGCAACACGAATTCCGAAACATGAAAAAGAGAATTCAACTTGAATTCTAATTCTCTGACGATGGCTTTGGAATAACGTTTGCAACATTAAAAGGGTCTTTTATAAATACATTCAAGATTATCCAACACTACATTTTCACCATAAAGACGTTGCAAATTACTGGTCATTATAGCCGAGAATAAAGTTTTCATTTTGGCGGGTTAAATCATAAAATAGCTAAACCTAAGGCCCTCTTGTCTTAAATATAAAGTTTCTCGTCGCCCTGTGTCGGTTCAACCATAATATAGCTAAACATAAGATAGTGTAAACCTACGCTAGGTCACGATTTAAGTCAAACCTATCTAAAATGTGAACCCAAACCAAACGTAAATCATTACATGATACACCCTAAGCTACTCTTTGCTGAGCATGAAGTGCATGTAATGTAACTTTGTTGATGGAATGTTTGAATAAGAAAAGAAAAATAGATATTTTCCCGAATTTTCATACAAAATTACGATTCCATTTAGTTATGCTGATAAATTCCTTTTGTAAATTTTTTCCGAGCAACGACGTGATATTTTTTGAATTGCATGAGGCAATTTTTCATCAACGAGTATGTAAGCTAGGAGCATAGAATTGGATTTTGAAGAATAACACTTTCACAATTCATGGAATAATTAAGGAAACTGAAAATTTACATGAAAAGCACGCAGTTGATACGCCCCTGCCATGAGGCTTGCCTTCCCTTTTTTGTGCGGTTTTTTTCCATCAAGTTGCCTTTACTACAAATGCGTTTTGCGGATGAAGCAATCGATGCGGTTTTTCATTAGTGTTGTTCAAGCTGCGCGCGCATGATGCGTTGACATTCCAAACCTTTTAACACGTTGTCAGCGCGTACAACCGTGATGTTTATTTCTTTTGCGAGTTTTGTCAAGCGCACTTGTGATGGCACTTAATCAGGTATTTCTTTAATGTGCATTCATCAATTGGATATACGACTTCGAGAACTTTCGTGGCAAATAACACTGCTGTTGTTGATTATCGTAAAAAGGTATAAAAAACTAGTTGATCAGGGTGTCGAGGACGCGTGTCCTTCCTGCTATGCCGCGATTTTTTTAAATTTTGAGTCCTGTTAAGTCAATTTTCCTAAGAAAAAAGCAAAACCCGCGATTACGTAAACAAATCAAACCACAATGAAGTTAATCGTTTACATAAACATAGTCCTGTGACGTTTTTTGTAATTGCCATGAAATTAGTGGATTAAAAAGTTAGCCAAAAGGAAACTTACAATTTCTGGTTGATGTTTTTTGGAAAAACATTCTAACCTGTAAATCCTCGCACAAACATTACCACTAACACAAAAGAACAAAACTTAGCCAATTCCTGTGGCAAAAGTATGTTCTCATTAACCTTCATTTATACAAGCAAAAAACAGATGGTTTGATGATAGCTCAAGTGCACTGTAACCTGATGATACCGCATTAAACATATCTAAATCACTGAAGTCGATGCATGGCTTAACTTTCATCGCTTCCATTGAAACACGCGTTCCGTACAATAAATCATCGTTGCTCTCTCGCATGCTGAGAGAGGAATGTTGGCTTATGTTGCAAACGTCCAAGGAAAGAGAATTGATTTGATGGATTGCTCAATAATATTTGAAAATAGTTCTAAAGATAGCAAATACCATAGTGAATGGTAAAAGTAATATAATAAGTTGATAGTTCTTAAAAGAACTGTTTTAAGTAAAGAGCACTTACCCATTAGTTCTAAATTAAATAACACGATGCATTTTAACACCTGAGGAGTAGTCTGCCGAAATGCATCGTGTCGTTTAATTTAGAACTACCGGGTAAGTGCTCTTTACTTGAAACAGTTCTTTTAAGAACAATCAACTTATTATATTACTTTTACATTCACTATGGTATTTGCTATCTTTAGAACTATTTTCAGATTTGTCACCACGACAAAGTCTCTATTTTATCGATAATATTTGGTGGCATACGTACGATTTGCAGACGAGTGTCGAGCTTAAGTTATGACTGCAAGTCTTAGCACGTGACAAGCCAAAGATTTTAAAACTTTGTGCTCTCCGGGGTTGGCGAATATTTTATCTTAAAACGGTTTTGGTTGAAAGTTTCAAAGTCACGTCAAAGATTAGCCATAAAAATACAGTTTTTGATGATCCAAACGACATAGCTACTAGATTTGTGTAGAAGTAGCTGAAAAGAGCAAACTTTTGATAACAGTATCATCTATTGTGCCTTCAATCAATCCATCAAGCATTGCTTTAACTCTTTACCATTAAATTTTCTGTCATGCTACACTGTGTTAAAGCGTTCTTTATTTGTCCCATAAGCCATTCAATCCATCAAACCTTGCCCTAACCCTGTACCATTAAAATATCTTTTATGCTTCACAGTTAAAGCGTTCCTTATTTATCCCAAGCTCAATTTAAAACAGTAATTAACTTCATCCCTGAAATGTAGTTTGGTTAGAAATGCATCAGTCATTAGATGGCAGTGATTTCTTGAAAGAAATTGCTCGAATTCTTTGTAGTCAATTTAGTCTTGAAGACTCTTCGCTTGAAAGTGAAGCACCCTTAGCATTAAGAGGATTTAGTTTTTACTTGAATTGGATCAAGTGGTTTTCTTCTGTCCATCACAAATTTAGTCATGCAAGCTGAGTTTATGATAAAATAGATTTTTCGCGAACATTTTTTGGTAAACTAATCCTCATTCATCCACTTTATAATATTTCAACTGTTGATTGCAAATTATGTGTTGTGGCATTTGAAAATGCAAACGTGATTGCTCTGGTATTGTCGTCATTGTATTTTTATACAATAAGCCTGTAATGGCCCTGCGTGATTATATGTGCTTCAAAACACGTAAATTTGTGAAACACTTTAGGCATTTTTGTGGGATTTTTTTTTCACAATTCTCACGCGATACTGATAACAGCGTATGGATAATTATTGATTGTAAATATTCCATATTCAACTCCCCCAAAAGCAAAGAATGCATTTTAAGTGGCGAACTTATAACTGACTTTCCCAAAAAAACGAGTAGAGTAGGAAACAAAATTACAAATAGATATCAGTTGCTACAAACTGGCTGGTTTCAATTATGTGAGCATTATGCCGGCCACTGATAGCCATTAAACATTGCGCAAAATTAACCTTAACCCTTTCAGGCGAACATCCAGAAGGAAAAACTAAAATACTGTCATCTTTTTTTTGCATGGAAAAAACAGCAACAAATATTTCAGTAATTACAAGAGATACAAGAAGATTTGTGATTCGCAGAAATATATTGGTTTTTTGGTCAGTCATACTATGTTGTTGGTTAGTTACATAAGCACCACGAAGCTACCAACTGTTTGTGAAGTTTACCTCTTTTCAAACTTGTCATTCGTCACGTCGTTAAAAACTAACTACTCACGATTCTCTATCTGATTAGCAGAGTCGAATTTTTACAGTGAACGTTGTGGCAGACTGATAGGTGTTATTCAACAAAATTCTACTTTTAGTATAAGTGCCTCGAGGCCAACGAGCACAAAAACTATAAAAAAATCATTGTGTAGAAAAGGCTTAAGCATTATTGGTATTCTCAAACGGCTTATTTACGTTAGCTTTTGCACTGTACCGAAGACTAATTACATCAGTTGAAACATTTGCGTTGCCGGTCTTGTCAAAAATGTAAATCTATACGTGTTTTGACGTAAAGGATTACTCACAGTATGTTAATATGTGTTGTTTTTATATCGGAATGACGCTTTCCATCTCGGGGAAGTACAAAATGGTAATGAATATTTCACACTTTACAACTTTCAAGCGTTTATCTTTTTATTAGATTATTGTCCTGTGCATTCAATCTTCTGTTCTAAATATAGCCACCGACAAAAAAACGATGAACGCACATCTCCTTAACTTCGGAAAGAACTCGCGCAAAGTATGCTAATAATCTTCGGGAATGTCATTGTTATGTAGTCGTTAAAGAGACTTTCTGATATATATTATAGCTTTAAATAAGTTAGCCAAACATAGTGTAAATTTATAGAAGCTGCCGCTGATCGCTCAAAATGCCTTGCTCGCCGTGACTGTACGCATAATTTAAGCTTCGCATTAATCGAACGCTCAAGAAGAAAAGTTTTAGTATATGCTTCCACACAATTCTTATACAAGTGATTAATAAAATTTTCAACTTGTGCGTGACAAACCTTCGCGTTTTTTTAACACGTTGAAGTACTACTCGAGACTCAATATGCTCTGTTAAAAGAGAAATGTTTATCAGAGTTGCCAACATTTTTTAAGATAACCTACCCGAAGATTGTCTTGCACAATTCATGTGAGCTATGCACATTATAATTACGACAAGTTTTTTCATCTTCGTTTTCCAAAATTTAATATCAGCTCGTACGACCTGAAATATTAACAAAAATGTATTTCACTAGTCAAGTTTACACATGGAGTGCTTGCGTAATCTGGACTATGTCTGTCTATATGGTACTCCTGATTTTATTTGCTTCCCGCCTCTAAGATCTTCATCTTCCTTAATAGTGACATTTCCAACAGGAAAAGGAACATATGTTTGTGTTCTGAACGATTCCTTTGGAATCGAAGGGAGTTTTTGAGAACAGAAATGCGTTTGTGTTTGAAGAACATCGCTCAACCCATATCCCGCCCGCGCAATTAAGAAGCAACGCAGCCTCGGGTATAACTGCTGTTGTCTTTGATTGGCTCGAATAAAAAACTTAGTTGATGTTAGCGCAGTAACTACATATAAGACCCCATGTGGTAACATGTATGGACAAAACAGGAAACTCTATGTCATTGAGTGATCAAGCGATTGTAGTAACGACATGGACTTTTTAGCTAGAAAAGATTTCAACTTATTTCAAGGCTAAACGCAGCAACACGCAACATTGATTTTCCTTCTTTCGGGGGGAGATTTCTTGCTTCGTAAATCATAAACTACGAAAATGATGACAATCGCACATGTCATGACACTTAGAAATATGTATAATTGCATGTAAAGCATTTAGAAGATGAAAGAACGTGTATGATTTACAAAATATAAATGGTACAATAATGGTGATTGATCATACTGATGCTTGGAACCGCAAAATTCCTTTTCATTTGCGTGTTTACTGCAGTTTTCCTCATTTTAAATTATACTAAAAGGGTTTTTTGTTGATACACAAAATATATCCCGTACTGCGTTGAATTTAGATGCGCCTTCGTTTGCGCTCAAGTATGAAGCTGATCTAAGTCGAGTGAAAAAAGGCTACCAGCGTAAGAAATGGTGTTAAGTTACATTAAAATGTTTTGACAATGGTAATGCTACCATGCGATTTGCCTGCCATTTTAACATGTGAACTTTTTCATAAAATTATTCGATTTCGAATTGACTTGGCCAGGCAACCGGCTCCGGGAAGTAAGCCGTATCATAATTTGGCTGTGCCATGAGCAACGGCCGAGTAGCAGTATTTTACATGAAAAGGTAGTTCATGCTTGGCAGCTCGGTATAGAAATGCACAAAATTTTTTCCCACTGGTATATTTTTCAACTTACTCTAAACTAAACCATCGTCAGACATTGCGAAACAAAGAATTATAAACTATTAATGAATAGAATATAAAATTGTAAACTTAACACCTACCGTTTTTGGAAGATTAGTTTAAGCGTATCCACCCCTGGAACAGATGGGTTTTCGTAACGCTGTTATGCGAAAGAGTCTTTCCTCGAGCGCTTGCTCTAGCTATTTATATGGCAATGCAAGTGAACTGTTTGCGTATTAAAAGGTGTTGACATGTTCAAAATAATCGAATAGTGCATTTCATACAGCTCTTTCCGGAATATGTTCCGGACTACAAATACCTTCAATCGTTGATTGCATGAATATGTTGCGCGCGCATTGAAGCGCTGACCTACTTTGCATAGTATGCGACGTCTCCTGTTATTACATCTTGCGATAAATCAAGAGGTTCTTCCTATGCACGAATTATAGAAATCTGATTTTATGTTTTAAACACCAAAGAGCAACATGCTTCTAATCTCTTCATTACGAAATCTGTAAAATATAATTACGTAGATACATCTGTTGATTAGGTGGAAAACTTGCTTTCGTTTGATAATGTGTACATTCAGTACACAAGCGCACACACGCACGCGCTCTAAAATATTCAAGTACTTTTATTGTCCAGCGCCGCGATGGCGCCACGAATAGAAGGAAATGCCCACTATCTCCTGCGTTAACTGATCAAACAAGATTTTATAGATAGCAAGGCGAATGGTATACGTTCACAACGACACGAGTTTCCCTCCGCACAGACATTTGCAAATTGGTGAATGGATGTTGAAACGATAAGCAAATATTACAGAGTGTTTGTGCCGACTTGTTTTACCAAATATGATCCATGCATCTATAAATGAGGCGATAAAGTCTTGAATATGTGAATGTTCTCGAGTAATTACCGAATGGCAATCTCTTGGCTACGTTAAGTCGTTATATCCCAATGCATTCGTTCATTAGGTTTATGTTCATGTTGATGCATTGACAATAAGCGTGACGTGGCACTGACGTGTGTTACCAGCGAGCAAAGTAAAAAAATGAGTGAAAATTGTGGTTTACTTTAAGAGTTTCAATGCTGTTTCAGTTAAGCTAATTATATAATGATGAAATGTTTGTCGAGTTTGTGGTTTGTTATCTATTCACAATGTGGCCCATTATCTAATGATTTATAGACATACTTGTATCTTTGACAATAAATACAAATTTGGAGACTTAACTTTAAACATTTAGAACCCACGTTCTATTTAATTCAAAATGGGGGCAGGTGGGTGCCCACGTAAAACCTCTCGCTCTAGATTATGCAACGCGTTTTTGTTACATCAAGCAGATCCGTGGTGTTGTCAATCGTTTGCTTTCAAAACAACGACCAATTTTAATGCTGGTATAAGCAAATGAGAAATAATATAGCCATTGAGAAAAAGTCCCATTTTCATCAACATTCGAAAGACATTTTCGTATCTTACCTCCATTTGTGGTGGTGCCTCGGAGGCTGTCATTTGAGATAGGTTTTACATTACCTTCATGCACTGGCCTCTTTATTGAAAGTGAATAACTTCAAGCTCACTGCAAATAGGATTTTCACCGCTAACTGCTTAATGTTCATTCTTTACTTAGCCGCAAAAAAATCTCACAAACTAGTTGAGTAGACTTCTGGTACTTTCTTTACTTATACTTAACATGTGTTGGTCTCTTTGAGAATTTACAAATTAACGTGGAATATAATTTCGTTTTAACGAGCTTTGATACCCCTTAGGATAGATTATAAATATCATTGTTATTATTATTATTTTATTCATCCAGGATGCCTACGTCACAGAAGTGTTTGTCGGTGCGGTATTGGAACTAAAAAATTTACAGAAAATGTTTAGCAATGTCTAATTTTTTCTCATAATTTAAAGCACCATGGAATTAATGCGATGTCAAAACAGTGCGTCAAACTGGTTGTTAGAAATATGCAAAATACAGCTGATATAATTATAGAATAGAGTATTTTTTTATACAAGCACATTCCATTCCTTATCGCAATAACAAACGAATATACAAAATCCAAAAAATATGGCGAGGCTTTCGAGCCGGGAATTCTAAGTCAGGGAATAATCGCGCTAACTGAATAGATATCAACGAGTTTGTCTCCTTTCTATGAACACAACATTGATTAAGAATCTTCAAAAGAAAATGAGTCCGCCTTTAGCTTCTATCCAACTGTGATAGGATGAAGTGTCAAGAGAGCACTTGATTGTACGAACAACATCAATTTTCCAAAAGTGAGGAACTTGTCAAGGCGAGCACATATCCGTAGCCGAAAGGGCCAATTATTATCCATTTGAAACACGAATTATCATTAGTAAACTAAGCAACGTACTAACGATAACAGAATTCACGTGGCGAAATAATGCATCTCTCCTTTTACGCCAGCTGAGTGGAAGTTGTCATAAACTGCGAGCTACGTTTGAGTTCGCTTAGCCATGAAAACATCGGAGTAATTTTACACTGAGTGATTAAAATCACTTTTTAATGGTGACGAAGTTTCCTGTTGTGGTTAGAGTTAAAAGCATATCTACAACAGCGGTCTCTAAGTTGGAGATCTGACTTCCATCTCGGTCTGTTCTTTTTATTCGCATGTAGGAATTGATTAACGAAGGAGCACCTGCTAAGTAATCCTCGTCAAATTCTCTTGCTGTGTCATTTGAAATGTTTGCTCTTATTAAAGAATAATTACAAAAAAGGAAATGGGATTATAAGTTTTATTCGTCGTGGTTTTAGTTGTCAGAAGTTGGTTCAGTCACAGATCGGCCAAATCAATATGTGCCAAATACAACCACGCATTTCTATCCTTCAATAGCGTCCTTGCGCGCGCACAAGCTTTTCTAATCAAAACGACACCAAGCACTTGAATGATGACGCCAGCAAATAAATTTTCATATGTAGAAAGCTTTCAGGAACATAAAGAAATTGCAGGAACTAAAACAAGCTTGTAGCAACGCTACTTAACTCGTATTTCGCTGCATTTCTATTCGTTCTGGCGCCTGTTGTTTGAATGCGTTTGTGGTTTCTGTATCTCTTACCATTTCCATGCTGAGCGAGTAAAAGAATGGGCTGGCGTTATGTTATTTGATATTCCTTCCTAGGATGGAGTTAAGAGAGGTCACGATCGAAAATACTACAAGAATGGATGGAAAATGTTATCAGGATAACGCTTTAGTTCTAACTTTGAATATTTTTAATGGTTTCTTGCGTGAAAACGTACATATTTCCTCTTTCCTCTTAGATTACTAAAACCATGTACACAGTCAAATAGGGAAAAATACTCATTTAGGTTAAACAACATTAACCAGAGTGTCAATGTTTGTGTCGACTTTGTTTTTGTTTCGTGAGTTGCTCGTTTGGAGAACTGGTTTGGTACCCAAACGAAATTTTGTCACTTGCAAACTGCGGCATTAACTTTAACGAGTATTGCATGAAAATATTGGTAGCGTGAATGAGACGATGGTAACGTAAGTGAGGTGGTATGAGGATCATCGGTAATGTTGTTAACATAATGATACAATGATAACTCGTACTGTTCAATAAGGTAATGGTATGCTGAGTAAAGTAATATGACGTGTTGGTGAGGTGATGCCAACGTGGATGAGGTGATGGTAACGTGAGTGAGGTGGTATTAGCGTAGGTAAGATGATGGTAACGTGGGTAAGGTGATGATGACGTGGGTAAGATAATGGTAACGTGGGTAAGGTGATGGCAACGTGGGTCATATAATGGTAACGTGGGTAAGATGATGGTAACGTGGGTAAGATGATGGTATATTAGGTAAGATGATGGTATCGTGGGTAAGATGATGGTAACGTGGGTAAGATGATGGTAACGTGGGTCAGATGATGGAATGGTAAGGTAACGTAACGTGGGTCAGATGATGGTAACGTGGGTAAGATGATGGTAACGTGGATGATGGTAAGATGGATGGGGAATGGATGGAATGGATGGATGATGGTAATGGTAAGATGATGGTAATGGGTAAGATGATGGTAAGATGATGGTAATGGAGATGATGGTAATGGATGATGGTAACATGGTGATGGTAACGTAAGACATGTTGGTAACGTGGGTCAGATGATGGTAACGTGGGTAAGATGATGGTAACGTGGGTAAGATTATGGTAACGTGGGTAAGATGATGGTATCGTGGGTAAGATGATGGTATCGTGGGTAAGATGATGGTATCGTGGGTAAGATGATGGTAACGTGGGTAAGATGATGGTAACGTGGGTAAGATGATGATATTGTGGGTAAGATGATGGTAACGTAGATAAAGGTATCTTAGGTATTCAGAACAACCATTTCAACGGATGATAAAAACTCAAACCTTTTTGGATTGTTACGCCTTGAAATACGACATTATTTGCTTTTTTGATGAAAAATTCATTCAGCTGTATGCAAAAAAGGAAACTTATTCAATAGTTACACGGAACACGATCCTCATCCTCTTCTAGAAATTGTGACATGGCCTGTTAATCCCCAAGCAAAACGTGACATGAATAAATGAGTCTGCTATTATTAATTTTTTATCTGTCAGCATTATCATCTTTATATTTACTTCGTGGCATGAATGAATGAATGAAAATCTTTATTTGACATGCTGGCCTCCGTCAACCGAGGTTGATCTCCACGAGGGGCGTGCTTTTCTTGGAATAAAATTACAAAATTTACCAATCAATTGGCACACTAACATGGACATCAATGTTTTTACGAACGTTATTTTTGTAATCTCACATACCGAGAGCTTAGTCATGATAATGAATTTTGAAAGCATTTTAATGCGGGATTAAAACGTTTTTGACCCGATTCATTCATTCGAGAAAATATTTTGTTTGTGGCTAGACCATTATATGAAGTTATATAAAATGAAAGTACAACCTCAGTTTCTATCTGATATGTACATGAAATGAAGCTACGTGAAGAAATCAGAACACAGATGCCCCAAAATGAGCTCTGCTTATGATCATGTCGACTGCAGGTTCCCAAATATTCGCTCTGGCATCGTACGTTTCAACTGATTGAAGGAACTGACCGTTAAAACCACCAAGTGCATACAGTCGACTTTTCATTGCGACCAAACACAAAGCTGACCTATGAAATAGAACACTGAGGCGATTATGGTGTACGAAGTAACTTTAGCTTTAAATAATTAATTCAGAGTCAGAAGATGACTGCCGCTAAGTTCGTCAAAACATCAGTCAACATCAACACCAACAGTCCTTCTCAGGACTCTACTAACCAATGCGATCTACATTTACCAACTCTTAACGATAATTCCGAGCTCAAACCATTCACTTTTAATATATTCTTCTCTACCAATGGGTATTATAAAATATTCTTATACCTATTGAAGACTAATGGCAACATCTTTTAAAACATCAGGATGTATTTTAAAGCACATCATAAAACGTTTTGTTGAGCTTTCTATGTATTTCCTTATATTTCAAAGAAGTTTTATTTAGAAATACCTGGGCACGTTCATGTCAGCAATTGCTGTCCACTTGTTTTCCCGCGGATCATACATGCATGCATCCTTACAATGCTTAACACCGTCAAAACCCCCCGCGAAGTACAGAACGTTGTCCATTGTTGTGACACCTGCCACTGATCTCTCATTCCCTAACGCGATCGACGAGGAATATAAAGAATATTTCAATCAACAAGTCCATAGCATTCGAACTGACATGTGATCAAATTTATTTTTAAAGCATACCCATTGATTTCACTGGTACCCAGCAATCTTTGCTGACGTCGTAGCATTCAACACTTTCTAGTCGTCTGACGCCATCATGACCACCAACAGCATAAATTAAACCACCAATGCTCGCCGTACCAAGATACATTCTGGGCGTTGCCATTGGTGCACAGCAACTCCACTCATTCTTACATGGATCAAAGCTTTCAACTGATTTTTGCCTGACAATCCCGTCGGTTCCTCAAATGGCAAAAATCCTGTTGTGTGATTGGGATGCAGCGAGGTACTTTCGTGGCCTCGACATACGACACATGCTTTGCCAAATATTCATTTCTGTATTGTAACCTTCACAGACGTCTAAAAATACACCGGAAGTGTAACCTCCCAAACAATAGATCATGCCTCGTAACTTAGCAACACCTATTCCATATCGCTCACATGGCATATCTGCTGCAGATTCCCATGAGTCTGTGTACATATTATATAATTCTACTGCATTTACAGCATTGGTACCATTTAATCCTCCAATCGTGAGCAGCTGGTCTCTATAGCCATCTGCAACCCTCGTGGAATTCTGCAAAACAAATGAGCTTTTCTGTTTCTCAGATAGAGGAGCAAATGAAAATCTCAAGGCTTTTTGAGCTTTTTCATTACAGACTAAATTGTTGCATATTAACTTGTTTTTCAAAACAGAATTTCTGAGGTAATCAGCTGTCAATGAGCCCAAGCAAACACAATCCAAGAGATCCGGAAGGCAGACTTCTCTTGTACCAGTTGATCCAATCCATTTTAAGCAGGCTTTGAAAACTTCTTCTTCTGAGTTTATTGATAAATTTGGATCCCTGAGAATCGTTTTAACCTGATTCAATGACAGACAAGGAAATTCGTCGTCTTGATAAATACTTGGAAAATTTTTCAAGATGAATTTGAAGGAAAATGCAGCAAGCTCGCGACAGTTCTGGTGTTCAGCTAGGGCCCAGATACCAAGACAATTTGAAGTGTGTAATTGCTCTTGCAAATAATCACAACATATTTTTTCCACTTCTTTAATTTGAAGTAGACTTGAAGCAGTCAACAGGCATTCTACGTTGCTACTACTAACATCAAGTTTTGAAGAGTAAGCAAACCGCACAAGAGAAGCAATTGTGTCCCCATCAATGCTTTCCAGTTTCACAACTTTTTGTGTACTTTCCCACAGGTCCGCTGTAAACATACCTCGAAAGTAAGGGCTGATGGCAGACAGTATTAAACGATGGGCTTCGATCGAATATCCATCGCGACCCATGATTTCAACGTCGCACAACTGTCTTGCCTCCCACATACAACAAATGTTGTCGTAAAGCTTGCAAGAAAGGTATTTTCTCGAGCACATCTTTCCTTTTCCTGCTGATGAAGTTTGAAAACGATGTATATGCAATGTTTACAAATATACAATCACAATTCACAACACCTAAATGTAAATTGTGTTAAAATCAGTGTTGCCACTTAGAACTTTAGAATTTCCGTAAGAAATTCCGTATGAGTATAATGGTATAACCATTGAGTATAACCAATGGTTGAACTAAATCAAAATTTACCCAATGGTAACTGTTAAACCTTATGAAGTGCTGAGGCCTTTCGAAAATTTCGAGACAGCTAACAAATTTTATTTTGACTCTGTCAAGGGAAGAGATAAAGAAATGTAGCACGAAGTGGTAAGAATGTGAAGTTCCGGGGTAGTTTTACCTTAGTTATGAAAAAATGCACAGTTTCAAACAGGAAATAGCGTAAATTTGGATAATTTTTTAACTTATTTGTGAAATGCAAATATCAAAAAGTAAATTCCAATGGAATGTTCTTTCTTTCTGATGGAAGGATGCTCATTCAAAGCTCGTTAGAGAAATGGTGTTCGCTTTGGTGTATTTTCACTCAAATTAAATCAGGTCCAGTCGGCCAAGAAAGGTGCAATGACAAGCACCAAAAGAAGATTCATAAAACAACTGCAATTTAGTTTTAAATCGAAATATTTCCTGTCCTTGCGAGCAATTCAACCTTACAAGAAGTAATAAAATAATACAATAAAAAATCAAATAATTTATATCAATTTTGAACAAAACAAATGACAATTCAAGGAGAATTAAAAACATAAATTTTAATATTCCCTTCATTGTATGTTGGACGATAATTTTTCAAAATACTGACTGTTCTTTATCAATATCTACTTCACATGTTGACAAGCGCTAAGCTCAAAAACATTGATAATGAGATTGCGCTAATGTTTATTTATCGGAGGAAAATGGACTTTCAAAAATCGAATTTTACGTCTTTTGTTAGATATCGAGACGACAGTGTCTGTTCCAGGATGCATGCTAGCAATAGGGATGTTATCATCACCCACGTTACGCGATTTCCAAGGGACATAATGTATTTTCATATTACATTCTTGACCATTTTCAAAATGAACAGCTACTAAACCATCTATAATGTTTTTTCCAACACAGTACGATTCACTAGCTAGTAAAATTTCTGTATTAAAGACGATTCTATCGGAAAAAGGTTTAGGGTCACCGTTCGAATGCACATCAATTAGAAAGTTTCTAAAGAAAGCCGTCGCACGGTGCGAGTCACTTATTTCAAAAAAAACTAACACAAGAACCACTTTTTTACCATCGCTTGTCAAGCAGACATTGAAGCGAGTTATATCTGTTTGTCTTGGTGCAAGAATTTCGTTAATGTGCACATTTTTTAGTACTGTGCTTTCACAATTTTGCCATTTCCACACACTGATCTGTATGCTCTTTTTACGGCAAACAGTTAAAATGACAGAATTGTCAGGTGATACAGCTGCTTTGAATTTTGAATTGTCGATAGGTAGTCTCTCGTTGTATTGTATTTCCCCGTTAATAATTCTAACAACTCGAACAACATTTTCTAGGTCAATACAAACTAGAACATCGCCAAATGTTAAGATGTTTTTGGGTTTAAATCCAATATTTATCATTTCTAACCCAGCGGACTCAACAAAAGAATCAGAGGAAGTCAATATCTTTGCAAGATGATCAGAACCATCCCATATCCACAGTAAACCGTTCGACCACCAGCATCCTAGTGCATCATCCAGTTGCATTTGTACAGTCTGAACAATGGTGCAGTGCTGGATGGCCCAAATGTCGATGTAGACTGGGGCATAGTAACTGCAAGTAGCCAAGAAAGACCCATTTGGTGAAAAGCAACAGCATTTAATTTGATGGTCCCGACACCTTAATGAGTGCTTCTCAGAATAACTATCTATTTTAAAAACACTTAATTCGGAAATATAGGGCACCACGTAAAATACATTCATGGTGATTGGTGCAACTGTTCCAAATTCCCTGTGGATACATGGGCAGTCTCCGAACTTTGTTTTGTAGTGTTTGTTTCGATCCACGGTTTCCACTAACTCGGTGATTTTGGAAGTATCTAGCACGAGTTTGGTATGATAGAAAACACATTCCCGCCAATGGTTTTTCATTGCCGGAGAGGGAAGGGGTAGGAGTTCTAAATACGCATCTATCGCGTTAGGCAACACATAACTAAAATTCCCAAAAACATCGATTACGTTTAGCAACTCATAAATACAACGACCATAGTTGGTGTACGCAATTTTTGCGCGTCCATCAGGGCACTGAATTGGTGGAGAAATAATATTTCGGCGTCGATCGACTCTTTGCAAAGTGAATGCATTCCATGCCGTGAAAATAAATGGGCAGAATGTGTATTCTAGTAATTCTGCTGCAATGAACAACCCAGAATCTACAAAAGAACAGCTGTCAACGATTCCATCTGCTTGTAAACATGATAACAAACGGTTATTGTTCACATCCCACAACTTTAATTCAGTGGAAAAATCACTAGTTACCAGTCTGTTGCCGGCAGGTGAGAAGGAACAACAACAGATGCTTTCGGGCTTTGTTGACTTTGAATCATCAAGACCAGGGCGTAGACACCATCGTTCTTTGAATTCTGGAAGCTCAAGAATAGATAGTTCACCATTTTCATATCCTACTGCAAGAAGTTCTTCATTAGACGACAAACAAAGAGATGTAATTTTATAACGCAAAGAGACTGTCGAATGATAATGGTTTGTTAGATAAGTGGAGTCTAAATCCTCAAACCAAGCAGAGTTTCCTTGATGCAACATGCTCCTAGCCAAAAATCTTTGTCGGTCACTGCTATGGATTCTATTTAAGACACATTGGAGATAATAAGGAACGAACTCTTTCGAAAGTAAATGAGTTGAAATGTGACTAATGGTATCGAGAATGAAATGTATTTCATCTATGACGTCTTTTCTAAGAGACATTCGTCGTTGCTGGAGGACGCAATTCAGCCAAGAACGGAGATCCCACACTAAAAAGAATATCTTTGAACTGGCATAGATGATACGAATATCTACTACCAAACTAAAGTCAACATCTTCGCCACATTCCAACATATGATGTATCCCATTTTGCAAAGCATAAGTACACATAGCAGTGATCTTCAGATCTTGAAAATGCGTTAACGACTTGATGTAGCGAAATTCTTCCTCGCAAGCATTTCTCAACAACTTATGCCCATTGACAACACAGTGACCGTCAACTGTAAATGCATGCTTTTCATATCCGTCCGATTTCAACCAATCAATAAGAGACTTGTGATACACAGTCAGGCAACCATCGTAAACTGGCAAAACTTGAGATATTATTCCACTAATTTTACTTGGGACTTCAAAGCTGACGTCATCAGAAAAACCTATACATGAAGTCAGTAACTTTATTGGTAAAGAATTTCGACAAGCAACCAGCACTTGAAGAAATTTGGTAAAGTTGTCTTCTAAAAGAACTGGATTTAGTGTTTCTTTTCTTATCTCAATCAGTAGTGCCTTGAATTGCTTCGTGTAAAAATCGCTTAACCCAATAGGAACTAATCGTTTAATGTTCTCAATTGTAAGTTCAACATTTTCTTCCTTCAAAGCCAGTTGGGCGTGATAAGCGTACAGAAATGATCCCTTACATTTCCTGACTAATAACCGGAAAATGATATCAACGTGGTCATTTGTTTCCTCATGGTCATTCAATTCATGTCTTAAATACTTGTGCAGGTCTTCTTCGTTGTTTTTATTTCGGGGATCGTGTTTTATTTCCACAGGATCCATTTTTTTAAACTTTTTTTGAACAAGAAGTTCTGGACGGCTGGTGATGAAGACTTTAATCCATTGAGGTAGTTTGTTGAATTCCTCTTCAATCAATTCTAATAATTCACTTTTTTCGTCAACTTGACTTTCATCTAATGCATCAATAACCAAAAGCATTGGTTCGTGATCTTCCAAGGAATGCAATGGATCATTCAATAAAACACGAAATGCATCTGCAATCGATTCTTTGGAATGTTTTCTTTGTAATTCTTCATTCAGTTTAGATTTAAAACCTAGTATCGTATCACACATGGTGCTGGCCAATGATTCTATCAACATTCGAGGATTTTTATAGTCCGATCGATTATATTTGCAAAAATGACAAGCAGCAAGTTTCTTCTTTTCAGAATATCGTCGACACACCTCGGCGGCAAATACACTTTTACCAACTCCAGGACCAGCAATCAAGATCATGACATTAGAAGTTTTTGTATTTTTATCGTTGAACCAGGTGTCGACTTTTTCAAATAACCATTCTCTAGTACCTGGTAAATGTTTTTTATTAAGATTTGCTATAAGACCTTTAAAATTACACTTTCCTAGCTTTTTGACATTCGAGTATGTTTTGTCCTGTACAATTTCTTTTACTTCCGCTACATCAGCTTTTGTTGCCATCTTTTCTTCAATTTTCTCCACTTTCTTTTCTATTTGTAACACATGTTTTTTGTTTTCCACTACGTCCTTTTTTATATCTCCTACAACTTCTTTGGTTTTCTCAGCAATATCAATTAACTCTTGTTCTTTTTCATACCACTTCTTCAACATATCAATATAAATTACCTCCTCAGGACTGAGAGGAGCTTCCTTCAATTCATCAATTTCATTTTGTTTGATATTTAGACCAACCAATGTTTTCGTGATTTCGTTCCACAAGCCCTCAAACACACTGTCATCTACACCAGTTTGGGTTATGTGACCGTAAACTTTGTTTCGATAGTACTTTATTCTTGCAATATTTGCTGAGACTGAGTTATCTGAAGGGGAAGGAAGATTATTCCATCCACTAGCTGGCGGTGTTAGACCACATATATTTCGTAATAGGACAGTTAACAACGAGATATCATAGTTCTCAATGTCAGGTGAACCAGTTGACGGATAAAGTAGATCCCATTGCTCTTTGTTGATGACTTTAGATTTTAATGATTTTAACTTCCTCTTTGTTGAAGGATCATTAAGTTTGGCAGGTAAATTTGATGAGCAAGAGTTTAATAAATATTTCAATGCTTGTGTTCCTTTATTTATCAAAAGTTTACTTAAACGACATCCGTTTGCCTCAAACTTTAGTTTTTTTGGTGGTGAAGCCATTTTTCAAACTACAAATTTAGAATATAATGTTATACAAAATATGACAAACTTTTTGCGTTGATTCTTCTTTTCTTTAGTCGAATCTTGAGTGAAGCCATTTATTTAAACTTAAAATGAAAAATCTAGAAAAAATGATGCGAAAAGTATAAATTAACAGTCTACTGACAATGATTATAATTATTATTTGCAATAGCTAATATAAAATAATCCTTTTCACTATTTGTAGCATTATAGAAAACACATTTTAAACATTAAAATAACATTATTTGTTGAATAATATTTTCTAAACAAAATCATAGATTATGCGAGTAACTTAACTTTTCTTATAAATCAAATTACGTTTAAAAATCATATAAATCTTAATGTAATTAAAGCTTAATTTGCATTTTATGTTGCTCTTTAAATGTTGTTGGTAAAAATAATTTCTCTTTCTCGTATGTGTATTTAGTTTACTTAACTCCTTCAGGTGATATAATACAACTGCACAAAGACAAATTACTAGGAATGACAAATCAACTATAGAATAATGCTTTAAGTTAAAAAAATTTACAAGTAAGGTCATTCAATTTTAAACCAAAATCATTATCTGTTGTTTTACATGCACCAAACCCAAAGTGGACTGATGTGCATTTCACTTGAGTGTTAACCAATTTATGATCTAGTCAACTCAATTACTTTGAAATTTTCAGCCAGAAGGGACTTTAACAAAAGAATTTACATGGGTCATAATGACTACTTTTAATATATACAACAATTTTTTTTAAAATAGACATGTTTTGACATCTCATGATGCCATCTTCAGAATAAGTGAAATAATAAATAATACAAGGTTTATATAAAAGTAATATGATACATCAATTACAACAATAATAAGGAAAGAAGATAAATTAATGGAGAGCACCCGAGCGTATTAAAAAGTAATATTGTATTGAATTTAAAAACTTGAACATTGAGGTCGGGGTTAGTTTTGTCAATGTGGAGTGCTTCTTTGATTTTAAGGGTGAATGAGGTGTCGGCAATGTTGATGATTTTGAAGCAAGAGTGTGAATAGTTGGTTTTACGTGAGTGAGATTTAAGAAGGTGTTGGTAGATATGAGAGTTTTTGTCTGTTGTGGCATGTTCCCTGATTCTGGTGGAGAAATGGCGCCTACCGACACCTTCTTAAATCTCACTCATGTAAAACCAACTGTTCACACTCTTGCTTCAAAATCATCAACACTGTCGACACTTCATTCTCCCTTAAAATCAAAGCAGCGCTCCACATTAACAAAACTAACCCTGACCTCAATGTTCAAGTTTTTAAATTCAATACTATATTTAGTTTATAATACGCTCGGACGCTCCCCATTAATTATCTTATTTCCTTATTATTGTTGTAATTTATGTATCACATTACTTTTATATAAACCTTATATTATTTATTGTTTCACATATACTGAAGATGGCATCATGAGATGTCAAAACATGTCTATTTTAAAAAAACTTGTCGTGTATATTAAATGCGCATTAGCAATAGTGCTTTTACGAAATTATGGCTACTTTTAAAGTGGAAAAAATCATATACATAAGGAAGACCAGTTTTCAAAGACTACAGCAAGAAGTTAATAATTATATGAGAATCCAGGTTTTCCATACATAAAAGCATTTTACTTTGGGCCACATGAACACTGACATTGTATTCATTTAACAATCACTGTCTCATTAGAAACAAAAAAAAAACAGCAGAAAACTTCATCTGATGACCAACAAATTTATGTAGAGTAGGTGTATTCATTATCAGCTGTAATGAACATGAGTGTCAATCCTAAGTTAATTGGGGTGGAGGACCATATTCATACATTTTGCGCAATGCCTGGCTATTTTCTTTTCAACAATAATTTCACTTTCAAAAGAAATCGATTAAAGTTCGATTAACGCCCATGGTTATGGATAGTATGATAGTTAATAGTCATGAAATGCCAAAGGTGTGAGCAATAAGGGAGGCACACAAATCATACTTTACAAAATTTAAATGTACAGATGAATAGAGTTTCCAATGAAAGCCTTGTTCAAAATTAAACGCGTCGCGGAACAATATCATTAAAGAATAAATGGATTGACAAATGAACTTACCGAATAAACCTTAAAAGTTTATATCACTAATAAATTGCTGGTCGATATTTCTATACTTATAAAATGACTCAAATATTTGAACAGTTCAACATTAGCTGTAGAATTACTCTTTCAAAATATATTCGCTTTGTGAGGCATATATGTCATTGAATCATATCACAAAGTTAGTGAAATAACACATATTGCACAATTATACAATACTTCTTCAGGTAATCTATAATAAATATACTTTCTGGCATTATAGCAAGATTAAAATTAATTCAAAATGCATAAACAGCTTAATAGATCGTAAACAATTTACATTTATGGACTGATTTATACATTGTAAACACACATAATGATTCAGTTTATTTCGTCTCACAAACCTTTTACTGGTTGACGGTTTAAGTTTTCAAGTTTTCGCATCTGACTTTCTTGGCAAATTAAGCACTGTATGTATATTTTTTGAGACGATACGTGGCATTATTTTGTGTCACGGAAGTTAAATCATCTTAAGAATAGATTGTTATGTAAAGCAAAGATACGGCATATGATTTTTATTATTTTTGTTTATGCCATAGATGACCATAACTTTGAGCAATGTCATCAATAGCAAAAAATGTATATAATAACGCATGATCATAGATTACTTAGGCCCCGTTTACACTATACCGTATTACTATCGTAGCAAGTTGAATTTCGTTTGTACTAAAAGGCAGTGAATTTGTTCAACGTCAGAAACACAATCAAATAGACTAAATTTATCAACTTAATAATCCGTTATTCCGTACAGATGCCCCTTTAAAGCAAATGAAGATGTCGTGATGAGCGAGTCTGGTATAGTGTAATCGCAGCCTACGTACGTTTAGACAGCAACGTCAGACGCATACGCCAACAACTCTGGTTCAACCACCGCTGGAAGGACGTAAGAACCAGATAATAAATACGGCTAACCTGACGTTTACTCCTCATACGACTCTGAAGATGACTACCACTAAGGTTGTCGAAACGTCAGTCAACAACAACAAAAACAGTCCTTCTCAGGACTATACCAACCTGGACGATCTACTTTTACAAACATGTAACGATACTCCCGGGTGCAAACCATTTTTTTTATTACGATCATTTGGACGACAGAGCGAACAACTTGCTAACGACTACATACGTTTTGCAAGCAACGTCAGACGCATACGCCAACAACTCTGGTTCAACCACCGCTGCAAGGACGTAAGAACCAGATAACAAATACGGCTAACCTGAAGTTTACTCCTCATTTGACTCTGATAATGACTACTGCTAAGGTTGTCGAAACGTCAGTCAACAACAACAAAAACAGTCCTTCTCAGGACTATCCCAACCTGGACGATCTACATTTACAAACATGTGATCATAATTATTTGCAACAGCTAATATTAACTAATCTTTTTCACTATTTGTAGCATTTTAGAAAATACATTTCAAACATTAAAATAACATTTGTTGAATAATATTTTCTAAACAAAATCATAGGTTATGCGAGTAACTTAACTTTTCTTATAAATCAAATTAGGCATAGAAAATCATATAAATCTCAAAGTAATTAAAGCTTAATTTGTATTTATGTTGCTCTTTAAATGTTGTTGGTAAAAATAATTTCTCTTTCTTGTCTGTGTATTGAGTTTACTTAACCCCTTCAGGTGATATAATACACAAAGACAAACTACTAGGAATGACAAATCAACTATAGAATAATGCTTTAAGTTAAAAAATTTACAAGTAAGGTCATTTGATTTTGAACCAAAATCATTATCCGTTATTTCACAGGCACCAAACCTAAACTGGAATGATGTGCATTTCACTTGAGTGTTAGACCAATTTATGATCTAGTCAACTGAATTACTTTGAAATTTTCAGCCAGAAAGGGCTTAAACAAAAGAATTTACATGGGTTACAATGATTACTTTTAATGTGGAAAAAATCATATACATAAGGAAGACCAGTTTTCAAAAACTATAGCAAGAAGTTCATAATTATATGAGAATCCAGTTTTCCATACATAAAAGCATTTTACTTTGGGCCACATTAGCACTGACATTGTATTCATTCAACAATCACTGTCTCATTAGAAACAAAAAAACACGGCAGAAAACTCATCTGATGAGCAACAAATTCATGTACACTAGGTGTATTCATTACCAGCTGTAATGAACATGAGTGTCAATCCTAAGTTAATTGGGGGTGGAGTGGACCATATTCATACATTTTGCGCAATGCCTGGCTATTTTCTTTTCAACAACAATTTCACTTTCAAAAGAAATCAGCTTGGCATTACAGAATTTAAAAATATGGCACCCCCTCGATTAAAGTTCGATTAACGCCTATGGTTATGGATAGTATGATAGTTAATAGTCTTGAAATGCCAAAGGTGTGAGCAATAAGGGAGGCACACAAATCATGCTTTACAAAGTTTAAATGTACAGATCAATCGAGTTTCCAATGAAAGCCTTGTTCAAAATCAAACAAGTCGCGCAACAATATCATTAAAGAATAAATGGATTGACAATTGAACTCGCCGAATAAACCTTAAAAAGCTGCTATTTCTCCATCCCAACATCAAAACACTTTGTTTTGCTTTGATAATTATTTCACTTCGTAATTTATACATTGAGCAATTCCGCTGCTCCAGGACGGTTGGCTCAAAACAAGACCATTGTGTACACATGTGTATCCATAATTCAAGTCAGTGTCCGAGCTAATTTTTTTATTCTGCAGATTTATTCTTTCATTTTTGTCATACTCTGAGCTTTCTTTTAAAAAATGGAAACTCAGTTGAATTTTATGTAATTATCACTGTAAATTCGAATAGTTATCATTATAGTTCAACAAGAGCTGTTTCACATGTTTGACATGCGTTGATGCTCCAATGTAGGTGTAAGTCAATAAAACAATACTAAAGACGGACGAATTTATTAAAACAGAAAACACTAAACGCAAAATTCCTCTCTCTCAAAATCAACGGATTTAGTCAAAAATGCTGTCGATGAAATACAAGTGCATAGCGAGAAAATCTTACTCATTGACGTTGAAATAATATATATTGCATGAAATCGTACTTGGTGACGAAAATCAAAATGTCCGTATAATAATATATTGCATGAAATCGTACTTGGTGACGAAAATCAAAACGTCCGTATAAATCTGCTATGTTGAATTTTCCCGCCAAGCACTTGTTCCCAAAGCTGTCATATGGCAAAAACTAGACAATAGAAAGACTACCTATGTGTAAAGCCTGTGTAAAATTATTGACAAGTATGTGTGGCTTCAGAGAGACACCTTTTAGAGCGAAGTTGTTTCGACATTTGATCTAAACTACTAAAGTGAAACTAAACTATTCAGGCAAAACTAAACTAAATAAGGTGTGGTATTACCTCGTCGAACGAACGAGCGGCGTATAGCGGAAGAGCTTCATTTTTGGAGGTCTGAAACTGAAAGGTCGATTTGGCAGACAAAATCCAAAAAATATGGCGAGGCTTTCGAGCCGGGAATTCCAAGTCAGGGAATAATCGCGCTAACTGAATAGATATCAACGAGTTTGTGTCCTTTCTATGAACACCACATTGATTACAAGTCTTCAAAAGAAAATGAGTCCGACTTTAGCTCCTATCCAACTAAGATAGGATGAAGTGTCAAGAGAGCACTTGATTGTACGAACATGCTGAGTGAGTTAAAGAATGGGCTGGCGTTATGTTATTTGATATTCCTTCCTAGGATGGAGTTTAGAGACGTCACGATCGAAAATACTTCAAGAATAGATGGATAATGTTATCAGGATAACTCTTTAGTTCTAACTTTAAATATTTTTAATTGTTTCTTGCGTGAAAACGTACATATTTCCTCTTTCCTCTTAGATTACTAAAACCACGTAAACAGTCAAATAGGGAAAAATACTCATTTAGGTTAAACAACATCAACCAGAGTGTCCATGTTTGTGTCGACTTTGTTTTTGATTCGTGAGTTGTTCGTTTGCAGAACTGGTTTGGTACCCAAACGAAATTTTCTCACTTGCAAACTACGGCATTAACTTAACGAGTATTGCATGAAAATATTGGCAGCGTGGATGAGACGATGATAACGTAAGTGAGGTGGTATGAGGATCATCGGTAATGTTGTTAACATAATGATACAACGATAACTCGTACTGTTCAATAAGGTAATGGTATGCTGAGTAAGGTAATATGACGTGTTGGTGAGGTGATGGCAACGTGGATGAGGTGATGGTAACGTGAGTGAGGTGGTATTAGCGTAGGTAAGATGATGGTAACGTGGGTAAGGTGATGATGACGTGGGTAAGATAATGGTAACGTGAGTAAGGTGACGGTAACGTGGGTCAGGTGATGGTAACGTGGGTCATATGTTGGTAAAGTAAGTCATAAGTTGGTAACGTGGGTCAGATGATGGTAACGTAAGTCATATGTTCATAACGTGGGTCAGATGATGGTAACGTGAGTCATATGTTGTTAACGTAAGTCATATGTTGATAACGTAGGTAAGATGATGGTAACGTGGGTCATATGTTCGTAACGTAGGTAAGATGATGGTAACGTGGGTCAGATGATGGTAACGTAAGTCATATGTTCGTAACGTGGGTCAGATAATGGTAACGTAAGTCATATGTTCGTAACGTGGGTCAGATAATGATATTGTGGGTAAGATGATGGTAACGTAGATAAAGGTATCTTAGGTATTCAGAATAACCATTTCAACGGATGATAAAAACTCAAACTTTTTTGGATTGTTACGTCTTGAAATACGACATTATTTGCTTTTTTCATGAAAAATTTCATTCAGCTGTATGCAAAAAAGGAAACTTATTCAATAGCTACATGGAACACGATCCTCATTCTCTTCTAGAAAATTTGAGACAGGCCTGTTAATCCCCAAGCAAAACGTGACATGAATAAATGAGTCTGCTATCATTAATCTTTTATATGTCAGCGTTATCATTTTCACATATACTTCGTGACATGATGAAGAAATGAATGAAAATCTTTATTTTGACATGCTGGCCTCGTCAACTGAGGTTGATCTCCACGAGGGGCGTGCTTTTCTTGGAATAAAATTACAAAACGTCCCAATTAATTGGCACACTAACATGGACATCAATGTTTTTACAAACGTTATTTTTGTAATCTCACATACCGAGAGCTTAATCATGATCATGAATTTTGAAAGCATTTTAATGGTTGACAAGACAAGATAAGCTCAGCGGGATTAAAAAGTTTTTGGCCCGATTCATTCATTCGAGAAAATATTTTGTTCGTGGCTAGACTATTATATGAAGTTATATAAAATGAAAGTACAGCCTTCCCATACAACCTCAGTTTCTATCTGATATTTACATGAAATGAAGCTACGTGAAGAAATCAGAACACAGATGCTCCAAAATGAGCTCTGCTTATGATCATGTCGACTGTAGGTTCCCAAATATTCGCTCTAGCATCGTACGTTTCAACTGATTGAAGGAACTGACCGTTAAAACCACCAAGTGCATACAGTCGACTTTTCATTGCGACCAAACACAAAGCTGACCTATGGAATAGAACACAGAGGCGATTATTGTATACGAAGTAACTTTAGCTTTAAATAATCAATTAGACGTCGTTGGTTTAGGTAGTCGTTCTCATTTTCCTTTGTTTTTATTTTGGTCTTAAATATATTCTTACATGTTTGTCGATGTAGATCGTCCAGGTTAGTAGAGGCCTGAGTAGGACTGTTGGTATTGATGTTGACTGACGTTTCGACAACCTTAGCGGTAGTCATCTTCAGAGTCAGAAGATGACTGCCTCTAAGTTCGTCAAAACGTCAGTCAACATCAACACCAACAGTCCTTCTCAGAACTCTACTAACCTAGACGATTTACATTTACCAACTCTTAACGATAATTCCGAGCTCAAACCATTCACTTTTAATATATTCTTCTCTACCAATGGATATTATAAAATATTCTTATGCCTAATGGTAACATATTTTAAAATATCTGGATATATTTTAAAGCACATCATAAAACGTTTTGTTGAGCTTTCTATGTATTTTCTTATATTTCAAATAAGTTTTATTTAGAAATACCTGGGCACGTTCATGTCAGCAATTGCTGTCCACTTGTTTTCCCGCGGATCATACATGCATGCATCCTTGCAATGCTTAACACCGTCAAAACCCCCAGCGAAGTACAGAACGTTGTCCATCGTTGTGACACCTGCCACTGATCTCTCATTCCCTAACGCGATCGACGAGGAATAGAAAGAATATTTCAATGAACAAGTCCAAACCATTCGAACCGACATGTGATCAAATTTATTTTTAAAGCATACCCATTGATCTCACTGGTACCCAGCAATCTTTGCTGGCGTCGTAGCATTCAACACTTTCTAGTCGTCTGACGCCATCATGACCACCAACAGCATAAATTAAACCACCAATGCTCGCCGTACCAAGATACATTCTGGGCGTTGCCATTGGTGCACAGCAACTCCACTCATTCTTACATGGATCAAAGCTTTCAACTGATTTTTGCCTGACAATCCCGTCGGTTCCTCCAATGGCAAAAATCCTGTTGTGTGATTGGGATGCTGCGAGGTACTTTCGTGGCCTTGACATACGACACATGCTTTGCCAAATATTCATTTCTGTATTGTAACATTCACAGACGTCTAAAAATACACCGGAAGTGTAACCTCCCAAACAATAGATCATGCCTCGTAACTTAGCAACACCTATTCCATATCTCTCACATGGCATATCTGCTGCAGATTCCCATGAGTCCGTGTACATATTATATAATTCTACTGCATTTACAGCATTGGTACCATTTAATCCTCCAATCGTGAGTAACTGGTCTCCATAGCCATCTGCAACCCTCGTGGAATTCTGCAAAACAAATGAGCTTTTTTGTTTCTCAGATAGAGGAGCAAATGAAAATCTCAAGGCTTTTTGAGCTTTTTCATTACAGACTAAATTGTTGCATATTAAGTTGTTTTTCAAAACAGAATTTCTGAGGTAATCAGCTGTCAATGAGCCCAAGCAAACACAATCCAAGAGATCTGGAAGGCAGACTTCTCTTGTACCAGTTGATCCAATCCATCTTAAGCAGGCTTCGAAAACTTCTTCTTCTGAGTTTATGGATAAATTTGGATCCCCGAGAATCATTTTAACCTGATTCAATGACAGACAAGGAAATTCGTCGTCTTGATAAATACTTGGAAAATTTTTCAAGATGAATTTGAAGGAAAATGCAGCAAGCTCGCGACAGTTCTGGTGTTCAGCTAAGGCCCAGATACCAAGACAATTTGACGTGTGTAATTGCTCTTGCAAATAATCACAACATATTTTTTCCACTTCTTCAATTTGAAGTAGACTTGAAGCAGTCAACAGGCATTCTACGTTGCTACTACTAACATCAAGTTTTGAAGAGTAAGCAAACCGCACAAGAGAAGCAATTGTGTCCCCATCGATGCTTTCCAGTTTCACAACTTTTTGTGTACTTTCCCACAGGTCCGCTGTAAACATACCTCGAAAGTAAGGGCTGATGGCAGACAGTATTAAACGATGGGCTTCGATCGAATATCCATCGCGACCCACGATTTCAACGTCGCATAACTGTCTTGCCTCCCACATACGACAAATGTTGTCGTAAAGCTTGCAAGAAAGGTATTTTCTCGAGCACATCTTGCCTTTTCCTGCTGATGAAGTTTGAAAACGATGTATATGCAATGTTTACAAATATACAATCACAATTCACAACATCTAAATGTAAATTGTGTTAAAATCAGTGTTGCCACTTAAAACGTTTGAATTTCCGTAAGAATTTCCGTATGAGTATGATGGTATAACCATTGAGTATAACCAATGGTTGAACTAAACCAAAATTTAGCCAATGGTAACTGTTAAACCTTATAAAGTGCTGAGGTCTTTCGAAAATTTCGAGACTGCTAATAAATTTTATTTTGACTCTGTCAAGGGAAGAGATAAAGAAATGTAACACGAAGTGGTAAGAACGTGAAGTTCCAGGGTAGTTTTACCATAGTTATGAAAAAATGCACAGTTTCAAACCAGAAATAGCGTAAATTTGGATAACTTTTTGACTAATTTGTGAAATACAAATATCAAAAAGTAAATTCCAAAGGAATTTGCTTTCTTTCTAATGGAAGGATGCTCATTCAAAGCTCGTTAGAGACATGGTCTTCGCTTTGGTGTATTTTCACGCAAATTAAATCAGATCAAGTGGCCAAGAACGGTGCAATGACAAGCACCAAAAGAAGATTCATAAAACAACTGCAATTTAGTTTTAAATCGAAATATTTCCTGTCCTTGCGAGCAATTCAACCCTACAAGAAGTAATAAAATAATACAATAAAAAATCAAATAATTTATATCAATTTTGAACAAAACAAATGACAATTCAAGGAGAATTATAAACATAAATTTTAATATTCTCTTCATTGTATGTTGGACGATAATTTTTCAAAATACTGACTGTTCTTTATCAATATCTACGTCACGTGTTGACAAGCATTGATAATGAAATTACGCTAATGTTTATTTATCTGAGGAAAATGGACTTTCAAAAATTGAATTTTACGTGGTATGTGAGATATCAAAACAACAGTGTCTGTTCCAGGATGCATGCTAACAATAGGGAAGTTATCATCAAACACGTTACGACGGAAAGTATCGCGATTCCTGTCAATATAAGCCATAATACCACGCGAGTTTGTATTTTCGTAAGGGGAAGAACGTATTTTCATGTTACATTTTTGACCATTTTCAAAATGAACAGCTACTAAGCCATCTTTATAGTTTGTTCCAACACAGTACGATTCACTAGCTAGTAAAATATTTGTATTTAAGACGAATTTATTGGAAAAGTCTTTTATGTCACCGTTCGAATGAAAATCAATTAGAATGTTTCTAAAAAACAAAGAAAAGTCATTTCTTTTGGAAAGCTCTAACACGAGAACCACTTTTTTACTATCGCTTGTCAAGCAGCCATTGAAGCGCTCTATATCTGTTTGTTTTGGTACTAAAATTTCGTTCATGTGCACATTTTTTAGTACTGTGCTTTCACAAATTTGCCATTTCCACACACTGATCAGAATACTCTTTTCAAGGCGAACAGTTAAAATGACAGAATTGTCAGGTGATACAGCTGCTTTCAATTCTGAATTGTCGATAGGAAGTCTCTCGTTGTATTGTATTTCTCCGTTGATAATTCTAACAACTCGAACGACATTTTCTTGGTCAATACAAACTAGAACATCGCCAAATGTTAAGATGTTTTTGGGTTTAAATCCAATATTTATCATTTCTAACCCAGCGGACTCAACAAAATAATCAGAGGAAGTCAATACCTTTGCAAGATGATCAGAACCATCCCATATCCACAATAAACCGTTCGACCACCAGCATCCTATTGCTTCATCCAGTTGCATTTGTACAGTCTGAACAATGGTGCAGTGCTGGATGGCCCAAATGTCGATGCAGACAGAGGCATAGTAACTGCAAGTAGCCAAGAAAGACCCATTTGGTGAAAAGCAACAGCATTTAATTTGATGGTCCCGACACCTTAATGAGTGCTTCTCAGAATAACTATCTATTTTAAAAACACTTAATTTGGAAATATAGGGCACCACGTACAATCCATTCGTGTTGATTGGTGCAACTGTTTCAAATTCCCTGTGGATACATCGGCACTCACTGCAATATGTTTTGTAGTGTTTGTTTCGATGCACGGTTGCCATTAACTCGGCGATTTTGGAAGTATCTAGCACGAGTTTGGTATGATAGAAAACACATTGCCGCCAATGCTTTTTTATTGCCGGATTGGGAAGGGCTAGGAATTCTGAATACGCATCGATCGCATTAGGCACGTTAGAATCACAATTCCCAAAAACATCGATTGCATTTGGCAACTCATAAATAAAACGACAATAGTTGATGAAGGCAATTTTTGCGCGTCCATCAGGGCATTGAATTGGTGGAGAAATAATATTTCGGCGTCGATCGACTCTTTGTAAAGTGAATGCATTCCATGCCGTGAAAAAAAATGGGCATTGGCAGAATGTGCTTTCTAGGTATTCTGCTGCAATGAACAAACCAGAATCTACAAAAGAACAGCGGTTAACGATTCCATCTGCTTGTAAACATGATAACAAACGGTTATTTTTCACATCCCACAACTTTATTTCAGTGGAATAATCACTAGTTACCAGTCTGTTGCCGGCAGGAGAGAAGGAACAACAACAGATTCTTTCGGGCTTACGAATGTGTGGTGCAGTTTTGAATTTCCTTCCCCACTTCGTTGACTTTGAATCATCAAGACCAGGGCGTAGACACCATCGTTCTTTAAATTCTGGAAGCTCAAGAATAGATATTTCACCATTTTCATATCCTACTGCAAGAAGTTCTTCATTAGACGACAAACAAAGATATGTAATTTTATAATGCAAAGAGACTGTCGAATGATAATGGTTTGTTAGATAAGTGGAGTCTAAATCCTCAAACCAAGCAGAGTTTCCTTGCTGCAACATGTTCCTAGCCAAAAATCTTTGTCGGTCACTGCTATGGATTCTATTTAGGACACATTGGAGATAATAAGGAACGAACTGCTCCGAAAAGAATTGATTTGAAATGTGACTAATGGTATCGATAATGAAATGTATTTCATATATGACGTCTTCCCTAAGAGACATTAGTCGTTGCTGGAGGACGCGAGTCAGCCAAAAACGGAGACGCGACACTAAAAATAGTATCTTTGAACTGGCATAGATGATACGAATATCTACTACCAAACTAAAGTCAACATCTTCGCCACATTCCAACATATGATGTATCCCATTTCGCAAAGCATAAGTACACATAGCAGTGATCTTCAGATCTTGAAAATGGGTCAACGACTTGATGTAGCGAAATTCTTCCTCGCAAGCATTTCTCAACAACTTATGCCCATTGACAATACAGTGACGTTCAACTGTAAATGCATGCCTTTCATACCCGTCCGATTTCAACCAATCAATAAGAGACTTGTGATACACAGTCAAGAAACCATCGTAAACTGGCAAAACTTGAGATATTATTCCAATAATTTTACTAAGGACGTCAAAGCTGACGTCATCAGAAAAACCTATACACGAAGTCAGTAACTTTATTGGTAAAGAATTTTGACAAGCAACCAACACTTGAAGAAATTTGGTAAAGTTGTCTTCTAAAAGAACTGGATTTTGAGTTTCTTTTCTTATCTCAATCAGTAGTGCCTTGAATTGCTTCGTGTAAATATCGCTTAACCCATTAGGAACTAATCGTTTAATGTTCTCAATTGTAAGTTCAACATTTTCTTCCTTCAAAGCCAGTTGTGCGTGATAAGCGTACAGAAATGATCCCTCACATTTCCAGACTAATGACCGGAAAATGCTATCAACGTCGTCATTTGTTTCCTTATGGTCATTCAATTCGTGCCTTAAATACTTGTGCAGGTCTTCTTCGTTGTTTTATCTTGGGGATGGGGTTTTATTTCCACAGGATCCATTTTTTTAAACTTTTTTTTAACAAGCAGTTCTGGACGACTGGTGATGAAGACTTTAATCCATTGAGGTAGTTGGTTGAATTCCTCTTCAATCAATTCCAATAATTCACTTTTTCCGTCAACTTGACTTTCATCTAATGCATCAATAACCAAAAGCATTGGTTCGTGATCTTCCAAGGAATGCAATGGATCATTCAATAAAACACGAAATGCATCTTCAATCGATTCTTTGGAATGGTTTCTTTGTAATTCTTCATTCAGTTTAGATTTAAAACCTGGTATCGTATCACACATGGTGCTGGCCACTGATTCTATCAACATTCGAGGATTTTTATAGTCCGATTGATTATACTTGCAAAAATGACAAGCAGCAAGTTTCTTCTTTTCAGCATATTGTCGACAAACTTCGGCGGCAAATACACTTTTACCAACTCCAGGACCAGCAATCAAAATCATGACATTAGAAGTATTTGTATTTTTATCGTTGAACCAGGTGTTGACTTTTTCAAATAACCATTCTCTAGTGCCTTGTAAAAATTTTTTAGTAAGATTTGCTATAAGACCTTTAAAATTACACTTTCCTAGCTTTTCGACATCCGAGTATGTTTTGTCCTGTACATTTGTTTTTAATTCCGCTACATCATTTTTTACTTCGGCTACGTACTTTTTTATATCTCCTACATCTTCTTTGGTTTTCTCAGCAACATCAATTAACTCTTGTTCTCTTTCATACCACTTCTCCAACATATCAATATAATTTACCTCCTCAGGACTGAGAGGAGCTTCCCTCAATTCATCTATTTCAGTTTGTTGAATACCCAGACCAACCAGTGCTTTTGAGATTTCCTTCCAAAAGTCCTCAAACTTACTGTCATCTACACCAGTTGTGCTTATGTGACCGTAAACTTCGTTTCGATAGTACTTTATTCTTGCAATATTTGCTGAGACTGAGTTATCTGAAGGGGAAGGAAGATTATTCCACCCACTAGCTGGCGGTGTTAGACCACATATATTTCGTAATAGGACAGTTAACAACGAGATATCAAATTCTTCAATGTCAGGTGAACCAGTACCATAAAGTAGATTCCATTGCTCTTTGTTGGTGAATTTTAATGATTTTAACTTACTCTTTGTTGAAGGATCCTTTAGTTTGGCAGGTAAATTTGATGAGCAAGAGTTTAATATAAATTGCAATTTCGTTTTCAATGCTTGTGTTCCTTTATTTATCAAAAGTTTACTTAAACGACATCCGTTTGCCTCATTCTTCAGTTTTTCTGGTGGTGAAGCCATTTTTCAAACTACAAATTCAGAATATAATGTTATACAAAATATGACAAACTTTTTATGTAGATTATTCTTTTTTTAAGTCGAATCTTCAGTGAAGCCATTTGTTTAAACTTAAAATAAAAAATCGAGAAACAATGATGTGAAAAATATAAATTAACAGTCTACTGACAATGATCAATGGTTCAACCACCGCTGCAAGGACGTAAGAACGAGATAACGAATACGGCTAACCTGATGATTACTCCTCATATGACTCTGAAGATGACTACCGCTAAGATTGTCGAAACGTCAGTCAACAACAACAAAAAACAGTCCTTCTCAGGACTATACCAACCTGGACGATCTACATTTACAAACATTTAACGATACTACCGATTTCAAACCATTCACTTTATTACGATCATTTGGACGACAGAGCGAACAACTTGCTAACGACTACATACGTTTTGCAAGCAACGTCAGACGTATACGCCATCAACTCTGGTTCAACCACTGCTGCAAGGACGTAAGAACCAGATAACAAATACGGCTAACCTGAAGTTTACTCCTCATTTGACTCTGAAGATGACTACCGCTAAGATTGTCGAAACGTCAGTCAACAACAACAAACACAGTCCTTTTCAGGACTATACCAACTTGGACGATCTACATTTACAAACATGTAACGATACTCCCGGGTTCAAACCATTTACTACATTATTTTTTGTCACGGAAGTTAAATCATCTTAAGAATAAATTGTTATGTAAAGCAAAGATACGGCATATGATTTTTATTATTTTTGTTTATGCAATAGATGACCATAACTTTGAGCAATATTATCATTAGCAAAAAATGTTTATAATAATGCATAATCATAGATTACTTAGGTCCCGTTTACACTATACAGAATTACTATCGTAGCAAGTTGAATTTCTTTTGTACTAAAAGGCAGTGAATTTGTTCAGCGTCAGAAACACAATCAAATAGACTAAATTTATCAACTTAATAGGCCTTTACTCCGTAAAATTACCCCTTTAAAGCAAATGAAGATGTCGTGATGAGCGAAACTGGTATAGTGTAAACGCAGCCTTAGTACAGCTAACTTTGAACATTTGACGTGATTTGCAGTGCATATATATATATACTAAAATGGGTGTATGTTGATCTTTAGTTTTTGGGGGAGGGCTCATACTTGAATATGCATGTTGTGATGCATACAAAACAATGGATTTTGAAAGAGCTTAAATGGGCTAATCATGAAAATTTGATCTCTAGCCAACACAATTATCAATCCTCCGTACGCGCCCATACAGGTATATGTTCTGATGAAGTCTGTTGCAAAGCAAGAATGATTTGATTCCACACTAGCCAATTAATGTGAGATAAGCATTGTTTAATACAAACTTCAATGAAAAGAAATAATCAAATATCCTTTTATTCAGTTATTCTGTGTTGATAACGTGATGACACGAATTTAAGTCATCATTCACATCGATTTTCATAGCTGTAAGAAAAATTGCTCTGTTCATTTGTGATTTAAAATTTTAGCTGTATCTATGAAATTCATTGATATCTCCTGTCATAATGATAGCAGGGTTTAAAAACATAGACAAGACATATAAAAACATAATAGTACTTAGTACCTAATAATGATCATATTACATCGTACGTAAGCACCTAAATCACGCCTAATGGTTCTGTGTATTCTGTCTAACAAACCTTTCACTGATTGATGGTTAAAACTTTCAGATTTTCATGTTTATACTGTTGAGCGTGATATGTATCCTTTGAGTCGATACGTGGAAAATTATTTTGCTCCACGGAATTTGAATCATCTTAAGATTAGATTGTTATGTAAAGCATAGATTTTGCTTATGATTTTTATTGTTTTCCATATGTTTGATTTTAAATTTGGAGCAAATTGATTGATTTGTTCAAAAAATGTAAGTTTTAATGCTTTATGCCCGTAACAGGACTTTATGTTTCTGCAGTGCGTATATACTCATTAACTCATATACTTTTATGAAATCACCAAAAACACTTGGCAGATTTTATCACGAAAACCAACGGAAGCGAGAGTCATTTGCTACATCGCGAAAATCTTCAAATTCATAGACCATATATATAACAAGCGATACAAGTTTATATCACTAATAAATTGCTGGTTGATATTTCTATACTTATAAAATGACTCAAATATTTGAACAATTCAACATTAGCTGTAGAATTACTCTTTCAAAATATATTCGCTTTGTGAGGCATATATGTCATTGAATCATATCACAAAGTTAGTGAAATAACACATATTGCACAATTATACAATACTTCTTCAGGTAATCTATAATAAATATACTTTCTGGCATTATAGCAAGATTAAAATTAATTCAAAATGTATAAAAAGCTTAATAGATCGTAAACAATTTACATTTATGGACTGATTTATACATTGTAAACACACATAATGATTCAGTTTATTTCGTCTCACAAACCTTTTACTGGTTGGCGGTTTAAGTTTTCAAGTTTTCGCATTTGACTTTCTTGGCAAATTAAGCACTGTATGTATATCTTTTGAGACGATACGTGGCATATTATTTTGTGTCACGGAAGTTAAATCATCTTAAGAATAGATTGTTATGTAAAGCAAAGATACGGCATATGATTTTTATTATTTTTGTTTATGCCATAAGATGACCATAACCTTGAGCAATATTATCAATAGCAAAAAATGTTTATAATAATGCATAATCATAGATTACTTAGGCCCCGTTTACACTATACCGAATTACTATCGTAGCAAGTTGTATTTCTTTTGTACTTAAAGGCCTTGAATTTGTTCAACGTCAGAAACACAATCAAATAGACCAAATTTATCAACTTAATAAGCCGTTATTCCGTACAGATGCCCCTTTAAAGCAAATGAAGATGACGTGATGAGCGAGTCTGGTATAGTGTAAACGCAGCCTACGTACGTTTTGCAAGCAACGTTAGACGCATACGCCAACAACTCTGGTTCAACCACCGCTGCAAGGACGTAAGAATCAGATAACAAATACGGCTAACCTGACAATTACTCCTCATATGACTCTGAAGATGACTACCGCTAAAGTTGTCGAAACGTCAGTCAACAACAACAAAAACAGTCCTTCTCAGGACTATACCAACCTGGACGATCTACTTTTACAAACATTTAACGATACTCCCGGGTGCAAACCATTTTTTTTATTACGATCATTTGGACGACAGAGCGAACAACTTGCTAACGATTACATACGTTTTGCAAGCAACGTCAGACGCATACGTCAACAACTCTGGTTCAACCACCGCTGCAAGGACGTAAGAACCAGATAACAAATACGGCTAACCTGAAGTTTACTCCTCATTTGACTCTGAAGATGACTTCTGCTAAGGTTGTCGAAACGTCAGTCAACAACAACAAAAACAGTCCTTCTCAGGACTATACCAACCTGGACGATCTACATTTACAAACATGTGATCATTATTATTATTTGCAACAGCTAATATTAACTAATCTTTTTCACTATTTGTAGCATTTTAGAAAATACATTTTAAACATTAAAATAACATTATTTGTTGAATAATATTTTCTAAACAAAATCATAGGTTATGCGAGTAACTTAACTTTTCTTATAAATCAAATTAGGTTTAGAAAATCATATAAATCTCAAAGTAATTAAAGCTTAATTTGTATTTTATGTTGCTCTTTAAATGTTGTTGGTAAAAATAATTTCTCTTTCTCATCTGTGTATTGAGTTTACTTAACTCCTTCAGGTGCTATAATACACAAAGGCAAATTACTAGGAATGGCAAATCCACTATAGAATAATGCTTTAAGTTAAAAAATTTACAAGTAAGGTCATTTGATTTTAAACCAAAATCATTATCTGTTATTTCACATGCACCAAACCTAAACTAGAATGATGTGCATTTCACTTGAGTGTTAGACCAATTTATGATCTAGTCAGCTGAATTACTTTGAAATTTTCAGCAAGAAAGGGCTTAAACAAAAGAATTTACATGGGTTATAATCATTACATTTAATGTGGAAAAAATCATATACACAAGGAAGACCAGTTTTCAAAGACTATAGCAAGAAGTTTATAATTATATGAGAATCCATGTTTTCCATACATAAAAGATTTTTCTTTGGGTCACATTAGCACTGACATTGTATTCATTCAACAATCACTGTCTCATTAGAAACAAAAAAAAAACAGCAGAAAACCTCATCTGATGACCAACAAATTCATGTAGAGTAGATGTATTCATTATCAGCTGTAATGAACATGAGTGTCAATCCTAAGTTAATTGGGGGTGGAGTGGACCATATTCATACATTTTGCGCAATGCCTGGCTATTTTCTTTTCCACAACAATTTCACTTGCAAAAGAAATCAGCCTGGCATTACAGAATTTAAGAATATGGCACCCCCTCGATTAAAGTTCGATTAACGCCTATGGTTATGGATAGTATGATAGTTAATAGTCTTGAAATGCGTGAGCAATCCATTTATTCAAAAGTGTGAGCAATAAGGGAGGCACACAAATCATACTTTACAAAGTTTAAATGCACAGATCAATAGAGTTTCCAATGAAAGCCTTGTTCAAAATCAAACGAGTCGCGCAACAATATCATTAAAGAATAAATGGATTGACAATTGAACTCACCGAATAAACCTTAAAAAGCTGCTATTTCTCCATCCCAACATCAAAGTCACTTTGTTTCGCCTTGATAATTATTTCACTTCATAATTTATTTATTGAGCAACTCCGCTGCTCCAGGACGGTTGGCTCAAAACAAGACCATTGTGTACATATGTGTATCAATAATCCAAGTCAGTGTCCGAGCTAATTTGTTTATTCTGCAGATTTTTTCTTTCATTTTTGTCATACTCTGAGCTTTATTTTAAAAAATGCAAACTCATTTGAATTTTATGTAATTATCACTGTAAATTCGTATAGTTATCATTATAGTTCAACAAGAGCTTTTTCACATGTTTCACATGCGTTGTTGCTCCATTGTAGGTGTAAGTCATTAAAACAATACTTAAGATGGATGAATTAATTAAAACAGAAAACACTAAACACAAAATTCCTCTCTCTCTCAAAATCAACGGATTTGGTCAAAAATGCTGTCGATGAAATACAAGTGCATAGCGAGAAAATCTTACTCATTGACGTTGTATTCATTGAGGTATAATATATTGCATGAAATCGCACTTCGTCATGAAAATTGAAATGTCCATATAAATCTGCAATGTTGAATTTTCCCGCCAAGCACTTGCTCCCAAAGCTGTCATCAGGCAAAAACTAGACAATAGAAAAACTACCTATGTGTAAAGCCTGTGTAAACTTATTGACAAGTATGTGTGGCTTCAGAGAGACACCTTTTAGAGCGAAGTTGTTTCGACATTTGATCTAAGCTACTAAAGTGAAACTAAACTATTCAGGCAAAATTAAACTAAATAAGGTGTGGTATTGCCTCGTCGCAAGAACGAGCGGCGCATAGTGGAAGAGCTTCATTTTTGGAGGTCTAAAACTGAAAGGTCGATTTGGCAGGCAAATGCTGTGCGCAAAGCAGGCTATAGTCTTTAATCATTATTTGACTGCCTCCTAGTGCTCCCACTGTGCAACCATAAGAAATATTATAAGATATTGACTAGCAACATCCGTGAGTAGAAAAAATGCAAAAAAGTTGAATCGCCGTTTTTCAGCAGCGACCAAAATCCAATTTACTTCTGCTGCATCTTTTACATAATTTAATATAAACATGATAAAAATCATCATAAACAAACAAACTTTGAAAATATCTTTTTCATATACTGTACGCTGTTAATGCTTTTTTTTTAGCTAAAAGAAGTAAACATTTCTCTTGATATTTTCATTACTTGTCTTGTAAGTATTTCAGCAATTAGCCGTGAACTACAGGGGTAATTAGTAATTGTTCTACCTTCCGTTTCGTGTTCTTTACATTTATAATCTGAACAGACTGGCTCATCGCGACAATAAACTACGGAGCAATTATCCATAAAAAGCATCCCTTGTCTGCGGTAGTCATTTTGAGATTTCGTGTACTTATAGCTAATTCATCACACAGTGCTTTTACCTTTTGTATTTGTAGAGTATTGGAAAAGCTCACCACCTAAAAATACTCGCAGCATGAATATGGCTGTGTCCTTTCTAGTACAATAACAGCGTGTTTTTTTTGTCGATAATTGAGCACTAAAATCTGTATTTTTGTGCATCATGACACTTTTACGCAGCAGAAAACTTCCTCAAATACAAAAATACGTTGTATTCATATTATTCAGTACGTTAATCAATCGTAAGTTGTGGCACATCTATATGTGCACACGATTAAACATGGCAAACAACAATAAGCGCATACATTTTGAATATTGTCTTGATGTGAGTTAAATTTCTCCTCATAAACTGGCCATTTCAAATGGTTAATTTGGCGTCAATTTTTATCTTGAAAATATGTTATATCGCATATTTCTGTAACTGGGACAAATTTTTCGAACTTTAAATTCTAAAAATTCGCTGAACATCTCAAACATTGAAAACGCAAAGTTCTCTAATTAGGTTGTTTTTATAGGGGCTGAGGCTCTGTGCACGCGACAGAAATGTCGACATTGGATCATTGGACATCACCTTGAATCTTCCTATGCGCTTTTTTCTTCACTTTTTTTGCGTTCGTTTCGAAAATATATTGATATCGTTATTTTTAATTATTCTTATCACATCATTTTATCCGAGTTCGTACAGCTGCCACTTATAGTGGTTTGTCTCGGAATATAATTCCATGAAACATTTTGCCAAAGAAAAGATTGTTTTGGAGTTTGTCGGCTAATCTGATAAATTATTCCATTAGCATGTTTGCTTAAATTTTGCCTCCTACTTTGGTGACAAAAGCAATTATCTTGAACACACTTATCGTAGCGATAATAATTTACACAGCTGTGTATGGCCGAAAAGTGTCATCCGAAGCCCCGGAGATTGACCTAGACGCTATTTATAACAATAGCGTGTGCTAGAGGTAGCGAAACAGTTAACAATTGAGCTGTGGACGCAAGGATCTCCTGAAGCTGCTGTCTGATACGTTGCTTCGTTACTTTTCTAATCAGCAAATTATTCAAGGTTGGGAACGAACATGAATTCTACGGCTAATGGAAGTGAAACGCGAGTCTTTGATCCGAAAAATATCGCGTATATAGTTATCGCACTGTTGATTGTGGTATTTAATGGTTTTGTAATATATATTGTGAAAAATCGAAAAACACCACGTAGTATTGGGAGCAGTGAGAATAGCATTTTGACAAGCTTAGCTGCAAGCGACTTTTCATCTGGTGCTATTGGCATTCCTTTAACGTTTGCGTGTACTTACGCTCCTCCCAGTTATTGTCCAATGTGTTCCATAAGTTACGACTTCATAAAATTTGTGTCCATTTCCACAGTTCTTCATATTTTAGCTCTTATTAGAGAGAAGTCTTACAGTGGCTCACCCGCTTCGCCAAAGAAGCAAGAAAGCCAACATTGTATTGATAACAGGGATTTGGCTGTGTAGTCTGTTTATATCTAGTGTTCCCTGGGTTTGGATTGTTGGAGTCCACGGCGTTTGTTCTAATAAAGGATTTGAGGAAACGTGGAATCCATACATCGTACACGAAAGTGTTTGTTTTCTGCTGTTTTTTGTCATTCCGCTGCTCTTTATTAGCATATTTCTGGGAAGAATCGCAATAGCCGTACATCATTTCACAAAACGGTCTTGCAGTATGCGCAGCTTTAAAAGCGTCAATGAACAAGCTCGATTTCGCAATAACGAAGTGAGAATTTTCTTCCTATTGCTTGGCATATTTCTCCTTTTTGTCGTGTGCTGGACACCGTACTTCGTGTTGACGCTGTTATCTATTCATGATGTTCACATCGATGTCCCTGACTGGCTTGAGTTTGCCGTGCAATTCTCACGTTGTGTAACAAGCTTTCTAAATCCATTCATCTATGCCTTTTATCGAGAGGACATTTATCAAGTCATAAAAAGAAAACTGCGTCGCTTGGATTTTTCTTCTAGTGTCTCTCGAGAAGATACATCTGTCTTCCGTCGTCAAAAGCCACTCAAGTAACACTTGAGCTTGTTTCCAATTGAAACATCAAAATGCAAGAGACGATAAAGTGGTGACCGCATTCTAAATATTCACACAAATTTTTCTGAGCCCTATTTTACGAATAATGATAATTCTGATTTATAGCAGGATTTGAACTTGGATACTATTCTACGGCACAGAGTCTGGTACGTTTCGTTTTTAGACTTACACGTGCTCTTTTAGCAGAACTATTATTCCATGCAATTCTGAATATACAACTAATATTATATTATACTATTGTATTATACTAACTACATTCTAAATATACAACTTTACATGCGTGCGTATATCATATAGTGCGACCAACGCCTGCATTCCAGAAGCTTGCGGCTTTACACTCATTAAAGTGCAACTCGGAAATCTCTCTCCCACTGATTGATGGCAACCTTATTTTTACATTAATGAAAGACTTTTCTGGTGTGTTTCAAATCTTGTAATCAGGTAGATCTAAAGCCCCACTCAGAGAGAGTGAGTGTGAGCAAGCTTTTAGAATACAGGTGTAAGTCTGCACGGGTGCTAAAATAAAAGAATATTTACAATTTGCCATACGCTGGGAATTGCATGGAATAAATGTTATGAGCATGGTCTGTCCAATGTGAATATTCTACACGCATCGCATATACTTGAAGCAGGGCGTTAGTAATAGCTAGAGCGTTAATTGGGGTGAATATTCTACACGCGTCGCCTATACTTGAAGCAGGGCGTTAGTTGTAGCTAGAGCGTTAATTGGGGGTGAATATTCATATAATCTGTTGTGCCCGACTGATATCTTTTGAAAGCCACTAAATTGACTAAGAACTCAGTCGGGCACAACTGAATGTACGAAAAAAAAACCCGCACGCCAATTAACGTTCTAGTCACGGCCTTGACTTGAAGCTATATAGCAGGTTTTCACGTCAGGAAAACTTTTTATTTTTTTCCATTATGCTTGCTTACGTAGTCTTATCATCGTAACTTGGAACTTAACATATAATAAATAGTGAAACGTAAAATAATAAATATTTATAACTATATCGCTACACTCGCTAGACGCTTTCTCTGAAATCGGATGATATTTACTAAAGTTAACTTGAAACTTTTGTCAATAATTAACGTAGCTATATGAGAAATTCTTCAACGAACAGTTGAACGTTGTTGAAAAGTATTGGAAAAAATCCATGGTTCTATGACAAAAATATTGAAAAAGTGTTGTGTTCTGCTCTCGTGAAGCTTTTAAAACGACAAAAGTTTGAAATGGAAAGGACGAGTGCGCTAACTTATTCAATCTTCTCGACAAAAGGATTGCAGTCGGAAAATATTTCGCTTCGGTTGCTTGTACATGCACTGCCTCTAATTAGCTATAAGTAAAATTTCTTCATTAATGTAAGTTATAAATCTTGAGTTTATTGCAAATTTGAAAGTTTCCCTCATGAGAATTTTGATAAATACTCAAAAACTGAACTTTTTTTGTTTTCTGGGCTCCCAATATTTAGATTATTTTGGACGGTATAGGCGTAAACACATTAGCTAATTTTTTTAGTGTGAAGGAAGCTTTTTCACAGCTTTTATTGTGGACCAATTACCAAAACCACACAAGTACGTCATGGGAATATAAATACAAAAGCAATTAAGGAATATGCAAAACATTGTATAAGCCCTGGCTCGATTATTTTTGCTCACGTATTTATTAAAATTGGCTTTTGTGATTTGCCCTTGGCCTTTCTCCGATGTCGACAAGCGTTATCTTGTTATCGAAACACTTGTTTTGTCATGTACAAAACGATTAAGATAAAACTGATATGGTTGCTATGTTTAAATTAAGAAACACCGCAAACTAAGTGAGGTTCTTGTAATGTTAAAATCCTTATTGCAGATAAGTTGTATCGCAAGACGCAAATTCAGATAATTTAAAAACTTTCCAAAGGTGGCGTTTGGTCTTATGGAGAGACTGTATTTTTATGAAATGTATGTATTCTCACAGGGCCGTTGCTAGAACCTTATTTGGGGGGTGGGGGAGGGGGGTATCTAAAACTAAATCACTTTCAAATGAAACCATTCGGTCGCAATTGCATATACGAATAAATACCCCTTGTGTTCACTCCCTAATTCTAATCGAAAGTTTATCTACGGCAATGTATTCAAGCCACAAAAGTAAATTAAGTGCTAGCGACAAAAGTAAACATTTCTCTTGATATTTCATTACTTGTCTTGTAAATATTTCAGCAATTAGCCGTGAACTACAGGGGTAATTAGTAATTGTTCTACCTTCCGTTTCGTGTTCTTTACATTTATAATCTGAACAATCTGGCTCATCGCGACAATAAACTACGGAGCAATTATCCATAAAAAGCATCCCTTGTCTGCGGTAGTCATTTTGAGATTTCCTGTACTTATAGCTGATTCATCACACAGTGCTTTCACCTTTTGTATTTGTAGAGTATTGAAAAAGCTCACCACCTAAAAATACTCGCAGCATGAATATGGCTGTGTCCTTTCTAGTACAATAACAGCGTGTTTTTTTTGTCGATAATTGAGCACTAAAATCTGTAATTTTGTGCGTCATGACACTTTTACGCAGCAAAAAACTTCCTTAAACAAAAATACGTTGTATTCCAATTATTCAGTACGTTAATCAATCGTAAGTTGTGGCACATCTATATGTGAACACGATTAAACATGGCAAACAGCAATAAGCGCATACATTTTGAATATTGTCTTGATGTGAGTTAAATTTCTCCTCATAAACTGGCCATTTTAAATGGTTAACTTGGCGTCAATTTTTATCTTGAAAATACGTTATATTGCATATTTCTATAATTGTCACAAATTTTTAGAACTTTAAATTCTAAAAATTCATTGAACATCTCAAATATTGAAAACGCAAAGTTCTCTAATTAGGCTGTTTTTATAGGGGCTGAGGCTCTGTGCACGCGACAGAAATGTCGACATTGGATCATTGGACATCACCTTGAATCTTCCCGTGCGCTTTTTTCTTCACTTTTTTTGCGTTCGTTTCGAAAATATATTGATATTGTTATTTTTAATTATTCTTATCAAATCATTTTATCCGAGTTCGTACAGCTGCCACTTATAGTGGTTTGTCTCGGAATATAATTCCATGAAACATTTTGCCAAAGAAAAGATTGTTTTGGAGTTTGTCGGCTAATCTGATAAATTATTCCATTAGCATGTTTGCTTAAATTTTGCCTCCTACTTCGGTGACAAAAGCAATTATCTTGAACACACTTATCGTAGCGATAATAATTTACACAGCTGTCTATGGCCAAAAAATGTCATCCGAAGCCCCGGAGATTGACCTAGACACTGTTTATCACAATAGCGTGCGCTAGAGGTAACGAAACAGTTAACAATTGAGCTGTGGACCCAAGGATCTCCTGGAGCTGCTGTCTGATACGTTGCTTCGTTACTTTTCTAATCAGCAAATTATTCAAGGTTGGGAATGAACATGAATTCTACGGCTAATGGAAGTGAAACGCGAGTCTTTGATCCGAAAAATATCGCGTATATAGTTATCGCACTGTTGATCGTGGTATTTAATGGTTTTGTAATATATATTGTGAAAAATCGAAAAACACCACGTAGTATTGGGAGCAGTGAGAATAGCATTTTGACAAGCTTAGCTGCAAGCGACTTTTCATCTGGTGCTATTGGCATTCCTTTAACGTTTGCGTGTACTTACGCTCCTCCCAGTTATTGTCCAATGTGTTCAAAATAAATATGTGCAAAATACAACCATGCATTTCTATGCTTCAGTAGCGTCCTTGCGCGCGCACAAGCTTTTCTGATCAAAGCGACACCAAGCACTTGGATGATGACGCCACCAAATAAATTGTCATAGGTAGCTTTCAGGAACATAACGAAATTGCAGGAACTAAAACAAACTTGTAGCAACGCTACTTAACTCGTATTTCGCTGCATTTCTATTAGTTCTGGCGCCTTTTGTTTGAATGGTTTCTGTATCTCTTACCATTTCCATGCTGAGCGAGTTAAAGAATGGGCTGGCGTTATGTTATTTGATATTCCTTCCTAGGATGGAGTTAAGAGAGGTCACGATCGAAAATACTACAAGAATGGATGGAAAATGTTATCAGGATAACGCTTTAGTTCTAACTTTGAATATTTTTAATGGTTTCTTGCGTGAAAACGTACATATTTCCTCTTTCCTCTTAGATTACTAAAACCATGTAAACAGTTAAATAGGGAAAAATACTCATTTAGGTTAAACAACATCAACCAGAGTGTCCATGTTTGTGTCGACTTTGTTTTTGTTTCCTGAGTTGTTCGTTTTGAGAACTGGTTTGGTACCCAAACAAAATTTTGTCACTTGCAAACTGCGGCATTAACTTAACGAGTATTGCATGAATATATTGGTAGCGTGAATGAGACGATGGTAACGTGAGTTAGATGGTATTAGGATCATCGGTAATGTTGTTAACATAATGATACAATGATAACTCGTGCTGTTCAACAAGGTATTGGTATGCTGAGTAAGGTAATATGACGTGTTGGTGAGATGATGGCAACGTGGATGAGGTGATGGTAACGTGAGTGAGGTGGTATTAGCGTAGGTAAGATGATGGTAACGTGGGTAAGATGATGGTAACGTGGGTAAGGTGATGATGACGTGGGTAAGATAATGGTAACGTGGGTAAGGTGATGGTAACGTGGGTTATATGTTGGTAACGTAAGTCATATGTTGGTAACGTAAGTCATATGTTGGTAACGTGGGTCAGATGATGGTATCGTGGGTAAGATGATGGTAACGTAGATAAAGGTATCTTAGGTATTCAGAATAACCATTTCAATGGATGATAAAAACTCAAACTTTTTTTGATTGTTACGTCTTGAAATACGACATTATTTGCTTTTTTGATGAAAAATTTCATTCAGCTGTATGCAAAAAAGGAAACTTATTCAATAGCTACATGGAACACGATCCTCATTCTCTTCTAGAAATTGTGACCAGGCCTGTTAATCCCCAAGCAAAACGTGACATGAATAAATGAGTCTGCTATCATAAATCTTTTATCTGTCAGCGTTATCATCTTTATATTTACTTCGTGACGTGATGAATAAATGAATGAAAATCTTTATTTTGACATGCTGGCCTCGTCAACTGAGGTTGATCTCCACGAGGGGCGTGCTTTTCTTGGAATAAAATTATAAAATTTACCAATCAATTGGCACACTAACATGGACATCAATGTTTTTACGAACGTTATTTTTGTAATTACATACCGAGAGCTTAGTCATGATAATGAATTTTGAAAGCATTTTAATGGTTGGCCAGACAAGATAAGCTCAGCGGGATTAAAACGTTTTTGGTCCGATTCATTCATTCGAGAAAATATTTTGTTCGTGGCTAGACCATTATATGAAGTTATATAAAATGAAAGTACAGCCTTCCCATACAACCTCACTTTCTATCTGATATTTACATGAAATGAAGCTACGTGAAGAAATCAGAACACAGATGCCCCAAAATGAGCTCTGCTTATGATCATGTCGACTGCAGGTTCCCAAATATTCGCTCTAGCATCGTACGTTTCAACTGATTGAAGGAACTGACCGTTAAAACCACCAAGTGCATACAGTCGACTTTTCATTGCGACCAAACACAAAGCTGACCTATGGAATAGAACACAGAGGCGATTATTGCGTACGAAGTAACTTTAGCTTTAAATAATTAATTTGACGTCGTTAGTTTAGGTAGTCGTTCTCATTTTCTTTTGTTTTTTTTCGGTCTTAAATATATTCTTACATGTTTGTCGATGCAGATCGTCCAGGTTAGTAGAGGCCTGAGTAGGACTGTTGGTGTTGATGTTGACTGACGTTTCGACAACCTTAGCGGTAGTCATCTTCAGAGTTATGCTTTCCAGTTTTACAACTTTTTGTGTACTTTCCCACAGGCCCGCTGTAAACATACCTCGAAAGTAAGGACTGATGGCAGACAGTATTAAACGATGGGCTTCGATCGAATTTCCATCGCGACCCATGATTTCAACGTCGCACAACTGTCTTGCCTCCCACATACGACAAATGTTGTCGTAAAGCTTGCAAGAAAGGTATTTTCTCGAGCACATCTTTCCTTTTCCTGTTGATGAAGTTTGAAAACGATGTATATGCAATGTTTACAAATATACAATCACAATTCACAACGTCTAAATGTAAATTGTGTTAAAATCAGTGTTGCCACTTAAAATTTTAGAATTTCCGTAAGAAATTCCGTATGAGTATAATGGTATAACCATTGAGTATAACCAATGGTTGAACTAAATCAAAATTTACCCAGTGGTAACTGTTAAACTTTATGAAGTGCTGAGGCCTTTCGAAAATTTCGAGACAGCTAACAAATTTTATTTTGACTCTGTCAAGGGAAGAGATAAAGAAATGTAACACGAAGTGGTAAGAATGTGAAGTTCCAGGGTAGTTTTACCGTGGTTATGAAAAAATGCATAGTTTCAAACCAGAAATAGCGTAACAGTTTGGATAACTTTTTGACTTATTTGTGAAATAAAAATATCAAAAATTAAATTCCAAATGAATTTGCTTTCTTTCTAATGGAAGGATGCTCTTTCAAAGCTTGTTAAAGACATGGTCTTCGCTTTGGTAATTTTCACGTAAATTAAATCAGATCTAGTCGGCCAAGAACGGTGTAATAACAAGCACCAAAAGAAGATTCATAAAACAACTGCAATTTAGTTTAAATCGAAATATTTCCTGTCCTTGCGAGCAATTCGACATTACAAGAAGTAATGAAATAATACAATAAAAAATCAAATAATTTATATCAATTTTAAACAAAACAAATGAAGATTCAAGGAGAATTAAAAACATAAATTTTAATATTCTCTTCATTGTATGTTGGACGATAATTTTTCAAAATACTGACTGTTCTTTATCAATATCTACTTCACATGTTGACAAGCGCTAAGCTCAAAAACACCCTTACGAAAATTATCAATAGGATCTTATTAGAATTCCAATAGGAATATAAGATTCCTGTAGGAAATCCTATAGGAAGGCAGAGTGAATTCATTTTTATTCCGATTCCGATAGGAAATATATTAAGAAAATGGCGGCAATTTTAAAGCCTATAGGAATATTTAAATTCCTGTAGGAAATCCTATAGGAAGGCAGAGTGGAATTCATTTTTATTCCGATTCCGATAGGAAATATATTAAGAAAATGGCGGCAATTTTAAAGCCTATAAGAATATTTGAATTCCTGTAGGAAATCCTATAGGAATCCATAATGGTGATTTGTTTTGCAATTCCGACTGGAAATCCTTTAAAAAAATAGTGGGAATTAAAAGCCTTTATGAATATTAAAATTCCTATAGAAATTCTCCTGGAAATGTTATTAGAGAAACATACATAGCAATCGAAATATATAGGAAATGTTATCTATTTTTTCCCCAAATTTACAACTATGGTAGATTCTTTAGAAATCTAATGCATGAAATAAACGAAGCATTGTGGTATGGAGTTGGTGGTTGTGTAAAAGACAATGATAATCTCATCTCTTGAATCAAAGGCTGCTGATGTTTGAATTCTTTACCAGAATTTAAACAACAGCTTTACGAGCTGACATTGATTAAACTCCTCAAAGCAGAGCAACAAAACATGTCGAAATTTGGTCATTAGATAATGAGTTTTTACAACCATTACGAACACCAACAGCATGCAATTGAAGAGGAATTGATTTTCGATTTCGCCACCATTGAATTAAGTTGTTTGCTTTGTTATAGTTGGTATGCGATTCCTTCAGGGATTCCTATTACAATGTGAAATCTCATAGAAAAAGAGAAATCTTATAAGAAGTGCTTTAGAAAAATTCACAGGAATTTGCAAACTTATAGAAAAATATATTTTCAAATTCTTACACAAAAAGCTATGGGAAAAATGTAAAAATAACAAACTTAAATCATCCTTGAATTAGCTAAAAAAAATTATTGTGAGATGAAGTTGGATTTTTTCATTTGTAATAAAAAAATCGTTTTGGGAATGTCTTGTTGACTGTTACGACAGTGAAATCTAATTTACATATTTTTCTGTATGATATGAATAAAACAACACATTCCAAAAGAGCTATAGTACAAATTAATGATTATAAACAATTTAAAACATATGTAGTGGCATGCATTACAAGCAAAGCTTTGTACGATATACGAGAAGTTATCTGTTTTGAGTTACGCGTCATATATACAACATGCAACAAATACTGTGTATCTAAAATATCTGTCCAGTCGAGTATTCTCAAACTTGCAAAAAATGAAAGACAACAGCAACCTTTCTATTTTGAGTTAATCGCCGTAAAACTTACATGGCAATTCAAAAAAAAGTCTCGGTTTCGTAGTTTTAAGTGTACGCCTTTGTCTTTAATTTGGTGAGGTTTGAGAGCCACAATTTGGTCTCTGTTTGTACACTCTCTTACGAAATGTGAAGTAACACCACATTCTTTGTTGGAAAATAGCGGTCTTCCTCCACACAAATCAAGTTTTTTCACAATCACAACATAATATGCTTCACACTGGCATGCCTGTAATTCAGCAGTGCTGCATTGATAATGGGATTACGCTTATGTTTATTTATCTGAGGAAAATGGACTTTCAAAAATTGAATTTTACGTCTTTTGTGAGATATCAAGACGACAGTGTCTGTTCCAGGATGCATGCTAGCAATAGGGAACTTATCATCACCCACGTTACGACGGAAAGTATCGTGATTCATGTCAAGATCAGCAAGAGTACAAAACGGGCTGGGAAGGAAAGGATGTATTTTCATCTTACATTCTTGACCATTTTCAAAATGAACAGCTACTAAATCCTCTTTATAGTTTGTTCCTACACAGTACGATTCACTAGCTAGTAAAATATCTGTTTCCAAGTCGATGCTAAAGGAAAACTCTTTTATGTCACCGCTCGAATGCACATCAATTAGAATGTTTTTCAAGAAAAACGTCGTCATGCGGGGGTCATTTTTTTCATAAAGCAGAAACACAAGAACCACTTTTTTACCATCGCTTGTCAAGCAGACTTTGAAGCCTCTTATATCTGTTTGTTCTGGTACAGGAATTTCTTTAATGTGCACATTTTTTAGTACTGTGCTTTCGCAATTTTGCCATTTCCACACACTGATCTGTATGCTCTTTTTACGGCAAACAGTTAAAATGACAGAATTGTCAGGTGATACAGCTGCTTTGAATTCTGAATTGTCGATAGGAAGTCTCTCGTTGTATTGTATTTCCCCGTTGATAATTCTAACAACTCGAACGACATTTTCTAGGTCAATACAAACTAGAACATCGCCAAATGTTAAGATGTTTTTGGGTTTAAATCCAATATTTATCATTTCTAACCCAGCGGACTCAACAAAATAATCAGAGGAAGTCAATACCTTTGCAAGATGATCAGAACCATCCCATATCCACAGCAAACCGTTCGACCACCAGCATCCTAGTGCATCATCCAGTTGCATTTGTACAGTCTGAACAATGGTGCAGTGCTGGATGGCCCAAATGTTGATGTAGACTGGGGCATAGTAGCTGCAAGTAGCCAAGAAAGACCCATTTGGTGAAAAGCAACAGCATTTAATTTGACGATCCCGACACCTTAATGAGTGCTTCTCAGAATAACTATCTATTTTAAAAACACTTAATTTGGAAATATAGGGCACCACGTACAATCCATTCGTGTTGATTGGTGCAACTGTTCCAAATTCCCTGTGGATACATGGGCAGTCTCCGAAAATTGTTTTGTAGTGTTTGTTTCGATCCACGGTTTTCATTAACTCGGTGATTTTGGAAGTATCTAACACGCGATTGGTATGATAGAAAATACATTCCCGCCAATGGTTTTTCATTGCCGGGGGGGGAAGGGGTAGGAATTCTAAATACGCATCGATCGCGTTAGGCAACTTAAAATCACAATACCCAAAAACATCGATTGCATTTGGCAACTCATAAATACAACAACCATAGTTGGTGTACGCAATTTTTGCGCGTCCATCAGGGCATTGAATTGGTGGAGAAATAATATTTCGGCGTCGATCGACTCTTTGTAAAGTGAATGCATTCCATGCCGTGAAAAAAGATGGACAGAATGTGTTTTCTAGTAATTCTGCTGCAATGAACAACCCAGAATCTACAAAAGAACAGCGGGTAATGATTCCGTCTGCTTGTAAACATGATAACAAACGGTTATTGTTAACATCCCATAACTTTATTTCAGTGGATTTATCACTAGTTACCAGTCTGTTGCCGGCAGGTGAGAACGAACAACAACAGATGCTTTTGGGTTTATGAATGTGTGGTGCAGTTTTGAATTTCCTTCCCCATTTCGTTGATTTTGAATCATCAAGACCAGGGCGTAGACACCATCGTTCTTTGAATTCTGGAAGCTCAAGAATAGATAGTTCACCATTTTCATATCCTACTGCAAGAAGTTCTTCATTTGACGACAAACAAAGAGATGTAATTTTATAACGCAAAGAGAATGTCGAATGAGAATGGTTTGTTAGATAAGTGGAGTCTAAATCCTCAAGCCAAGCAGAGTTTCCTTGCTGCAACATGTTCCTAGCCAAAAATCTTTGTCGGTCACTGCTGTGGATTCTATTTAGGACACATTG